TACCTCATCGGCGCAGCATCCACAGCAGCCAGGCTTGGCATATCAGATCGAACAATTCAAACCCTCAGACGATGGTCATCTCGGGCTTACATCTCCTACATTCAAAAAAATCTCCACGATCTGCATCAGGCCCACACTCAATTAAGCTCACTTTCATTGTAACTCTGTAGGGATCAGACTAAGCTTGGGCAAAGCTACGTCTGAGACGAAACCCCCATCCTGAGTCTCTCACTGCCAGGCCTCTACAGAACCTCCCAGACCAACCAGACATGCGCCATGTATTAACTACGGTTCAGGAGCAGGACCACGCCTCACTACACCTTCAATCACCTGACGAGCATATATATACACAGCCAGCCCACTACACTCCGTTTATCTGCAATTCTCTGACCAACCCTCCCTCCCTCTAGTGGTGGGCAAAACTGGTCATTTCAGTGAACCGGATCATTTCGGGTCGTTCAGTAAAAAGACCCGTTCATTTCGTTCTTTTCGGTCATTTCGGTCAATCGGTCATTAGTCAGTCCGCTCGGTCTCTCGTTCAACTCGTTTATCCGTCTGGGTCTTTTGTTCACTCGGTCTTTCGTTCAACTCGTTCATTGGTCTGGATCTTTCGTTCAACTCCGTCTTTCGTTCAACTCGTTCATCGGTCCGGGTCTTTCGTTCAACTCGGTCTTTCGTTCACTCGGTCTTTCGTTCAACTCGTTCATCCATCTGGATCTTTCGTTCACTCGGTCTTTCGTTCAACTCGTTCATCGGTCTGGGTCTTTCATTCAACTCGGTCTTTCGTTCACTTGGTCTTTCGTTCAACTCGTTCATCCATCTGGATCTTTCGTTCACTTGGTCTTTCGTTCAACTCGTTCATCCATCTGGATCTTTCGTTCACTCGGTCTTTCGTTCAACTCGTTCATCGGTCTGGGTCTTTCATTCAACTCGGTCTTTCGTTCACTCGGTCTTTCGTTCAACTCGTTCATCCATCTGGATCTTTCGTTCACTCGGTCTTTCGTTCAACTCGTTCATCAGTCTGGGTCTTTCATTCAACTCGGTCTTTCGTTCACTCGGTCTTTCGTTCAACTCGTTCATCCATCTGGATCTTTCGTTCACTTGGTCTTTCGTTCAACTCGTTCATCCATCTGGATCTTTCGTTCACTTGGTCTTTCGTTCAACTCGTTCATCCATCTGGATCTTTCGTTCACTCGGTCTTTCGTTCATTTGACCCGTTCTTTCAGTCAACTTGGTCATTCCGGTCTTTCAGTCAGCTCAGTAGTACTGCTGCTGCTTCTCTAAGCCCCACCCACACACAGAATGAGGCGCAACGATAGGATAAGAAAGGCAAGCAGTCCCTCTTCAGCCAATCAAAAGAACTGAACGGATTGAACGGGTCATTTAGGGGGGGAGAACTAGTTCATTTCGTTCATCAAAAAGAACTAGTTCTTTTGATCTGTTCGTTCAAGACCGACACACCACTACCTCCCTCTCTCTTTAACATTAACGCTTCTACTACCTCTCTACCTCTGCCTCTCTCTGATCTCACTTAATTTCAGATATAGTCTGGGTCGGACTAAGCTTGGGCAGAGCTACGCCTGAGACGGAACCCCCATCCTGAGTCTCTCACTGCTGGGCCTCTACAGAACCTCCCAGACCAACCAGACATGTGACACTCCTCATCAACGTCATTATCCATCACAACATACACACATCAGACAAGATATACACACTCCTGAATTTGTATTAAATATTCAAACTTATATCGTTGCGGCGTGGTCATTGCTAGTGAAATTCTTTTTTCAGTCTGGAGTTTCACAAACAAGAGTTTTTTTTTTAAATATGATCATCAGAAACGTTCAGGAGCAGATCCTTCTGATCAAGTCGACCATTTAAAGGAGACAGAAGACCCTGCAAAACAGGACCCTAGGATCAAGAACTTGTTGAGGAGTGTCCTCAGAGATGAACTAGTTCTGGTTCTAGTTCTCAAGTCAAAACCTTTCAGACCAAAAACACGATCAAAGAAGAAGAAGAACCAAACCTCCTCTTCTCCAAAAATACGTCTTCCTCGCTCTGACAACCTATAGCTACGGGTAACCATCACATCCATCCATCATGAGGAGAGACAATGCTGCGAGACAGGGTCACCATGACAACACAAAGACCCGCTGATGACTCAATGGAGAGAGAGACACAGTGGGCGAGGGAGGAGGCCGCCGTGGAGCCACAGACACTGCCAGTATGAACCGACATTCAGTTTAAAGAGGATTATCCTGTTCATCTTTATTTCACCAGCTGCTTACCAGACTAAAGTTTCTTCAGAAGTTAAAGGTTCTAAAGGTGAAGAAAGAAAATCTGACAGACATCTAAGATCAGCCACAATACACACACACACACACACACACAAACACACACCACCATGATCAGCTGTTTGACTCATTAGTGTTGAACTAACAGCCGCTGCATGAACACACAAGATGCTCTTTGTAATCATTGAATACTACACAACAGGAGGCCTGGGACCCTTTGTGTGTGTGTGTGTGTGTGTGTGTGTGTGTGTCTGAGAGAGAGAGAGAGAGAGAGAGCCTGAGGTTAGATTAAAAGCTCTTTTGTGGTTTTCAGATGCTAATGTTTCTATTATCAGCAAGATAAAGACAGTTTAGCTGCTTAAAGACAAACAAATGACTTCTGGCACACACACACACACACACACAAACACACACACACATCTAACAGGCAGTCTGTGTGTGTTTGGAGCTGAAGGACAGCTCTCAGGCGTCTCAGTAACATGAAAACAAAACACCTGAAGAAGAAATTTGACAGGAAGTATTCATGACATCAGCCCTGGTGTCGGCTTACACGCCGAGGCCAGCGGTGATGTCATCATATGAGCTGAGAGGCTGCCCCGATCCTGAACCCATGAAGTCCAAACCCGGTCCAACAGCTCTGAGGAGCAGCCAAGTTTTTGAGTGACAGCAAAAAAAATCAAGGAAAGAAATCAGAGTTTACACAGATTTTTAGGTCAGATTAGGAGGTTATTTACAAACATCAAATATAAGCACACATATATTAACATACGTAAATGTTAATCTATAAATATATATAGATATACACACACACACACATATATACAAACATACACACATATATGTACACACACATACACACACACACATACTGTATATATATATACTGTGTATATATATATATATATATATATATGTGTGTGTGTGTGTGTGTGTGTGTGTGTGTGTGTGTGTGTGTGAATATGAGTGTGTATAATCTAATTGATCTCTAATTGAACTCTGATTTTTATTCTGTTTAACATCAGAAATCATGAAACACATCAACCTCGTTTTCTCAAAGAAAGATGACGTCAGTAAAATGTCTTTTCTTTGACACATAAATCAGTATTTTAGAGATGAGGACAGGAAAGAAGGGAGGAAATGAGGTGATGGAGATAAAAGAAGGACAGAAGGATAAGAAAAGGAGGAATGACAAAGCAGAGCATTTGATGAGGGGAAGGAAGGAAGGAAGAACATAAAAATGACCTTAAGAACGACGAGAGCAGGTTATGAAGGTAAATTAAAGAAAATGAGGAAAATGAAAATAGTGAAAAGGTTTAGAAGTGCTTACTTTCTAACTGGGTGAAATGAAAAGAGGAAAGGAAAGAAAAGAGTGAAGGAGGGGAGAGAAAGAAAGAGAGTGAGGAAGCTTAGCAGAACGAGTGTCAATCAGCCTGAGAGAGCTGTCAGTTTGACTGAGAGGAAAACAGAACGAACAAGTGTGAGAACGGACGACGGCGGCGGCGACGACTGAATATTCATGAGGAAGAGTGTGAGTGCACACACAAGCACTCGTGTACTTATTAAACTGAGGACCACAGCACTAAAGAAAAGCTTACCAGGCTGGTTCTGGATCAGTGACACACCCAGGTCGGGTTAAGCCTGGAAGCAGACCAGCTTCTGAGTATTGTCCAAATAAACTCTGTGTCTTTGTCTCTTTATTATCCTCCACCGACTGGGACACAACATTTTCAATCCTCACCATCCTTTTTAGTTGAGGAGGAGATCCTGGTTGTAAACTTCTGACCCATCCAAACAGCAGCAGGAACGGCAGAACCAGCTGCTCAGAAGAAAGAATATATATATATATATATATATATATATATATATATATATATATATATATATATATATATATATATATATATTATTTTGTTGTTGTTGTTTTTAAAGGTAATGTCCAGCAGCCTTCCTTAACAGTGGATTTTGTCCTGTGATGGAATCACAGCGCCACCTGGTGGCGTAATTGTGTTACTGCGGCTCTAACAGAAGTCTTGAGAGTTTGGGTTGAGTTCAGTTTTTAGTAACTTTACTGTTTTATTTTAATGTGATATTGTACAGAGAAATAAAGTTTATGTTTCCTTATATATTCCTAATATGTTTTGGTTTATTTAACAAGTTTCAATATATTTAATCAATTTTAATGTTTTGACAGAGAGAAATCAGAGTGAGGAGGAAGTTTAACAGACGAACACATGGGGCCACACACACACACACACACACACACACACACACACACACACATATATATACTGTGTATACATATATATACACACCTACTTAGGCGCTAGACATTTCTCTCTTCTTCAGCGTCTCTAATTATCCTCCAATAAACATTGTCATTTTCCCTTTTCTGTTGGATCATAGAGTAATAATAATAATAATAATAATAATGATGATGCATCAGATTTCATATAGCACTTTATCAGAGACCCTTAAAGTGCTTTACATTGGATACATCATTCATTCGCTCACACAGTCACACTTTGGTGGTGGTAAACTACCTTAGTAGTCACAGCTGCCCTGGGGCAGACTGACGGAAATGTGGCTGCCATTTTGCACCTACAGCCTCTTCAACCACCACCACACAACACTCACAATCATACACCAGTGGAGGACACACACTGGGAGCAAGGTGGGTTAAGTGTCTTGCCCAAGGACACAACGGACAGACTTGGGATATGGGGGAATTGAACCGCCAACCTTCCAGTTATTGGACGACCGCTCTACCTCCTGAGCTACTGCCGCCCCAGTGTGTAGCTAAGGTTACACACCTGGAGATCTATCAGTTAACTGAAACACTCATTCACACAGATATTCATCCCTTCACTTGCCTGCCGAAGGTGTGCCCATTCCCACCATCATACCGAAACATGTTTTCAAATGAGGAAATAGAGCGCGTCATTTCCGGGTGTAAAATAGGTATGCATGGAGGGTCAAAGTGGTCACATGGTGCAAGAAAAATGAATTCCCTTGTTGTTTGCCATGAATCTCTAAAAATTAATGCTTCACTGATTTGTGTAAAAACTTACAGAAAAGTTCTGAGGGTTAAAAATGGTAAAAATAGTTTAAAGGTGAATAAATGAGTTTTTTTCCCCCTCTAAACTTATATAATTAATAACGCCCACTGGGAGGGGCTAGAGGGGTTTAAAAGAAGACTGCCTGAGTCTTTGTTTGAGTCTGGAGTTTGTTGTATGGATGATAACTGACAAAATGACTTTTTTTATTGCTGCTGCTGTGTTTCTGTTTTTTTTTCTCTTGAGTTATAGTGGAAATACTGTATATTTTCTTTTTGCCTTGTACATTTTGTAAATAGTATTTGAAAATGTTTTTTGCACTTTTGTAAATATTTTTGTACTGCACCTTGGAAGACCCACTGTAAATAAATCCTTTCACCATCACCGTGTTTTTTTACTACCCCTGTTTTTCTACAATATTTTGATTGTTTGAGTGAGAACCCTGCGACAGGGGGCTTTGTGCATATTCAGTAAAATACTCAGGGTGAGGCAGCGTGTGAAAATGACAATTTTTTTCCCTTTTTAAAAAAAAAGATGATATGAGTGAGCAGTGCTGGTGATGCTGTTGTTATTTTAGTGTCATGGCCAAGAGACATGGACAGTTTAATCTGAGGGATTATACAATATAATAATTATCTTTGTGCTTTAGTAACAATAAAATGGGTTCAAAGTTGGTTTCCCACCATTGGAAAAAAATATGTCCCAAACAATAAAATCCACCATCGCCTCTGATTTTTTTCACAACTTGACCACCATCAATAACTAATAACTATTGACTGATATTAAAAACTTTTTAAATTATACACCACAAAATAAAAAGATGCTTCTTTAATTAATTCCTGTCTAACCCACCTTTAACTCAAACATTCACTCATTCATCCCTCCACTTACCTGCCAAAGGTGTGTCCATTCGAGCCATCATGCCGGATGGGGGGGTATGGAGGGTCAAAGTGGTCAGATGATGCAAGAAAAATTAATCTCTTTTGGTTTGTTCTGAATCCCTAAAAATTCCTGCTCTATTGATCCTGATAAAATCCTGATTAAAAAAGGTAAAACTAATAGTAAAATGTCAGAAAATTTAAAAGTGTTAAAATGGTTTAAATGTGAATAAAGTCTGCCTGAAGGTCAGACTGACTCTAGTTCTGCTGCTGTGTTTCTGTTTTTTTGGTCTTTTTGTTTTTCTGCAGAACTCTTTTTTTATTTTGCCTTGTACATTTTGTGAATCGTGTTTTGACCATTTTTACACTTTTTGTAAATACTTTGTCTTGTGATTAAGTAAGAAACACGCGACACTCTGAGCTGAAGTACATCTGTGTTTTAATCGGTCACAACTCCAGTAAAAATTCACGTTAGTCTCTACAGCAACAAACCTTAACACTAAACAGAGTCAGAGACCAAAAGAGGACGTTATTGTCCTTAAACCTAAACCTGATAAACCTAATCTCGCATGAAACACTGAAAAAAAAGTGACATTTTCTTTTTGTGCTTCAAATAAAAATGAAACAGGTTTTATCATGAGTGATTTAAAACCAGTGATAAAACGACTGTTTGACAGAAATCTTTTTTACAGTTGAAACATCCTGATAATAAAAACAGAAACTTTCAGACACTCGTAGATTTTCTCCTTTTTCTGTCTCTCTTATTCTATTTTCACTTAAATTTGACATGAAATATTTTTTTTAAACAATAAAAACTCATCAGCAGATTTCTGTCCGGAGTAAAATTCCAAAATAATTTGGTCAAAGAAAACGAGGAGACGTGATCAAAGTTCATCTTTAATGACACAAAAATAAATAAAACATGAAAATTAAGAAAACAGTTTTTGTTTTTTTATTGAAATTATGAAGTCCTGACACACGCTGCAGCTCGTGACTCAGAAGTTTCCAGGAAATCAAAGATATTTTGATCTGTCTGAGATGGAAAAAAAGGAAAAGCTCAGACTTATTGCCGTTGAATTAAAACCTTAAAAACTTCAGTGAGCTGCAGTTCTGACTCTGGACTCTATGAAATATGAACTCTTCACTTACAGACACAAATAACAACGAAACACTGATCTGGTTTTTCGGCTTTTCTCTCAGAGAGATCAGAGATTTAAACGTCTTCATGAACCCTGAGCCTCTCTGATCCAGACAAAAAAATTTAAGATTTAACAGACAAAAAAGAAGCAGAAAACCACGAAGAGCAGGACCACCCTGGACTGAGAAAACTGCACTTCTATGTCCCTAATGCTGCGTTCAAGTTACTTCGGAAGTCAGTTGACGGAGCCGAAAATGACGTCACACCAGAGTTCTCAGTGTTTCAGTTACCAAGTCGGAAAAAAGCAAAATCGGAGGCGAAAACAAGATGGCTACATCCAAGAAATTTGTTTTAGCGCTTTCCTTGTCTGAATATGAGGCAAACACTAAAATAACTTTAGTAGACGTAGCAATCTTGTTTCTTTTTATTCTGACTTGGTAACTGAAACGCCGGGAAATCGGGTGTGACGTCATTTTCAGCTCAACTTCCAAGGTAACTCGAACGCACCATTATTAAATTCACAGAGACAGCGCACCCCTGTGGTTGTCAGCAGATCAAATTTCTGCCGGAGTCCGTGTTTTCACATGTCCTGAATTTGACCCGTTTTTTTTTCCAGTCTGCTTCACAGTTTTGAGGTTTCAGGTATATCTGCAGTTTTCAGCTCGGGTTCGTAGATCTGCAGATATGAAAGCGGTTTTACGGACACTCAGTGGTTTTCCTTGGAAGTCAGATGTTGGAGATGAAAATGGCGTCACACCCGAGTTCCCAGTGTTTCAGTAACCATCTACGAAAAATATTTTAGCACTTTCCTTGTCTGAATATTAGGTAAGCGCTAAAATAACTTTCATAGATGTAGCCATCTTGTTTCCACCTCCGATTTTGCTTTTTTCCGACTTAGTAACTTTTCTAACGTACTATTTATTGGTCTCTCTTATTCGGGTTTGACGTCATTTTCAGCTCCGACTTCCGAGGAAACTGGAAAAACGCAGCGGTAATGTGGCCTGTCGCCACACACAGAGCTCTGATTTTAGCCTTAAACATCTGTCTGGATCAGGTTTATCAAATCCACTTTGACTTGGAAAACCAGGACCTGGTCTTTCTGAGGTCGAAGTGGATCTGAAAGTTCACGGAGGTCCAGGGTCGACAAAGAGGTCAGTCCAGAAAAACAAAAAAATGAGGTTAAAAAAAAAAGATAATCTGTCCTGACGGTCACTACAGCGACGTGATCAGGTGAGTCTGCCCCCCCCGTGGTCACATGATCAAGTGCAGCAGCTGAAGCTCCGCCCCCTATTCAGGCTGCTCAGTGACCTGGAGTGACCTCACAGTCATGTGATCAAAAGTTTGAAAATGTTTCTTCTTTTTCCCTTCCCTACTCTTACCCTCTCTGTCTCTTACCCTTCCTCTTTTCCCCCCAACCCCCTCCCCTCTCTCAGGTGCGTCTCCTCTTGGCTCCTCCTGGACTCGCCGGGTTTGAGGAGGTCATCAGTTTCTCGGCGGCTCTGCTCCTCTTTCTCTTCTCTGCTTCCTTCCCTCCTCCTCCTCCTCCTCCTCCGCCTGCTACGCCTTCACTCGCTCCTCTCTCCTTCTCCCGATCTCTCTCCTTCTCTCGGCTGCTGCTCGCTCGCTCTGACATCTTCAGTGAGGAGTTACTGCCTGATCAGAGAGAAAACACACCTGTTCGTTTGAAAACATGGTGGATTCTGAATTTCCAGACTGAACCTTTAAAAAATCCTGCAGAAGGGGAAACTGAGGAACAGAAAATTCAGGGAACTAAACCTTAAAGAAGGAAAGAAGATCTACTGAGAGGAGAGACGAGGACGAGTGAAATAACTTCCTCAAGAAAAGGAACAAGAAGAAGAAGATAAAGAAGACGAAGAGGACTCAGTCTGGAGGTTCGAGGAGAAGAAAGAAACCTGAAGATACCTTCTTCATGTGTTGCTGGAGGTTCTCTCTCCATCCTGAACTCGTCTTTACTGTCGTCCTCAGAGCAGAGCTTAGCTACACACACACACACACACACACACACACACACACGCGCACACACACACACACACACACACACACAAACAAACACAAACACACACAGACAGAAACAGGCACATCTCAATAAATTAACATCATCAAAAAGTGAAACTCTTAGATAAATCTAGATTCCTCACACACTCACGTAGATGTTTGTAATGTAGATAAATCTAGATTTCTCACACACAGACATAGGCAGGCATGAAAATGGGTCAGGGGTTGAAAAGGTGGGGGGTAAAGAGTGATTGAAGATAATTATTAGTGTAATAATCTCTTAAATACAACGGAGTATGAGGGCCACGTTAAGAAAAAAAAACTTTCTTAAATCTTAGAGAATAAAGTTATTATTTAGGAGAATAAATAATCAATAATATATAAGATTAAAGTCGTAAAGTTACCAGTTGTGGAGGAGAGTTGCTAAAATCAGCACTGAGGAGCATTTAGATGAATTGTACTTTAGTATAGGTTTCACAAACATGGAGATACTTAATCCTTTGATACATGAGCGTTACACTGTCAGAACCTTTAAAAGAATATATGAGAAATGCTGCTTTTGTGGAGGGGAAAATGGCTGGAAATGGCTGTACAGAAGCTAAATTCATCAATACAGCTGTTAATAGCAATAGCATAGGGCTTTAGTTTATCATATGAGTTTATATGCCATGAGGTGTTGAGGTCTCTGCATGTGTAGGTTACTGACTTACTGTAATCGTCGGGTCTATCTCGTCCTTATAAAAACCTGCTCTATTTCGGCGAGTGCCTGTCTTCTTCTGTTGTCAAACCGCAAGATATCAAAATCTACCCGGATACAGCAATGCTGCTTTTTCATTGGCTGTTCAGTAGATATACTTTATTTGATTGGCTTGCGCATGGCACGCAGCTTCTGAACTCTCGGAGGAACTCAGTTGATTTCTACCTGTTCCATTGTTACAGAGGTGCAACTTTGTGGACATCACCATGTTCATATAAATGCGTGAGAAATACAATGTGTGGCGTGTGAACGGGTGGGAATGCGTGTGTCACACGCTGAATGCGTGAGACTTGAGAGCCCTGCAGAGCATTAAACGCGAGACGTCCGGATCTACATGATTCATGTAGATCATGAAAGGTGAGAGATTTTCATGCCTGCATAGATAATTGTAATGTAGATAAATCTAGATTCCTCACACAGGTCTGTAGATGTTTGTAATGTAGATACATCTAAATTCCTCACACACAGATGTAAATGTGAGTAATGTCAATTAATATAGATTCCTCACACTTGGCCCAAATGTGTGTAACGTAAAGCTAGATTGCTCAACTATGGACTTTAATGTCTGTAATGTCAATAAATCTTGATTCCTCACATGCAAATGTGGATATGTCTAATATAGATAAATCTAGATTCCTTGGCACTGATGTGGATGTGTCTAATATAGATAAATTAAGATTCCTCACACACAGACGTAGATGTTTGTATTTCATATAAATATAGATTCCATACACACGGACATAGATGATCCTAACAAAGATATATCTAGATTCCTCACGTGCAGAATTGGTTTTTTGTAAAGTAGAAAAATCTAGATTCCTCAGACGCTGACATACAGTACAGGCCAAAAGTTTGGACACACCTTCTCATTCAATGCATTTTCTTTGTTTTCATTACTATTTAAATTGTAGATTCTCAAAACTATGAATGAACACATGTGGAATCATGTGCTTAAGAAAAAAGTGTGAAATAACTGAAAACATGTTTTATATTTTAGATTTCTCAAAGTAGCCACCCTTTGCTTTTTTGATAGCGCTGCAAACTTTTGCTGTTCTCTCAGTGAGCTTCATGAGGTAGTCACCTGAAATGGTTTTTACTTCACAGGAGTGCCTGAAGTAACCCTGACAAGGTACTTCTGTCATCGAGAGCAAAGGGTGGCTATTTTAAAGAAACTAGAATATAAAACATGTTTTCGGTTATTTCACACTTTTTTTATAAGTACAAAATTCTACATGTGTTCATTCATAGTTTTGATGTCTTCAGTGATAATCTACAATGTAAACAGTCATATAAAAAAATAAAGAAAAGACATTGAATGAGAAGGTGTGTCCAAACTTTTGGCCTGTGGATGTTTCTAATATAGATAAATCTAGATTCCTTATACACAGACATAGATGTGTGTAAGGTCAATAAATCTAGATTCCTCACACACAGACATAGATGAGTCCTAACATACATGAATCTAGATTTCTCACACGCAGACATAAATGTTTGAAATGTAGATAAATCTAGATTCACCAGACGCAGACATAGATCTTTTTAATGGAGATTCCTTACACTCACAGTCGTAGATATTTGTAATATATATATCTAGATTCCTCACACATGGACGTAGATGTGTCTAATATAGATAAATCTATATTCCTCACATATAGACGTAGATAATTGTAATGTATATAAATATGGATTCCATACACACGGACATAGATTATTCTAGCTAAGATAAAACTAGATTTCTCACACACAGACGCAGATGTTTGTAATGTATACAAATCTAGATTCCTCACACAGGGACATAGATAATCCTAACAAAGATAAATCTAGATTCCTCACACACAGACGTGGATGTGTGTAATGTCAATTATAACAGATTCCTCACACATGGACATAGATATGTGTTATGTAGATAAATCTAGATTCCTCACATGTGTTGGAGATGAATGTTATGTAGATATATCTTGATTCCTCACAGAGGACATACATGTGCGTAATATTGATATAACTAGATCCCTCACGCATGGATGTAGAGGTCTGTAATGTAGATAAATCTAGATTCCTCACGCGCAGCTGTAGATGTGTGTAAAATGGATAAATCCAGATTACTCACATATTGACAGATATGTTTGTAATGAAGATAAATCTAGATTCCTCAAACACAGATGTAGATGTTTGTAATGTATACAAATCTAGATTCCTCACATACGGACATAGATGATCCTAACATACATGAATCTAGATTCCTCACAGGCAGACATAAATGTTTGAAATGTAGATAAATCTAGATTCCTAACACAAAGACAGAGATGTTTGCAATAAAGATAAATCATGATTCCTCACACACAGATGTAAATGTATGTAATGTCAATTAATATAGATTCCTCACACACAGATGAAGAGGTCTGTAATGTAGATAAATCTAGATTTCTCACACACAGATGTAGATGTCTGTAATGTATACAAATCTAGATTCCTCACATACGGACATAGATGATCCTCACAAAGATAAGTCTAGATTCCTCGCACACAGACGTAAATGATCCTAACATACATGAATCTAGATTTCTCACACGCAGACATAAATGTTTGAAATGTAGATAAATCTAGATTCCTCACACACAGACAGAGATGTTTGTAATATAGATAAATCTTGATTCCTCACACACGGACGTAGATGTTTGTAATGTAGATAAATCCAGACTTCTCACTCACGGACGTAGATGATCCTTACTTAAATAAATCTACATTCCTCACACACACACACACACACACAGATGTTGTCTTCATAAAAACAGAGGTTTATGTATGTGTGTCCTCTTCACCTTCCTTAACTTCCTGGATGATGTCATCAGGTAAAGAGAAACTCTTCTCTGAGTTTGGAAACGGTAAAATCTCGGATTCATGCTGAAACAAAAACAGAGAGAGAGAGGCTGCTGTTAGTTAGTGAGTGTGTGTGTGTGTGTGTGTGTGTGTGTGTGTGTGTGTGTGTGTGTGTGTGTGTGTGTGTGTGTGTGTGTGTGTGTGCTCGTCCGTGTGTGTGCACATCTGTACGTGTGTGAGTGAGTGTGTGTGTGTGTGTGTTCTCACCAGAGCCTGCATGTCATACATGGTTCCCAGGTGATCCCAGATGACGGAGGAGGAAACCTGTCGGCCGATATTCTGACTGAATTTATCTCTGATGCAGATCATGTGGAAGTGACGGTTCACACCTGACGACACACAACACACAACGACACGAAGTTAATAACACACAACAACGCTAACACACTAACACACAATGACCCTCGAGTTTTCTTACCCACGAGTTTGTGTTTATGCTATCACACTAACACACACTGACCCTCGTGTTTTCTTACCCACGGGTTTGTGTCCACACAAACACATCCTGACCCCCGTGTTTATTACCCACAGGTTTGTGTCCACACTAACACACACTGACCCTCGTGTGTTCTTACCCGCGGGTAAGGGGTACACTAACACACACTTACACATACTGACCCTTGTGTTTATTACCCACAGCTTTGTATCCACACCAACACACACTGACCCTCATGTTACTTACTCACGGGTTGTGTCCACACTAACACACTGACACACTTACACATACGTCCTCGTGTTTCTTTCCCATGGGTTTGTGTCCACACAAACACACTAACACACACTGACCCTCATGTTTCTTACCCACGGGTTTGTGTCCGATCATTGCGTGGAACAGACACACCTCCACCTCGTGGCTCCAGACCACCGAGTCTTCTCCGGGGACGAAGCCAGAGTCTGGGGGCTTCTCTTCGGTCTGGTTGAGGGTCAGCTCGGCCTCTCCCATGATCTTTAAAAACAGGAACTAAAACAACAGACACACAGACCGGCCGAGGGTCCGAGAACAGAAGACTACACTGTTTTCATAGTACTGCGCCTGCGCACAGGGTATCCGGGAACTTTCTTTCTTCTTTGGATTTTGACAAATAAGCTAAAAGGAGCTTTACCGCCACCTACTGGACTGGAGTGGGACTCTGGAATTTGACAGTTTAAATTTGTCATTTAAGAAAATCGAGAATCTGTTGAAAGCGATTGAGAAAACAACAAACTGGTACATTTATACCATCAACAGACATCATATCAATATCATGGTACAGTATGATAAAAATGTCGTAGTATAGCATAATAATGTCAAAGTAAAGCATAATAAAAATGTCATAGTATAGTAAGTTCAAAAATATCATAGTATAGTTCGATAAAAAAATGTCAAAGTATAACTTGTTAAAAAGATATCATAGTATCATATAAAAATATCAGTATAGTATGATAAAAAATATCACAGTAATGTATGATAAAAATGTCATAGAACAGTATGATAAAATGTGATAGTATATGAAATAGAGTAAAGTATGAATGTTAGTATTTGATTGAAAAAAATGGAAATTATGACAAAAAAATCCATGTGATATTATCATATGATAAAAATGTTAGTATGTAATGATAAAAATAGCAGTATAGTTTGAAAAAAAATCCTATTGTATAGTATGATAAAAATGTCATAGTAAATTATGATAAAGAAATGTTGTAGTATAGTATGATAAAAAAAATCAGTAAAGTATGCTAAGAATATCATTGTATAGTATGATAAATTGTCATAGTATAGTATGATAAAAGTATCATAGTAAAGTATGCTAGAAAAATGTCCAAGTATAGTATAAAATTCTACCAGCATGAAAACTGTATGATGCGCTAGTGAGTTAATAATAATAACATTAATACCACTACGACAAATAATAATAATAATAATAATAATAATAATAATATAGATAAATAATTCCTGTAACTCAAACCTTTTGTCAAACTTACCAGTGTCTTCTCACTCTCCATACAGTGGGTACGGAAAGTATTCAGGCCACCTTTAAACTTTTCGCTCTTTGTTTCATTGCAGCCATTTGCTAAAATCAAAAAAGTTAATTTTATTTCTCATTAATGTACACTCAGCACCCATCTTGACAGAAAAAAACAGAAATGTAGAAATTTTTGCAAATTTATTATAAAAGAAAAACTGAAATATCACATGGTCAGAAGTATTCAGACCCTTTGCTGTGACACTCATATTTAACTCACATGCTGTCCAGTTCTTCTGATCCTCCTTGAGATGGTTCTACTCCTTGATTGGAGTCTAGCTGTGTTTAATTAAACTGATTGGACTTGACTAGGAAAGGCACACACCTGTCTATATAAGACCTTACAGCTCACAGTGCATGTCAGAGCAAATGAGAATCATGAGGTCGAAGGAACTGCCCAAGTAGCTCAGAGACAGAATTGTGGCAAGGCACAGATCTGGCCAAGGTTACAAAAGAATTTCTGCGGCACTCAAGATTCCTAAGAGCACAGTGGCCTCCATAATCCTAAAATGGAAGAAGTTTGGAACAACTAGAACTCTTCCTAGACCTGTCTATCCAGCCAAACTGAGCAACCATGGGAAAAGAGCCTTGGTAAAGAAGAACCCAAAGATCACTGTGGCTGAGCTCCAGAGATGCAGTAGGGACATAGGAGAAAGTACCACAAAGTCAAGCCCTCCACCAGTCAGGGCTTTATGGCAGAGTGGCCCAACAGAAGCCTCTCCTCAGTGCAAGACATATGAAAGCCTGCAGAAAGTTTGCCAAAAAACACTTTAAGGACTCCAAGACTATGAGAAATAAGATTCTCTGGTCTGATGAGACCAAGATTGAACTTTTTGGCGTTAATTCTAAGCGGTATGTGTGGAGAAAACCAGGCACTGCTCATCACCTGCCCAATACAATCCCAACAGTGAAACATGGTGGTGGCAGCATCATGCTATAGGGGTGTTTTTCAGCTGCAGGGACAGGACGACTGGTTGCAATAAAAGGAAAGATGAATGCGGCCTAGAACAGAGATATCCTGGAGGAAAACCTCCTCCAAAGTGCTCAGGACCTCAGACTGGGCCAAAGGTTCACCTTCCAACAAGACAACGACCCAAAGCACACAGCTAAAATAACAAAGGAGTGGCTTCGGAACAACTCTGTGGCCGTTCTTGACTGGCCCAGCCAGAGCCCTGACCTAAACCCAATTGAGCATCTCTGGAAAGACCTGAAAATGGCTGTCCACCAACGGTCACCATCCAACCTGACAGAACTGGAGAGGATATGAAAAGAAGAATGGCAGAAGATCCCAAAATCCAGGTGTGAAAAACTTGTATCATTCCCAAGAAGACTCATGGCTGTACTCGCTCAAAAGGGTGCTTCTACTCAGTACTGAGCAAAGGGTCTGAATGCTTATGACCATGTGATATTTCAGTTTTTCTTTTTTAATAAATTTGCAAAAATTTCTACATATCTGTTTTTTTCTGTCAAAATGGGGTGCTGAGTGTACATTAACGAGAAATAAAATTTACTTTTTTAATTTTAGCAAATGGCTGCAATGAAACAAAGAGAGAAGGGGTCTGAATATTTCCCATACCTACTGTAACCGGGAAAAACAACAGCAGCGCGGTTAAATCTACTCGGCACCCTCGCTGTCAACGTCGGGTGTTAAATAAACAACCATTGATAAATGAGTTAACTATAGTATGACATTTTTTAATCTGCCTTTTTAATAATAACTTTCTTTTTTATGATTTGTTTACTTGAACTTTTTGAAAAACTACACAATATAGTATGAGGTTATAAAGATAATGTTCTATAGTATGGCATGTTATAGTCTGACTTTTTAAAAAGAGATCAGTCTGATATTCTATACTCATACTTTGACATGACTTATATATATACACAACGGGTCTAACATATATATATATATATATAAATAACAAATGTTAGACCTGTTGTCACTCTGTGTTGTGACTCTTACCCCCAGTTTTATCAAATACACTGACACATGAAGAAAAACATTTTTTTTTCTGATATTGGTAAATGTTTTAATTTTTGCAGATGTCTTGATGTCGTTGTCGGGTCGACTCCTCTCCGCTCTGAAAGCTGCTTCTTTAAAATCCAGTGTCTTCATTACTTTACAGTGTTCAAACTGACAAACAGAATCTCCATAAATACATTTCTATTAAACCACAACAACAGGTCTAACCTCAAAATGACTGACCATAGACTGTATATAGAATGGACACCGTCTGCCTCCTCGCTGCTAGAACAGCACCCTCTGGTGATGGGCTGCAGTATAGGTCATAAATCCTGCCTCCTTATCGAGCTGAGGACAAACTTTATAAATTAATGACACAGAATATAAATGTTTCTCCCCCCTGCTTGCGGTGTCGACATGTAGTTACGGTCAGACTGGTTTGTGCTCAAGTCCTCTTTTTGCTGTACAGCTCCATTTTTAAAAGTTATTTGGGGGTTCATGTTTTCTATGATTGACACTTGATACAGCCTATGGGCGTACGGAGATTGAGTAGCTCACCCAGGGGATATGCTGTTTGAGCTGAGCGTCATCACAGCGAATCTCGGCGACTCTCCGGCTGAATGCGTACACTACTACGCAATGTTGGTTTCAGGAATTACAGAGAACTTTTCAGCTTCAAAACCCATATACTGGTGGAAGGCGGAACCAAAATGTCCAGAGTAAATACAGTCTGTGGTTCTGATGTACAACAGCAGACACACACACACACACAAACGCACGCACGCACGCACGCACACACACACACACACACACAAAGAAATGAATGTAAACACACTCTGTATGTCAGTCCATGTAGACTGAGTCAAACTGTGGTGAGAAGGTGATCCACCAAAGACTGGATCATGAAGAGGGACAGATCTGAGTCCTCCAAATATGGCAGAAATAAGATTAGAGATCCGTTCCCTTTCTGATTAATCCACTAAGATAAACATTATTGTTATTTCTGGACTCTATTAGGGCAGACTGTCAAATCTGACTTATACCTGCTGATGAATGTTTAACACACTTTGAAAAAACAGAAATATTGAATTGAAATAGTGACTTACAGCAGTAAATATTTCTCTTTTTTGACAACTTTGTCTGCTGATAAAAGAGGAACTTTGTTTTTTGTTATTAAGAGTCTCTTTTTAAAATAAATCCTGGTCTTTAGTGTGAAACAGGAAATGATTTCAAACATGAAGATCTCACGTTTGTCCTCGTCTGAACATCACAAAGAACGAACAGATCAAAATCAACCTTTCTGTGCTTTTGTGAGGTTCATAAACAAACATTTGAATATATATATATATATATATATATATATATAGATATGTATGTATCTATATCTCCAGCTCTGCTCTAGTGTTGTTATTATCACTCTGTGTTCTCCTTCAGTGCAGCTGTGTCCGTCTGTGTCTCATGTCCATCAGTCTCTCTCTCTCTCTTTATGTTTTGTAGATCTGATGGTTCCCTCCTGCAGCACTAGGGGGCAGCGCTGCACTCGCTCCTCCCTGCACATCGACAAATCCCATCCTCTGCCTCCTCTTCCTCTGCTCTGTCATCTATGGGAACACATAGGGGACAAACTTTATCAAACCGTGAATACTGTTAGATTCAGGAAAGAAAAGCTTCACTGAGAAAAAACATAAATGTTTACATCGTCATGCTGTCAAACCATCAAACGTTCAGAGTGGCTGTGGACTCATTTCCATTAAACTTCATTTGAATTTAAATTCATCGAGTTTCATTTCATAAGAAGAAAGAAAGAAAGAAGGAAATGTATCTGCACTTTAGGTGTTCATGAATCACCTGAGCTACACATTCATGTGGCGCTCTGATGAAAAGAAAACTCCATGTTTTTTTTGTTCTCAGATTTCTCATTGAGATGGGCGACCTGCAATTTAGTGTCCTTAAGATTGACAAGACTGCGACTAAAATCTCATCGGAGACCTTTATTTTAGCATGTGTGTGTGTAGCCCCCAATTTCCACCGACTTCTTTCCGTTCCTCTGCAGATCGCCGGACTCCACAGCTGCAAGTGTGCTATTTTTTGCGGACGCCGGAGCATGTCGGATAAATTCAGCACAGATTAACCTCTGCTGGAAAGGAAGTCGGGCACAGACACAAAATAAAACATCCGGCTTCTTTTCAAAATAAAACACTCTGTGTTTCAGGAGGATCGTATTTCACACCATGCAAACGGGCAGAGACGAACAAGTGAAAGGTGTTTAGACGTCATTTCACCACGATGACACCATGGATGAGGAGATGCTGATTCTAGAAGTCTAGAAGTAGATTTTCTCCTCTGGAAGGACACAATCTACTGCTTATATGTCTATGTAGCTGTCTTTATAGAGTCAACTCGTTATCACGCGACTGAACGTGAATCTGCAGGTTCTTGTGAGTTCTCGCCATTACTGCTGTCCATAATCCGCCACGAAATTCACCTCACAAACAGATCCAGTAGGAATTGGCAGACGGCGAAAAATTGCCCTGTTCGGGATAGCTGTTCTGGATGCGGTGGAAATTCGGGGTAAGAATTTCATTTGGTTGTGTTTTAATGCTCCCTTCAACCCCACCCCTGTATCAGACTCATTCTCTTTGTCTCCGGTTCAGTCCGTCTCCTCTCCCATTCTGAGGACAGAGCGCTGTCATGTACACGTGCGGCATGTCAGCTTATTACACACCAAACACAGACAAAACTTCCTATTTTCACGAACGCAGCGGTCCATCGCTGATGATTAAAAACACAAAAAGCAGAGAGAGGAAGAGGTGAGGGACAGAAGGTGAAGAATCAGGCTGAAGATAAGAAGGACAGGGAGAAACAAGATCCTGCTGGAAACACGCTGGTTTACACAGAACCTGAGGTTCGGGTTAGTGCAGCCTGTCTGTTACAGGAAACTCTGGACTTAGAATGTTCGTGTTTTTGGTTCTGCTGCCCATTTGTCCACATGCAGCCTGAAACATGTTTCCAAACTTCAAACATCTCCAGAACCTCCTGAAGAAGATCTGTTTGGAAAAATGTTCTGGATCACCCGCCGAGGTTTTCACAGGAGAACCCAGACTTGACCCGCTCCCCTCCTATGTCCCTGAACGTGTGTTGGTACCTGCTCCTTCAGCTCGGTCAGCTGGGTGGTCAGCGTGGTCACCACCTTCATGGTGGACGACAGCTTATCCTGTAACATCCTCATCTCGTTCTGCTCGCCGTCACCGTCGGTAACCACCAGAGACATGGCCTGCATCCGTGGAAACCAGTCCAGGTTGTTGTTCTGGAAGAGAGAGCAAGTTCTTGTCAGGTTAGGGCCTCTTTGGTTCTGGTTCTGTTCAGAGCTCTTTCTTACTTTGATCATGTGGGCCACATAACTCTCCGGACCCGTGTAGTCCGTCTTGTTCTTCTCTCGGACCAGGACGATGAAGTAAAGGTAGTTCCAGATGTTGTGCTCCAGTTTGATGTGTTCCTCGAAGGACACCGTCTTATTGTCAAACTTGTCCCTCTCCAGACCTGCACACACACACAGACATGTGACCCTGCTGTGAGGGCTCTGATTGGTCAGTCAGACAGACAGGTGTGAGTTTGTACCTACCACAGATGAAACAGGTGGTCTTAAGGATCTCCTCCTTCTTCTGCTTCTCGCTCCTCAGGTCGGCGAACGTATCAATGATGACACCGAAGATCAGGTTCAAGACGATGATGATGACAATGAAGTAGAAGAGCAGATCGTAGACCACACGGGCCGGGAACAAGGGCTCCTACACACACACACACACACACACACACACACACACACACACACACACACACACACACACACACACACACAGAAGCTTTTCTAACCAACAGAAACTTTTCTAACCCACAGACAGTTGGAGGTTTTCGGTTTGGATCAGAACATCCTCCTCACAGCAGGAATGATTCTGTGTTTGGGTTCAGAATGATCAGTTATCAATAATCAATATTTTTATCAATCAAAACTGATGGACCTGTGTCTGGAAGTGAGATCCACTTTAACGGATCAGAACTTTGAGTTTTCGGATCATGTCTACTAAAAAGTCAAAAATGTTCAATTGAAGTTTGTCTCATTTGAAGAAAAGAGGTCAGAAATGTGAAAGTGATGAAGTTAGTCAGCTGATCGAATAATAAATCAGCTGATAAAATAAAAAACTCTTTTTCTTTTTTTGTTTCTGTTTTTTTTTCTCTCCACAGGAACTTTCGAAGAATAACTTTTGTCGATCACAATTTTACCGTGAAGCTCTGACTGATTGCTGCAGGAGACAGTGTCCTCTAGTGGACACTCAGAGAACTGCAGTTTTTGGTGCTTCATAAGCTCCAACAGTCCATAAGGATGGAGGACTGTGATTAGACTGAGGACTGTGATTAGACGGTTCCAGAGCATTTGGAAGAAGGAAAGTTTCGCTTACGTCTTTCGATGGTTTACGGAGAACGTCTCCGACTCCGCCGCCATTCCTCAGGCCGTGATTCAAGACGGTGACGATACACATCAGCAGAGTGTCGCACGCTCGCTCCGAGTCGGCCTCCTCTGAAACACACACACACACGCAAACGCACTGAGTTCGCTGCTGTAGTCATGACCTGAACCTCAGACCGTAGAGCTCTGCCCTCTGACCCCTCACCTTCCTCCTCCTCATTGGCCGAAACCTCCTGCATCTCCACCGTGCAGCTGACTCCGTCTGCAGAGCATGACTTCAGGAAGTCCTGAGAGGCTTCACTCTGCTGAGGAGCTGAACACACACACACACACACACACACACACACACACATACACACACACACACACACACACACACACACACACACACAAAGACTTAGTTTTAATGAACTTTAAAATTGTTCTTTCATGAAGTAGCCGATTTAAGTTTAAAACCTGCAGTTCCTCCAGAGTCCACTTGAGGCTCAATGGCTCAGTGGCTCAGTGACTCTGTGTGTGTGTGTGTGTGTGTGTGTGTGTGTGTGCGTGTGCTACCTGCGGCAATGTGCGGCAGCGGGTCGACCTCCATGATGAAGTCCTCCTTCAGGCACAGGAAGCCGACGATGGAGAAGAGGTAGACGAGGATGAGAGCGAGTAACGCCGTCAGCAAGATGGAGCGGCCGTTCCTCGTCACGCTCTTGATGACGTTGAATAAAGTCTCCTCTCTGTAGATCAGGTCAAACAACTGCACACACACACACACACACACACACACACACACACACACACACACACACACACACACATCAGCAGTGAGAGCACAAATTGTATCTTTGTGTGTGAGTGTGTGTCTTTAGTGTATATGTATGTGCACGTGTGTGTTACCAGGATGCTGTAGAAGAGCTCGTGCACGAACAGTCCCAGCGTGGAGGTGAGGACATAGGCCAGGTGGTAGAGGAACTCCACGTCCATCACCATGGCCTTGTAGCCCATGATAAAGGTCCCGTTGTTCCCCACGAAGCTGACCACGAAGACGACCTTATTGATCAGCTGGAGGAAACGAAGACAGAAGGTGAGTGGACTGATCCAGGAGACCACAACAGACCGGGTCACTCTGGACTAGAGAAGATTCACTAATACTGGGCCATGATCCAGGATTTATATAAACCTGAAGAGTTTGTCTTAAACTTGACCCTCGGTTAAGCTACTAACCCTGTTAATTTGAAGCTCCATCTATCCTACTCTGTCCCCAAACGGACATGCAGATAAGTGTTCATAAAATAATCATTTTTAACATTTTCTTTTACTTTTTTTGGCCCAAATCTCTTAAACAACTTCAGCCCTAACCATTAAAAAAGAAATGAATACAACATTTGATGTATTACCCTTTTTATGCCAGTTTTTTGGGACATGTCATATTTATTCATTTACCAAAATTCAGTCTATTAGGGCAGAAAAACACACCATTTCCACCTCCTTTTCTCGAGTCTCGTCCTCTACCAAATTAAATGTAATCAAATTCATTTGTTCATATTAAATTAATTTTATATATTGGCATATAAAATCAGAAGATGTAAAATAGGAATCATTTATAAGTGGTTATCCACCTCTAACCAAAATATGATCGCGATTACGCTGATTACACGCATATAAAAAATAACTGCATATTTGAGATGTGATATCTTCTCACCTAATGATCTGAAGGACCTGTTCATCCTCATGCATGTCCATCTACTTGCTCTGAAGTGAGGGCAAAGTTAAAATTGTCCAAATGTCCCCCTCTCTTTGTCCCACACTGCGGAACTTGGACGTCAAATTTTCAACTGTAAAAACTCCGCTCACAGAATGCTTGGTAATAAACATGGACGCAGATTCGCACCCGTGCACACACGCAGGAGCACACAAACTTTTCCTTACACACATATCCCACTCTTAGACATCCATATCTAGTGTCATGTAAAGTTTCATTCAATTCTGATGATGTTTAGTGGATGAATTGGCACTTCAAACACTCTCAGTCCATGAATGAAGACTTGCGTGCGCGGCACTGAAGGGGTTAAAATTATGTGCTGGCTCAATCTGCTGTATCACTTTTGGAAAGTCAAATTTAGAGCCCTGGTGATCGACTGACTGCAAAAAAAAGGTTGTAATATGTTGTTATGGTGCCATAAACACACGGTCAAAAAAACTGTTTTTAATGGAAGTCTATTGTCCGATTTGTGGACAAAGGAAGGTGGGTGGAGCTAAAATGTGGCAACGGAGAACTACAGGTGACACAGAGTTTTTTTAATATGAAGAAAAATAAGAATTCTCACCAAATTTTTTAAATTACGTGCTTATTAGGTGTTTGTATGTATTCAGTTATTTTTATATATTTATTTATGTATTTATTTATTTTTATGTATATATCATTTATATTCTGTGAATTGATATAATTATAATTACATATAGTATATATATTGTATATTTTCTATTACTATAGTTATTATTCTATTTTATAGTATGTGTATGTATATGTATATTTATTGTTATATACTTATTAATATTTATTTATTTATTATTTTGTCTTATTTTATTCATATATTTTCTTGTATCTCAATGATGATTTGTGTAGAGATTGTGATTGCTTTATGTTAAGCTACATTGATGCAGCCGATCCAACAAGGCAAGTGGTACAAGGAGTAGCACAGTGGCGTATTTTGCAAGCCAGAGAGGAATGAGTGCAGTTGGTGGTGACTTGGGGAGGGAGGGAGGGATGTTTTGTGTTTTTGTGTTTGTGTTTGTACTGTTTAAAAGAAAAATGGAAATAAAAAATGTTAATCATAAAAAAAGAATTCTCACCAAATTTGATTTTCCAATATTTAAAAATGTGACTGTCAGCTCAAAACAAAGAGGAAAGAAATGTCCTCAATATGGACAGAGGAGGAACTGAGGGTTGAACTCATCATTATAACGAGACAAAATCTTCATCTTTACTGTGTCCACAGAAAAAAAAAGGTTACTGAGGAGCCCCAGTGGTGTATGGGTAATGTAGTGTGTCTCACATTGAGCGAGCCCAGTAGTATGAGTGTGTTGCCGATGCCGAGGTGGTAGATGGACCTGAGGATCAGAGCCAGGGTGAGGGGCTGCAGACCGTACCGCTGAGAGAACAAACACAGGACCGACAGACCCGTCAGGATCCAGAACAGCATCAGGAGCAGGGAGTCATCGATCGCTCCAACTGTAGAGGGGGGGAGGGGCAACAAAGACATCAACATTAACACCGACAATGATGACAACAACAACAACAAGGTCAGCTGATGAGACCGTCAGCGTTACCTTGTCCTGAGTCGTAGGGGTAGAAGAAGGCGATGATGAGGTTGATGAAGACAGCGAGGTTAAAGGAGATGGTTCCCCACAGAGACATCCTCCTGGAGAACCAGTACAACACGGGCATACCTAAGAGGAGAGACAGGAACACTAAACAAAGGATGGACGTTTTGATGATTGGATTGTTGGTAATCAGCTGAGCTGTCAGCTGATACACTCAGTGCGTTTACATGCACAGGTAATCGGACTAAGCTCATAATCCATTTTTTTTCTCTAAATCAGACTCCTCTCCTTGTCCGTGTATACATGCAGCTGAGAAAATCGAATTATTGACGTGAACCTGTCCTCCTCCCCAAAACTAGGGGGCGATATGGATCTTTTCAGCAGTGCTGTTTCCGACCCCATACAACTGTCAACAACAACCGCAGGTCCGTGCCAGACGTCAGAATTGTCTACAACTGCTGCTGGGCATTTTGGAGCAAGGAGATTTTTGTCCTACATGATGGATGTGCTACTTTTACTGCAGATGAGACGCACGCTACTCCTCTTCTCTGGGGTTTTTGTCCCGAGGTTTACAGAGGCGTGGTGCACGCGCACATACATTGTCCGATCAGACTCCAACTACGCTGGTTACATGGTAGAGAAAATCAAATTCCAATCGCATTATCTGGGTGTCTTAATCAGAGTTCTCTGACTATATTCGGAGTTCTCAAACTCCAATTATAGTGGGATTAAGGTTTTTACCTGCACTTCAGTTGTCTGGTCTTAATTGGAATAAGGCGATAATTCAGTTTTCTAGAGTGTCATGGAAACAGACTGTGATAGCTCAGCTAAGTCCCCACTATGAGAGGGGCTTGACTTTGTGACCTACCTGAACTAGTCGATTACTTTAAAATTAATGTTAACATTTAACATTCTATGCCTTTCTGCGTTGATCAGTTCTGATGAAACCCGTTTTGATCTCCGCCCTGATCTTCTCCTGAAGGTGGCGACTCTATTTTTATAATTTTTTATCTGAACTTGGAGAAAATCTGAAATCGAACTCTGACTAAATATCCACGTCATTACCAAACAATGGTTTTGTGTTGTGTGTGTGTTGTGTGTGTTGCGTGTATTTACTCCTCAGCTTCTTCTGCCACTCCATCTCTCCATGCAGGAAGGAGGTCTGTTCAAAGAAGTGCGTGACCTTTGACCCCTGCTCGTCCTGCTCGGTGGTGTTGAAGACTCTGATCTTTGACTCCTCGGTCAGAAACTCACAGATGGGGTGAACAGGAAACACGATCTGCTCCATACTGCGGTCCTCACGGACAATCTGCCCACACAGAACCAGAACTTTCACTGGACTCTGAAGATGCTGGACAACTGAAGGTCTTCACAGTGACCTTCACAGTGACCTTCACACAGTCAGCTGCGAGTGATCTAACAACAGTCCTGGGACGAGGCGTGTCCACAGGACGTGAAGTACCTCTATCTGTGAGGTGAGCTGGTCGTAGTACTCCAGAGGATCCTGCTCCACCACAGCAGCTGGAGCTGAAGACTTCAACATCTGAGACAGGGGACGGTTGTTCAGGTTCAACTGAGGATGGAGACAGACGGAGACAAAAGACGGAGACAGAGACAGACAGAGACAGATGGAAACAGACGGGGACAAACGGAGACAGATGGAGACCGATGGAGACCGATGGAAACAGATGGAGACAGACGGGGACAGACGGAGACGGATGGAGACGGGGGCAGACGGAGATGGGTGGAGATGGAGATAGATGGAGACAGATGGAGACAGATGGAAACAGATGGGGACAAACGGAGACAGATGGAGACCGATGGAAACAGACGGAGACAGACGGGGACAGACGGAGACAGACAGAGACAACCGGAGACAGACGGAGACGGATGGAGACGGGGGCAGACGGAGATGAGTGGAGATGGAGATAGATGGAGACAGATGGAGACAGACGGAGACAGATGGAGACAGGTCGAGACAGACCAGGACAGACGGAGACAGTTAGAGACAGACAGAAACAGACGGAGACAGATAGGCGGATACAGACAAAGACAGGCAAAGACAGATGGAGATGGACGGAGACAGATGGAGACACACGGAGACAAACGGAGACAGATGGAGACCGATGGAAACAGACGGAGACAGACGGGGACAGACGGAGACAGACAGAGACAACCGGAGACAGACGGAGACGGATGGAGACGGGGGCAGACGGAGATGGGTGGAGATGGAGATAGATGGAGACAGATGGAGACAGACGGAGACAGATGGAGACAGATGGAGACAGGTTGAGACAGACCAGGACAGACGGAGACAGTTAGAGACAGACAGAAACAGACGGAGACAGATAGGCGGATACAGACAAAGACAGGCAAAGACAGATGGAGATGGACGGAGACAGATGGAGACACACGGAGACAAACGGAGACCGATGATGGAGATGGACAACGGAGACAGACGGAGACAGACAGATACAGACAGAGACAGGAATGTTAGTCTGACAGACTGACGGGTTCAGTCAAACACAAAACCACCAAATATGAGAAAAACCTTTAACCTTCTTATGGATGTCTGTGGGTGGAGTTGGCCACGCCCTATTAAGTGAGCTTGAATATATGGTAGAAACGTGTGTGTGTGTGTGTGTGTGTGTGTGTGTGTGAAGAGAGTGAGGAGCTCCTTGAATCTTCTCTAAAACCATGTTTCTGTCTTGAATTGACTTTTTTCAATGAGTGTGTGTGTGACTTTGGGACTTTTGGAATCAGCCTCTAGTGGACACTTCAGGAACTACAGTCTCTAATTCTTCCATATCATCTTCTTATCTCCAGCCTGAAGGCTGCCTCTCAGTGGGCCAGAAGACCTCATCCACATCTTCAGCCTCACACAGTCACCTGAGACCTCCTTATGTTCTGACAGGAGGTCACATGGCGATGATTGTCAACGAAGGCAGACGCTTTTCCTCTCGCTCCCTCCCAACCCTTAGCTGTCCTGCTCTTTGTCATGTGCTGTCTCTGTCTGAACTACAGCAGCCTCTCTCTGCATCTCACTCCAAACCTTAAATTATGGATTTGATCAGCTGGTCTCTCAAAGGAGAACCCGCCTGCCCTGACAGAATGTTTGCAGCCGGATAAATGATGGACTCCTATGAGAAGTGGAGGGTCGTGTTCCTGTTGATTCTTCCCGTTGAGGATGTTGAAGACGTCTACATAATTGGAATTATGATAAAAGGCTTTCTGCTGTTTGGAGTTGGCAGTTTCCTGATCTATCGCAAAGTTCGGAAGATGTTGGCAGCATTTTTGGCAATCAGGAAGCTACCCATAATGACTGAGGGAATGCGCAGGGCTGTCAACACTCAGATTCAAGTGATATGCGAACTCAATCGCAGGCAGGTTGTGACTGAGGAACGCCTCGGCAATTTGGATACCACCCTGGAGAAGCTGACAGCCAAGCTCGGCTGAATTGGCCACCAAATTCGGATGTTCAGGTCAACACCATCAGAGGCCAGAGAGACTCAACATACAGTCCCTGACAAAAGTCTTGTCGCTTGGGTACAAGTTGACCTTAAGTGCCCCTAAAATATATGTGCAATAAATTTTTTTTTACAAGAAATGTCTAATTTCAATCCCAACAGTGTTTGAAATAATGTTTTGGTGCCAAATGAAACTGCTGAAAAGCATTCTAATGTTCACAGCTTGGTAAAGCCCACTAAGTCAGTTTTTGCACAGACAAAAGTCTTGTCGCCTTGTCATATGATGCACCCAATCCAAGATTACAGCCTCACCTGTGATCAATTATTGACCAATCAATTAGTGGGTGTATAGAAAGAACCACAGCACACCAGACCTTCACATCAACTGCAACTTGACCTCTGACAACATGCCTAAGATTCACCCTGAGACCAAAGCTTTGATCATCAAGAGGCTGAAGACCAGATCCACTGCTGAGGTGGCTGACACCTTCAATGTGTCTCAGCGTCAAGTACAAAGGATAAGAAAAAGATTTGAAGAGACTGGAGATGTTTTTGACAAGCCCAGGTCCAGCAGACCCCGAAAGACAACTGCTCGGGAGGACCGTTTGTTGGCTCGAAATCCAAGGCCAGCCCCTTTTCCACTGCAGCAGAGCTCCACCAGGTCTGGTCACCTCAAGTCCCTGTGTCAACCAGAACAGTTATCGAATTCTGTCTCGACATGGCCTCCATGGTGGAATCAGTGCCCAGAAACCAGCACCAAACAAAAAGCAATAAAAAAACGTGTGGCATTTGCCAAGGCCCACAGCCTGCTAAAAGGATGGACGCTGGAAAAGTGGCAGAAGGTGGATTTTTCTGATGAATCTTCGGTTGAATTACATCACAACCGCTGCAAATATCGCAGGAGACCTACTGGAGTCTGCATGGATCCGAGATTCACCCAGAAAACAATTAAGTTTGGTGGTGGAAAAATCATGGTCTGGGGTTGCATCCAGCATGGAGGTGTGCGAGAGATTTGCAGGGTGAAAGTCAATATCAATAGCCTAAAATATCAAGAAGTATTAGCTACCTCTTACATTCCCAACCATAAAAGGGGGCAAATTTTGCAGCCGGATGGTGCTCCATCGCATACTTAGATCTCTACAGCACAGTTCCTCAAGGCGAAGAAGATCAAGGTGCTCCAGGACTGGCCAGCCCAGTCACCAGACATGAACATCATCGAGCATGTCTGGGGTAAAATGAAAGAGGAAGCATGGAAGACGAAACCAAAGAATCTTGATGAACTCTGGGAGGCATGTAAGACTGCGTTCTTTGCTATTTCTGATGACTTCATCAATAAATTGTATGAATCGTTGCCGAACCGCATGGATGCAGTTCTTCAGGCTCATGGAAGTCATTCAAGATATTAAATATGGATCTCACAGCACCACTACTTGATTCACTGATGTTGTGCAACATATTTTTGTATTTGAAGTAAATTATTTGTTCAATTTTCACATTACTCTATGTAGGCGACAAAACTTTTGTCTTGCCAAAATCTGACCTTTCTGTGTTCATTAAATGATCAATCGTTCTTCAGTGAAGGAAATTTATTTTAGATTTTAAACATAATTTGGGAGGGTTTTAGCTTTCATATGAGCCATTTCTAAAACCAATGGATTAATGACAAGTCAGGTTATAAGCTGTTGTTTCTACAAAATGGATAAGCGACAAGACTTTTGTCAGGCACTGTAGATGGACAATTAGAAAGTCTGTCTGTTCCACATAATTTGTTATCTTCATTGGCCCTCCCACAGCGGCCTTGGAAGGCTGTTATGTCTCCTCTCCTGGATGTTACGCAGACTGATGCTCGGCTCTGTCCTCCCCACCCTCCTTCTCCGGTGAACTTTGTTTCTGGATCAGAACTCTCCAAGGCCGTCTCCTGTTATCAGACGGCTGGGAACTTTGTGAGGGACTGAGATGGAGACAATGAGGTACCGTATTTTTGTCACTACAAGGCGCACCTGATTATAAGGCGCACCATCAATGAACGCATCTATTCGTGTCTATTTTCATATATAAGGCGCACTTGGTTATAGTGCATTAAGCCGAACAGAACAGTCAATAACTCTGGGGGGCTACGGTAGCTGCAGTGCTCCGACAAGCCAAAAGGTTTTTCAGTGCGCCCTATAGAGTAAATATGGTTATTTTGTACTGATCTCCCACTGTGCCCCCCTACAGGAGGAGAGTTTGGAGTTGCCTTTTTCCCCCTCTTCTACCTTCCTGTTCTTCTTCTTCTCATCTAAGAAAGGAGCGCCAGTCAGGCTGGTGATCCATCAGTTCTCCCGTTCCTGTCACCCTGTCTGCTCCTGTCTACTGTATGTTTCTAGGAAAGGATGAACTGCAAATGAGAATTTCCTTTTGTGGGACTAATAGAGGAGTATCTTATCTTATGATAAATTGATGAAAAATGAACAGATAATCAGCATGGATGGATGAGGAGTTGGAGGAGAGTACCATGGAAGAGATGCCCTCCTCTCCCTCTTTGTTCTTCTTGGGAGATTTCAGGAGGTTTTGTAGAATTTTGTTGTGTCTCGCCAGCTGCAGAAAAACAAACAAGAGAAGAAGATTTTGGGACTACGAATACTAAGCAGAGTGAGACCTCCTGTCAACCAATCAGAGAGTACGGTATGATAAAGCAGCCAATGGGGAGCCTGGGTTTGATCACCTGCTGGGCCAGGATGTAGATGTTGTGTCCAACTTCACGAGGAGAAACCTCTGAGTCCTCACACTCATTTTCCTGCTGATACGCTTTCTTTATCACCTCCACCTGAGCACAAACACACACACACACACACACACACACACACACACACACACACACTTGAGTTTTTATTACATATAAATGTGGGAAAAAATCAACATCTTTAAAGAGTCTGAGGGGGAGGATCTGACCAGCTCTCGGGGTCGAAGGTTAAACAGGATCCTCTCTGCGTTCTCGCTGTCATGACGACTCTCCATCAGAGCCAATAGAAGCTTGGAGGCGTTGTCCTGGCAACCAAGAAAAGAAACACAGTCAAACATCCATCGATAAGATTATAAAACATGATGATTTCCCTAAAGTCTGGGAACCAGAACTCTGAGGGTTATTGAACCTTCAGCTGCAGAACCATGTCCATCTGGTACCGACACAGAGGACTGATGTCATTCAGGATCAGGGCGGTGATAATGTCGATGCCGTTTGACTCGTGGGTCACGATACACGTCTGAAACACACACGCACACGCACGCACACACACACACACACACACACACACACTCAGGTTATTAACCCTTTGAACTCCCAGCTCTATTTTTCTGTTTTTAGTCTGCCTGTTTTTTTGGGGGGGTTTTGTAAAAAACTCTGTATCAACTCGATGCTTTCAAGCACAGCAAATATATACACATCGTTACTTTTTTCAGGACAACCTCAGCTGACATTTATGGAGCAAAAATGATGTAAAATGAATGTGACAGTAGATTCAGAACCAATGAAAGACAACCAAAAAACAAAAATGGAAACTGATCCCAACAGTACATTGCACAAAAACACATAAATCTACAGTGACCAAGCCTTTTCTCACCTGCATATTATTCTCTCAAGTCTTGGCTATCAGGAGAAGAAATATTAGGATTGGAACAAACACACAACAGAAACTATTGACATATTTACACTAATTACTCCAGGTGTTTTTTACTATTTACAGTTGTTTATGCCACTCAGAGGACAGAGGACCACATCATACTGCTCAGAATCTCTTCTTTGCTTGTTTCCAAACATTGAGGACCATTATTTCTTATTTTGCAGACAAGCAGGGAACTTTCTTGTCCCTTGTTGATCTTTGGTTGCCTCTTATTGGACACTACCATCAAGGGAACAATAGAAGATGAGAGTTTAAGAGCTTGGACCTGATTTTTGCAGGAGAAGATGAGAGTTAAAGAGCTTGGATCTGATCTTTGCAGGAGAAGATGAGAGTTAAAGAGCTTGGATCTGATCTTTGCAGGAGAAGATGAGAGTCAAAGACCTTGGAACTGATCAAACAGACATTAAAATTAACCTGGATTTATTTGACCATGGGAGGAAGTGCTTTTTGTGAATATTTGGGATCCAGTTTACTAAGAATATGAGAAGAATAGGAGACCATGTAATTGATAAAAAGTTTGACAGAAAAAGATGTCATCAAAACAGCTCGTCAAACCTGGAAGACATAAGCGGCATTTAGTGATAGTGATCTTTTTATTTTATCACAACAATCTGATAATTATGTTTTCACTGGTATATCACTGCGGATTTACCATCAAACATCTCTAATCAAACACCTATTTTTGTGGCTGGATTGTTAACCTTGTGGCAGGTGTAGAAATGTCCGGAAACCCTCAATAGATCGCCAAAAGGGTAAGCTTTTGAACACTTTTTATCCCACAGAGATACACATTCTAGTTCCTGAGAAAGTGTCAACTATATAAATGGTGTCACGTGGGATTGCCTGAGATCCAGCCGAGTTCTAAGCCCCCCCCCCCGACCCCCCCCCCCCCCCCCGACCCCCCCCCCCCCCCCCGTCAGCTGGGGTGTACCTGGTTCTCCTGGCAGGGTCCCTGGCAGTACTCAGTGAGGGTCTCCAGGGTCTGAATGATGAGGTGGACATTTGATTCGTTGATATAGAGGCCCAGCAGACCCAGACCCCCTGTGGTGCTCCCACACATGATGTCCAGGAACTGCAGAGTCTCACAGACCAGGTTATAGTTGGTTTTGTTGTTCTGGCAGCGCAGGAAGTTCTGAAGACAAGCAAACCGGGTCAAAAAGGACATGTGTACTAACCTAAGATCCTGGTTTATTATTAGTCAGGATGAACTAACCTGCAGGTCCTGGTTAATTATTAGTCAGGACTTACTAACCTGCAGGACCTAGTTTATTATTAGTCAGGACTAACTAACCTGCAAGTCTTGGTTGTGGTTCTCACACAGCAGCTGCAGGAACCTCAGGATGGGCTTCATGATGGTCACGGCTGGTCCCATCTCTGTCTCCACCTCTCGTTGTTCTGCTGCTGGTTGGACTGGGGCTCCGGGGACTGGGGCGATGGACTGACCCTGGACCAGCAGAGGGTGACCTCCTGAACCAGGAAGTACTAAAGCTGAAGATCCACCTTCACACAGGAGGAAAGTCAGACATCTGTAAGAACTGAAACCAAAACCAGAATCACCTGGACTCTGACCCGGGTTTTAACAGAGAAAAGAAAAAGTTCTGACCCCCCTCCATCTCCTTCTCGTTGGCTTTGTGGGTCATCTCTCCAACGTTCACAGACACTGTGGCTTTAATATCAGTCTGAGCCTCTTTCATCCGGTCATGGAGAACCTTGAAGAACTTCTCAGACTTGTTGTCGCCCATCATCAGTTTGTAGAACGAGTTCTGTAGGGAAAAACTGGATCAGCAGCTGGATCACACAGGTGAGACAACCTCCTGTAACCCCTAATTTCCACCACATCCTGAACGACGACTAAAAGGTTGTATCCTCCGATCATAGCTGATCGTAACCATTCAAGTTAACGTGTCAATTTCCACCGACTTCTTTCCGTTCCTCTGCGGATCGCCGGACTCCACAGCTGATCGCAAGAGTTCCATCTTTTCCGGACGCTGGAGCATGCCGGATAAATTCAGCATCGATTAACCCATGCTGGAAAGGAAGTCAGGCACAGACACAAAATGAAACATCCGGCTTCTTTTAAAAAAACCACTGTGTTTCAGGAAAAACATGCGAACGGGCGGAGACGAACAAGTGAAAGGTTTTTTGAAGTCATTTCACCCTGATGACTCATGGATGAGGAGATGCTGATTCTAGAAGTCTAGAAGTAAATTTCCTCCTCTAGAAGGACACATTGTACTGCTTATATGTCTATGTGGCTGTCTTTATAGAGGCAACTCGTTATCGCATGATTGCACATGAATCTGCAGATTCTTGCGAGTTCTCGCGACCACCGCTGTCCATAATGCGCCACGAAATTCGCCTCACCAACTGAATTGGTGTACAGTGAAAATCGCCGCCATTCCGGATTGGAGCCATACCAGATGTGGTGGAAATAATGCTTAAGAGTGGTTATGTTGACAGATGAAGCAGGTTAAAGGCACATATGTTTGTAACCTAGATCTGTGGATCACCTGTATCTCTCTCAGTCACCTGTATCCATATCTCTCACCTGTATCTCCGTGTTTCCTCCCTCCAGCAGACAGATGGCAACTTGGATGCTCTCCTGAAAGATCTTGTCGTTCTTGGTGCTCATCACCAGATCAGTGAACAACTTCGTTCCTCCTTCTCGGTCGAGGCGACACTGAACTGCTGCCACTGCTGCCCAGTCTCGCTCCTGCTCTCCGCCTGAGACACCAACACAAACAAACACACACACACAAACACACACACACGTTTGATTGGTTCCTTCTGAGCAGTTCTGCACCGTCTGACAAACTTCTCCAGGTCTCTCATGAACAACCATCTAAAGAAAAGTCCATGTCTTCTCTGATTAAGAATGCTGATGTTGACAGTAGAAAGTCAACTTTGTTCCTGTTTGAGAGACATGGGTTCAATCTGGAGGGGTCAGCCAAGTCTTCAGCAGGAACTTTGAAGAAACTTCTTCTAAACACTGAGTGAGGAAAAGTCTGAAGCTACCTGCAGCTCCGAGCTCGGCCAGGTCGTTCTTCTGGTTGTTCTTCCTGTTTGGATACAAATAGTTCTGCAGTAACACCTTCCTCAGCGAGATACCCTGAAACACAAGAAGAAGAGTGGAGAATAAGACAGAGGAGATGGAGGGGAAGAAGAAGAAGAAGGAGTAGAAGAAAAAGAAGTCACTTTCTTTCTCCTTAAAAACCTCCGTCAGCTCTCCTCTGTCTGTGTTGACTTCTCTGCAGTAGATGAGATTGCAGAAACCTTATTTCTAAGCTGAGATGATCCTCCTCAGAACTTTAACCTCCTTCAGATCAAAGAATTTGTCCAACTGAAACCCTCAAAGACTCACTACAATGAAACTCACGTTCTTCTGATCGTCTTCATGTTCAAAGATCATTTTTTGACACTTCATGAGAAAAAACTAAATTTAAATTTCAATTTAAAACTAAGTTTTTCTTTTCTTCACATCTCAGTATTTTTCTCACAGACCCAAAGGTTCAGACACTGAAGGATTTTCTTTATCACAATTCCAAGCTCCGCCCTTCGCCCCCGAGACCCCGAGAAACAGAGACGACGATGGCGGACTGAGCGTGTGCGTTAGTGGATTGTAATGCTCTGCAGCTAATTATATTAACTTTAACCATGTCCTCAAAGACATTAGTGTCTCAGAGCTGAATGTCTGTTATGTTACCAATCACTTCTACTACACTGACAATGTTCAGCTATAAACTAGCATGAAGAGGAGTGGTCAGAGCAGCACTGACTCCGCCCACGACTCAGAGGCGAATTACTAATGAGCTGCTGGAGCTCTGCGGAAGAAAAGACCTTAAAAATGACACAAGTAATGAGATTTTGACTAAAAACTTCATAATCCCAATTTAAAGACCTCTGAGAAAATTTTAAGTAGTAAAAAAAAAAGATCGGAAAGTGTGATTCAGAGGTTTCAAATTTCCTGACTGACCTTCTCATCGAAGTCAAGAGTCCTGATCAGCATCTCCTGAAGGATCCTCAGAACTTTAATACACAACTTCTCATCTGAGGACATGAGAGCCTTAGTGTGCTGGATCAACCTGTGGAGACACACACCAGCATTACTCTCTGATACAGCTGTGTGTGTGTGTGTGTGTGTGTTCTGCAGTACTGTCGGACTCTGAAGAACCTACTTGGAGATGAACCCTCCTGACTCGCAGCGCTGTCTTGCGTCGGTTCCCTCCAGAAAGAGAAGCTCAGGCTGATGGAGAACGTCGACCAACACAGAGAGTTCCGCGTTCACCAACGGTTTGAGACGCTCCTCCAGGGTGTTGATGATGTCCTGAAGAAGAAACCCATAAGAATTCAACAAACTTCAACCATCATCTGTGTGCACAGAGATTATCTAAACTAAAGAGTCAGATTATGTAAACTGAAGGTCAAATTATTTAAACTAAAGAGTCAGTTAATCTTGACTGAAAATCAGATTCTCCAAATTTAAAGTCAGATAATCTAAACTGATTATCTAAATTGAAGAGTCAGATTATCTAAATTTAAAGTCAGATTATCGAACCTGAAGGGTTACATTATCTTGATTGAAAGTCAGATTATCCAAATTGAAGAGTCAGATTATGTAAAATTAAAGTCAGATTATCGAAATTGAAGGGTTAGATTATCTTGATTGAAAGTCAGATTATCCAAACTGAAGGTCAGATTATCTATACTAAAAGTCAGATTATTTAAACTGAAAATTGGATTATCCAAAGAAAAAGTCAGATTATCTAAATTGAAGAGTAAGATTATCTTGATTGAAGGTCAGATAATCTTAACTAATGAGTCAGATTATTTAAATTGTAGAATTAGATTATCTAAATGAAGGGTCAGATTATCTAAACTGAAGGGTCAGATTACCTAAATTGAAGGTCAAAATATGTAAATTTTGAGTCAGATTATTTTGATTGAAGGTCAGATTATTTAAATTGAAGAGTCAGATTATCTTGACTGAAGATCAGATAATCTAAACTGAAAGTCAGATTATCTAAACTCAAAGTCAGATTATTTTAATTGAAGGTCAGGTTATCCAAATTAAAGGTAAAATCATCTTAACTGAAGAGTCAGATTATTTTGACTGAAGGTCAGATTATCTAAATTGAAGGTCAGATTATCTTAACCCAAAATCAAGTTAGCTAAACTGAAAGTCGGATTATCTAAACTAAAGATTAAATTTATTTTGACTGAAGGTCAGATTATCTAAAATGAAAGTCAGATTATCTAAATTTAAGGTCAGATTTTCTAGACTAAAGGTCAAATATTTTAAACTGAAGGTCAGATTATCTAAATTGAAGGTCAAATTTCTTAAACTGAAGTTCAGATTATCTAAACTAAAGGTCAGATTATCTAAACCGAAGGTCAGTTTTTCTAAACTAAGGGGCAGATTTTCTAAAATGATGGTCAGATTTTCTAAATTTAAAGTCAGATTATCTAGATTGAAGGTCAGATTATTTAAACTGAAGGTCAGATTATCTGAATTGAAGGTCGATTTTTCTAAACTGAAAGACAGATTATCTAAACTGAAGGTCAGATTATCTGAACTGAAGGTCAGATGTTCTAAACTGAGAGACAGATTATCTAAACTGAAGGTCAGATAATCTAAACTGAAGGACAGTTTATCTAAACTGAAGGTCAGATTTTCTAAACAGGACGGATTATCTAAATTGAAGGACAGATTATTATTGTGTTTTGGCACTCTAAAGATCTGATGATCAGGTTGTAATGTCTCTGATGAACCATCAGGTAGCAGTGTTGCTGTGTCTGTGTTTCTGGGACCTGTAGTTTCTCTATGATGTTCTTGTAATCCCAGGGGTTGCTGGGAGCGATGGGTCTGGAGGAGCGGGACGAGGATTTGTAGTTTGGGTTGGAGCGGGACAGAGAATTCAGAGCCGAGGAGGACAACATGGAACTGATCTGAGCCTCCAGGTCCAGAGGTAGGGCGATGGACCGGCTCTTAGCTGGAGAGAGAAGAACCGTTAGACCATTATGAGAGCAGAACTTTCATCTCCAACAACAACATGAGAGCAGAGATGTTCCTCCTGACAACTGCTTCAGGTCTTTACACAGACTATATGTAAGGGAGACCGGGGCTTGTTGTCACACTTTTTACATTCTTATACAGTGGGATGCGAAAGTTTGGGCAACCTTGTTAATTTTCATGATTTTCCTTCATAAATCATTGGTTCTTGGGATTAAAAAAAATCAGTTAAAGGGGACCTGCCATCAAAATTTCATACCCATTTTTATAATTTTTTCATAATCCTTGATGTCCTCTGATCACGTTAACTTGCAACACAATTTTAGCTTAAAAGTTATTTGATGGTTTGTTTTAGTATGCCTAACAAACCTTACAGGAAAACCAACTGATTTTGGCTCATTAACATTAATGGTAATGAGCTTTGCTCTGATTAAATCGCTGCTGTGAAGCCTGCTGTGCTCTGATTGGCTCAGCAGTGGAGGTTCGGATTTCGGTTTATCCATTTTGCTAATGTGTGCTAAAGTAAGGTGCTCAGATGTCTGTAATGATATGCGGGTATATTCGGTGTGGCAGGAAGGGTGCAGGGGCTGCAGGGGCTGTGTGATCACAGACAAAGTCTCGGTACTATTTAGTAGCAGCGCATGCCCCTTGTAATAACCCCGTAAGAACTGTTGTTCAGGACTGCTTACTTGTGCTTCCTACCCATTCGGCTACTGTAATAACCATTGTTCGAGCCCACACGCAACATTTTTGCTCTCATTCATGAAACGCTTAAATCAGGGACATTTTCGGGGACAGCTTTTGCCGGGGACAGGTCATCCAATACGGGGACTGTCCCCGGAAATCGGGGACGTCTGGTCACCTTATGCTAAAGGCTACAAATGGCAGGTATTAAACCATATATTTTAAACCCCGAGTCCGAAGAGGAGGTGGAAGTTGAAGAAGAAGCTGGAGATCTCCAGCGGTGTTTTTTCATTCATTCTGCCCGGCTTTAAGTTCATTTTCCCAGCAGTGAACCCAAGGAAACACCGGTCGTTTGGAAGAGACCCATAGCGGGTACAGTGGTAGCTGGGTCTCGCTCTGGCTGGAGAGTGATGTTGACTGTGAATGAGTTCGAGAACGAGAGAGTGGGCGCGGCTCACCGAGGACGCGCTCGTGAATTATAATAATGGACCTGCTTTTTCAATTGGCCTGGTTTACCCGTTCCTTTATTTTAAACCTTTACAGAATGCAAACGACGTAACGGTTTGTTTTCACATTTACAACATAAGACGAACATAATATGGACCTTATCTGACACAAAAAACACACAAAATTACATTTTGATGGCAGGTCCCCTTTAAATATATCATATAGGAGACAAACACAGTGATATTTGAGAAGTGAAATGAAGTTCATAGGATTTACAGGAAGTGTGCAATAATTGTTTAAACAAAATTAGGCAGGTGCATAAATTTGGGCACCACAATAAAAAAATTAACTCAATATTTATTAGATCCCCCTTTTGCAGAAACAACAGCTTCTAAACGCTTCCTATAGCTTCCTATGAGAGTCTGGATTCTGTTTGGAGGTATTTTGGACCATTCCTCTTTACAAAACCTCTCTAGTTCATTCAGGTTTGATGGTTTCCGAGCATTTCAGCTAGGGTGAATGTTTTGCAGTACCGAGCCAAGGTATAATAGTTGACATTTAAGTCTTTTATTGTCCTCCAGATTGATTTATTAGCGAGGGTCACCTGTCGGACTGTCCTCAGCATCACGTCAGGAACTGCACTGACATGTCCAGTTTTTCTTTTCTAATTCTTGACCATGTCTTCTCACTTTCTCCTCTCCTTTAAATCACCATTTTTCTCCACTTTTTAGTTGCGCCCTCTGGTGGCAAAGATAATTGCAATGTGACAACTTACCCATGTGACAACAAGCCCCGGTCTCCCTACTGGGAATTGGAACTTTCTGGCCCTGGTTTATAGATAGTGTGTGTGTGTGTGTGTGTGTGTGTGTGTTACCTGTCATGGCATGTGTTACCTGTCATGGCGAGCGTCCTGATGCAGGTCTCCACCTGTCCTCGATGTTGCTGCTGCAGCCAGGGACAGTCCAACAGTCTGACGGAGGACTGGAGCAGCTGGGTCACGATGGTGTGATGAGTCTGAAACAAACACAGAGACAGGTAAGATCCTGGACCTTCAGGTGGTCAAAGTCTGACGTCCTCGCTCACGGACAATCAGCAGAGAGCATCATGGTCCTGACCTGCAGAGACGTGCTGTTCTCAGAGAACGGCGAGCTGAAGAAGGCACTGATGGTGTCAAAGACCACGTTGATGATGTACTTCTCCAGGATGGGGTCAGACAGACGCTTCTCCCGTTTATTACACACCTGCAGACACACACACACACACACACACACACACACATAAACTGTGTGTGTGAGGAGAACTGTTGCTGTGTCCATGCGGAGCAGAACCGAGCTCTTACCCGGGCCATGTCCACCGTGAAGTCCTCAAAGAGCTTCCAGATGTAATTGGACGTGTATATCTCCTTCATCTCCACCTCAGTGTCCACATAGCAGTGATTCACAAAGTTCACGTAGGCCACCTTCACCTGCAGGCGGAACCAGACAGACAGATGAACACAGAGAAGGTCTCAGAGTCCCTCTGTCCTCTAAGACCTTCTGTCATTTCAGTTCATGAAGAGATCTCTACAACCTCGTGATGACCTCCACACACACACGCACCCACACGCACACACATGCTCTCTGTACCTCAGTGATACAGTCCTCGTGCGTCACCACTCTGACCACATCCTCCAGCGGCAGCAGTGACGTACATTTGATCTCCGTGTAAACGTTCTTGCCCTCCGCACACGCCGCCAACAGCTCCACCAAGGAGATGTGATACCTGTCCAGAAGAAGACAGAGGAGGACACTCTAGACCCTGAAACCCTTTAAACACAACTAATGACCTCCAGGAGGTCTTCATCTGGTCAAGTCCTTCACAGAGAGGCAGAGAAGAGAGCTCCTCCAACATGGACCTCTTAAAACCCCCAAAGTCTGAGGAGGGTTACAAACCAGATGTTTCCAGATGTTTCTCTGGGTGTTCCTGGTCCTGACCAGGACTGCGTTGGTTCAAAGAATAATTCTTTTCATGCAGTAAATATCTGATATTTGTTTTCAGCAGACAGGTGTGGAGGTTACCTGAGCGGGCTGGTCTCTCCCACCCCCTCCCTGCTCTCGGCCATCAGCTCCAGCATGACGTTGAAGGAGGCTTTGTCATTGTAGAAGACGACCACGTCCTCCCCCGCGTTTGTGAGCTGCAGAGAGAAAACAGCGTCATCGTCATGTCCCCAGAAACTCACTGATGCCATCTCCAACGCCACCCCGCCTCTGGTCCTCACCTCGGTCATGATCATGTCCTGACACTTCTTCACGTACTTCCCCTCTGCCTTGATGATGGTGTGGAGGAAGTTCAGGTATTGGACGTGGCGGCCATGCGTGGCCAGACAGTGGATGAAGTGCTGCAGGACGCTCTCCGAGATCTCGGTGCAGAGCTGGTAGTTGTTGCTGAAGATGTGCTGAACTGTCTCTGCTTCTAACAGCTGCAGGAAGAGGAAGAGGGAAGGGTAACGGTCTGTGTTGGTCATCTGTCGCCTGGTTACTAACCCAAAAATACGATGTGAAAAAAACAAATCCTGAAATCCATTTAATCTGAAAGTGATGCTTAATTTTCGACCACCAAACAAAAAACACGACTCAAAGGGTTAAAATGACTCAAAGGGTTAAAACGACTCAGAGGGTTAAAACGACTCAGAGAATTAACACGACTCAGAGGGTAAAAATGACATAAAGGGTTCAAACGACTCAAAGGGTTAAAACGACTCAGAGAGTTAATACGACTCAGAGGGTTAAAGCGAGTGAAAGGGTTAAAACGACTCAAAGGGTTAAAATGACTCAGAGAATTAACACGACTCAGAGGGTTAAAACGACTCAGAGAATTAACACGACTCAGAGGGTAAAAATGACATAAAGGGTTAAAACGACTCAGAGAGTTAAAACGACTCAGAGAGTTAATACGACTCAGAGGGTTAAAGCAAGTGAAAGGGTTAAAACGACTCAAAGGGTTAAAATGACTCAAAGGGTTAAATCCAAACCAGACGCTGGAGTTGGATCAACTCTGGAGTTCATCTGAAGGATTTTGCAGGTCAGACTTTGGACAGTCAGGTTTTTTTTCCACACTACTTTTTTCTCATTTTCAACCAATTAGAGTGAGGGAAGTGAGCGTTGTACCCCAGGGTTGAGGAAGAGGTTGAGGTTCTTGTGCAGCAGAGCCTGGTTTTCCTGGTTCCCCATACAGAACTTCTGTAGGAACAGATGAGTGTACCTGATGATCTCCTGCATCTTCACATCGTTCTGCAGACAAACAAAGGGAGAGATGAGACGCTGAACTTGGAGAGAAATCAGTTTCTGAGTCACTTCAACGTGCCGGTCCCAAAAAGATGATAAAAACACGTTCTTCCTATTTCAAGGACCATGATGACTTTCACATCTTCAGGGACAAACTGATCTGAATCCTACATCTGTGAATCTGTCCAGAGGCTTTTATTTTGGCGGGGCCTTCCTCACCTGGTCGTAGGACACCTGCAGCAGGTCCAACATCACTTTATGAGCTCCCATGTTCTTCAACAACCTCTGCTGCTTCTTCCAAACTCCAGTGCTGCACATCTTATTCAACCTCTCCAGGATCTACAGGGGGGGAGGGAAACAGTGAGGGGAGAGGGGGTGAGCAACAAACACACATCTATGAGCGTCATTATAGGATTTACATTTATATTTCTAGGTCATCATGCAACAAATCTGCAGAACAAACGTGATCATAGATGTTTAGCTGAAAAAAGGTTGTTAAATGATAATCTATGAAAGTATCTCTACGATGGTGACAAAGACAGAGTTTCATTTCAAATACAGACACATATAAACTCAGAGTGTAAACACTGAAGGTTAGAGTTTTCTCCTTATGTCTGTAATCAGACATGAAAATTGAAAAAATGTGAACCTAATTTTATGTTGCTGTAAAACTGTATTTGATTTACTGTGGATGTTGTTGGACTGAGTCTATAAAGATGATGTGATCAGGACTTCATCTGGAGATGAATAAGGTCTAAGGTGTTGGACTGTCCAATGATGGACTGGAGTTTTCAGGTCTCAGTTTCACTGTTTTTGTCTGTCAGGTCTCAGTTTCGCTGTTTTTGTCTATCAGATCTCAGTTTCATTGTTTTTGTCTGTCAGGTCTCAGTTTCACAGATTCAGTCAGTCAGGTCTCAGTTTCAGAGTTTCAGTCTGTCAGGCCTCAGTTTCACTGTTTTTGTCTATCAGATGTCAGTTTCACTGTTTTTGTCCATCAGGTCTCAGTTTAACAGTTCTTGTCTGGCAGGTCTCAGTTTCACTGTTTCAGTCTATCAGGTCTCAGTTTTACTGTTTTTGTCCATCAGGTCTCAGTTTCACTGTTTCTGTCTACCAAGGTCTCAGTTTTACTGTTTCTGTCCATCACATCTCAGTTTCACTGTTTTTGTCTGTCAGGTTTCAGTTTCACCTTTTTTCTTTCAGATCTCAGTTTCACTGTTTTTTTCCATCAGGTCTCAGTTGAACTGTTTTGTCTGTCACGTCTCAGTTTCACTGTTTCAGTCTATCAGGTCTCAGTTTTACTGTTTTGTCCATCAGGTCTCAGTTTCACTGTTTCTGTCTATCAAGGTCTCCGTTTTACTGTTTCTGTCCATCAGGTCTCAGTTTCATTGTTTTTGTCTGTCAGGTCTCAGTTTCACTGATTCAGTCAGTCAGGTCTCAGTTTTCAGAGTTTCAGTCTGTCAGGCCTCAGTTTCACTGTTTTCGTCTATCAGATTTCAGTTTCACTGTTTTTGTCCATCAGGTCTCAGTTTAACTGTTCTTGTCTGGCAGGTCTCAGTTTCACTGTTTCAGTCTATCAGGTCTCAGTTTTATTGTTATTGTCCATCAGGTCTCAGTTTCACTGTTTCTGTCTATCAAGGTCTCAGTTTTACTGTTTCTGTCCATCGAGTCTCAGTTTCACTGTTTTTGTCTGTCAAGTTTCAGTTTCACCTTTTTTCTTTCAGATCTCAGTTTTACTGTTTTTTCTGTCAGGTCTCAGTCGAACTGTTTTGTCTGTCACGTCTCAGTTTCACTGTTTCAGTCTATCAGGTCTCAGTTTTACTGTTTTGTCCATCAGGTCTCAGTTTTACTGTTTCTGTCCATTAGGTCTCAGTTTCATTGTTTTTGTCTGTCATGTCTCAGTTTCACTGATTCAGTCAGTCAGGTCTCAGTTTCACTGATTTTGTCTGTCAGGTCTCAGTTTCACTGTGTTAGTCTATCAGATCTCAGTTTCATTGTTTTTTCCATGAGGTCTCAGTTTCACTGATTTTGTCTTTCAGGTCTCAGTTTTATTGTTTTTGTCCATCAGGTGTCAGTTTTACAGTATTGGTCCGTCAGGTGTCAGTTTCACAATTTCAGTCTGTCAGGTCTCAGTTTCACAGTTTTAATCTGTCAGGTCTCAGTTTCATTCTTAAGCTGCTCAACCAACAACAAATGAAAAGCAGATCTCGACGTCTCTGTAAATAAATGTGACCCTGGTGTTTATTTTATTTATACTAATCTTCTGTTTAGAAAATTAGCAGGAGGAAACTGTATGAACGCTCAATTTTTTATGTCTCATTTCTCATTAGTTCTCATAAGATCACATAAAACAGCTTCACAAGTTTGAGTTTTTTTCTAACCACATACAGACAAAATTTGTGTTTTTACTGTGTCTGTAATTCCATAAGAATGTCATTTTTTCTGTTTCTCATTTTTATTTTGAAGGTGATGAGAACTGACACTAACGACCCGAGCAGTAGATCACTGACAGGGTTTTCTTTCAGACTTATTCAGTAGATTCACCTGAAAACCAGGATTCTGGTTGCTGGCTCTGAGGCCTTTTAATTCCAAGAAAACAAAGACAGGAGCACCTCATCCGGGACCTCATTGGCAGACAGAGCCATTAGCCACTCCCACAGTGATTGACTGACAGTTGATTCCATGAAAGTAAACTTTAGATACACCACAATGAAAAATGAGACCCCCAAAAACCCGAATAGACTTGAAGAAAAACAGGAAATGAGACAGAGTTTCTCACCTCTTTGACTTTCTGGTAGTTCTCGTTGCCTTTATCGTTTTTCTCCTTCTTTGGCGTCACGTCCTCTGATGCCACCTAGAGGATTCAGACAGTAAGACAGAATATGCAACTCTCTGGGTGTGTTACTACTCTAAACACTTCGATCCCTTGTCTAACTCTGCCGTTAAAGCCTCGTTTGTTTTCTCATCAGTGACACATGAACATGATCCAATATTACAGTCTGCACTTTAGTTCCAGAGTATTTCAAGGCGGGCCTTAACGATATTGATGTGAAATGAACTTTTACAGAGTCCTTTAGCTCCCTAAAAATGATCCATTTGTTTGGATAAATATTAAATTAATAAAAGAAGATGAAACTGTAAGAGCTTTGTCTGGGAAACCAAAGTAGGGATGCAGTTCTTCTACATGGCTGAGTAGCAGCAGAAAAATATCCCAAAATCTTGAACAAAAGTGTAAATGAGGTGTGTGATTGGCATTGAGACCTGCTAAGAAACTGTTTTATGATCAGACACGGTAACATCGCTCAGTCCTGACCTAAAGGAACAAACAATCTGAATTCAAAAAAAGCCCAAAAAGAAAAACAAAATCACTGCTGAGGATCAGTCAGACTGAGCGATGAACAAACTGGAGTTTGAGATGTTTGATGGTGACACAGTGGAGCTGCAAAACACTTTCACAGTCAAAAAATCAAAACAGACAGAGAGTAGATGAGACATGCAGCCAAAGTCCCAAACCAACCATGAAACCAGGTCCACATAGATTCACCTCAGACCCCACAGAGACCAGCACCAAATTTAAGTCAGATTGAATCCAGAACCAGGATGCAAAGCTTCAGAACCTCAAATTTGGATTCTGTTGAGTTAATTAGTTTGATGAGAAGCGTTCTGCGAATTAATTAACGTTAGATCACCAAGCACGTCTTTCTTTCTTCTGCCGAATTCCTGTTAGTTCATTGGTTAGTGGTTAAACACAGTTATTATCTTTTAACAGCACTTTGGATTTAAAGCAGATCAAAAAGCACTAAATTAGTTTTGAAACAGAAAGTCTGTAAAAATGAAGCAATCACTTTTTCACCATCCAAGCTTTTTTTCTCTGAATGTAAAGCTCTACGATGACGATACTGTGATAAACAGAGCAGCCACATCCCACTTCACCCTCTTCTTTAACAAGATTAAAACAGCTTCACACACTGTTCACTGTAAGATCCCAAAAAACTGGGTTTGTGTTTAAATGATCAAGTTCAGCTCAGCCTTGGAAAGATAAAAATAAACACAGTTTGTGAGTCCGAAAGACAAAAGAAAGTTTTTTTGTTCAGTGATTAGAAACAAGTCAAAGTTTTCATTTAATGAGTTATTTAACAGATAAACCAATGATGATGCAGTAATAACTAAACTCTCTATCTATCATGTAAAGCTTTATGCTGATGATACTCTACTATACAACACACAGTCCTCCTCCTTTAAATATGAACACATGCAGACTAGAAACAAGTTCATGAGTAAAATCACCTGTTCATCTCAAACCAAGACTTTGTGAGTCTACGAGACAAAATAATAGAGTCACACAGTCAGGTGAACGGCTGAAACAGTCTGAGGATACAGTGCTGGGATTTCTTTTTCAAACATTTTTGAGATCATATAACAAAAACCTGTTTTTTTTTTTTCAGTCACCCAGACGTCAAGATAAAACTTAGAAGATTTCACAGAAACTCCTAAACTCCCTGTCTGTTGATTCAAAGCTTTACGCTGATGATACTGTGTTATATAATTAACTTTATTTAGAGTGATTTTTTTTTACTGTTTTAATGTTGAAAAGAAATAAATCGATTTGTAAAGAAACCATCCAGAACATCTCAAGAAAGACTCAAAAACTTCATTAAAAACACAAACATGTGGCGTTCGTAATTATGAGGCTTTTCCTCTGGAATCAGGGTTCACTCGTTCATCAGGATCCTGTTTGAGTCTGAAACTAACAGCATTTTGGATCAGAACCATTAACTATTGGTGCTTCAGTGCCTTTCTGCCGTTAACATTTCACAACAGAACCAAAAATAGTACGGTTACCTGGTCCAAACTGGAGCAGAACATTTCACTACAGAACCAGGTGACCCGGTCCAAACTGATCTGAACTTTGAGTCCAACTGAATAAAAATCTCATGAAGAATCAGCTACGAGCCCAGAATACCAGAACCTGATAAACCTGAGAGACCAGCAGGAACCTGAGGAGGACTAACATCTGAGAAATATATGACTGAATATATGACTGAATGAATAATGAACCCTGTATATGACTAAATGAATCTATGACTGAGTGAATTTATGACGGAATGAAAAATTAACCCTGTATATGACTGAATAAATATATATGTGACTGAATGAATAATGAACCCCGTATGACTCTGTATAACCCAGTATACTCATTTTTTTAATGAAAAATAAACCCTGTATATGACTGAATGAATATAAGAGGAATGAATATGACTGAATGAATAATGAACCCTAGAAATGACTGAATGAATTTATGACAATAAATTTATGACTGAATGAATTTATGACCGAATGAATAATGAACCCTATAAATGACTGAATGAGTAATTTACCCTCCCTCTGACTGAATGAATCTATGACTGAATGAATAATTCACCCTCTCTCTGACTGAATGAATTAATGACTGAATGAATAATTCACACTCTCTCCGACTGAATGAATAATGAGCCCTTTAAATGACAGAATAAATAATTCCCCCTCTCTCGCCGACTGACTCGAGTCCCTGTTTCCACCTCCCTCCTCCTCTCTCAGTCCTGGTCTCAGTTCTCACTGTTTTCCCAGATTAGCTGTTTTTTTGGAGGACACATCTAAACATGAAGATCTTTGGACCTTCAGATCTTTAGTTTGTCCCTCAAACTTCCTCACAGACGTTCTTTTAGATGTTTGAATGTTTGACCTCCTCACCTCCACCTTCTCCTTCTTCTCTTTCTTGTCCTTCTTTCCTTCTCCTCCACCTGAGCTCTTCTTCTCTACCCACAGCTCCGACTTCTCCACCAGCGTACGCAGACGATCCAGATCGGACTTGATCAGTTTGTAGTTCTCCACATCCTGAGAGGAGATCAGCAGCTGGACCTGCAGAAGCAAAGAAACCTGTTTCAGATTCAAGCTTCTTCTACATCCTGGTAACATCAGACTTCATCTGAGCTCCAGGGTTCAGATCTCTGATTTGATTGGAGCTTCATCCTGGTGATGTTTGACCATCCTGATAAGTTTACCTGTAGACTTTTTTATTTGATTTTTTCCAATAAAGGAGGGCAAACACGACTCTGTAACCTAAAAATGTCATTTCATCCATCTTCCAGTGTATAGCTCTGTTTTCATTCTAAGACTGAAGATCGTTTGTTCCATTGATCGAATTTCTTCTACAGAGTCCAGTCATTGGTTCAGTCCAGGTGCTTCAGTTCTCAGCCACTTCTAGTAATGGCCTACTTTGGATCTTGAACAGGTATATGTCTTCTTTACTTCTTACATTTTCTTTACTTGTACCACAAGGTTCAGTTTTAGGTCTAATTTTATTTTCTATCAATATGCTGCCCCTCGGCCAATTAATTCAGCGCCACCAAGTCTCCTTTCACTGTTATGCAGAGGACACACAGATATACCTTCCTTTGAGACCTGAGGACCCAAGAAGCCTAGCTGCTGTCATGGACTATCTAAGTGACATTAACCTTTGGATGGCACAAAATTTCCTTCAGCTAAATTATTCAAAATCTGAAATCATTCCCTGTAATACACAAAATTCCCCATCAAACAGTCCTGTCTCGGTCCACATTCATTAATCATCAAACCAACAGCCAGAAATCTGGGAGTAACCTTTGATTCAGACCTCACCTTCTCCACCCATATCAACAAGATTGTCCAGTCCTGCTTTTTTTACTTGCGCTCCATTTCAAAAATCAAACAAATACTCACCCCACCAGACCTCGAAAAAAATAATCCACACTTTCATCTTCTCAAGGCTGGACTTCTGTAACTCCCTCCTCAGACCAGTTCAGAATGCAGCAGCTCGGCTTTTAACTGGTTTTAGTTGATGGCATCACATCACTCCAATTTTAGCCTCCCTTCACTGACTTCCTGTCAGTTTGAGAAGTGATTTTAAGATTTTATTGATTACGTTTAAAGCACTGGAAGGACTTGCTCCAAGCTACATTTCAGAGCTTTTAATACCATATGAGCCAACTCACAGCCTCAGATCCTCTGATGAAGGCCTCCTGGTCGTTCCAAAGTTGAGACTCAAAACTAAAGGTGATAGAGCTTTCTCCATCAGAGCTCCTCGACTTTGAAACGACCTGCCAGAGGAGATAAGGCGTACAGCAAAGACAGTCGCTTCTTTTTAAGTCAAATTTAAAAAGTCACTTTTACAGACTTGCTTTTCTCTTTTATCTCTATCTTTGATCTGTCATCTTTTATCTCTTTTACCTCTTTTACTTTTATATCATTGTTACTTATTATTTTATTATCATTGTTGATATTGCCTTTTATATCTACTATCTCGTTCCCGCTTTCGTCCTCCCTTTTAATTGCATTTTCCTTTTTTCTTACCTATTTTATGTTTTTATTTTGGTCCTCATGTTCTCATTTTATGTTGCATGGTTCTTGTATTGTCTGGGTTCACTATGACATGAAAATGGCCTTCAAATATGTTTTAACTAAGCTTTTTGTTTTGATTTGTCTTTTTCCTTGTGCTCTACATGTCAAAGCACTTTATAAACATCTGTTTTTTAAAAGTGCTAGACAAATTATGTTATTAACACAAATAAACCGAGGATCCTTAGGAAATTATATTCAAAAATTTCACCCATAGCTCTTCAAACTTCCTCCCAAAAAGACCAAAACATATCAGAATGGTTGGCATTCAGTTTCTCCAGCAATATTGTTGTTGGCCTAATTGTTTATTTTTGATTTTGGGTGTAATAATAAAAAAACATGTTTAATTTTTCCAACCAAACTCCCTCCATTTTTTTAGAGCTGGTCGATGTTTGTTGGGTCTTAAATACGTTCTGTCAATCACTCCCAGACAACTCAATATTGAATTCTTTTTCCTCTTTCACTTTTATATTCTCTGTATTTCTTCCCTGTTGTTTCAAAAGACCCTTATCTTGAAGACTTAAAAAACAGGCAACTGGACTGTGTAGAGTTGAGAAGACGTTTCGCCTCTTATCCAAGAAACTTCTTCAGTTCTAAATTAATAGTCGTTAACCTGAAAGGGTCGTTAATGACCCCTGTCATGTGACCACGAAACCTGGGTCATGTGGTCCCAGGTGTGAATGTTTGTGGAGCTTCCTGGGGAGAAAGCTGAGAACTGCATTGTAAGTGCGGGAGAGATTGTGCCTGAGTCCACCCCGTCTGTTCAGAGAAGGTTTCTCCAGTCTGGCAAAGATGGCTTCTTTAACTCCTCTTTCAAACCATCTGTCTTCTCTAGCCAACACCTGTACATTGCTGTCCTCGAAAGAGTGACCCGTGTCCTTTAAGTAAAGGTGGACAGCTGAGTCCTGACCTGAGGAAGTAGCTCTCCTGTGTTGAGCCATGCGCTTGTGAAGCAGTTGTTTAGTTTCCCCAATGTACAGGTCTGAGCATTACTGGCTGCACTGGACAGCATACACCACATTACTCTGTTTATGTCTCTGTGTTTTGTCCTTGGGATGGACTAGCTTCTGCCTTAGTGTGTTACCAGGCTTGAAATGAACAGGAATATGGTGTTTGCCAAAGATCCTCTTGAGTTTTTCCGACAGGCCTGCAACGTAAGGGATTACAGTGCTCTTGCGTCTCTCATCCCTTTCGTGTTCAGTGTTATTTCTCTTTTTGTTCTTCACAAAGGCCCACTTAGGGTATCCACAGGTCATCTTAGGGTATCCACAGGTTGTCTGTCCCCTTCTCCAGCAAGATAAATATCTGCTCCTCACACTAGCAATTTAGAACTGAAGAAGCTTCTTGGATAAGAGGCGAAACGTCTTCTCAACTCTACACAGTCCAGTTGCCTGTTTTTTAAGTCTTCAAGATAACCATGACCTGGATGAATGAGAATCTACATGGACAAAAGACCCTTGTACAGTTTAGAGACGATTCCTCTGTCAACACCTCAATCACATCATTTCCTTCCAATGAGATTTCCTTCTTCATTTCTGTCTCATAAAAGTGTCTCCATTAAAGGGACTTGAATAGATCTCTTTTTTCCAAACTCATGTTTAAGTTGTCTAAATAATTGAAAATGTCATTTATCTACCAGTGTACATGGAGCTGTTATTCCCTTTGTCTCTGCTCTGAACTTGGAGGAATAGTGATGGGCACAGCAGTTCTTTTAGATGTACTAAATCTCTAGAATCAGTTCACTAAAAATATTCATTCAAAAGATTCGATCACCAAATGATGGAATCAGTTAGGGAGAAGCCTGTGACTCCGACCTCCTGAACTGATACACAGCTGAATGATTCAGGATTCAGTTCAGATCATAGCTTCTGGGACCGGCAGACGAGAGTGTTTGTCTGTGTTGCTTTGACAAACAGGTTTGTAAAAATGAACTTGTTTATAAGTCATGATATTTTAAATGTACTGTCCTATGGTATGCTATTTACCAGGTCTACTCAGTAAATTGGTCTCAGTAAGTGATTCGTTCACTGAATGTTTAAGAGAATTCTCACTGAACATGCACTGTTCCCTCACAAACCGCTGCGGTGATAGGATGCTGCAGCTTTAATGCACCACTTGTTACATGCTGTGTCCTATTGTATAAAAGTTGTTGTGGTGGCAATTTAGCAGAAAAAAAAGTTAATTTTGTCTGACAAAAATGATTCCAGAGAGTGTAGTTCAATGCATGATTCTTTCACCAAGTGATTCAGGCGTTGGTGCATGTTATCCCCTGTTTGCTGGCTGCTGGCCTGGCAATGCTATTTCTCATTTCAGCTCAACTGAAGTGAGAAACAAACGGATCGCTTGAGGAAGTGATTCGGTTCAGGGCATTCACTTAACAGATTCGATTCTTTTGAACGAATAGTTCGTGAACGACACAACACTATGGAGGAATGAGAAGGCCAAATCAACAGCTTACAGTCTCCTCTTAACTTATATTTTTTAACCACATCATGCCATATTTCAAACATTTCTCTCATGATCGAGTTTTCACCCTGAAGATCCAACATGTTCTTCTCCGCTGAACCTTAACTGGACGGGTCTGACCCAGGCTCATCTCCACGTCCTTCCACTATTTACCTCCAGACTTCATTCTTGATGGTTTTCCTGAGCGAGTCCCTTAAACCTGAACAACTGTTTCTAGATCCAGGACCCAAACTCGACCCGTCCCAAACCCAACGTCTCCAAAACTCAAATATGGGAGCAGACATATCAACTGTGTCAGAGTCTTAAATGGATCTGAGTCAGAAACCAGTTTGATTCTGTGTGTGTGTGTGTGTGTACCTGTTTGAAGGTGTGCAGCACTTCCTGTCTCTGGCTGAAGTGTCTGAAGAGAAGCTGTAGAGCTCCAGAGATCAGAGGAGGGTAGTCGTGCATGGTGAGGTGGATCAGAACCCGCAGGAACATACGACCACCTTCATCGTCCACCTCCAGGATACTGTTCCCTTTCCTGCACACACACACACACACACACACACACACACACACACACACACACACACACACACACACACACACACACACACCTCTACAGATCATCTGCCTTCCAACAGCCTCTGATGGTGAGATTTCATCAGCTTCTACAATTCTCCACATGGATGTTCGTACCCAACACCAAACATGGCCTCCGCCTGCTCTCCAATCTGCTGCAGGTTGATGGTGGCTGAGGAAGGACAAACAGCACAAAGGTTAGTGACACCAGGAGGTCATGGGGGCTGACGCTCAGGTCTCTGATGGTGCACACACACAGCACAGGTGGATGGGTGTAAATATGCATGCAGCAAATTTCAGACTTGAGGTTTCTATTCTAATATTTATTCACTACAATAACCTAATGATTATAATTTATTACAATAACCTAATTATTATAATTTATTATGAAACCTAATCATTTTAATAGATTTTAATAACCTAATTATTATAAATAATTATAAAAACCTAATAATTTTAATTTATTATTATAACCTAATTATTATAATTTATTATGAAACCTAATTATTTTAATAGATTTTAATAACCTAATTATTATAAATAATTATAAAAACCTAATAATTTTAATTTATTATAATAACCTAATTATTATAAATAATTATGAAACCTAATCATTTTAATAGATTTTAATAACCTAATTATTATAAATAATTATAAAAACCTAATAATTTTAATTTATTATAATGACCTAATTATTAAAATAAATTATAAAAACCTAATTATTATAATAATCATATAAAAACCTAATTATTATAATTTATTATAAAACCTAATTATTATTATAAATTATAATACCCAAATTATTGTAATTTATTATAAAACCTAATTATTATAATGAATTATAATAACCTAGTTATTATAATTTATTATAAAACCTTATTATTATTATTATTATTTATTATAACCTAATTATTTAATTTATTTTAAATACCTTATATTTAAAATAAATTACAAAAACCTAATTATTATAATTTATTATAAAATTCATATCATTTCAATTTATTCTAATAACCTAATGATTATCATTTACTATTATAAACCAGTTATCATAATTTATCATAATAACCTAATTATTATAATGTGTCACTGCACTCATATTAATGGGAGCAGTCTCTTTTTTTACTTCCTCCCCTCCCTCCCTCTTGTGTGTACTTTCCCCATCTGTAAATGCAATTTCGTTGTGCACAGTTGCAATGACAATAAAGACCATACCATACCATACCATACCATCATAACCAAACATGAATTCTGAGCTGTGACTGCTCGGCCAATTATTCCTGTAAATTTATCTCCATGTCTAAACCCTGTTGAGCATTTTGGTGAGTTTTGTGGACGTCTACCTGCGTGCTCCATGTTGGTGGTGGCATCAGCATCAGCCATGGGATAGACGTCCACGAACTCCTTCTTAAACACGGACAGCAGGAAGGACAGGCGGTAATCCAGACGGACGTTCAGGATGAACTGAAGAAGAGAAGAAGAGCAGAAAACAGAAAAATTCACCCTAAAGATGAATGAGTGAATTCAGCCGACCCTCATCAGGTGGTGGACTTCGTAAAGACACAGGTACACAGGTTAGAGTCTGCACTTTACTAAGACTGAAGTACATGTACACAGCCTGTTAAAGTACAAATACACCAACCAGTGAACATCAGAGTGAAGATCAGGTACCACAGAGTCTCATACCTGTAAGATCTCCAGGATCTTCAGCTTGGTGTCCATCACTGTCAGGTCCATTTTGTCGATACTATCTTTACCCCCTCTCTGTCCATCATGCATAAGTCCTGTACCCACCCCTGCGCCTCTGGCTCCTGGACCTCCAAATAAGGACTGCTTCCTGTTGAGGACCATGGTGGACATCATCTGACCCATCCCATGGATGGAGCGCTTCACGTTCTTCCCTTCAAACAGAAAGAAGGGAAGAAAGGTTCTGTTAGGACCTTTCAAAATAAAAGCCTTTGAGGCAAGGGTGTAGGTTAGCATAGGGACGGTAGAGACATAACACTACCAACTTTTCAGGGTGCTCAAATTGTCCCCACCAACTTTTAAGCAACCTTATTTGCATTATATAATGAGTGCAGTTATATAGGTAATTTAGATTGTCTTCCCATATTTTGTAAAGATAGAATCGACCCTACCATTATTAAGTGAATTATTTTCATTATGTTCTGACTTAGATTTACCCCTTTTCACTTGTTGAATGTGCCGGACCATTTTTTTTCCTCAAAAGCACGTTTGATTGGCTGATGACTAGATCTATTAGTGCATGTATTTATTCATTAAAGTGTATTTATTTTCTAAATTATTCATTTTAAAATATTTTTATTTGCAGCCTATGCAGACATTTTTTTCAGATAATCATACATTAATCATAATAGAGGTAAAAAGTTAATTAAATCTTGATTTCGATTTTTTCCATAATCGCCCAAACACTGATGCAGTTTAGAGATGAAAATAACAGAGAAGAAGGTGAAAGAGACAACCAACTAAAGCAATGTATTACTCTTGTGGTACATGCAGGACAAAAGCTGTAAATTGAGACTGGGACGTCCCCAGCAAAAAATGTACATGCAGGTTATGCTGTTATATCGTCCCTACCAATGTTGAGACCAAACCTATGCCCTTGCTTTGAGGGGATGAGACAGCGCTCACAGGTCAAATCCAAAGAAAACAGTCCTGACTGGAGCCTGAGGAACTCTTCAGGAGAGAGAACTTCACACCTCCACCTGAGAGGGTCTCAGAAGACCTGGAGGCCTTCACAGTCTTTTATGATGGATTTACTGCTTCTGCTCTCAGCAGGTTTTATACCATCTCACCTCAGACGGTCATCAGCTGACATGTTCAATAACCATCCTCAGCTGAGAACAACAGAGGAAGGCAGTTCTGATTTAATAAACATTTTGATTGGTGCATACAAATCCAAATTGAACCAGAAACTGATTTCCAGGATCTACTCCTCTTTACAATCATCTAACGGTTCTTCCACTCTATATATTAAATCCAACTGGGAAAAAGAAGCAAAAATCACCATTTCAGAAGACGGTTGGTTGAACATTTGTAAGACCCAAATGAACACCTCGAGCTCTTGTTACTGGAGGGAATTCTCGTGGAAGAACATAATCCAATTTTTTATCACTCCCAAAATTAAACAGCTTCTGGAAAATGTTGGAGAGAGTGTGGAAGCGCTCAGGCGGTTCATTTCCATGTTTTCTGGGACTGCCTGATTATACATTCCTGCTGGCAGGTTGTAGTGGAGAAAATTAACTCAATCGTAGGCTTTGATATTAATAATGACTTTTGCACAATTTATCTCGGTAATATCTCCCCCACAATCAATGCTACTGATAAATATTTGATTACAATAATGTTGGTAGCCAGTCAAAAAGCTATTACAAGAAGATGGCCATCGAAAGAGCCCCCAACTAAAGAGGAGTGGATAGTAATTGTGAAAGAAATATACGACATAGAAAAACGGACCTTTTCCTTGAACCTGTACACGGACAAATTCACCAGGCTATGGAGGAAATGGATAACCCATCCTGATTAAATGTCATTTTATAACAGGAGGAGTCAGTTAATGAAAACCACAATGTGCTGTTTCATTTTTTTCTTTATTTCCATTTATGCTTGAGTACAGCACCCCCTACTGTCCTATTTGATATGTTCTCGAGGTGTTGTAGGACACAAGGGCGAGGATGTTTCTGTCCTGTTTTGATATGAAGGACAAATAGAACAAAAGTGACTAAAGTATCTCTAAACCCTGGACCTACCTCTTTAAATGTACGAACTGTTACTAAGATTGGTCTCTCCCTGTGTAACAAAATACATTTGGATGTATATTTATCCTTTCCTGTTCTTTTCTAGTTCTTTTCCTTTATTTCACTTTTTACAAGTTTTTTGAAAAACTGAATGTTTTTATAAAAATAAAGTTAAAAAAAAAACATCCTCAGCTGACGATGAACATCCGGACCAGAAGCTCCAGCTGCTGAAGGTCAGTGTGTTTTCCTCTGAAACCTCATTACGGTAAAAACCCAAACTCAGATTTTTTACCTGATCCGTCATCATTGAATAAAAGTCCAGAGTACGCAGGGTTGGGTCGACAGTCGATGATGCCCAGCAGGGTTCTGGTGAGTCTGAGCAGCTCAAAGAAACTGTAGAAACCAAAGTAGATCAGATGTCGGGCCAGACTCACCACCTGAAGAAAGAGCAAATAGAGTTTAGTCCTCCAGAGGAGGCGAGACGGAGACACTGAGAGACAGAAGACGAAGGAGAAGAACCTCATAGGTCAGCTTGTTCTTCTCTTCGTTGTGGAAGGGAAGCTCATCATTCAGAACGTTGTTGAGATACTCCTCCATGAAGACCATGGTGTTGGAGAAACGGTTCTTCTTGTTGTCTCTGCTGTCGTCCATGTTGGAGTCATAGCTGAGGAGGACAAAGATAAAGTTCAAGTAAATGATCCGTTTCCATGGAAACAAGATTGTCAAATCCATTGTGAGGAGGTTCAGCTCCTCTGACTGTGTGTGTGTGTGTGTGTGTCTAAGTGTGGCAGTCTAAGAAGATCCTCCAGCACTGAACTAAAGCCTCTAAAATAAACCTGGGTCTCATAAACCAGAGGCCTGTACTACGAAGCTGGATAAACACATCCAGGATAACTCTGCGACAACTCGCTCAACTTCACCGGATCTACGTGATCCCGATCAGCTGTACTACGAAGCCGGTTATCAACTTGATAACTGAATCCATTTCAGATATGTGCCCGCACACGTAAAGGGGGTGGGGTCAGTGCCACCAGACCAATCTCCACAATGGAGAAGGCTGCACGTCATTTTTCACAGCCGAAGAACAGAGCATTATTTTACGAGGAGTACCGCAACATTATAACAGTGAGGAGCAGGACAGCCACAGCCGCTAAAAACCGGAGGGACTGCTGGCAAAAAAAATCATCGATTGTGTAAATTACATTTGTGCGTTCATAAATTTATGGCCTCCTAATATGTTGTCATGCAGCATGTGGGATCACCACCATCATTGACCTCATTATTTTTTATTATTATATATTATTACAGGTTTTCCTCGGACGGCCTCAATATTCAGGTAGCATGAAGTCTAAGCAATGCACTAACATTTGCCAAGCTCCAGGTTTCAATTTCATGCAGCATATCAGTCATCATTCAGAATTTATTGAAGCAGATTAGAAAACTCTTAACCCTAAATGTGTCTGCAGATGACATGTGACCGTCAGATGATGGAGAAAAAAAGAAAAAAAAAGGCAGTGTGAGGAAATCACTGTTTACGCGTTGAAATATGTACAAATAAAATTTTCCAATAAACTTACAAACTACTTAAAAGGATGTTTTTAGATTTATTTTTATTTGCTCCCACATACTCTTTTCCCCACTGCTGTTGTATCTGAAATAATGAGGTCATTGATGGAGGTGATCACACACGCTGCATGACAACAGATTAGGGGGCCATAAATTTATGAACGCACAAATGTAATTTACACAACCGATGATTTTTTTTTGCCAGCAGTCCCTCCGGCTTTTAGCGGCTGCGGCTGCGGCTGTCCTGCTCCTCACTGTTATAATGTTGCGGTACTCCTCGTAAAATAATGCTCTGTTCTTCAGCTGTGAAAAATGACGTGCAGCCTTCTCCATTGTGGAGATTGGTCCGGTGGCACTGACCCCACCCCCTTTACTTGTGCGCGCACAGATCTGAAGTGACCACACCTGGATTCAGATATCGAGTTGATAACCGGCTTCGTAGTACAGCTGATCGGGATCGCGGAGATCCGGTGAAGTTTAGCGAGTTGTCGCAGAGTTATCCTGGATGTTTTAATCCAGCTTCGTAGTACAGGCCTCTGATCTCATAAACCCAGATTATAAACCCAGATCTAATAAACATAGATCTCATAAACCAGGATCTCATAAACCGTGATCTCATAAACCCGGTTCTTATAAACTTGGATCCAGGAACCATCAAAGGCTTCTATTGGAGCACCAAAAACCTCCTTTCCTCCTCTTTCTTTGGCGTTTCTGTTCCCCACTCACTCTTTGATGGTGATGGAGGTGGGGATCTCTGTCCAGAGGCGGGCAAACTTGACAGGTGTCACCAACTCTTGTGGGTCTCGGTCAACGTGGGCATGAAGCATCAGGCGGCAGAAGGAGGCCCGGAGGTCAAATGGGAGTGTCTCATCCATCATACATAAGAAGATCAGCTCTACATCCAGCTGCTTGGAGATCTCGTCTATGGCTAAATATTGACGGTCCAGACACATCCGGGCGAAGAGTTTCAGCTGGTACCTGAGGAGATCCACAGAAACAGAGACGTGAAGGTCCAACATCCTGACCACAACATCCTGATGATTCTGGTTTTAGGTTTCAGGTAGGAGACCTGTAGTAGGTGAGGACGTTCTCATCATGGGCGTTTCCTTGTCTGGCCTCCTGAGCAAGCTGCCTGATGCTCTTCTCCTGCCTCTCGTTGGTTTTGTCCGTCCACACCAGCCAGACCTATGAACAAGACAAGAGTCAGGTCTGATGAACAAGTCCACCAACACTTGGATTCTTTCAACGGTTCAGGAAAAAACAGATCGATTTTAGCGCCGAATCCATGAAGGCAACAGAAACCTCCTGAAAGAAACCAGCGCATGACATGCAGAAGGTAGTGTTGTGTCGTTCGCGAAGGATTTGTTCAAAAGAACCGAATCTTTCAAGTGAACGTACTGAACGAAATCACTTCCTCGAGTGATCCGTCGTTTCCCACTTCAGTTAAGCTAAAGTGAGAAAAAGCATTGCCAGTCGATGCTATTATTACTATGATGATTAATATTATTATATAATGATATATATTTAAACCATTAGTGTAGGAGAAGGGGTGGGACTAGATAAGTCTCGACTTCTTCCCACTCCTTTTTCAACTCAAATAACTTTTTTTCATTTGTTGTTGTATTCTTTACTTTTTTAATTATTTCTTTTTTAAATGTTCAAAATAAACTTCAATCAATCAATCAATCAATCACTAAGGGAAGGTTTGTCTGAGAAACACGAGTGAAAGAATCTGCGATCCGACAGTAGTTTCATGAGTATAATCAGATGCAGAGTTGGAAACAGAGGAAGTACGAACTGATCTTTGTGAACCCTTTAGATGATGATCTTCAGATCCTCCTCCATGCCATAAAGATTTTCGAACAGATTAGAGAAGCTCCTGATAAAGTTCCTCAGTGATCTGGAGTCTTCGTTCCTGCAGACAAACCAAGACTAAAACAGATCCAGGTCTATGTACCTCATCCTCATCTCCGTAGTCGTCCATTCCCATGTATTCTCCCTGAATACCACCAGGGGGCGCCTCTCTCGGGACTCGACGTCTGGAGGAAGTGAAACAGAAATCAGATGGAAGTTTCAGAGGTCAGCATTCTCACAGCAGCACAGACCTGACCAGACCAGTTTTTTACTTTTTTTTACTTAAATCTCTAAAACAACTTCAGCCCTAACCATTAAAAAGTAATAAATAAAAATTCGATGTATTACCCCTTTTTATGCCAGTTTTTGTTCACCATGACATATTTATTTTTAATGTTAAAAGAAACAAAAACACCAAATCGCCACATTTTCCATATAAAATGACCTCAACGATTAAAGGGGACCTGCCATCAAAATTTCATCCCCATTTTTATCATTTTTTCATAATCCTTGATGTCCTCTGATCATGTTTGCAACATAATTTTAGCTGAAAAGTTATTTGATGGTTTGTTTTAGTATGCCTAAAAAACCTTACAGGAAAACCAACTGGTTTTGGCTCATTAACATTTATGGTAATGAGCTTTGCTCTGATTGGATCGCTGCTGTGAAGCCTGCTGTGCTCTGATTGGCTCAGCAGTGGAGGTTCAGATTTCGGTTTATCCATTTTGCTACTGTGTGCTAAAGTAAGGTGCTCAGATGTCTGTATTGATATCCGGGGATATGCGGTGCGGCGGCGGGTGCAGGGGCTGTGTGATCACAGACAAAATCTCGGTACTATTTAGTAGCAGCGCATGCCCCTTATAATAACCCCGTAAGAACTGTTGTTCAGGACTGCTTACTTGTGCTTCCTACCTATTCGGCTACTGTAATAACCGTTGTTCGAGCCCACACGCAACATTTTCGCTCTCATTCATGAAACGCTTAAATCGGGGACATTTTCGGGGACAGCTTTTGCCGGGGACAGGTCATCCAATACGGGGACTGTCCCCGGAAATCGGGGACGTCTGGTCACCTTATGCTAAAGGCTAAAAATGGCAGGTATTAAACCATATATTTTAGACCCCGAGTCCGAAGAGGAGGTGGAAGTTGAAGAAGAAGCCGAAGATCTCCAGTGGTGTTTTTTCATTCATTCTGCCCAGCTTTAAGTTCATTTTCCCGGCAGTGAACCCAAGGAAACACCGGTCGTTTGGAAGAGGCCCATAGCGGATACAGTGGTAGCTGGGTCTCGCTCTGGCTGGAGAGTGATGTTGACTGTTAATGAGTACGAGAACGAGAGAGTGGGCGCAGCTCACCGAGAACGCGCTCGTGAATAATAATGAGCAAGGTCAGCACGACGTCAGAGGGACCTGCTTTTTCAATTGGCTTGGTTTACCCGTTCCTTTATTTTAAACCTTTACAGAATGCAAACGACGTAACGGTTTGTTTTCACATTTACAACATAAGACGAACATAATATGGACCTAATCTGACACAAAAAACACACAAAATTACATTTTGATGGCAGGTCCCTTTTAAAAAAACAAAAAAAAAAAACCAGAGTCTGGGCCATGTCAGTGATGAGAAATAAAACTGACTTTTGTGCATTTAAATTCTTTTTTTTGTGCCAATTTTTCATATTTTAAGCTCCATCCAGCCTACTTTGTCTCCAAAAGAGGCATGCATTTAAGTGTTCATGAAATAAACATTCTTAACATTTTTTTAGACTTTTTTTTTTTACTCAAATCTCTTAAACAACTTCAGCGCTAGCCATTAAAAAATAATAAATAAAAAATTCTATGTATTACTCTTTTTTTTGCCAGTTTTTGTGCACCATGTCACTGTTATTTTTAATGGTAAAAAACACAAAATTGCCATATTTCCCACATTAAATGACCTAGATGATCATATTATTTGATAAATAGAGTCTGGGCCATGTCAGTGAATAGAAGTAAAACCAACTTTGGTGCGTTTAAATATTTTTTGTAGTGCCAATTTTCATATTCTAGCTCCATCCAGCCTACTTTGTCCACAAAACCATCATGCAGAAAAGTGTTCACAAAATAATCATTTTTAACTCAAATCTGTTAAGTTTCATTCATTTCTGATGATGTTTAGTGGATGAATCAGCGCTTCAAACACTCTCAGTCCATGAATGAAGACTTGCATGCGCGGCACTGAAGGGGTTAAAATTATGTGCTGGCTCAATCTGTTGTATCACTGTCAGAAAGTCAAATTTAGAGCCCCGGTGATCAACTGACTGCAAAAAAAGGTTGTAATATGTTATGATGGTGCAATAAACACATGGTCAAAAAACGTGTTTTTAATGGAAGTCTATTGTCCGATTTGTGGACAAAGGAAGGTGGGTGGAGCTAAAATGCAGCGACAGAGAACTACAGGTGACACTGAGTTTTTCTTTTTATATTAAGACAAATAAGAACTCTCACCAAATTTGATTTTCCAATCTTTAAAAATGTGACTGTCAGCTCAAAATAAAGAGGAAAAAAATGACAGATGTCCTCAAAATGGACAGAGCAGGAACCGAGGGTTAAGGTGATTTTACTGTGTGTGTCTAATATTGAATCTTCTGATCAGAGTAACTATCCAGAACAAACTCTCCCATAACTTTAGACCATTCAGTCACTTCTATGACCTCCTCAGCTGACTTCTGACCTCTGACCATTGTTGGCTGTGTCATTGCTGACTTAAGTGTGTAGTTTAGATAAGTTCACCTCAGTCTAAGAAAGCTCATGTTAGCGTCTTTTCCTGCAGTGAACTAACAAATGAGAAACAGTGAAGGTCATTTGGGGGTCATCCCCTCATTCTCACTCAGTCTTGATGAGGATGTCCTGGTTTTTGGGGTCCAGCACACATTTGCAGATGAGCTCCTGAGTGACGGGGATGGCCACGTTGTTGGACACACACAGATCTGAGAGGTAGTCCAGGAACCTGCAGACCAACACAAAGTCAGACCCATGAACTCTGACACAGGAACCTCACTGACCTCCTCCTCCTCCTCCTCCTCCTCCTCCACCGCTCTCTGTTCTTCATACCTGGGCTCTCGGTTCTTGCGGACCAGGCTGACGAAGGTCTCCACCTCGGTCTTGGTGATGTGTTTCTCCAGCAGTTTGCGGTTGTTGTGCAGCAGGGCGGTGATGGTGTCCTCGGCCAGGATGTCATAACCGATCTGACTCTGCATCACGCCAAACTGTTTGGCGATGTGCTCCTGGAGGTGGTAGTGGGGGGGTGTTAGAGTTTCTTTAGGACCAGATCATCTGAAACCTCAGCTTGGATCAGAGTCCACTTAGCTGCTACTGCAGAAATCTCAGTCTGGACCAGATCATTTTCTTCTTGCCCTGATTGACTTTATTGTTTCCGGGTTTTAGGGATGCCCCTATCTGCTGGGGAGGATCCTGAGGTTCAATAAACCCCCAGAGATCCTCCAAAGAGGATTTTACACTTTAATTGGTTATTATGTTTTTTGATTTTAACAGGTTTGGACTTTGACGGCACGGATCATTTTAAAATTTAACCTCGTTATGATGGAAGTCAATCAACTACAGACGATAGGAAGGGATTAAAAACGTCAAACAATGAGAGAAACATGGATAAAAGTTTTGGATATTTTTAATAAATACAAAATTAAGGCAAACCTAACCTTAAACTATTTTCTGTATCAGGACCATAATCGGACTTTCTACTCTGGGGGTACGAGGGGACGAGGGTCAGACATTTACTCTAAATCTGCTGGTTTTGATGGAACATAGGAATGCTCCTTGTGTAGAACCTCGGACATGAATTCTTAATTAATAACTCCTCAATTGGAGGTCATCGCGTGGATCTGCCAAAGAAGTCATTAACCCATTTAAACCTTCCAAGCCAGGAGTGCATATTTGTCATTTTGTAACATTCTGTAGTTTTTTAATCATTCCTGGAGTCGTGGCAAATCAAATCATCATATCACATGAACACACTGTCAGTTAGGTATTTATTTATTGATTCATTTTTTTTATTTTTAGTGCTGCTTTTGTACTGGCGCTATACTAGGGCATCTGTATACCCTTTCAACACTTTATTTTTTATATTTACATTTGTATTAAATGGACACTTTATCATGACTGCCACTTGTTTTACAGAAAGCAAACAGTTTGTTATTCTCCAGTGCAGAGTCTTTACTTTTATTTATACAGCCATTTGAGTTTGTTTGTTCAAAGTTTTCAATAATCTGATGAAGGTTCAAAAAAAATAAAAGATAGTTATCTTGAAAGCCACATGTGTGAGCTTTCAAATACTTTTTAATTTTGTTTCTATCTGCTACAGAGGCTGAGATATCAGCTTTTTGTAAACCTCAACACTTCAGAAAACCTCAGGATCTGGGGGCCCTTCTCGAAATGGCCCTCAGGATTTCAGAGGCGTGTCTCAGACAGGTTTCAGGTCTTAATTGGTTAAGATACTCTGCTGCTAAACTTTCCAGTACTCAGTATGTTTCACTTTCACTGACATGAAAGAGTGAGGTAGTTATAAAAAAAAGAGAGAAAACGTATTCATGAATAAAAAAAATTAAAATAAATTAGGGTCCCAGTGAAGAACAAACTCTTTAGAGCATCATCATCATCATCATCATCATCATATTTATTTTTGGATCCTCTGAGAGTCTCACAGTTTTCAGATTCTCGAATATTCAGGACTTTGGAAATATTTGGGATCTAGGAAACAGAACTGGTCCGAGGACTGAACTGTGAGGAACTCCTTTCCGAGACTTTCAGACTCATTTAAAATCCAAACAAGTTATTTTTAATATCATCATCATCATCATCATCATCATCCTCCTCCTCTTGTTCCTCACCTGGTTCTTGCGGTAGTCCTCCTGGGAGTGTCTGAGGACTCTATAACAGAGTCTGAACATGTACTGGTAGGGAGAGTTCTTCTGGTCTGCCAGCTCCTCCAAACGCAGTAACGGACCCTCGCCTCCCGCCCGGTCCTTAAAGGGGGCCTTCAGGATCCCGAAGATCTGAACAAACATCACAGCAGTAAGTTGACGGTCTGTCGATGTTCTAGAACGTCTCTTTTTTTCCCTCCCACCTGTTTGAGGATGTTTTGTTCTCTCATCAGTTTCTGTCTCTCTCGGTTGGCTTTGGTCATCACCACGTCCAGGACCGGCTGACCGCTGTTGATGACGTCTGCCACGAAGAAAACCACATCCTCCAGCAGCTTGATGGCGAACCTGAGAGGACACCAAATGAAATCAGCATGTTCTCATTTTAACCATAAATGTATAACTTTGATATTCAGAAATATACTATCAGGATTAAAACTATCAGGATATATTTCTGAAAATACTCTGAATAATCCTGATAGTTTTAATCCTGCTGTCATTATCAGAGACTTCAGTTTTAGTTTCCTTCACAACAGTTCAAGGCGCTGTCTATCATACCGTCTGTCGTTTTGGCTGATGAAGCCCTGGTTAAACTGGTCGACCACCACGCTCAGCATGGCGCTGGCATCGTTGGCGAAGTCCAGATCTCTGATCTCCATCACAGGAACAGAGACGATGGCGAAGGCCTCCTTGTCTTCTTTGGTGGGACACGTCCCCAACTGCAAAAAAAAAAGGGGCGGTAACTTATATTCAGGAGTCAAGGTACACCAAGGTCACAGTAAGGTCACATTAAGGTCACATTATGTCACATTAAGGTCATATTGAGGTCACATTGAGGTCATTTTAAAGTCCTGACCCTCTGAATGTTTTAAGGGTAGAGTCTGAAGATAGAGAAAGGATTTTAGGATGGAGACAGAACCAGAGAACGTTCTGTTCTGGACCAGGACTAACCATGAGTCTGATGGGTCTCTCCTCGTCGATGTCGATGGGGACGTTGGTGCTCTGGATCCAGGTGTTAGTGCACAGGTGTCTCAGACGTACATATGAGTTTCTGAAAACAGAAGAACGGGTTATTTCCTGTTTATTAAATCTCAGCTTCTTTGCGGCGGTCCCGGCATTCCCACTCACCGTGGCACGAATGAGTCGGTCTTCTGCAGCGTGGTTGGATCCAACTCAAACAGCGAGGCGATATCGTTCCCATGAGCCACCGCCACCAATTTGTACTTTATCCTTTCACCGTGAGAACGCTTGTTACTACGACTACCATCCATCTGCAGAGAGGTCAGAGGTCAATGATAGAATCTGGAGGAGGTCATGAAAAGAGTATGAATAAAAAACAGAGACTCACGATGGACGGCGGCTCTGCGTTGTCTCCTTTATAACCCGGGTTCTCCTGAAAACAGCAGGAACAGAACTCTGTCAAAGTCCGACCCGTGTGGCGATCAAACGTTTGATTTCAAAGATGGTCGATAAAAGACACTGACGACGTGGCGATTTCAAATCAGATCCTATTTGCTGTAATGGGCGGGGCTAAAGTCCACTGAACAAGAAACTGATTCAACGTTTGACAAAAAGCCTGGGACGCTCACCTCAGCAGCCAAGTAGTTTCCTGTCGCCAGGTGTTTAAAGCGATAAAGGCTGTTCCAATGTCCCGCCCCCCCACGACAAGGGTCATGATGGACAACCTGATCAACCAATCAGCACACAGAACAGGGTTTAACACATGACAACGTAACTTAGAGTGTAGGGTTACAGCCACACTTTGGAGAGTCAAATTTGATACTTTTTAAGACTTTCAGGACTTTTAAAGACTTTGAAGGAATTTTATGTTTGTGTGTGTCAGTGTGTGTTTGTGTATCAGTGTGTGTTTGTGTGTTTGTGTGTTGCTCTGTACCTCGACCTCCCACAGGGCATTGGAGCTGGTGGCCGAGGTTGCCGACAGTCTCAGAGTTGTTCGAAGGAAAACGTGGATTTTACTTTTGTACTCGTCACACGTCAGAAACTTCTCCTGCTCAGCGTGAAATAACCGCACAACATCGCCCTGAACAACACACACACACACACACACACACACACAAACACACACACACACACACACACACACACACACACACACACACACACACACACACACACACACAGCGTTAAACTGCTGCACTAACTTTAACACAAAGGTTCAGAAATATCAAACTCTGATCTTTGTTAATGATTAGTATCAACAAATACAGATCATGTATCAATAGATGTTGCTGCGTCAAGATTAATATAGATCTAGTACCAATAGATGTTGCTGCAGTCATGACTAATATAGATCTAATATCAATAGATGTTGCTGCAGTCATGACTAATATAGATCTAATATCAATAGATGTTGCTGCGTCAAGATTAATATAGATCTAGTACCAATAGATGTTGCTGCAGTCATGACTAATATAGATCTAGTATGAATAGATGTTGCTGCAGTCATGACTAATATAGATCTAATATCAATAGATGTTGCTGCAGTCATGACTAATATAGATCTAGTATGAAAAGATGTTGCTGCAGTCATGACTAATATAGATCTAGTATGAATAGATGTTGCTGCAGTCACGACTAATATAGATCTAGTACGAATAGATGTTGCTGCAGTCATGACTAATATAGATCTAGTATGAATAGATGTTGCTGCAGTCATGACTAATATAGATCTAATACCAATAGATGTTGCTGCAGTCATGACTAATATAGATCTAGTATGAATAGATGTTGCTGCAGTCATGACTAATATAGATCTAATACCAATAGATGTTGCTGCAGTCATGACTAATATAGATCTAGTATGAATAGATGTTGCTGCAGTCATGACTAATATAGATCTAATATCAATAGATGTTGCTGCTGTCATGATTATTCCAGATCTAGTATCAGTAGATGTTATTGTCATGATTGATCACAGCTCTGCTCTGAGTCCTGTCCCTGATCCCCCCCCCCCCCCCCCCCACACACACACACACACACACACACACACACACACTACAAGAAGCCCCTCACCCCTTTGAGGACTTCCTCTCTGTGGTCGCTGAACATCATGAACAGGTTTATCTTCCAGCTGGTGTTACAGTTCACAGAGTTTACCTGCAGGGGGAGACACAGCACTTCAACATACACTTGAGTCCAGGGTCTGCGTGTGAGTGGCCCTCATTTATCAAGCTTGCGCAGATCTGAGCGCAGGATTCATTGTACGATAGGACACGCGTGAGATTTATGTATCTGACCAATCCCAGCGTACGTATGATCGGGTCTTGATAAATGCGGCGGTTGAAATCGATCGTCATCAACATGTTCACGCTCTTAAATATTCGCGGTTCAGAAGCCTCGCCCACTGAGGTCAAACATGAAAGAATATTAGAATGATGCAAAACTTTTCTGAGCTGAAAGTGGATATCCTCACATCTGTGGTGGAAACTAACAAGGATTTACTTTTTGGAAGCATCAAAACTGGTATAAAAGCAGTCGAGAAAACTCCTGTCTGGAGCAGGATTATGGTGGTGGTGAACAGCGCTGCTGCAGAATAGCGGACAGTGGCTGAAGTTTGATTAAATCATCAGTCAATAAGTTGCTCGTGATGATAAATTAATATCTCATACATGCCTTATATTTTTTATTGCCATGACATAGGGTACGTTGCTCCTATTATTGAAAGTATTTAGTTTTAATTTTTTGTGTCTTTGTAATGTAGAGCAGACTGGAGCGTCTGACAGAGGCTGAACAAAAATAATTATTAATGTCACCAAACGGTGTGTTGCTGCTCCTGAGGCACATTTTTATGGATTTCTATTGGATTTTTATCACTGATTAAATAGCAAGAGCTCTTTCTAAACTAATACTTCACATGTCAGTATTCATCGTTAAGGTCCTGTCTCCTCTGTACAGCACCTTTGTGGAGTCTCTCCTCGTTATTGTTCTCCGGGAATCGGGTCCTCACGTTGCACCGGCACAGCTAACAGCACTCCATTCACCAGTGCAACATTTTGCAAAACTGTACTGGCCCAAATAATGTCCCACACCCTTTCAGGAGTATACAACAATGTCCCCGCTGCTGGACCAAAATAAAGACACCTGCCTTTTAGGAGTCAAACGCAGCGCTCCACAGTAGCGCATGTGCGTGTGTGCGCAATGTTTAAAAAGCGCTCCTGCTCTGTGGCAGCGTTTCTGGGCAGAGTTATCAAATAGACCTATTCACTAAGGACATAACAAATTTATTTTTATTTTATTTACGTCTTAATCTTTAATGAAATCTGGCTGATTGTGCTTAATGACAGATTTGAGGTTTGTTTTTCAATTATTTTGAGACAGACATTTGCTGCACCGCAGAGCCACACTGACTCAAACTTACACGGTGTCAGACCTGTCGTTACGCTCATGTGCAGATTGATAAATGCCAATCCTCACGTCAAAATTTTCGTACGCAAGGTGTACGCAAGTTTTCTGCGCAAGCTTGATAAATGAGGGCCAGTGTGTATGTGTCTGTGCGTGTCTGTATCATAGACTGTATAAAGAATGGACAGAGTCTGCCTCCTCTCTGGGTGAATCCACTCCGAGAACAGCACCCTCTGTTGATGGGCTGCAGTATAGGTCATAAATCCCACCTCCACCAGCAAAGCTTATGGGGCTGTGGACCAACTTTAGAAATTTATTACACAGAACATACATTTTCCACCCCTGCTTACGATGTTGTTATTGTAAGACTGGTTTGTGCTCCAGTCCTCTTTTTTCTGTACGGCTCCGTTTTCAAAAGTTATTAGGGCGTTCATGTTTTCTATGATTGACACCTGATACAGCCTATGGGCTTCCAGGGATTACATAGCTCTCCTGGGAAAACGCTGTTTGAGCCGAGTGTCATCACAGCGACTCTCGGCGACTGCGCGGCCGAATGCGCGCATCGCTCCTGCGCAGCACTGGTTTCAGGAAATGAAGAAAAATCCTGGAAATATGGAGAACTATTTGGTTTCAAATCCGTATACAGGCGGTAGGCGGAACCAGGTTGTCCATAGTATATACAGTATATGGTCTGTATCAGTGTGTGTGTGTGTGTGTGTGTCTGTCTGTCACCTCCTTGCAGCCCGGGTGGTCGCTAAGTTCGTAGTTGGAGGCGTGGAGCGGTTGTCCGGCGTTCACAGGGTTCAGGATGACTTTGTCTCCGACCACCACCTTCACCGGCACACAAACACAGACACACAAACACAGGCACACACAGACGTCACTCATTCACTCACTCATTCATTTAATTACTGTTTAAATGAATGAGTGAGTAAAAAAGTTATTGTTTAGTTTCTCTTATTCATCCTAATTTTGATTTATTGAACTACATTTAATTTTATTTCTGTTTCAAGTTTTGTTTTGTTTCTCTTTATTTCTTTGTTTCCTTTATTCTTTTATTTTGAAAGGGACGGTCAAACTGACAGGAACTAGAGTTGCTTCCACAGGAACTGTCTTTAATCGTGTTTAAAAAAATAAATGAACTTGAAAAGCTCAGATTCTCCCTCAAGGGTTCCTTAGGACATTTTGAAAAAACTTGGAGACCGCTGCTGAATCATATTGAATCTTTGACATCTCTGCCTGATTGTGACGACTGAGCCCCCCTCCCCTTACTTTATTTACTTTTTTTGTGTTTGTTTTAGTTTATTTTATTTACTTTTTTCATATTTTTTTATTTCATTTTTACCCTTTTATAAGGGTGTGTAAACATTCTGTATTTCATTAGCCTGTGTACTTAATTATTTTTAATAATTATCTGTTACATGTAATACTGTCCTCTTTGAAAGGGGTGGGAATGTGGGAGGGATAAAAAAGATGGGGGAAAAATGACCGATTGGAAGTCCTTCTGACCATATTGTACTATCTCGCTACTGTGAACTTGCTTCCAATAAAGAAAGTTATCAAAAAAATAAAAATAAATGAAGCCTGTAGAAAATAAAATGCGTACAGTGGCAAATGTTCACTATCCTGATAGAAACGCTGAGAGCTCCTCAGAATATTTCAACAGACGGACACACGGAGGCGCCGTTCACAGCTGACTTACGTTGTCCCCGTCGGCGCGGAGCTTCCAGAAAGGTTGGATGATGAGCCAGGAACCTTCGTTCCCGGTCCCGTCCAGAGTCACCCTCATGGCGTTCTTCTCCAGCAGAGCGGGCAGACGCTTGTTCACCGTCAGGTATTTATTACTCTTCATGTGCAGAAGCTGAGGGGGACGCAGAAAAACAAAAAACAGACTTTTCTTTATCTTTCTCTCATCTGACATTCATGCAACAGACAATGGACTCTGTGGGAGCAGCAGAGTTGCCCTCTAGTGGACTTTAGAGGAAATACATGAAACTTTAAATAACTGTTGGTCTGTTTTTGAGGTACACTAAGAACCTTCTCTGAACATGATGAAGGTCCAGATCCTGTCTGATCTGCAACTACAATCATAAAACCTCTGGATGGATTTGGACTGAAGGTGGACTGAGATGTTCACTGGTGTTCTGGCCCGGGTGTGGGTCTGGGTTAATTCTGGGTCAAACTCTCTGAGGTCTGTTTGTCTCTCAGCCGTTTGACTCTCTGAGGCGTCTGTCCTGCAGCTGTTTGTCATGGATCAACATGGACACAAGAACAGGTCCGGCAGTCAAACAGGAAACAGAACTGTGACATCATCCTGTCAAACGGACCCTGACTCTAGTTCTGGTTCTGGTTCTTTAGAGAGCTGCCCCGTCTTTAAACCTGTTTGTATAAAAGCTCCTGTTGAAACTGATCCAAACCAACAAAAACAAAAACAAAGGAGACTTGACTGAGACTTTTATTTAGTCTTGATTTCCTGTGAGGGAGGCGGGTACCAGACCAGGTGACTCACTGATGAAATGACCCCTTATTAAAGTTCACCTGAGTTACTTATCAAAGACTAGAACCAGGACTCCTGCTGGAACAGGATGAGACCAGAGAGGAAGAGCCGTCCACCAGGGGGCACCAAAACCAACTCAGATACAGAGACGAGTTTATTTTGAACTGCAGACAGCTACACTCACTCACTCACTCACTCACTCACTCACTCACTCACTCACTCACTCACTCACTCACTCACTCACTCACTCACTCACTCACTCGCTTGTTTAGTCACACTTTAATCTCACATTTTTCACAACATAAAAAATTAGAGCAACGGTGAGGAGAGAGAGAGAGACAGTGAGAGACTTCATCATCGGAGTCTGGCGTTGATCACATGACAATAATAAAAAACTCAGAGAAGAAGAATCAAAGGTGAAAATTTTACCTGCATGACGGTTCCGTACTTGACCACGTCTCCGTGGACTTTCTTATTTTCAGTCTCATTCTGCTTCTGCTCCAGGTTTGAAGCGTGCTGCAAAACGAGATCGAACAGAGCATGCTCAGAGCAGTAACAAAAGACTGAACAGAGCGTGCTCAGAAACACAGTGGTCTGGAGGTTGAGGTTTTGAGTTTCCCGCTTTAGTTCAGGTGATTTCATTCTGAGTGAGCTGTTTCTGTTTTTATGGTTCTCTCTTTCCTAACTCCGACCTTTGACCTTCATCGACCAAATGCTGCTTCCTCAAACCTCAAACAGGATCTTCTCACTCCTGTTCCTACCTCTTGACACTGGCTCCTGTCTGTTTCTGTTCAAAATCTGGATTTACAGACCACTTCTGAAGTGGTCTTCCTCTCAGCTACATTAGACCTCTAAGGTTCGTATTTTTCTGACAGAATTTAGATCCTCAGGAATTAAACTGAAATCTGAGGAGGACTTAGACTGATCTGAGATCGGAGGAAACATCCATCAGAGAGGCTTTCCTGAAATTACTTCCTCTTCTTATTAATTACTTCATTATTATTATTATTATTACTATTATTTTTATGTTTTTTGTAATTATTATTTTTCTTTAAGTTGATGATGATGATGATAATCATCATCATCATCATTATTATTATTATTATTATTGTCATTATTATAATTATTTTATTGTTATCATTGTTTTTACTATTATTTTTTTTTTATTATGTTTTTAATTATCATTATTATCATCATTGTTTTTATTATTATTATTATTATTAGTAGTAGTAGTAGTATTAGTATTATTATTGTTGTTGTTTTGTCTTGTTATTAAATATCATACATGCAGATTTCTGTGTTTCGTCTCTTACCTGAAGTTTCTGCAGTAAAACCACGTCAGCGATTTTGTCCTTCTCATGTTTGGCTTGTTTGGCTTTCCAGAACTGTTTCTGAGCCGAGTACCTGCTCATAGGACAGACTTTGAACAGGCAGTCTGTGGACAGAAGAAGAACACACAGGAACCACGTTTGAGAAGAAGATCCAATAACCACACACACACTGAGACAGATATCATGTTCAACCAGAACATCTTTAGGTGGACCTAACTTAAAAATGTTCTTGTGGACTTTTGGACCTGTCGAGCCGTGGGTCTGTGGAGTTCCTGGTTCTGAGCTTAGCCCAACAGAGAAGGTCTGACCAGTGAAGCAGCTCTGCAGACTTACTGGCTGTTTTGGTTTCTGGGCCCTGAACTGGTGAAGCGTCAGACGTTAATCCGACCACTGAACCAGAGAGTTCTGCCCGATGACCAAATATGGTTGTGGTGTCTGTGTGAGCTGATTAACAGAGACAGCTGTCGGGAGTTTAGAGGAAATCTGCATCAGTCACAGGAACCCAGTCCTGTCGGAGTGGTTCAGTCTGAGAAAATGGACTCTGTGGTTCCTCCTGTGAGACCTGAGACTGACCTCCATCTCTTCTTCTTCTTCTCCTCAGAGTCTCACAGGAAGGTGGAGGTGGGAGGAGCTCTGACAGACCTGGGGCCTCATTTATCAACCGCGCGTACGCACAGATGTGTGCTTAAAGAGTGCGTACGAACATTCCTGCGCAAAGTCTGGAATTTATCAACCTGTACTTGTGCTTAGGAACGTGCGTAAATTTAAGCACAACTCTGACCATGCGTACACACAAAACCTCGTGGTAGGACAGTAAAACTACAAATAGAACCCATTAAAGGAGTCACAGCGTTCAGCAATCTCAAACTTCACACATGTTCCCGTTGTCTCTATACAAAATTTATCAATTAGTAATTTAGCAGACATTTTGAATGATTGGTGAGACAAACTAAAAATCTGCTGTGACAGGACAACCTCACAAGAATTCTTACAAATACAAATACAAATACAAGTATCCTGGTTTATTTTGCGCTGAAACAACAACAACTAACAACAGCTGACAATGGGTAACTGTAGGCGTCCATCTAAGTTTTCCAACTTGTTAACTGTCTGACGCAAAAGTAACTGACTGTGGCATCAATATTCACTAAGGACATACCACTGACTCTAAAGGATGCAAAAATTTCAATGTATGCAGATGATTCAACAATAGACATAGCTAAAACCACAACAGATGAACTTAAACCAGGAACTTCAAATAGTGGTTAATTGGATAACTGATAATATTGACATTGTCTTTGTGTTTGTAGTGTGATGTTTCTTTGTGTCTTTGCATTGTGATGGAGAGCCAAGTGTAAATGTAGACTCCAGGAAGAATAGTGATGGCCTTAGCCAAAGCTAAAGACAGCAGCAGTGTCCACACAGGCCGTCCAAAGTCATCCACACAGAGTGAAGACAAAGTTCAAAACTCTTCCTCTATGAGCAAACGCCATCATTCACAGCGAAGAGGCAGAAATTCAGAAAACAAACAAAAGGGTGAAAGAGAAACAGAGAGAGAGTCAATATTGACTCTAAGACAGCCCTGTGCATTCACAAACATGGAGAGTTTTACAGTCTGTCAACATGATCCATCTGTCCGTCCGTTTGTCTGTAATCACTCCACCGTCGGCTTCTAACAACCTCAGATCATGAAGAGAACGACATTTTCATTCAGTGTGTTGTTAAAGGACAAATATGAGCAGAATAAACTTGTCACAGATGATGAGCTGTTTACGAGGAAGTGGAGGTGTGGTTCACCAGACCTGTTCGGATGAGGACCAGGACTTCTCAGACAAACACCGTCGACCAGCTCCTCAAGTCTCAGTTCTGTGGTTCAGCATCTTCACAGACACTGAAGATCCCACACCCTTAAATCGCTTGTTTTTTGAATAGAGTTTGGTTTGGATACTTCAAAGCCACTGCAGTCCTCTCCTGTGAGAAGAGTCTGCTCCACATTTGATATCTGTCACCTCTCAAAGTGGGTTAGGGAAAAGGGGTGGAGCCGTCATCTGGCACCCAATGACCCGATGGGTGGTCGCTGGATTTAAGTCTGTCAGTCAGTCAGTGATCTAGTTCTGAAGTGGATCAGGTCTCCAATGCTCTGATGACAGATGGTGCAGCATGAATGTGTTTATGTGTGCTTATGTGTGTTTATGTGTGCTTATGTGTGTGTGTATCCTCGTCCCCTGGACCACCGTCACAGAGGGATGGACCACTTCACTGCAGGTCTGAACGTGTTCTGAGAGACCGGATCAGGACTCTCAGTCTCACAGTAAAGACTCAGTCTGCTCCTGCAGCTCTTTAAATCATTAAAACCTCCGTACAAACCGGTTCCACCACTAAAACCAGTTCTAATGTAGAACTATGTAATCCTTGATGTTCACACTGTTAAACCAAGGCTAAACTCACACAGACCTGCATGGACCAGGAGAAGAGGCCCCAGGTGAGGATGTGAGAGTAAGGCAGGTGAACCGCTACTGACGCAAACACTGACACAGATACAGACACAGACCTGCAGGGACCAGGAGAAGAGGCCCCAGGTGAGGGTGTGACAGTGAGGCAGCAGGTGAAAGGGACCCACCTGAACCACTACTGACACACAGACACAGATACTGACACAGATACAGACACTGACACAGATACAGACACAGATACTGACACAAACATACACACTGACACAAACACAGATACAGATACGGGCACATATACACACAAACACACACACAGAGACACATATAGACTGATCCAGATACTGACACAGATACAGATACTGACACGGATACTGACACAGATACAGATACAGACACAGATACAGATAGAGATACAGATAGAGTTACTGAAAAAGATACAGACAGAGATACAGATAGAGTTACTGACAAAGTTACAAACAGAGATACAGACACAGATACAGATAGAGATACAGACAAAGACTGGCACAGATACAGACACAGATAGAGATACAGACAGAGATACAGATACAGACACAGACTGACACAGACACAGATACAGATACAGACACAGATACAGATAGAGATACAGACACAGACTGACACACATACAGACACAGACACACATACAGACACTGACAAAGATACAGACACTGACACAGATACAGACACTGACACTAACAAAGATTCAGACACAGACACTGATACAGATACAGACACAGATACAGATACAGACACACACACAGACAAAGATACAGACACTGACACAGATACAGACACTGACACTGACTCAGACACAGACACTGATACAGATACAGACACAGACACAGATACAGATACAGACACAGATACAGATAGAGATACAGACACAGACTGACACACATACAGACACAGACACACATGCAGACACTGACAAAGATACAGACACACACACAGATACAGACACACACACAGACAAAGATACAGACACTGACACAGATACAGACACTGACACTGACAAAGATTCAGACACAGACACTGATACAGATACAGACACAGACACAGATACAGACACACACACAGACAAAGATACAGACACTGACACAGATACAGACACTGACACTGACAAAGATTCAGACACAGACACTGATACAGATACAGACACAGACACAGATACAGATACAGACACAGATACAGATAGAGATACAGACACAGACTGACACACATACAGACACAGACACACATGCAGACACTGACAAAGATACAGACACACACACAGATACAGACACACACACAGACAAAGATACAGACACTGACACAGATACAGACACTGACAAAGATTCAGACACAGACACTGATACAGATACAGACACAGACACTGACAAAGATACACACACACTGATACATACACAGACACACACACAGACTGGGGCGCTTATAATGGGGGGAAAAGGAGAAGGATTCTAGGGGCCCATGATTGAGAGGGCCCAGAGAGGCTCCTAATGAAGCTTTACTAAAAAAAATAACATGACTCTAAGTTATAATGAAAATTTAATCACAAATATTTTATAAACAGAGTCCTGATTACAGTAAGTTTATTTGTTTTTTAAAATTTAATGGCTCAATAAAATAATATGTGTGTTTAGTTATACACAAATATTAAGTTTAGCTCGCTGGTTATATTTAATCAGCTGACCTCCCTTCTGTCAAAACGAGACCTCCTTCTGAACAGAAGCAGCTGTCTGTCTGTCTGTCTGTCAGTCCCTAACTCCAGCAGCCCCAGAGCCCCTGCATAAGAAAGGGGTGAGCAGCTGTATGTGTGTTGGATTAATCATAATGATAAACTTTATCACAGTTTTAAAACAATACACTCAAAGATGAATCTGTTATTAAGGAAAATAATAAAATAATTCTGAACAATTTTAATGGTTTCAAATGCAAAACTGTTTTTATTTTGTTTTAATTCAGCTACTATTGAAATAGAATATGTGCAACAGGAACAGAAGAATAAACATGTTGTATGTGCAGCAGACTGGGGTGACCGCTCTCAATCCAATAAGAGAAGTTTACATGTTCAGAGGGGGAACGCTTGTGTTTGTGTACAAATAGTTTTATTATAGGAAATATTATATAATTTATTTATGTCCCCTAGACTCTGCAGAGTCAGGTCCAAGACTGTCTTCAGGTTTGTCAGGGAGGAATGTGGAGGAAGAGATGGAAGAGGGTCCAGATGAAAGTGAGAGCACAGAAACAGGCAACAGAGAGTGAGGAGACCAAAGATGTTGAGAGGAATTCAGATGTGGAGGATGGACTAAACGAGTGTACAGAAACATAAAAATACAGTTTTATGTTCAAAAAATTGGTCTTCTGTGTTAAGAATTCTTTTCATGGGGCCCAGAATCCCTAGCAGCACCCCTGGACTAAACGAGTGTACAGAAACATACAGACTCTGGTCCTACCTCTGAACTTCTTTGGGGGGTTCTCCAGATCTCCAGCAGCTGGCTCCACCACACATCGGTCATCCACCAACCTGCAGAGAAAAAACACAGAAGAGGAAGAAGAAACATCAGAGGAGAGACCAATGAGAAGATGGAGAAGAGAGGAGGGGCGTAGTATGAAGAAAAGAGGGGCGGGGTCTGAAGAAAAGAGGGGCGTGGTCTCAGGGAAAGAGGGTCTGAAAGTGGTCTGAATGGGGGGGGGGCAGAGTCTGGAGAAAAGAGGCGCGGAGTCTGAGTCTGAGAAGGTCTACAGTTTGTTCTGAAAACCAGGATCGGACTGGTTAACATAGACCCCCTCCTTGAAATTTAGTATCTGTGATTCTGTTTATTTATACAGCTCTTTACAACAACCCAAAGTGCTTTACAATACATCATAAATTTGAATAAATAAAAATAATAAAAGCAATAAAAAGAAAAAGAATTGAATACCATCAAATAATATAAAGTGTCACTGCAGTACTGTGTATAATAATCCAGCGTAAATAAATATGTTTTTTATCTAGATTTAAAAAGGCCCAGGTCAGAAATGAGTCCCATTTCGGTGGGGAGTTAATTCCAGCACCTGGGACCAGCGACTGAAATGTCTCGGTCACCCCAGTGTTTGTGTTTTGACCTGGATACCTCCAGCAGAAGTTGGTTTGACAACCTCAGAGCTCTACCCGGCTCCTAGTCAAATAGATGGGGACGAGGTCGTTTAGAGCTGTAAAAACAAACATTTAAAGTTTAAAACCAATCCTAAAAGAGATGGGAAGACGATGGAGGGAGTTAAGGACAGGAGTGATGTGCTCACGTCTGTTAGTGTTGGTTAAAAGATGGGCAGCAGCATTTTGGACAAGTTGAAGGCGACTAAGAGATGATTGGGAGATGCCGAGATAAAGTGAATTATAATAGTCAAATCTTGAACTTATTAGAGCATGGATGGTGATCTCAAGGTTGTGATGTCTTAATAAGATTTTGACTTTGGCCAGGAGACAGAGTTGGAAGAAACAAGTCCTGAAAATATGAATTCTGACAGTTTGAGTTAACTTTGGAAACAAGCCAAATCCAGCCGTCACTGTGTCCCCAAACACAGAAACATTCACTCTCTCATCATGGACGAACAGGTATGAACAGGTATGAACAGGTGAGCCTGCAGATGGCCTCCTCACTGCAGGAACAAGAAGATAAGGAGGAGAAAGCACTCAGCTCCTCTGTGCAGGGCGGGGTCACGGTGGCGTACAAACTCTGGTTTCCATCTGATTTGACTTATGCAAAAACTCTCTGATCAGCTGGACTCACAGATTTACATTCTGGTTCAGTCTGGATCCAAAACAAACCAAAACCAGGACCTGCAAACAAATCAGGAGTCTGAACTGATCAGCTGTGATCATGTGACTGACTAAATCTTTGCACCCAGAGGAAAAGGAGGAGGAGGAAGAAGAGGAGGGTGAGGAAAAGGAGGAGGAGGAGGAGGAGGTGGCAGAGGATGAGGAGGAGTTGGGGGAGAAGGGGGAGGGGGAGGAAGAGAGGAGGAGGAGGAGGAGGAAGAAGAGGAGAGAGGAGGAGATGGGGAGAGGAGGAGAAGAGATGGAGAAAAGGAGGAAGGGGAGGAGGGGGGGAAGAGGAGAGAGGAAAAGGGAGGAGAAAGAGGAGAGGAGGAGGAGAGGAGGAGGAGAGGAGAAGGAGGAGGACAGGGGAGGAGGAGGAAAGAAGAGAGGAGGAGGAGGAGGAGGAGAGATGGAGGAGAAGAAGGAAGGGGAGGAGGGGGGAGGGAGGAAGAGGAGGGGGGGAGTAGAAGGAAGAGGAGGAGAAGGAGGAGTGGGAGGAGGAGGAGGAGGAGGAAGAAGAGAAGGAAGAAGAGGAGGAGGTGGCAGAGGATGAGGAGGAGTTGGGGGAGAAGGGGGAGGGGGAGGAAGAGAGGAGGAGGAGTGGGAGAAGGAGGAGGAGGAGAGGAGGAAGAAGAGGAGAGAGGAGGAGATGGGGAGAGGAGGAGAAGAGATGGAGGAAAAGAAGGAAGGGGAGGGGGGGGGGAGAGGAGAGAGGAAAAGGGAGGAGAAAGAGGAGAGGAGGAGGAGAGGAGAAGGAGGAGGACAGGGGAGGAGGAGGAAAGAAGAGAGGAGGAGGAGGAGGAGGAGAGATGGAGGAGAAGAAGGAAGGGGAGGAGGGGGGAGGGAGGAAGAGGAGGGGGGGAGTAGAAGGAAGAGGAGGAGAAGGAGGAGTGGGAGGAGGAGAGAGAGGAGAGAGGAGAGGAGGAGCAGGAAGAGGAGGAGGAGGATAGAGAGGAGGAAGGGGAAGATGAGGAGGAGGACTCCATCAAGTCTGATCAGTTATTGAGACCAGGAAAACCAGGATCACCAAAAAGGTTTTCACAGACCCTCCTTACTAGGTGGTCTTCCAAAACCTTAATGCAGCTCTCCAGAGGGAGAGAGAGTGGGTGAGCAAAGACAGAGAGAACACACGCTTTCCACTCTTTACAGACACGCCCCTACATCAAATAATGTTCACTGATTGGACGCTGCAGCTCCCTGGACTTCATAAACATAATTTCTTCTTTTTCTGAATTTTGGGTCACACAGTCAGGTTCTGGTTCTGAGTCTAACCCCCCCACAGAGAGCTTTAAAAAAAACCTGAATGTGGGTCAGAGCCCCCCTGACTCAGACCTCCTGTGACCCCCCCCCCCCCTTTCAGTTCAGAGGAACAGCTGCTGGTTGGAGGTTTGGATCGATGTTTACTCAGATATCAGTTAGTTATTTCGACAGAGTCCGCAGCTTTTAAAAAAAGAAAAAAAAATCCACTCTGGAAAACATTCGTGTTGAAGAAAAAATATAAATAATCTTCAGTTTTATTTATTATGACCAAAAGTTTTATTCCAAAAAATAACAAAGGAAGTAGCAGGTTAACACACCTGTTGCTACTAATCTTACAGGAGCAGGTAAGAAAACATTTTTTTTTCTGTAACTAACCAAACACTGACTGATTCCAGATCAACAAAAACATCTCACACACATCTACAGTTTTTTATCAACATTGACCAAATCACAGGAAAACTGGAACTCTAATATAGTTTTAACATTTTTAACCACCGTTTGAACTTCTGATTGAAATGATTGATCTTTTTAATACATTTCAATCATGTTAGCTGTATTTATAACCATGAACTCTTCCTCCGCCTCTACATGCTGGACACAGAGACTGAAATTAAACTCCGAATTTAACCACAAAGTCCAAGGGCCTATTCTACGAAGCAAGTTCAATCTAGCAAGCTAGCCTTGGAGCTACCTCGTTTGCAGCTCCAAGGCTAGCGAGGTAGCCTTGGAGCTAGCTCGCTCAACTTAGCGCGGTAGCCAGCGGTCTCACTAAACGGTCTTACGACACTGGTTATCAACCTCATAAGTGGATCCAGCTTTGCTATGAGCGCGTGCACGCATGTAAGGCAGAGCCCACCACATCTGACCAATCGCGAACATGGACCAGAGCTAAGGACTGCAGACTTTACAAACGAGGAGCAGGAGACGATCATGACAAAGTATGAAGAATTCAAATCTATCATAAACCTCAAAAGCAACACCGTTGCCGCGGCAAGAGCACGGAAGGAATGCTGGCAGATAATTGCAGACAGTTTCAATGTGTAAATATAGTACGCAAAAAATCATTTTTTGTGTGATATGTCGGCTATATGAGCCTTTCATAAAGGTAGTCTTCCGGAAAAGTAAGTGGGTCTATGTGGTCCCTGAAAACTCTCGCGCTCCTTGGACAATACGAGCACCGAGGTCTATAGGATCCTCCAAGAACGGACAAGCTATTTTTCAAGAGAGCTCATTGGTCAGTGGGAGGGGTTTTTATACTTGGTGAGTTCAATCTGGAACCTAACCTTGTCCCGGAGCAGGTTCCCTGTTCAGCGTACGTTGCCATGGAGACTCGCCTCGCTAAGAAGTGAACCCGCTTTGTAGAACAGGAAACCCCGAACTTACCCTTGAAGTTACCTCGCTAAGCAGTAATCCTGCTTCGTAGACTAGGCCCCTGTTCTCAGCAGGTTCAGGTTCACTGACTCTTCTGAACTCCACAAACTAAACCTGGACTCAGTGGTGATAAACTCGCTTGCCGTCTCTCAGTCTTTCCTCCTGCTGTTCGTCTCTGACCGCCCACAGAGTCAGCTGTCACTAAAAACCACAACAGCCAATCACTTCTTTTGTTTGCCTGCCAGGTGTGTCCCAGGTGTGTGTGTGTGTGTGTGTGTGTGTTGATTGCTCCATTCACAGAGCTGTCACTCACAGGCTCAGGTATGTGACTGAGGTGTTGAGCGCTCTGACCTGTTTCTGTCGTTTCAATCTGACTCACAGTTCAGACATCAGGAACATCTGTGTGTGTGTGTGTGTGTGTGTGTGTGTGTGTGTGTGTGTGTGTGTGTGTGTGTGTGTGTGTGTGTGTGTGTGTGTGTGTGTGTGGGGTTTACAGACAGAGACTCTAAGGCCCTCCCCCCAAAAAGAAAAAAAGAGGACAGCAGTAATCGCAACAACCTGCAGATTCACGTTCAATCGCACGATAACGAGTTGTCTTTATAAAGACAGACACATAGACATATAAGCAGTAGATTGTGTCCTTCCAGAGGAGGGAATCTACTTCTAGACTTCTAGAATCAGCATCTCCTCATCCATGGTGTCATCGGGGTGAAATTACGTCTAAAAACCTTTCACTTGTTCATCTCCGCCCGTTTGCATGGTGTGAAATACGATCCTCCTGAAACACAGAGTGTTTTATTTTGAAAAGAAGCCGGATGTTTTATTTTGTGTCTGTGCCCGACTTCCTTTCCAGCACGGGTTAACCTGTGCAGAATTTATCCATGCTCCAGCGCCCGGAAAAAAACTCTTGAGATCAGCTGTGGAGTCCGGCGATCCACAGAGGAACGGAAAGAAGCCGATGGAAATTGACACGTTAACTTGAATGGTTACGATCAGCTACGATCGGAGGATACGACCTTTTCATAGAAGTTCAGCATGTGGTGGAAATTGGGGGTTATACAACTTTCCCTCCAAAGATCTGGAGATGAAGACTCTTGTACAAAAGTCCAGGAAAATCCTGATCTGTCCTGGAGAGTTATTGAAGAACCCTCCTAATTTAACAGCAGAGTCATGGAGAGTCACTTTTTCAAGTCTCAACAAGTCCACGTCAAATCTCAGGTCACTAAAGGACAAGTTCACGTCAGTATCCACAAGTCCAAGTTACAGTCAAGTCTCAAATCTCTGAGGGGTCAAGTTTAGGTCAATTTTCAAATCTTTAGTCACAAGTCCCAAGTCTTTCACTACGAGTCAGAATCAGGTCTCAGGTCTTAATCTGTAAGGGTTACTCTAGTCCAAGTCTTTGACTCGGGTCCTCTCTCTGGGTGAAAGAGCTGAAACTAAAGTCACACGACCCAGGCTGCAGGTGGGACAAGGTTAAGCTAACACTTCCGGGGGTTCTGTAGGACCGGACCTACCCCCGGACAAGTGTGGACCCTCAGTCAGCTGATGGCAGGTTAAAGTCAAGGGACAGGTGGATCCTCCTCCAGTTTGTGGATCTGCTTAGTCCTGTTAGTGTTTGTGAAACAGAATTTGACTGTAGGGAAATCAGCTGATTCATCCACTCATCTACCTCTCTCTCTCTCGCTTTCTCTCCCTCTCCCTCTCCCTCTCTCTCTCTCACTCCCTCTCTCCCTCTCTCTCTTTCTCCTCCTCACTTTTGCTCTCTCGCTCACCCCGTCTCTCTCTCGCTTGCCCTGTCTCAGGGACTTCCTATTCAAAGTCTCTATCACTTTTGCACTGTCAGTAAACTCCCAATAAAAACAACCATGAGCAAACAGCTGAGAGAGCGTGTGCGTGTATGTGTGTGTGTGTGTGTGGGGGGGGGGGGGTTCTCTGAAGGACAAAAGTTTGGGGACCCCTGAACTTGCTGCAGGAACATGACCATGAATCTGCACCTTCTCCTCCTCCCGCTCTAGCTTTATCTCCAGATGTTAAACCCTTTGCAGGGACCTGGCTTTATAGTTCAGCAGGGATAATAAATTTTTTTACCCGAATTTCCTTCGGGAGTCATCCCAAGGGATGAATAAAGTCTAAGTCTCTAAGTCTAACCCACTCATATTCACTCATTCATATGATCAAACTTAAACTGAGCATGCTCAGTGAGAGCACATGTAGCAATCGCACATCACAGCAAGCTAAGCTGGAATAGCTGTCCGTGAGATTAAAGTTAGCGACAAAGAAACAAACAGATCAGAGACGAAGAGGGAAGATAAAAGTGAGGAGCAGGAGGATAGAGGAGAAAGAGGAGGAAAGGAGAGAGGAGAGAGGAGAGAGGGGGAGAAAGAGGAGGAAAGGAGAGAGGAGAGAGGAGGAGAAAGGAAGCTCAGGTGTTCCTACAGGTCTCTCAGGTGGGTCAGTTTAGTCTTGTTTGATCAGACAGGTGGAGGACGACACGTTCAGCTGATCCAGAGAGAACCGGATTATTGACTCTCCTCTGTGATTGACAGCTCTCCCTACCTGATGTCTGATATGTAAGGCTGCATCATATATTGTTTGTTTGATATTGTTTGATCATTGTCATGGCGATGTACGTGTGTGTAATAGTTACATGTCAGATCCTGCGATGTCGGAGGAGAATGAACTCCTCTAATTTCAAGGGTAGCTGACTGACATACACTGCATGTGACTCTGCATGTGCTGTGCAGCAATCCACCAATCACATTCGTTCTTTACTTAGTTAACAATCAGACTACCCTGCCAGCGGTCAATCAAAATCAGAGAGGAGGAAACCAGGCACCTGCACATGGAGTGAGTCGATACTGAGAAACGCCGAGAATTACTTTCGGAACATTCTTCATCACTGTTAAGTCCAACAAATAAGAACTGTATGGGTTTAAATTGTACATTTCCATGGACCACTCTATGATGCAGACATTTAGACAAGTCCTGGAGGACTGATCCAGGACCTGATGGTAACAGCGGACATCTAAGATCACCAAAGCCAGAGATACTAAGACTGTGGCTCCACCAGCTGGACTGAACCAGGACCCCGTCAGTCAGCTGTTAGCGTACAAGGCTGCTAGCATACGGGGCTAACACGACTAAAAAACACTTCCTGTTGTTACTGCGTTAGTGAAAGTCAAACTCCAGGGCGCAGAGACACTGAAAAGGTCAAGATCCAGTCAGACGGGGGGGGTTAGACCACAGGAAACACACACACACACACACACACACACACACACACACACACACACAGTAGCAGCTGAGTGTGTGTTTGTATGGCAGGAAAGGGAAGTGGTACTGAGTGTGTCCAGGAGAGATTTCCACTGTGCCAGTTTGTGTGTGTGTGTGTGTGTGTGTGTGTGTGTGTGTGTGTGTGTGTGTGTGTGTGTGTGTGTGTGGTGTAAAGGTTGGAGGCCCTCATAAAGTCATAAAGTCTTTGAACGTCTTACGTTTCCGTCTTTTCTTTTCTGCCGTTTTCATCCTTTAAAACGTCAAAAACAAAAGTTCTTACAGTTATGGTCTCTCTCTCAGGTTCTGGTTCTGTTCCACAGACTGGAGGTCAGACTTGGACCGGGGCAGCAAAGACCAGCTGCAGGAAGGCGTGTCAGAACCAGAACCCCTCAGACAGAGCTGTGAAGGTCAATGTAAAATTAAAACGCCTCCTGACGTGTTTGTGAAAGGTCAAAGGTCAGAGAGACAGCGTGATATCTGAGCACCTGCTTTAACAGACGCAGACATACGTTCATAAAGGAATCAGTTCTGTGACCTTCAGTTGAAGCTCCTCCTCTCTGATCATGTGATCACTCTGTCTGACTCCACAGTCCTGGTTGTGGTTGACCCGGATTCTCCTCCATCACAGTTCACAGACCCTCAGCAGGTCACAGGTGTGACTTCTGTTTCCTGTCGCAGCAACAAGATGTCAGAAAAACCGACTCAGAGAAGAGGAACTAAAGTTCTGATCCAGAGGAGACCTGAAGGGGGCGTCTGTGAGTCTGGACCCACAATCAGAACCTGAGTGTGAACTAGAGGATGACATTTTTCGGGAATTCCCGTGGGTCACGTGATTCCCCCGGGAATCCCACAGGATGGGAGTCATTTTTTAAACAATCCCGTGACTGGGACGGGACGGGAAAAAAAAGCAACAGGAGCGGGCAGGAGCGGGATCAACATTAATAGATGATCATTTTCAGCCGTGTTAAACAACCAGATGAACAGATGCGTCCATTTTTGTAGTCATCTCTCAGTGAGAGCCAACTCTCTTGACCGTGCCAGCAACACAAAAGAACTACAACAGTGGTTTGACTTCCTGTCACCACCGGAAGTGAAAAGCGACTTGGAGCAGCTGCCGGCGAAGCACACTCCCATGTTACCTCAACAAGAACATATACATATACAGTAGCGGTTCTAAGCATGGGTGAACCTGGCCCGGGGCGGCATTTTTGCGGTTTTGTATTAACTCTTGTCAAATTGGCGCTCCCTGCTACTGTAGGCGCCCCTGCTTGCTGCGAAGGTGCCGCACAGTGGCTGACAGACTGTATGAGACGAAACGGGGAGAGGGTCGCGGAGGCAGCTCTGCTCTCAGGATTGCTCTCACTCTGCCAGTCACGGTGGCTCAAGCAGAGAGGAGCTTCTCAAAACTGAAGTTGATGAAATCGTACCAAAGGTCAACCATGTCTCAGGAACGGCTCACTGGCCTTGCCGTCATCAGCATCAATCACTTAACCCATTTAGACCGGGACAGTATGTACGCATATTAGCCCTCCAAGCCGGGAGCGCGGCTGCGCATTTCTACCCTTCAAGCCGGGAGCGCGGATACGTCATTTTGTGACATTCTGTAGTTTTTTAATCATTTCTGGAGTCGTGGCGAATCAAATCACCATACCTGTCTGCCTCTGATAGGCGAATAAAGCGCTCGGATTCATGCTCAGATCTTGCTACGTGCTTCAAGAGTAAAGTAAACAATGACGGAGGCAGAGAGCAGCTTTGTAGGAGAAACATCCAGCAGTGTGAACAACCTGTTTCATGACTGTGGGTGAGCACAGACATGAACACACTGTCAGACATTTATTTATTCATTTTTCTAGTTTTAAGTGCTGGTCTTGTACTGGCACTGTACTAGGGCGGCTGCATACCCTTTCAACAATTTATTTTTTATATTAACATTTGTGTTGAATGGACACTTTATCATGACTGCCACTTGTTTTACAGAAAGCAAATAGTTTTTCATTTTCCAGTGCAGAGTCTTTACTTTTATTTATACAGCGGCTTTATTTCATTTAAGTTTGTTTGTTTAAGGTTTTTCAATAATGTGATGAAGGTTCCGAAAAATAATAAATAGCTTTCTTGAAAGCTCTCAAATACTTTTTGAATCCTGTTTCTACCTGTGACAGAGGCTGAGATATCAGCTTTTTAGTAAACCTCAACAGTTAAGTAAACCTCAGGATCTGGGGGCCCTTCTCAAAATTGCCCTCAGGATTTCAGAGGCATGGCTCAGACAGGGTTCAGGTCATAATGGGTTAGTGCTGAGGAGATTATTGATGATTTTGCATCAAGGAAGGCAAGAAAGGTCAGGTTTTAGTATTAGTCCCCTCGCCCGGGGAGTAATTTAGTCTAGAAATGCCATTATATGCACTTTGTTTACACCGACCGAATGTCAGGCATGTGAAACTTAAGGGCAATGCCTTTTATATGCACTGCACTTTTACCTAATATAAAAAAAATGCAACATTTTTTCAACATGTTTCGTTTTATTCAAACGGGAGCGGGACAGGAGTGGGAGTAATTTTGAGTGGGAGCAGGATGGGAGTGGGAGTCATTCTACGGGAGTGGGACAGGACGGGATTAATTTTTTTACTCCAGTCCGGGATTGGGACGGGACGGGATTTTTTCTCTGGGAGTGGGACGGGACAGGAGTGAAAATCTGCTCCCGTGTCATGCTCTAGTGTGAACACATGAACTTGGATTACAGATCTCCATGAACAGATGAACTCTGAGAGAACCAGCACAGGCCGGCAGGGTCCAAAGACCAGGAGACTAAACTCAAACAGAACCATCCTCTCAGACCAGGATCAGATGGACGTCTTTGTGGAGATACCAGAACCTAAGGTGGACCTGAAGTATCAGAACCTAAAGTGGACCTGAAGTCCTGCTGAGGTTTTCCATCTAAGACAGCAGAGACCTGTACTACGAAGCTGGATTTGGTCTTAGCGAGATAACTTCTGGATAACTTCTGGGTTTTCCGTCCTACGAAGGTGGATTTCTTTTTATCCAGGTCCATTGCCCCGGTAACTTACGCGAAACGCCAAACCTGCTCCGGAGCAGGCTATGTTCCAAGATGAGATCTCAGCAGGTATAAAAGACCGCCCACTGACCAATCGGATCTCTTGGAAAATGGCTTGCCCACTTTTGCCGGATCCCGGGGACATCGTTGCACAGATAGTGAGAGGAGCGCTTTGCGTTATATTCATGATCGTTCAAATCCGTTTGATTTACCTGATGACGTTCTCTATGAACATTACAGGTTTTCCTTGGACGGCCTCAATCTTTAGGTAGCATGAAATCTAAGCAATGCACTAATATTTGCCAAGCTCCAGGTTCCAATTTCATGCAGCATATCAGTCATCATTCAGAATGTATTGAAACAGATTAGAAAACTCTTAACCCCAAATGTGTCTGCAGATGACATGTGACCATCCGATGATGGAGAAAAAAGAAAAAAAGGCAGTGTGAGGAAATCACTGTTTACGCGTTGAAATATGTACAAATAAAATCTTCCAATAAACTTACAAACTACTTTAAAGGATGTTTTTAGATTTATTTTTATTTGCTCCCACGTACTCTTTTCCCCACTGCTGTTGTATCTGAAATAATGAGGTCATTGATGGTGGTGATCACACACGCTGCATGACAACATATTAGGGGGCCATAAATTTATGAACGCACAAATGTAATTTAAACAACCGGTGATTTTTTTGCCAGCAGTCCCTCCGGCTTTTAGCGGCTGTGGCTGTCCTGCTCCTCACTGTTATAATGTTGCAGTACTCCTCGTATTTGCGTAAAATAATGCTCTGTTCCTCGGCTGTGAAAAACGACGTGCAGGTATCTCCATTGTGGAGATTGGTCCGGTGGCACTGACCCCACCCCCTTTACGTGTGCGCTCACAGATCTGAAGTGGCCACACCTGGATTCAGTTATCGAGTTGACAACCGGCTTCGTAGTACAGCTGATCGGGATCGCGTAGATCCGGTGAAGTTGAGCGAGTTGTCGCAGAGTTACCCTGGATGTGTTAATCCAGCTTTGTAGTACAGGCCTCTGGTAGGGAGAAGGTTCTGGAGCAAACGGTCCATCCAGATATTTTAATGAGGTGCAAACACAAACCGGTTCCTGGTCCTTTAATTGAAGCTCAGAGATGTTGTCCCTGTTTGTTTAACAAGGAGGGGGGGGGGGGTCAATAACAGTCAACAGAAAAATCTGCTTTTTTATGGAAAACTGTTTTGGAGCAACAAAGTCAGGAATTAAGTACAGAAACAAAAACTGCAGTTCCTCCACGAGAGGCTGATTCCAGAATCTGAGACAACTCCATTAACAATCATGTTAAATTTGGGTTTACAGAGCAGGAACTAAGAGGTTTACAGACTGGAACGGAGTAGAGATTAGGTCTCTTGAGATCGTCTGTCTGCTTGTCCGTCTGTCTGTCTGTTCGTCTGTCTGTCTGTCTGTCTGTCTGTCTGTCTGTCTATCCATCTGTCTGTCCGTCCGTCTGTCCTCACTGTGTCCAGTTTTTAAAACCTAAACCTCGACACATTTTGAGGCTCAGGGGTCTGCATTAAATGGCTGACTGAGAGAACTACAACTACTACAATAACTACAGCTACAACAACTACTACAAAAACAACTATGACAACACAACACTGCCAACAATAACTACAACAATGACAACAACAACTACAACAACTACGAAAACAACAACAGCAACAACTACTACAACGATAACAACAACATTGATGATAACAACTACGACAACAACAACTACAACACCAACTACAGCAACATTGATGATAACAACTACGACAACAACAACAATGACAACAACATGAACAACAACTACAGCAACATTGATGATAACAACTACGACAACAACAACAACTACGACAACAACAACAGCAACAATATTGATGATAACAACTACGACAAAAACAACTACAACTACAACATTGATGATAACAACTACGAAAACAACAACTACAACAACATTGATGATAACAACTACGACCACAACAACAATGACAACAACAACGACCATGACATCAACAATAACAATGATAACAACTACAATACTGACAACAACAACAACTACAACAAGGACAATGAAATCAACAAAAACAATGATAAGAACTAGGCCTGCACGATATATCGTTTGACTATCGTCATCGCGATGTACATGTGTGCGATAGTCACATCGCAGAGCCTGCGATGTTGGAGGTGAATGAACTCAGTTAATTTCAAGGATAACTGTCTGAGATACACTGCATGTGACTCTGCATGTGCTTTGCAGCGATCCACCAATCACCGTCGTTCTTTACTCAGTTGCCAATCAGACTCACTTCTCAGTAGCCAATCAGACTCCTCTGCCAGCTGTCAATCAAAATCGGAGAGGATGAAACCCACCCCTGCACATGTCCTGCACATGGAGGGAGTTGCTAACGCTACCGGAGTTGAGCCGAGAAACGCGTGTCGGCTGAGAATTACTTTCGGAACATTCTTCATCGCTGTTTAGCCCAACAAATAAGAACTGTATGGGTTTTAAATTGTACATTTCCGTGGACCACTCTACTATAAGCAGTGCGCGTTTTGTGAGGTGCATGCAATTCTCGGAGGACATGCGTTTCTCAGCACAACCCCATTAACAACAACAACGATCGCAAACTGAGCAACAAACAGAGAAAACCACCGAAGATGAAGACTTGTTGCCAAAAAGAAAATGAAAGTCAGTTATTTGGAATTATTTCGGTTAAAAGATGGATGATGTCGACTAAAACACGTCTTCTGTGTTCATCTGTTTCCACAATAACGTCCCAGAACAATAAAAGCTAAAAATATCTCTGAGACGGACAGAAGCCATTCTACAAACATTCACTAAAAGGAGGTAAGAGCAGTGCAGGGGCCTGTTCTACGAAGCAGGATTACTGCTTAGCGAGATAACTTCGAGGGTAAGTTCGGGGTTTCCTGTTCTACGACGCGGGTTCACTTCATAGCGAGGCGAGTCTCCATAGCAACATGCGCTGAACGGCTAACCTGCTCCGGGGCAGGTTAAGTTCCAGATTGAACTCACCGAGCACAAAAACCCCGCCCACTGACCAATGAGCTCTCTCGAAAAACGGCTTGTCCGTTCTCGGAGGATCCTGTAGACCTCGGTGCTCGCATTGTCCGAGGAGGAGCACTCCGGCTCGCGAGAGTTTTCAGGGACCGCACGGACCCACTTACTTCTCCGGATGACCACCTTTATGGAAGGCTCATATGGCCTACATATCACACAAAAAATGTAAACACGATAGGAATTAACAAATGAATGAATTCATCTTGGAAATGAATGGGCATGGGCTGCGCGATCACAGACAACATCTCGGTACTATAACCCCGTAAATACTGTTGTTCAGGACTGCTTACTTGTGCTTCCTACCCACTGTAACAACCGTTGTTCTTGCCCACATGCAACATTTTTGTTCTCATTCATGAAACGCTTAAATCGGGGACATTTTCGGGGACAGCTTTAGCCGGGGACAGATCATCCAATTCGGAGACTGTCCCCGGAAATCGGGGACGTCTGGTCACCTTAGTTAAAAGCGCATGTTGAACAGTGCTATTTCAGGGTGATAATGGCATCAAAGATTAATTATCTGCCTTCCGTGCTTTTGTAGCGGCGACGGTGTTGCTTTTGAGGTTTGTGATCGATTTGAATTCTTCATACTTTCTCATGATCGTCTCCTGCTCCTCGTTTGTAAAGTACGCAGTCCTTGACTCTCCAGCCTGCTCTGACGCTCCAGACTGGTCCATGTTCGCGATTGGTCAGATGCGGCGGGCTCCGCCTTACATGCGTGCACGCGCTCATAGCAAAGCTGGATCAACTTACGAGGTTGATAACCAGCGTCGTAAAACCGTGTAGCGAGACCGCAGGCTACCGCGCTAAGTTGAGCGAGGTAGCTCCAAGGCTACCTCGCTAGATTGAACTTGCTTCGTAGAACAGGCCCCAGGTTAACTGTCCTCAAGATTTCAGCAGTGCAGCATAACATAAAGTGCTATTCAGGTCATCTGGTGAAAATTCCTGTATTTTTTAATATCGCAATATATATTGCAGGGTTTTAAAAAACTGCACTGTTAGTTTTTTCCAATATCGTGCAGGCTTAATAAGAACTACAGCAACAACTACAACAACAATAACATAAACTACAACTACAACAACATTGACGATAACAACAACATTTACAACAACTGCACCACCGAAATGAACTACAACACCTACAACTACAGCGAGGATAAAGATAATTATTGATCATATTTTGCCAGTTATTGCTGGGTATTGATAATCATTGATCATTTATTGGCTCTTTCTCTGACTCCTGTTGCTCAGTAATAGTTCCTTCTGTTTAAACTGAATTTATCCAAACACTCAAACACACAGACTCTGGTTTCAGGTCTACAACAAAGGTTCTTATTGGAGATTTTCAGTGTCACAACCTTCCCCGGTCTCCCCTACCGTCGTATCCCCAGAGCAGGTTCAAACTGAAAGTGTTGGACTCTGAGACCGGACTGTGGTTCTGGAGTTTAAATAAAGTTTAAATAAAGTTAAACAAAGGCAGACTAAAGTCAGAGAGACCACGAAGACCCAGGCAGCAGACTCACCCCAACGTGCTGATGAAGCCGTTCACGGAGCCCTCCGCGTACAGAGACACGATATCCCCGATATGGAGGAAACTGGAGGCAGAGTCCGACATCCTGCAGCTGGACCGGGACCGAGCCTACAGAAACACAGGCTCTCAGGTAGAGACTCCAGTCCTCCTCCTTCAGTCCTCCTCCGTGTCCGTGGGGGAGAACCTTCACATTCAGAGCTCAGTCCGGGTCAGTCCTGGTCTCCTGGAGTCCACAGAGGAGGACCAACCTGTCAACACCGAACCTTCAGAGTCCACAGAACCACCTGCAGATCCTCACTGACTTCCACTGCCGGGTTGGTTCAGGAGGGCACCGGGTTGGAAACTTTTTTCAAAGTCCAAGGTCCAGGCAGAGAATCCCGGACCGGTCCACAGAGATACAGACCCGCACAGACCCACACAGACGGACTAAGTGTTCGGAGTCTGTTCAGGAGGTTAAAGTAAGCTCTTCTTCGCGGCTGTTCCCTCCTCTTCCCTCCTCCCTCCGCGCGCTGTCAGTGTTTATGTGGGCGTGCACGTGCGCGTAAACGGCGAAGACTCCGGCGTTTAAAACCAGGAAGTGAGTGGAAGTGTTGATAAGAACACACACACACACACACACACACACACACACACACACAGGCGTGTGTGAACTGGGCGTTAGTCTGTAGGGAGCGTGCACAGACATGCCGATAGGACACGTGCACCCCCCCCCCCCACCCCCCACCCGTTCTGGTTCAGGTTTTGGTTCAGGTTCTGGTTCTGGTTCTGGTTCTACAGGACTTCACACTAAGGCTCCAGGATCATCAGACACACCTGAACAGAGGGGGGCGGTGTGGAGTCCCGGAGGAGGCTCAGGAGTAGACCTGATCTGTTCACACACTTATGAACTGCAGGACCTGGATCTTTGAGGTCTCCTCTGATACCTGACCGGCAGCAGGGGTCCCTGGTTGAGGGGGTCGGCAAGACCTTGAAGAAACGGCCCAAAACTGCACCGTGAGCTCTGATGTCATTCAGGTTCAGACTGCCTCCTCAGGTCCAGAATTGTGGACCGTGCTCAGAAGGTTCTGGCCCATCCGAGTCTGACAGAGAGAGGGTCCTCCTGGAACTTTGATGGTCTGAACTTGAGAGGGTCTCAGTCAGATCTGAAGGTCCAGTTTCAGTCGGAGCCGTTAATCAGTTGTTTTTTTTTAATTTGGATACAAAATAAAAGAAAAAGAAGAAGACGAGAGTGTGGAGCTGCTCAGGTTCTTCCTCAGGGTCTTCCTCAGGTCTCGTGGATGTTTGGGTCAGACGCCGCCGCCACAGTGATGGTGGCTTGTTAACTTCCTGTAGTTTGTGTGTTTTTCAAGAAATCAGATCTTTGACAGTTGGAGCTCTGATGGAGGTGTGAGGGGAGGACCAGGTTCATTCAGGACCAGGGGCACCATCACAGACTGGACCCATAAAGGGGTCGCTGCAGAGGATTTCAGGAAGAATAATGGATGGGGGAGACCATGGTAAGTTGAGCCAAAGAGATTGATCATGTGACCAAATCTTTAGGAGATGGTCATCAATTCATGGAGTCTGTGAAGGTTAGAATAACATGGGTGAAGGGGTTTGACCAGTGGTTCTCAACTGGTGGGTCCAGATCCAAAAGTGGGTTGTGCACACGTTCTGGATGGGTCGTGAACAGTTGGTCAAAAAAGTAAATATTTACTGCGCATCTGATGTTTGACATGTCTTTTATTTTGAAAAATAGCTTATTTTGAAAGGCACGTGTTATGTCATAGTCCTCCTAGGTTTCTTATTCATGTGGCCTGGATGCAGAATTTTTTATTTTTTTTTTGTCTTTATTTTATGTAATTTGATATTTTCTGTATATGCAACTTCAGTAGTTGTCCTCAGTTCATTCTCTCTAAATTGCCCTTTACTCAATAAAATGATTGTACTTGTGTTAAAGACTTGAGATTTTGAAGGGTTTTTTTTAATTTAAAAAAATTAGCTTGGTTTGAATTTTATGAAAGTGGGTCTTGACTTAGGGACCATGGGAAAATGTGGGTCCCAGAGTGAGACCAGTTGAGAACCACTGGGTTAGACATTTTTTTCCCAAAAAAACATTTTCATAAAAGCAAAGATAACTTTTTCAAGGTCCTTCTGGCTTAAATGGGTTTTAACTTTGGCGAGAAGCCTGTGAATGTTCTGAATCACTTAAAGACATTCTCATGTTCAAATGTTTTTTTTATAAAACAGCTTTTTAGCAGGTATATGTAATAATAATAAAAAGAATGATTGTACCAGTTGAATATTGTATAATAGATAAAAATACACATGAATGTGAGGAAGTGACTGTTATTTAGGGAGAGAGAAGGTGAGGGAGGGCTGGGTGGGGGGTGTGTGTGGGGGGGGGGTACAGCTCAACTTAGCATAGGAGACCACTTTGTTTATGTCATGCTATATTATCAAGATTATAGTTCTGTTTGCACTCATTCTGTTGGTTTTCAGGGATGAACAACATCCTGAAATATATGCAGATACACTAGTTAGAGACAAAACTAGGATTGACTTGATGTAGTGATCCGAAATATGAAACATGGATCATCTTAACCCATTCTCCCCTATTGTGTGTGTGTGTGTGTGTGTGTGTGTGTGTGTGTGTGTGTGTGTGTGTGTGTGTGTGTGTGTCATGTGTCAAGTCATGCTGACTGGACTTCCTGTCTGAGTTGGTAAAGTTGCTGCAGAGCCTCAGAGCTTCTGTTTTTGTTGTGGTTACACACACACACACACACACACACACACACACTCACAGTGGAGGTTTTGGTTCTAAAATTAGGTTTTTAAAATAAAGTTGTTTTTTATGTTTATTTTCGCTCTGACTGACAGTATAATCCTGGCTCCTGACTGGCTGAGTAGAATCCTGGATCCTAATTGGCTGAGAGGATCCTGTTAAAAGCTGAGCTGGGTTCAGAGGTTCTGGACGGTTTACCTGTGTGAACAGGTACCTGAACTTTGGGACAGAAACTGTGTGAGTCTGGTCCAGGGTCCAGATCTTCAGGAGGTTTGATCCAGGGTTGTGGGACCCAGAACCACAGATCCTCACAGCTGATCGGATTCACCGGTTCAGGTCTGAGGAGGATCCTGGATTTTACAACCCTGAATCGAACCGGATCTGCTCTGTCAGCCAGACTGGACTTAGACTGGACCTTCATTTAAGACAGGTGACCAGCTAAGGTGGGTGGAGCTACAGCAGGTGAGGAGGTAGAGTTTGATGGTGAAAAAACTGATCCCTGATCTCACAACAGAGTCCAAGACCACGACGGGGTCTAATTATCATTCTACACACTCCAGCTGCTCACCAAGAAAACACATGTATCATTTGTGTGTGTGTGTGTGTGTGTGTGTGTGTGTGTGTGTGTGTGTGCAGTCAGGGGCTCTGTGGTTTCCATGACAATTGAGAGAAAAGGCCAACAGCACGCCTGTTTCATGGGGGGAGGAAAACTTCCGCTGGAATAAATCGACTGTGTGTGTGTGTTTGTGGGTGTGTGTGTGTACCTTTGGAAGTGAGGCCGGCCTGTCGCTCAGAGGATGGACAGATTTAGAGAGACAGATGTCTAAAGAGGGAGAGGACCTACAAGAGGACAGGAGGAGATTTTCCATCAGAAACACAAACTTGTGTGTGTGTGTGTGTGTGTTGGGGGGGGGGGGGGGGTTCTTTGCCATGTTAGATTTTGTAAACCAAGATGGCATCAGTGAATTTAACGGTGTTGTCCCAGCTGATTTTTTTAATCTCTGACCGTGACGGTACATTTTTGTTTTTTTTATCCAGGACTTTCAAAGTTTGTTCATAAATTGTTTCAATCGGCTTTAGTGTCGTCTTACATGCCGATTCCCAGCTTGTTATGCAAACAGAACATATCATGACAATAGGACAAGTGTGAATTCCACGGCTATAAGAGGGGAGAGCCCCTCCCCTCCCTTGCATGTACATACATGAGAAGCTAAGGCAGAGAAAGCAGCAGCAAATAAATACGATTAAGATAAATAAATTAAAATCCCCCACAGAACAGAGCAAGCATCAGTGACAATACATATGACACTGGTAAGATCAGACACAACATAAACAGGAGGAGCTGGGGTGGAGGTGGGTTGCATTTTGACATTAGCCAATAGGATGTGTAGAGGGCGATCACCTGAGCTGTCAGCTGACTGAGGGCTGGCTGGAGATCTCTGTGACCTGCCTGAACTACCGCTATGCTACATTAACAGTGTTTTTTTTTCATCTGTGGTTTATAAAGGAGTTGTAAGTCAACAGTGATACCTCAGTATTTCAACTCTTGGACCACTTTAATCGTTTTACCTTCACAGAGACGCCGGGATCACTGTCAGGACTTGCTCTATTTTGGAAAACATACAGTCTTGGATAGGTTCACATATAGTTGGGATTTCTCTAAGCCAGTTTTATACATTTGTCATAACATCTCGGTGCTGACAATGAGGTCTGTCAGTGAAGTGGACCTGGATCATGTGGGATCAGGTCTTCTTTTAGGTCCTCTTTGAGCTTCAGCAGAACCTTCAGTCCAAACCAAACAGGTCCAGATTTAGATTTAGACAAAAAGGAGGAATTTCACGCTCTCTCCTTTAACACACACATTTTCCATCAAGTTTCCAACGCCATACAAGGCGTGTGTGTGTGTTTGTGTGTGTGTGTGCACTGACCTGCACTGCCCTCCATGTCTTTCCTCTGGAGACTCGAACATCCTTATATAGAGCTGCTGCAACAGCAGCGAGGTCTGTGAGTCCATAACCAGACTGTCAGCTCACCTGAGAGAGAGGCTGCTACACCTGAAACCTGTCAATCAAGGGGCATACACACACACACACACACACACACACACACACACACACACACACACACACACACACACACACACACACACACACACACACACTCACAGAAGTGGTCTTATTTTACCAAGAAGGACAGCAAACATATGTTTGTATCACCATGGGTGGTCACACACCTCCAGAGTATACCCCCTTCATACTGTGAAAAGTCAGAGATCCATCATTCTGACCAGGTGGCGGAGCTGGTCTCACCGTGCTGGGCAGGAGCTCTGGTGAATACCTCCGCATCAACTCTGGGGCCTCCTGCTAGCTAGCCTGTCACATCGCCGGCTTGTTTCTGAATCGTAGTTTGAATTAAGTTTTTAAGGTGAAGTAAATTTGCACTTGCGTTGTACGGATAGCGACAGACGGACATGAAAATGAAAAAGCAATGGTCCATTTGGTTTCTCTTTTGAACTGTGTAAGGAAATGTGCAGCTCAAATAAGAAAATGAAAATACAGTTTGTTTCATTTATTCTTAATTTTATTTCTGATTTAATTTCACTTTGAGACGAAAAAGCTGAACTGCAAACACATTTGAATTTTTTAGATTTGATATTTGGAATCGAGTTTTGGGCTACGTTCACACTGCAGGTTATGATGCCCAATTCAGATTTTTTGTTAAATCCGACCTTTTTTTGCGGTCATTCACATTACAACAACAAATGCAGTATCTAATGTAAACAGAATGCGTCCGTGAAGTGACCCACAAAGCGCTTTTCGCACCTGTTTGTGTTGTTGAACAATGGTGACATTTGTCGCATATTGATGACGTATAGGTCGGATGAACGCGACCTGAGCGTCCACACTGCAGGCACATTGGATATGTATTCAACTTATATCCACATACAAAAGAGGCCTGGGTCAGATCTGGAATAATTAGAATTGCACTGTTCACACTTACATTAAAAAAATCAGATATGTGTCACACATGGTTAAAAAAATCGGAATTTACCTGCAGCGTGAACAAAGCCTTGGTATTTTCCGGGGCATATTTAGAAAATTAAATCTTAAATTGATTTTTCTTTTACATTTGAATTAAGTTACAGAATGATCAGTTTTAAAAAAGTAATTTCAGTTAAGATTATTTATCAATTAATTTTATTTATAAGTCTGAAGTGCAGGTACATTCTGAAAATACAAATACATTTCTGTTCATCTATTTTCATTTGAATTAGGATATTGATACTAATTTTCTTCCGTATTAACGACTATAAATGTTAAATTTCTCACTGTCTAGTTTTAACATGAGTCTCTATGGGGGCTGACCCACTGCAGGACACAGCTTTTAGTGGACACTCAGGGTACTGCAGTATTTTCTCTGCTCTCACTTTGGCATTAGCACCCTCTGTCTGCTCAGCGTGTCATCCAATCACAGTGAACCGGTCTCACTGATCCTCTTTGGGGCTCCGAAACACTGACTGATTAAGTGAACGAATCTTTTGAATGAATTGTTTTAATGATTCTAAAGATTCAGTACAGTCAAAAGAACTGATCTTCCCATCACTAGCAGCAGGTCCAAAACTCCAGGTGTCGCTCAGAGTCATGTGAACCTGACAGAGACGGTTCAGACGGGCAGGTCTGGGCTCGCCCTGCAGACGGGCCGCGCTCTCCTCCTCTCCTCTGAGTGAGTCAGCGGTTTCTTTGTTGGTCTTTGACTGAGCGTCTCTAAAAGCTTAGAGCGTTTATGATCTTCAAGTTAATCTCCTGAAAATCCTTTTTCCGTTGGTTCGCCAGGTTTTCGAGGTGGAGCTCTGAAGTGTGGTGACCTAAATATGGGAACATCAGAACCTCTCTTTGGACCTGCGAGGAGCATGTTCATGTACGGACTCTCTCTGATGATGAAGTCAGAGGAGATGAGTCCAAACACGGCGACAGACTTTGTTCACCACATGGATCATGGACCGAACTCTCGCTAACATCCTCATGACTTCTTCAGGGTCAATTTGAACTCATGACCTCTGAGGTCCAAACGTTTCAGACTGCCCCCTGAGGTCAAAATGTCTCAGACTGCCCCCTGTGGTCAAACCGTCAATGTCAGAGTCTGGGTCAGAGATAGGATCCAGATCTCGACCGTGAAGATCAGAGAATCCTTCAGTTTTAGGAGGAGAAGATCAAAGTCTCAAAGTCCAACTGGAGGAAAACAGCCAGACCAGCCCAGTGCATGATGGGAGAACACCTGCTGACTGACATGTACAAACACACACCACCCATTTAGCAAACAGTCTACAAGGGCCAGTTTATACACACACACACACACACACACACACACACACACACACACACACACACACACACACACACACACACACACACACACACACACACAACATCAAAGTATTGTAAAAACACACTGATCTTCCTTTGAATACCTTTAGAAAGCATGTTAATGTGTGTGTGAGTGTGAGTGTGAGTGTGTGTGTGTGTGTGTGTGTGTGTGTGTGTGTGTGTGTGTGTGTGTGTGTGTGTGTGTGTGTGTGTGTGTGTGTGTAGCGTTTGTTGACTCACAGACCTCACAGATCCTGATGAAGTGACCTTTGTTAATCCCACAGCTCAGGTTCTGATTGGCTGAAAGTCACTCCTTTTGTGTTTTTTATCTCTCTTCCTGCCCACAAATGGGCCAGAGACCTGGTCCTGACTGAGGGTTTCTGAGGAGGGGCCGTCCTCTCTGAAAAACTGCGCTGAGGGCCCCCTTTTGGATTAGCCGGTCATAAATCTAACATCACAAACAGGATAAAAGTGAATCTATTATAGAAAACTGTTAAATAGAAGTTCTCTGTCGATCCTCAAGTGTCGTCTTCACTTCACTTCACTTCAACTTTATTAATCTTTAACTTTAACTTTATTATGTCCCAAAATGGGCAAATCAGGTTGCAGCAGGCACAGACATTTATAACACTACTATACATCATAAAAAGAAAATAAATAAAATGAAATAAATTTACATAAAAAAACAGTTCAGGAGTTAAAAGGCATTAAAGACGATTTAGAGGGTAAAAAGAAAGCACATGTCAGTCATACTAGTATTTTTGGAATGAGCAGAGTGCATAAAATGCAGAAACAAAGTGCAATGTGTGGTTTGTGTACCAATGAAAGACCCCTAGACAAAGCTAAATCTATAATAATAATAATAATAATAATAATAATAATAGTAATAATAATAAAGATATACACCGTCTAATACCAGTAGCAGTTATCTCCTCCTGCAGGAATCATTCATGGCTCTGATAGAGCCTGGGATGAAGGAATTTTTATACCTGTTTTTTGTGGTTGTAGGAACCACAAAAAAAAAAAAAAAAGCTCTTTGTGCATATGAGTAATTGACATGATGGCTACGGAAGCCCTGAAGGTCAAAATACTCTCTGGGTGGTAATTTAAATTTACTGTACAGGGTTTGTTTGTTTGTTTGTTTGTTTGTTTGTTTGTTTGTTTGTTTGTTTGAGGTACAAAGTTTAAGTCTTTTAGAAAGTCCGACTTTAAATCAATTTATTCAGGTTTTGATTTTCAAACTGATGTGTGATAAATATCATCAGGTGTCTTTCAGAAAATTAACATAATTGTATAATGACTATGTCTTAATATATTAGTTAATCATTTCACAAACTGTTGCATAAATTTGACTCAAATGTAGGAAATGTGTCCTAGAGAGGACTGACTGGTTAGTCCAATCCAATCCACTTTATTTCTATATCACATTTTAAAAAACATTCAAGTTTATCAAAGTGCTGCACAGTAAGATTAAAAGAACAAACAGAAAACATCAAGAGGAAATTAAAAAAACAGGTAAAAAACATTTAAAATGAAATAAAACAAATGAAATAAAAACACAAAAGAAATAAAAGTGATAAAAGAGATCACACAACTCTCATGCTGAGCTAAAAGCCAAGGAATAAAAATTTGTTTTTAGATGTGATTTAAAAGTGGAAAGAGTGGGGGAGGTTTTAATCTCGATTTGTTCCACAATTTAGGAGCCACAGCTGAGAAAGTTTGGTCGCCATGGGTTTTTAAACAAGTTTTAGGGATGATGGAGCTGATCAGCTGACCTCAGGGAACATTTAAGATGTCAGAGATGTACTGTGGTGCTGATCCATTAAAAGATTTAAAAACAAAAACAATGAATTCTAAAATGAACAGGAAGCCAATGGAGGGATGCCAGAATCGTAGTGATGTGGTCATATTTCATTGTCAAAAGACAAGCAGCAGCATTTTGGACTAACTGTAAGTGTGTGAGAGAAACCTGATTAACACTGATGTAAAGAGTGTTACAGTCGTCCAACCAAAGTGTGGAAATAAAAGCAGGAATTTGTGAAGAAAATAATCCAATAATTCCGAAAATTTAAAGGACTGGAGGATGTGCTCCTGATGACACCTGTACAGGTGTTCTACCAGAGCACCTGTTCTGATTGCAGTGGTGTGTCAGGACATGAAATTTACTCTGTTATAACGGCTTCACTTCGTCAGTAATCTGAGATTTTAATCTGCTGGTTCTGGGCTGAGTCCATCAGTTACAGGGTTGTTTGTATAGAGTAATCCTGACCTCCAGTGGTGAAAGGCAGAACTGCAGGCCTGGAGAAAACAGGAAAAAACAGGATGAGGTTATGACTACACATGATAAAAGTACAACATCCAGAGTAAAAATGTTTTTCAGTCCCACAAACCTGATGTGTGTCTTCAGAAACCTCCATCATGGGATCAAACTGTACTCCAGTTCATGACAAAGCAAACAGCACCACCTGCTGGTCCACCTGAGAAGCTGCAGAGAGGAGCAGGAGTCCAGACAGAAGTCAAACTGAGGGGGCCCTGAGTGTTTCAGCAGAACAGAGAGAAGATCTCAATCAATCAATCAAATTTTATTTATATAGCGCCAATTCACAACAGTCGTCATCTCAAGACACTTTTCAAAGAACAAGAGCAGGTCTAGACCACGCTCATAGTTTGATGATCAAGAACCAACCTAAGATGGGTTTTGGCCCATCTCACCTAACATGAGTAGCAGTGGCAAGAAAAAACTTCCTTTTAACAGGCAGAAACCTTGGGCAGGACCAGCCTCATGTTAGACAGCCACCATGCTGCTGCTGGGTTGGGGAGGAATGTAGAGAGATGGAGGGAGAGAGAGGAGAGAGAGAAGAGGGGAGAGGGGAGAGGGCAAGGGGAGAGAGAAGGAACAAGGCGAGAGAGAATGAGTAAAGAGAGGGAGGGGGAGGGAGAGAGTAGAGAACGAGGGTGAGAGAGAGACAGGGGGCAGCAAAAACAACAGCAACAACAACAACAACAGCTCATGTAATGGTGAAACAAAATAAATTCAGTTTACAAGGTTAGGATATGAGTGATTATGGACAATGTTAAATTAATTTAATGTGATTACAGTCAGCAGGCCTAATATTAGTCAGCTCTAGTTTATGTTATTAATGTCAGTGAGGCTGATGTTCATGTCTGCAGTAACAGTCCAGAGGAATCCAGGAGAAGAAGGAGCTCAGGGCCTGAGGCGGACAATCATAGACGATGCAGTCAGGCAGGTCTGCAGCAGCCATCAGTCTGGAGCAACCAAGGGGCAGGGGGTGTCTGCAGCAACGGTCCAGAGGAGCCAAAGAGATGGAGGAGCTCAGGGCCCAGGGTGGACAATCAGGGATGATGCAGCTGGGGTCAGGCAGTTCTGCAGCAGACCATCTGCAGCATTAGTCCAGTGGAAGCTAAGAGACTCAGAGACACTCCGAGAGAGAGAAATCTGGTCAGTGACTTATATCAGACATAAAGATCTAAAGGAGAGATAGAGACAGACTCTAGCTCAGTGTGCCAGATTACCCCAGCAGTCAAGACCTATAGCAGCATAACGAAGAGCTGGTTCAAATCTGCCCCAACAATAAGCTTTATCAAAGAGGAAGGTTTTAAGTCTACTCTTGAAAGTTGAGAGGGTGTCTGCCCCCCGAACCTCGAGCGGTAAATGATTCCAGAGGAGAGGTGCCTGGTAGCTGAAAGCTCTTCCTCCAATACTACTTTTAGAGACATTTGGTACAACGAGCAGACCTGCAGACTGTGAGCGTAACGGTCTAGACGGAAAGTAAGGTATAACAAGTTCGTCGAGATATGATGGTGCCTGGCCGTTAAGCGCTTTATATGTCATTAGGAGGATTTTAAACTCAATTCTAGATTTAATAGGGAGCCAATGAAGAGAAGCTAAGACAGGAGAGATGTGCTCCCTTCTTCTGGTTCTAGTCAATACCTGAGCTGCTGCATTTTGGACCAGCTGAAGAGTCCTTAAAGACTTATTGGAGCAGCCTGATAAGAGAGAATTACAGTAGTCCAGTCGAGAGGTAACAAAGGCACGGACCAGTTTTTCTGCATCACTCTGAGACAGGATGGGTCTAATTTTTGACATATTGCGCAGGTGGAAAAAAGCTATCCTAGAGATTTGTTGAATGTGGGAGCTAAAGGACAAATCCTGATCAAATAAAACTACCAGATTTCACACAGTGGGGCTGGATGCCAGACTGATGCCATCAAGTGTAGCTAAATTATTAGAGAATGCCTCTCTAAGGTGTTTAGGACCGAGGACAAGAACTTCAGTTTTGTCTGAGTTGAGCATCAGAAAGTTGTTGGTCATCCAGGATTTTATATCTTTGAGACCAGCTTCTAATTTGGTAACCTGGCCTGCTTCTTCTGGCTTCATGGATAAGTATAGCTGGGTGTCATCTGCATAGCAGTGGAAATTAATCGAGTACTTCCTCATAATTTTACCCAGAGGAAGCATGTACAAGGTAAAGAGGATCGGTCCAAGCACTGACCCTTGCGGCACACCGTAGCAGACCTTGGTGTGCGCAGAGGATTCATTATTAACATGCACAAACTGGGATTGATCCGTTAGATAAGATTTAAACCAGGAAAGTGCGGATCCTGCTATGCCGATAGATTGTTCCAGTCTCTGAAGCAGGATGCAGTGGTCGATTGTGTCAAACGCAGCACTAAGATCCAACGGGACAAGAACAGAGAGAAGACCACTGTCCGAAGCCATGAGTAGGTCATTTGTCACCTTCAGCAGAGCAGTCTCCGTGCTGTGATGGGTTCTAAATCCAGACTGGAAATCCTCCAATAAACCATTGTTATGAAGAAAATCCCAAAGTTGATTCACAACAACTTTCTCTAGGACTTTAGAAATAAAAGGAAGGTTGGATATTGGTCTATAGTTAGCTAGGGTGCTTGAGTCAAGAGTAGTTTTTTTAAGGAGAGGTTTAATCATTGCAGTCTTTAAAGACTGGGGAACATATCCTGTTAATAAAGATGTGTTAATCAATTTGAGCAGGGACGTACTGATCAAAGGAAGAGTTTCCTTCAGCGGTTTAGATGGAATTGGGTCCAAAAGACACGTAGATGGTTTGGCTGCCAGCACCACTGACTTTAACTCAGGAAGGTCAATAGGTGCAAAGTTACTAAGGTGCACCAGAGGCCTTAGGGGCTCCTCAACAATTTCCGGGTTATCTAAGAGAGAGACACCTGATGAAGGCAAGAGGTTACTAATTTTACCTCTTATTTTTAAGATTTTTTCATTGAAGAAGCTCAAGAAGTCGTTGTTGCTGAGGGCTAATGGGATACACGGTTCAGCTGTGCTCTGACAGTCCGTCAGCCTGGCTACAGTGCTGAAGAGATATCTGGGGTTATTCTTATTTTCCACAATAAGAGACGAGTAGTAAGTTGTCCGAGCATGTCGTAGGGCCTTCTTATATTTATCAAGACATTCCTGCCAGAGAAAACGAGCTTCAGCTGTTTTGGGAGAGCGCCAAATCCTTTCTCGTCTTCTTAATAACTGTTTCAGTTCACGGGTTTCAGCATTATACCACGGTGTCTGAGGTATCATCGATGAACTGATCAAGTTGCAAGGGACTGATGTTTAAGTATGAGCTATCAGCAAAGTTCTTCTCAAGCACAGAATTAAGAGCAGAAGGAATTGCCTCCTTGAACTTAATCACAGCATTTTCAGACAACCCTCTAGTTAGCACAGCTTTGTTATGAGGAGAGTAGCCTGAAAGCACAAATTCAAAAGTTACTAGACAGTGATCAGATAAAAGAGGATTTAATGAGCGGACTGACAAGGCTTCAGCTTCAAGGCCATTAGCCAGGACAAGATCGAGGGTGTGGTTAAAGCAGTGCATAGGTCCATGTACACACTGTGTAAACCCAGTTGAGTCTAGCAAGGACAAGAAAGAAATGCTTAGGCTATCATTTTCCACATCCACATGAATATTAAAGTCACAAACGACGATGACTTTGTCTGCAAGAAGGACTAAATCAGATAAAAACTCTGAGAATTCTGACAAAAACTCAGAGTATGGGCTCGGAGGGCGATAAACTATAGCAAACACCAGTGGTCTCATGGTCTTTGAGGCTGGATGCGGAAGACTGAGAACAAGACTTTCAAAAGAGTTATAATCCAGTTTTGGTCTTGGGTTAATTCCAAGACTGGAATTATAGATAGCTGCAACTCCACCACCTCGGCCAGAGTCCTGAGGAATGTGAAAGCTTAGGTGGCTAGGAGGAGTGGATTCATTTAAACTGACATATTCATCCTGACGCAGCCAAGTTTCGGTTAGGGAGAGTAAATCAATGCGATGATCAGAGATTAGTTCATTTATTAACACAGATTTGGAACTTAGAGACCTTATGTTCAATAGACCACATTTTATCTTACTCGGTTCAGCTATGTTAGCAGTTTTAATTCTAGTAAGGTTCTTGTTATTTACTCCTTTGTTAATCGATCGGTGAGAATTAAAGAGCCGAGGACGAGGGACAGACACAGTCTCTATATTAAAGTGACAGTAGCTAGGAGGCTGCTCTAACGAAAGTGCAGAGGAACGTGTAGAACTGCGGCTCTGCTCCCTGATGTCTATATCAAACTGATTGTAGCTAGGAAGCTGCCCTGAAGGGAGAACAGAGGGGCGTTTTACACTGCGGCTCTGCTCCCTGCTCCCTGATCTCTATATCAAACTGACTGTAGCTTGGAAGCTGCTCTGAAGGGAGAACAGAGGGGCGTTTTACACTGCGGCTCTGCTCCCTTGTCTCTGTATGTAAGTGGTAGTGGCTGGGAAGCTGCTCTAAAGGAGGCGCAGGGGGGCGTGTAGGACTGCGGCCCTGCTCCATGATCTCTGCTTTGAATTGTCAGTGGTTCGGACTAATAAAATCGGCCAGATTTCTGAATAAACGGGCCGCTCCATCTCTAGTGGGATGAAAGATCTGACATGGAGCTAAGCAGGAAAAACAAATACAGGTCAAACCGCTCTTATACAACTCATCAGAATAAACTCTGATTGTTGATTCAGGCCACAGCGCCCTCTGTCCAAATACACAACCACAGAAGTCACCAACCCTGAATATGAAGGTTTGTCCAACCCCCACCCTTAGGCTGCTCTCACATCTGTCCTTTCACTGTCATTACTGAACCTGGAGACCTGAAACTGACGTTTTAACCACAGCGTCAACAGAAACAGACTCTAACACTAATGTTTTTACCACAGAGTTATGACTCTAACCCCCAATTTCCACCGAATCCTGTGAACGTCTACGAAAAGGTCGTATCCTCTGATTGTAGCTGATCGTAAACATTCAAGTTAATGTGTCAATTTCCACTGCCTTCTTTCCGTTCCTCTGTGGATTGCCGAACTCCACAGCTGATCGCAAGAGTTCTGTTTTTTCCGGACGCCGGAGCATGCTGGATAAATTCCGCACAGACTAACCCGTGCTGGAAAGGAAGTCGGGCACAAACACAAAATAAAACATCCAGCTTCTTTTCAAAATAAAACACTCCGTGTTTCAGGCGGGTAGTATTTCACACCCTGCAAACGGGCGGAGATGAACAAGTGAAAGGCTTTTAGACATCATTTCACCCCGATGACACCATGGATGAGAAGATGCTGATTCAAGAAATCTAGAAGTAGATTTCCTCCTCTGGAAGGACACAATCTACTGCTTATATGTCTATGTGGCTGTCTTTATAGAGACAATTCGTTATCACGTGATTGAATGTGAATCCACTGGTTCTTGTGAGTTTTCGCGATTACTGCTGTCTGTAATCCACCATGAAATTTGTGTCACAAACGGATCCGGTTGGAATTGGTGTACCACAAAAATCGCTGCAGAGCCATTCCTGATGCAGTGAAAATTCAGGGTTACACATTTACGTTTTTACCACAGAGAGGAGCCTGGATCTGCCGACCATCGTCTGGGGCTTTTGACCAATCAGAGTTCAATCCGTTGCCTGATAAGTAAAGAAATAAATATTTTCATGTTTTTGTTTTTCCGTTCTTCAGTTTCTGTTCAGAACATGAAGGTTGAGGACCATGACGTCCTCATCTCTATCTCAGAGGTCTTTGGGGGTATTTTAGGACAAAGTGTTTGGGAACTATAGACTTACTGTAGTGGAGAGGAGAGCAGAATCAGGACCTCCAACAAAGGACGGACAGGATCAGCCAAAGTCTGGATTCACTCTGCAGAAATTTTCTCACAAACACACACACAAAAACCAACAAACACACATTCAGAAAAGTGTTTCCATCAGCATTCAAGTCAGAGATGTCTCCTTCCCAGCAGGCTGTGGTTCCCAGTACAACCACCAGCAGAGGGCAGCAGACCTAAGCCTGTGTGTGTGTGTGTGTGTGTGTGTGTGTGTGTGTGTGTGTGTGTGTGTGTGTGTGTGTGTGTGTGTTTGTCTGACAGGGTGAGGGCTAAAAAGAAAGTATGCATGCATGATTGTGCAGACAAATGTGTGTGTTTGTGTGAGTGCCAGCCTTGTTTGTAGGCCTGTCAGAGTGTCAGTGTGTATCTGTGAGTGTGTATTTGTGTATGTGTGTGTCTGTGTGTACTGACAAAAGCTCCATCCAGCCATACTGCAAAGGGCTGCTGGTTCCCAGAGACCCTCAGACCCTCCAGGACACCCAGTCTCTCTGCTGCCTGCAGCCCAGACACAGCAGCCCAAACACGGACACAGTCGACTGCCTGCTCCTGTCTTCTTCCTGGAGCCTCGGCGTCGGTTTGACGGAGAAGTGAGGGATCAGATAGGAGAGAGAGAGAGAAAGAGAAAGAGAGAGAGCGAGGGAGAGAGAGAGAGAGAGAGAGGGGTCTCCGAATCTGGACAGCAAACTTGTTGAAAATCTATGGGACACTTTCAAACATCAGAGGGTTTGGTGGATGTCGCAGACAAGTTTTCTTGACTTGTGAGAAGGAAGCTCGGTTTTTTCTTTTCCTGAGGAGGATCTTCTTTTAAACAGTTTGATTATTTTCACCCTGAACCCCAGGGAATTGTGGGAACATTCGCAGGATTTACTGTCGATTTTTCCAGATAAAGATTTATCTTGAGGACAAGGACCACCGCTCCACACCTTCATCATGTCTCTGTCTGTGGGGTTATGGGCTTGTCTGTTCCTGCCGCTCATGTTGACAGATGGTAAAAGTGTCGGAGAACCAGACCCTCTGAAGAAACCCTCCTCACTCACCAAACAGGAACCCTTTTGGATCGCCAAGCAGCCCAAGACCCGTGGTGACGCCCCCAACCGGAGCCTCCCCCTTCCTGAGATGCTGGATCTAGATCTGGACCAGCAGCACCGCCGTCAGGTTCGGGGGGCTGATGAGGAGGAGCAGCAGTCCACCTTTAGCCAGTCCTTTGAGAACGACTCTGTGACAGCGCCGCAGGCCACCGAGTTCGACAACGAGACGAAAATCGGAGCAGGAGACAACAGCGATGATGATGCTAATCACCATGGAAACTCTTCCAGCTCCGACAAAGACACCCCAGGACTCTTTAACCCCTTCTACCCATTGGTGGAGAGCTCGTACGCGGCCTACGCCGTCCTGTTCCTGGCCGGCCTGGTGCTGGCGGTGGGCGTGGTGGGAAACATGGCGGTCATGTGTGTCGTCTGGAACAACTACTACATGAGGTCAGCCTGGAACTACCTGCTGGCCAGCATGGCATTCTGGGACTTCCTGGTCCTGGTGCTCTGCCTCCCTGTGGTTGTCCTCAACCAGCTCTCCCATAGGAGGATTCTGGGTGACATCACCTGCCGCATGGTGCCTTATATGGAGGTGGGTGGGGCTTAATCAGAGCGGCACATGAGGTTGATTCAGTGCTTAAGTGATGTCAGGATGGATGGATGGATGATTGATGGATGGATGGATGATGGATGGATGAATGGATGGATGATGGATGACAGATGAATGGATGGATGAATGATGGATGGATGATTGATGGATAGATGGATGGATGGTAGATGGATGATTGATGGATGGATGAATGGATGGGTGGTAGATGGATGGATGGATGATTGATGGATGAATGAATGGATGGATGGACTGTGAATTTCAGTCTATGATAATAAGAAAATCAAATATTTTGAAAACAAACTTTTAAAGAGAAATATTCTTCATGGGAAACATAAAATCCTTCAAAATAAAAGCCTCAAATTTGTTTGATGAAAAAGATGAAAATCAAAGTGAGGAACTCCTGAAACTTCAGACCACAGAGAAAAGTCTTTGTGTAGATCAAGGTCAGACCGGGCTGTGCTGGTTCTGGTTCTGGTCGACTTTGATCTCTGGCTGCTTTGGTGGAGCTGTTGTTGTTGTTTGTTTTGTTTCGATCTCATCCTTTAATTTTGTTCTTCAACTTTGACCATGTGCAGTTAAAAACACGGTTCACAGTTTTCTGTACATAGACAAGATCCTTCAGAGATCCACATGAGGTCTGTGGAAACCTGCCCGGTATTAAGAAGATCTGAGATCAACTGCTGGTCAGGAACCATCAGGAGATGATTTTCTGGACTGTGATTGGCCGAATGTAAACCTTTAAATATTAAGATTTACGTTGTACCATTTATATTATACTTTTACGGATTCAGGCTAGAGGGAGTTAATCCACCCATCCATCCATCAACCATGCATGCATCCATCCATCAATCCATCCATCCATCCATCATCTATCCATTAATCCATCCATCAATCAATCCATCCATCATCTATCCATTAATCCATCCATCAATCAATCCATCCATCCATCCATTATTCATGAATCCATCATCCATCCAGTAATCTGTCCATCCATCCATCCATCCATCCATCTGTTCTCACATACACAGCCTAGGGATTAAACTTAAGGTTGAAGGTCAGGGGGGTCAGTCTGGACCTCAGCCTCATGTTCAGGGTTTAAAGTCTGCCAAAAATAACCCATGAGTCAACCTCTTAAATGGACATTTGATCTCTTAAAGGGACAGTTGACCTCTTTAAGGACAGTAACCCTTCCTGAAAAGTTGATTAAACTAATATGAGTCCTCCTGTAAAATCATAAAACTTCATGTTTCCCGCTCACCATTGTTTTTCCCTCCTTGTGTCTGCAGGCCGTGTCTTTGGGCATCACCTCCTTTACTCTGTGCGCTCTGGGCATCGACCGTTTTCACGCGGCCACCTCCTCGTCACAGCCGAAGGCGCGGCGTGTGGAGCGCTGTCGCTCGGTTCTGCTGAAGCTGCTCCTGGTTTGGCTCGCCGCCCTGCTGCTGTCCAGCCCAGAGATCTTCCTGTGGCAGCTGAGCCAAGCTGTGTCTCCGTCCACTGGTCGGTTGGTGGACTCCTGCACCATCACTCCGTCCTCCCCCCTCACCCTCTACCTACCAGACTCCCTCCACTCCCTGCTGCTCAGGTACCACCAGGTGAGTACAGGTAAACTGGGAGATCTGAGTTGAAGCACAGAAGGACTCCTGGGTTTCAGATTATGGATTGATCCACTCTTTTTGGTATTTAATCTTTTTCTGTCCCCAACTATCCAACTACAGCTCAGGGATCAGCTTTAATCACTCAAATCTTTCTGAACCAAACAACCCACCCCAAAAATAATGTTCCCAAAAAGAAGTGTCCCTACTTTGAAGGTTTTGGGAGAAATCAGACCAGCCCCATTAAAGAGACTCTGTCCATGGAAACGTCCATGAACCAGTATATTAGTGTTGGTGGTTAGAGTAAGAGAGGATGGACTGTTGGATAAATTTGGATTATTAATCTGCAGGAAGTCTTTTCTTTATAACATTAACCTTAAACAGAGATATTAAAATAAAAAAACATCCTCTCACAGCAGGCTAAGCTCTCTCCATAAGACTTAGAGATCCGTGCACAGAAATCTGAACAGTTACCCAGGATTTCCACCACATGTAGAACGGCTGCGATTTTTGCTGTACACCAATTCCTACCAGATCCGTTTGTGAGATGAATTTCGTGGCGGATTACAGACAGCGGTAATTGCGAGAACTCACAAGAACCCGCGGATTCACGTTCAATCACGCTATAACAAGTTGTCTCTATAAAGACAGCCAAATAGACATACAGGCTGTAGATTGTGTCCTTCCTGAGGAGGAAATCTACTTCTAGACTTCTAGAATTCGCATCTCCTCATCCATAGTGTCATTGGGGTGAAATGACGTCTAAAAACCTTTCACTTGTTTGTCTCCGCCTGTTTGCATGGTGTGAAATACGATCCTCTTGAAACACGGAGTTTTATTTTGAAAAGAAGCTGGATGTTTTATTTTGTGTCTGTGCCTGACTTCCTTTCCAGCACGGGTTAATCTGTGCTGAATTTATCCGGCATGCTCCGGCGCCTGCAAAAAATGGGACTCTTGTGATCAGCTGAGGAGTCCTGCGATCCACAGAGGAATGGAAAGAAGCCGGTGGAAATTGACACGTTAACTTGAATTTTTACGATCAGCTACGATGGGCGGATGCGACCTTTAAGTAGATGTTTAGGATGAGGTGGAAATTGGAGGTTAGGGATAGCTCAAGGTCAGATTCTTGACAAAGGCGTCCTTCGCTCATCTGTCCTGTAATGAAGTGATGGTGGCTCCATGTCAACTCTGATCCTCCATCAAAAATGTCCATGAATGCAATCGAGACTTTTTCGAGGTTAGGACACGTCTGAATTTTGACAGAACCCTTAAATTAAAGTTAAAAACCAGGTCAACAAAGTCATCAGGTCAACTCAGGTAGACTCGGCTCAAGACGAACTTCCCTAACTGAGTTTCAACAGCAGTTTTATAAAACCATAAATCTGAGAAGATCTTCATCGACCACCAGACAATCATCAAACTTTAGCTTTATTGCCTTCTTCTTTTTTAGGTCACAGCTGAGGACCAAAGTCTGGCCTTAGTCTGGGGGTTCATTTTGAAGGGGGACTAGTCGACTCTTTGACCTTTGTAGAAAAGCTGATTCAGTGTTTCTTCTGCCTCCCATCTTTCAGGGTCGTATGTGGTGGTGTTTCGGCTGTTACTTCTGCCTCCCTGTCCTTTTCACCATTCTCTGCCAAATGGCCACCCGTAATGTCAACAGCGACTCCAGCTCCGCCCAGAAGCAACGTAACCAGGACGACCGCTCCTCCAATCAGAAGCGCCAGCAGCACCAGGCGGTGGAGCGCCAGCTGAACTGCACGCTGTTAGCATTAGCAGTAGTTTACGGTGTCTGCGCTCTGCCTGAACACGTCTGCAACATCACGCTGGCCTACACACACATCACTGTCTCCGAGGACACGGCTGCCATGTTGGCTCTGCTGCATCATTTCCTGTTGTTCTTCAAGTCATCGGTAACACCAGTGCTGCTGCTGTGTCTGTGTAAGGTAGGTCAGACGTCACATGACCCCAGTCCAAACGTAAAAAAAGGACCAATGAGATTATTGTTAACATCATTACTACATTACTATCATTTTCAGCATTATCATTATTATTATTAATTATAATCTATTTATTTTATGAATCATTAACTTTATTTTTCTTAATTATTATAATAATAATTTTGATTATTATAAATAATACCATCATTATTAATAATTATCATAATTGATGTTTTTTATTATTGTTATCATCTTCATTATTATCATTACTATTATTTTTATCATCATCATCATCATCATTATTATGAATTATTAATGTTTATTATTATTATTATTATTATTATTAATATTATTATTATTATTATTATTATTTATCATTTTTATCAATTATCAACTATATTTTGTATTATTGTAATTATTATCATTTGATTAATTATCATAATTATTGTTTTTTAATTGTTATTTTTATTATCATCATCATTTATTATCATTATTATTACATGTTACTATTGTTATTATAATCATCATTATTATCATTACCATTATTATTACAAATACCATCATTTTTATTACTTTTTTAAATAATGTTATTACTATCACTATCATTATTTTTACTAATTATCATAATTTTTTTATTATTATAAACAATATCATCATTATCTATTATCATAATTATTGTTTTTTATTAGTTATTTTAATCATCATCATTTATTATAATTATAATAATTTTTAAGTATAAATATTTTTGTTACTATTATTATTACTATTTGTATTATTATTATTATTATTATTGGTTTTATTATTATTATTATTATTACTATTATCATCATAGGGAACACATTTCCACACATTCACTCCCTAGAAACAGGGAAAGAATCTTAATCTGACCTTGTAATATTACAGATGCTGCTGCATTAACAGGTTATTCCTAGACATCAGTTACGGTTAATTCAAATGAATAACTGCAGATCAAAATGATGCTGATTGGACAAGGGACTCAGTGTTGTTAATTAAAACCCTCATAAAAACAGGAACTGGACTGAGTCCCTGAGCCGGGACCAAACCGTCCCTTAGACTCACCTGGGGGGTATTTCACAAAGCTGGCTTAGCTCAAAGCCTGGCTTATTTCGGTTAGCTTGGCTAATTTTAGTGAGAGTTCGGTTCCACAAAGGAGGCTTAGGTCTAGCGTGGCTTGGTAACCATGGTAACTCAGCCAGCGCGACAAGCCTGGTCCCAGGCAGGCTTACGGTCAAGCTAACCTTAGCTGCATTTCAGAGAAGGTCCGACGGGCTTCCAGAAGACGCTTTGTGAACCGCATGTCACACAGTAATTTCATCTTTATCTGTAATAAATGATGCTCTTGTTCGGAAAAATAAATTGAGAACTTTTAAAAACAACATAGGAATACCTGAATCCGGACATGCCCAATATTACCCCAAACTCAAAGAGAAAGAGAAATTCAGTAGCTGAGTGGGTAAAGAGAAGAGCCGGTAAAATGTGTTTTTCACTGCTCTATGGATTCGATCCCGTCAGCGGTAATTATTTGGAAATATCTGATTTTCTCTCTTTCTTTTATTCTGTGACTCTCAATGTACTGTCAACACATAACAGACTAAAGGCACAAACGATCTCATCCAAAACACTGAAGGCGACAACAGCAACAATTTCCCATTAAAAAAACGATGATGATAATGTAAAGGTGATGGCAAATGACGACATGACGACACTCTGTGTACAAGCTCATTTGTGTCTTCGCCCTTATTTAAATGAAGGGTGCTGTGCCACTATCATCCCTAATATAAAAAGAAAAGAAAGATGTCTCGAGGTACATGTTTTTCTTTACTTTTTGTCTAAGTTTGCCTACTTTGGTTTTAGGTCTTACCTGTAGCTGCTATACTAATCCATTATGGATATCTATTTGTCAAATCAAGAACATGAATTATGCCTACAGTACAGTAGAGGTTCTAGGCACGAATCAACCGGGCAGCCGCCCGGGGGGGCATTTGTGTCATGACTCATGGGGGGCGGCACAAGCACTTCCAAAAAAGAAAGAAAAAAGATAATAATAATAAATCTGCCCCGCAAAGCAGTTTTGTATTAACTCTTGTCAAATTGGCGCCCCTGCTTGCTGCGAAGGTGCTGCACAGAGGCTGACAGACTGTATGAGTGAGCTGCACAGACACGAGATAAAAAGTTTAAAAAAAAAAAAAGTGTTTATAGTAAATACGTAGAAGTGAGGAATAAAATTAGACGGCCAAGCAGGCTGGCTGCATCGAGACATGCGTCAGTTGTATAATATTTGTCGGCTATAACTTACGAATTTAAACGGTCCGCGATACTTTACCACGCCATCTCCCTGGCTTTCACAATGGCAACAGTGTTGCCCTTCTTTTGAAATTTTTCCTGGTACTCTTCGTACAGCTCCATGAGAAAGACTCCGCTCTGCACTTTTTTTTCCCCCATGATCTTGTCATTTCGACAATTGATATGTCGGGGCTTTTTATGTACCACGGAGGCGCGCATAGCCGCAGCTTGGATCAGCCTGGCTAGAATAAGCGTTGATGAAAAACAGCTGAGCCTCATTAGTGGAACGAGTCGCAGCTATTAAAGTGGCCGCTTATTCAAGCCATGCTTACCGGCGATAGCCCAGCCTTCTTTAGCCAGCTTCGTGGAATACCCCCTGAAGCTGGTCCGGACCAGTCTGGAAACAGAGGCTCTAAAGTCCGTTTGTTGTCTTCCAGGCTCTCGGTCAGGCCTTCATGGACTGCTGCTGCTGCTGCTGTCAGGAGTGTCAGCCAACCACATCTCAAGGCTCGCCAAGCTCCGCCCAGGTCAAACTGAAGGCAGCCAATGAGACGTCCATCTTTTTCGACAAGGCTAAAGAGACATCGGCCATCTTGTCCATCTCCAGCTAGAGGCACAGACTTCTATTAAGCCACCCGTCCTCCGATCATCTATCCCAGCATTCAGCTCTTCTTTAACCTCCTTAAACCTTTCCTTCCTTCTCTGTTCTCTCCGTTTCTTCTTCTGTTCCTCTCCATCCATCTCCATCCCCAGAACACCTCTTCATCACTGATCATCTTCCTCCTCCAGAGCTCAGTTTGTATGATATTCCTCTATGGACACACTGTGTGTTTTCTCTCCGGCGTCATCGTGTCTGTGCAGGGATCGATCTTTAATCTGTAGTCACTTTAGGTTGGAGTTGCTGTACTTGCACATCAGTGTGTGTTGGAGCAGGAGCCTGTTTCAGGACTCAGGATAGACTCTTCCCTCAGACGTCCTGCTGGAAGGATGGATGGAAGCCTGGATGGTCTGCTGATGGTCTGAAGATGAAGTCTCTAAAGGGCTGTGTCCATTCACTCCGTTTTTAGCACTGGCAGTCCCCATTTTTGGCTTTTAGTGAGGCTGAACTATGAACCCCCTCACTTAGACTGTTGGAAAGTCCTCTGTAGGCTTCATATGGGAGTTCCTCCTTTAAAGGGATATTCTGTCAAATTAATTTAGGTTCAAACACACCGTAACACAGAGTTAGACACCCCCTCCAGAGATGAATGTTGCCGACCGCTTGCTTCTCTAGTTATACCAACTTTAGTAACAACGGCAGGATAGCAATACACAGCGGTCTGAGGAGCCATAAACAAACCTCAACCAAAACCAGTCCATTACGGACTACAGCGGGGTGATGCAGCTCAAGGAAGAACATTTATGATCATTTCTTTATCATTTCCTTGAAGTAATAATCATCATATTAATAATTTTACAGACGCGGTAGTTCCTCTGCCTTAGCGTCTCAGTCTAATTGTATTTCCATGAAGAAATGATCATAAATGTTCTTCCTTGAGCTGCGTCACCCCGCTGTAGTCCGTAATGGACTGGCCTGAGGTCTTGCTACAAACAAGCGGCTGCTGGAAGAGAGTAGGTGAGTTGTGTTTAGTCTCTTTGCTAAAGAAATTAGTCAAAGTTAAAAGGATGTTTGGTGGCTAGGACCCTTTATGTTCTAACCTCAGTAGAACATGGTGTAGTTCTGTTCAGTAACAGAACCTGATTGGAAAATTAGCTGATTTAACTTTACTGTGCTCTTGTTCAAATATACTAACTCGACAGCACATAAATCCATACCTGTTAACAAAAGCATTATTTTATTGAGAATTTGGCTCAATAAAAACACTTTTACCTTTTTATTTTACTACAGTAGAAGTTTCTTGGCCCAGCTTATAGACTACAAAAGTGGAGAAACGCACCCACTTAAGTTTATGTTTTCTTAGGAGTTAGAACAACTCTGAATATAGTACTATGGCTGGGACCCTATATGTACTGTTGATGAAGTTACGTGCTGTTCTGAGCCTTATCTGTGGCTATAGAGTGGCGTTTTGGTTGAGGTTTGTTTATGGCTCCTCAGACCATTGTGTATTGCAATCCTGCGACTGTTACTAAAGTTGGTATAACTAGAGAAGCAAGCGGTCAGCAACATTCATCTCTGGGGGGTCTAACTCGGTGTTACAGTGTGTTTGATCCTAAATTAATTTTACACCAGAATACCCCTTTAATGACATTTTACAGAGACCCTATAAACAGGCCAACAGAAGTCTTATCTTAGCATTAGCAGCACTTCTAGACCTTGGGCAAAACTAGCATGTTACTCTCACCTCTTGACTGCTGCCATTGTTGTTGACAAAGCTGTGTTCAGAAGTCCTACCCCTTCTTGATTTTGATTGGTTGGTGATGAGGAAGTGACATTGACAAGTGTGGTGATGTTCTAAAAGTTGCTGAAGTCAGCTGAAGGCCCTGAGTGCTAAAATCCAAACACTATTGAAAACAGGTGCAGCCAGCACAGAAAACTGCAGTCAATGTACACAAGCCCTAAAACCCGCATGAGGACAGCAGTCAGATCCATCTGACCTCCAGGAGTGGAAACTGCAAGGCACCGGTCAAAAACATAATCTGCAAAGCCCTGAGAGGTCAGACTGTAAACTCCTGACCTGGAAATTCAAGATGGCTGCTCCCGGCAACAAGGCTAAACTAGCTGTACTTGTAATAGTGTTTATTGACAACCGAGTCTTGTAATGTGTGCTTAGATCAATATCTAGGATAGGATTGTGCATGTTCTACCTGTGGACATGTTCTCATGTTTGTATGCAAACTATTATAATCTAGACTGTTGTAGACTAGTGTTAGCTAACAATGTAAACAACAGCGGAGCTCATGGCTGAATGTGTTTCTGGACTGGATCTGGGGGACAGTGACCTTTAAATGTGAGGTCACTCCCGATTTCCACGTCCGACTTCAGAGGTAAATGGACTGTACCATTGCTCCCCCTTACAGTCGCTTTGATGAAAACTAACCTGAAGCTCTAAATCAGAGATTTTTTTTGTACAGTTGGGAGCCATGACATTTGGTGAAGATGAATAAATTAGCCATCAAAACCGGTGGCAACCAGGTTCCTGCTTTTCTAGTGCGTGGCTCTAGTTCACGGTAATGAAACAGGAAGTTTTTTTTTGTCCCTGACAGGCCCATGTTGGTAATCCTAACCCCCAGTTTCCACCGCATCCTCAACGTCTACGAAAAGGCTGTATCCGCTGATCGTAGCTGATCGTAACCATTCAAGTTAACGTGTCAATTTCCACCGGCTTCTTTCCATTCCTCTGCGGATCGCTGGACTCCACGGCTGATCTTAAGAGTTCTATTTTTTCCAGATGCCGGAGCATGCCGGATAAATTCAGCACAGATTAACCCGTGCTGGAAAGGAAGTCGGGCACAGACACAAAATAAAACATCCAGCTTCTTTTCAAAATAAAACACTCCATGTTTCAGGCGAATCGTATTTCACACCATGCAAACGGGCGGAGACGAACAAGTGAAAGGTTTTTAGATGTCATTTCACCCCGATGACACCATGGATGAGGAGATGCTGATTCAAGAAATCTAGAAGTAGATTTCCTCCTCTGGAAGGACACAATCTACTGCTTATATGTCTATGTGTCTCTCTTTATAGAGACAACTCATTATCGTGCGATTGATTGTATGTGAATCCGTGGGGTTTTGTGAGTTTTCGCGATTCCTGCTGTCCGTAATCTGCCACGAAATTTGTCTCATAAACAGATCTGGTAGGAACTGGCAGACGGCGAAAAAATGGCCGCCGTTCCGGATCGGAGCCGTTCTGGATGTAGTGGAAATCTTGGGTCACATAACAGTGACGATCCCTGCAGAGATAGGTACCTAACTGGTTTCACGGCTTGACACTAACTTTGTTCACATGTTCTCCTAAGTTGAAAAAGTAAGGAGCACACAAAGAACTTTAGGGGCACTATGAAAATTGATCAAATAATGTTCATCATATTGTCTGACCTTAGTACTATTATTTGAAATCAATTTTAGGACAGTTGGTCACATGACATGGAAGCTATTGAAGGAAAGGTTCGAAATTTGCCTTTAAATTTAACACAAATTTTTTTAAAGGACAAATTAGGGAAATAAGAGGTATGTCTTATTGGTCTACCTTAGTACTATTTTTTAAAATCAATTTTAGGTCTTTTGGTCACATGACATGGAAGCTATTGAAGGAAAACAGCCTTTTCTGAGAACATCAACCGGTAATTTATTGATGGTCCCTTATTCAACACCCGACGTTGACAGTGAGGGTGCCGAGTAGATTTAACCACGCTGCTGTTGTTATTCCCAGTTATGGAGAGTGAGAAGACACCGGTAGATCCTCAGTGAATGTCCATCAAATATCCAACCTGAAACTAACTTCACTGCCTTATTTACAGAAAAAAACACATTTGTTGATTTTTTTAATGCGCACATGTGACCCTAAATACATTTTACAATTCACACACATCTATTTTTAGTCGCAAATGTGAGTGAAACGGTCGTACTGTCGAGACCTGGGTTGGAAACCCATTTAAAGGACAAATGATCCGTGGAGTTCCTAAAGGCGCCGCTCTAGGTCCTCTTGTCTACGTGTAAATTTCTAATTGATCCTAAGACAAAGTTCCAACATGCACACAAAAACCCTGATCAGTGGGCTTTCCTCTCACCCTGAACAAAACATTGGTCTACTGTTTTTGTGTAGGATCCAATCAAGGATGCAGTCGACCAGCATCTGATTTTAGAGAAAACTTTTTTTGGCGATAGGGGACGGTGACTTTGGATCTGGGGCTACTGAAGCATCAGAGCAGCTAAAGCTCGATCAGGTGATGTAGTTGGACTAAACTTGTCCCAGTCTAAAGCACCTGAAGACAATAAATTAACTGAAAAGTATGTCTACCTCCACTCCACTAGGTGGCAGTATGCCCTCTTTCAGCTTGGGTTGTCTTCTGCTTGAACTGTTCCCTCGTACCCTAAAACAAACAACAAACAAGTTAGCAAGAGGCTAATAGGTTTACAAAACAACACCTTCTCCTTTTTTAGTTCTTTCTTCTTCTGTCGAGGTTTTGTTTAATACTCGTCTTCCTACAATGAATTTATGAGGTTAAAATCCCAGGTCAAAGCATGCTGATTATGGAGCATGCTCAGAACTGGCTTGTTCCAGTCGGAATAACGTGATAAATGGAACACTGTTAAAGTCTAAGAAGGACAATCTGGAGTAATGCTGCGTTTGAGTTACCTCTGAAGTCAGGTGTTGGAGCTGAAAATGATGTCAGCATTTCAGTTGCCAAGTCAGAAAAAAGCGAAATTGGAGGTGGAAACAAGATGGCTACATCTATGAAAGTTATTTTAGCACTTGACTTATATTCGGACAAGGCAAGCGCTAAAATAACTTTTGAAGATATAGCCATCATGTTCCTGCCTCTGTTTTTGCTTTTTTGCGTCTTGGTAACTGAAATGTTGGGAACTCGCATGTGACGTCATTTTCAGCTCCAATATCTGACTTCTGAGGTAACTCAAACGCAGCATAAGACCAGAACTTTTATTGGACTCACTGAAACAAAGACCATGTGACTCCAACAGTCATATTTCCACCATTACAGCATGTTTCATTTCCTCACGTTTTCATCTAATCTGACATTATGACCTTAGACTAAATCTAAACCTGGACCCGTGTTTAAAGTGCTGGAGTGAGCCCGGTTTGGTTTTGTGTCTGTTGGCCCATCACAGATTCATGATTGGTGGTGGGAGTACTTCACGTTACTATGGAGACGGTACAGGTGTAACTCTGGTGGGGTCCTGTTGAGGTGGGAAGATAACCTACATAGAAATTTAAAGTTTATAAATGCTTGTAAAGAAAAGACTGTGGATCATAAACAAGTAGAGCAGATTTGACTGTAGCTGCTTTAATTCTAGAGATGTGCAACTAATCATCAAAAGAGTTGTGTTTTCTTGCAACGCCATGGGAAAGTCGGTTTTTGTAAAGTTGAGTTTAATGGCAGTTAATGTCACAGAAATAGCAAACCACTGAGGTCATTGCGTTTGCCAGATTTACAATCATGGAATAAACTAAAGGGACTTTTGTACTCCAGACTAAAATAGTCAGAGTTAGTCCAGGGGATGGGGGACGGGGGGCTTAGGTTAGGGGATATTCCGGCGTAAAATTAATTCAAGGTTCAAACACACTGTAACACTGAATTAGCCACCCCTCCAGAGATGAATGTTGCCGACCGTTGCTTCTCTACTTATACCAACTTTAGTAACGACCGCAGGATAGCAATACTGCTGTCATTATGCACTGACTGGTTATGATCATTTCTTTATCATTTCCTTGAAGTAATGGAATGAAGTAATGTGTGTATTGCTATCTTGTGGTCGTTACTAAAGAGAAGCAAGCGGTCGGCAACATTCATCTCTGGAGGGGGTGTCTAACTCAGTGTTATGGTGTGTTGGGCCCTGAATTAATTTACGCCGGAATATCTCTTTAATAGTTCTTCTTTAGAGAGGGTATCTGAAATAAGGTCTGGAGAAGGTCTACAGGAATGACAGAAAGAGACTTTTCAGCATGTTTTGGAGTTAAAACTGTCCCCTGATGTCCCTGCAGTAAAGAGGACTTTGGACTCAGTTATGGCTCAGTTCATATGTGACTTTTCAGACTGTTGGAGTTTTGGAGGATCAGAGAAGAACCAGTGAAGGTCATGGAAACAAAACTCCAATTCCTGTTCTGTTCTTATAATCAGATTTCTCTGCTTTAGTTGTTAATCACACTAAGTCGATGCTTTTAGATAGCAGCTGTGTCAAAGCAGCTTTTTCAGGTGAACCTGTCTGTTAAACTGATTGTTACCATGGAAACTGTACCCCAGAAAAGACTAAGACCTTCAGTCCACAGTTTAAGGATCTGAATTTTTCTGCCCTAACTTTTTAATAAAGGGACGAGCACACACTCCTGAATCAGCTGTTTTTCTGTTGTCCAGATCTTAACTATAGCAGGTATCAACACCTTTACAGGACTCCTTTCTACCTTCATCAATGGCCACTAAGGATTATGGGTAATGCAGTCTTCTGATCCATCCACCACTTTTTAATCTTTCACAAAGTCTGATCAGTTTTAGGTTTCCTAAAGTACCGAAACAACACAAGTCGATCTGTTTGAAGGTAGATTACAGAAATTTGAGTTTTAGATGTTTAAGGTAAATAATCCAGTTTTAGGTATCCTTTAGCTCTCTCTGTCTTAATTCAGATTAAATCTGGTTTTAGGTATCCTCTGTCTTAATTCAGATTAAATCTGGTTTTAGGTATCCTCTGTCTTAATTCAGATCAAATCTGGTTTAAGGTACCCTTCAGCCCAGACCCTGTAGCATCAGTTATGTAAACTTGTATTTCCTTTTTAAACACCAGATCTGACCCCTCTCTCCATACCCTCTCTAAGTGTTTTTTTTTTAATCCGTTTCTGATATCTGAAGAGTTTTTTATCGGGATTCTCTCCTCTGGGTTTGGTCCAGTTTCAGGGACCATCTCACTTTTCTCGATTGTTCACTGGCAGAAAAAGAAGTTATTTGTCTGCAAAGCTAAAAGTCTTAGGCTCATAAAATTCTGGTTTTAAAGATTAAAGATGAAAACAATCCTGAAATTTGAGAGACTCTGATTTCCTTTGTACGGAAAAATAAAACTTTAGAGAGTTTTGTGAGTTTGATTCAGTTTGATTGAGTTTAAAGGCAGTAAATGAATCTCTGCTCCTGTTTAGACTCAGGAGGATTTTCTCTGAGTGAAGCTGCTGCGCTGAATATCAACGACCTCACTACTGTCCTGTCGCCATGGGATACCAGCCCAAATTCACACACACACACACACACACACACACACACACACACACACACACACACACACACACACACACACACACACACACACAGCTCTGTTAATTTAGAAACTCTTTTCTAATCACTGAGTCCTGAGTCTTTCTCCTCTCCATCTCTGACTGGTTTCCCCCGGCAACCTGAGGCAGGGATTTACAAATTTAAAGACTCGGTTAGGAAATGACAAAAGACACACAGACAGACATACAGACAGAGGACAGACACACAGACACACCACACAGACAAGCACAGACAGATGGGGAGGGGGGGGGGGGGGGATTGATGTGTAGTTGGAGGAACAGAGTGTTTCAGGAGGTTGTTGGAGATGTTGTTGTTGTTCTCATTAGTAGTGATGAGAGCTCTCCTCTCTGATAAAAACGACCGAACAGACCGCCTCTGTTCACTAATGAAGCCACACACACACTAAAACACACTAAAACACACACACACAAACACACACACACAGGCGACTAGACCTCCATTGGTCATGCGAGGGTGTCTGTTGGACAGACTGGATGGGAACCAGCTTCAGGCTGCAGTTACATAAAAGGAGGGTCAGAGGTTCGAGCCTCATATCTACACCTAAAGTGTGTATGTGAGTGTGTGTGTGTATGTGTGTGTGTGTCAAACTAACACACTCCATCTGCTGTTTCCTAATTGAAGATCAAAGTTTCAGCAACATCCTGATTCCTGAGGGTGAACTTTGACCTTCTCAGCAGAGGCTTCGTCATAAACAGTCTGTACACTAGAATGAACTCAGGAGAGAAAAACCATAGATATCTATAAGAAAAGCTAGATGATTCTATGAGGTGGAGTCAGTGGCGTCCCTACACGGCGGCCATCTTACTCCAGTATACCATTCTGGTACGCTCTGTGGTAGCTGACAGGAGGTGAGTAATCTGCATGATTAAAAATCCTCTTAACTCGCTGAAATCTTAACAGATTTACAAATGGTTTTGTTTATTACAGACCTTAATAACATGGCTATGAGTCGGGATGCTTGGACATATTGAAATGGCAGATTTACTCTGAGAAAAAAAAAAAAGGCTTAATCATGAAGCACAGTTGTTTCACAGCTATAAGGGTTAACTTTGAGTCGCTTTGTCAAGGCTGAGACCACAATCGAGATTTTAATTTCTTGTCTGACAGACTATTTTTATTTATTTAGTCTAAGTGAGAGTCTTTGTGGATGTGCTTGTGTTTACCAGCTGTCTAACATTGCTAACAGACTCGCTGTGAGTGAGACCAAGTACATATTACAAAGTTGACCCAGTAATTTTACATCAGTTAAAGAGGCAGAAATGCTCTTTTGATTCAACATAACTGAAGTTTTACATGATTTCCAAACTGTTTGGTTTTTCAAAAACATCTAAAATGGAAACATGAGGCGGAAATTTATATCGAAAATAAATATTTATACATGTTATTGTTATATGTTTTTATAGTTATCCCTGATAGAAATATTACTAATAAAACATACATGGAATGGTTAAATGTTTTATACATAAATGATTTATTATTACTGTCGTGTGTGTGTAGGACTATAGCTATTAGTCTACCTATCTACTTAATGTTTATTTATGAAAATCCGTGGTTAAAATTATTCTTGAGCGTGCAGGAACATAACTAAAACTCTCTCTCTATAAATATATATATAGCTATGATAAAAAAGTCTATTTGAGGAGCAAAACTAGTTTCAAACTTCTGACTGTGAAACATGGAAAAGTCCGGCCCGGCCCAAAGATGACCTGGGTGAAGCTCCGCCCACACCACCATAATGATCATCATGAACACCAAAGAGACACTTCTCCATCTGTGTGAAAGCTTCACTCAAATCCTGAGCCTCTCAGTCACCATGTGAAGCCCACTGAGATGAAGCACCACTCATCTTCGAGTGTGTGTGTGTGTGCGTGTGTATGTGTGAACACAGGTGAGTGAATGGAGAGCAACAAGTCTCTCTCAGAGTGTGTGAGTGTAAATGTGTCTCTGTAAGCTCAATGAACACAAACTAATCTGACCTGAATACCCCCCCCCCCCACCACCACCACACACACACACACACACACACACACACACACACACACACACACACACACACACACACTGAAACCAGGAGCACAATGCTGGTTTTGTTCTGTGGGAAAAACTGATGAGGAAGGAGAACGGGGGAAGGGGGGGGGGGTAGTTACTGTTGTCATGACAATGAGCACGGGGTCCCACACACACACACACACACACACACACACACACACACTGGTGGGACCACCTTGTGCTGCAAACAGGAAACACCGAGGCCTTCTTCTTTGTTGATTGGTATAAAAGTAGATACACACACACACACACACTCCGTGAGAGAAACCCACTTGTTGAGGAGAGAGAAAGGAGGAGGAGGGTCTAAGGAGTGATGGCGATGGATGGAGTGATGAAGTGGTCAGAGGCTTTATCAGTGTGATCACGTCCATGACCAGATTCTTCTTCTTTTTCCTCTTCTCTTTTTCCTCTTCTGTCCGTCCGTTTTTGACTCTGAGAAAACTCCTCTCTCTCTCTCTCTCTCTCTCTCTCTCTCTCTCTCTCTCTCTTAAGGATAGTCACGCTCTGATGTAATGATAGGCACAGCAGTTCTTTTAGATGTACCAAATCACTAGAATCAGTTCACTAAAAAGATTCATTCAAAAGATTCGTTCACCAAATCACCAAATCACTTAGCGCTTGGCGGGAGGAGCCTGTGACTTCGACGTCTGAATTGATACACAGCTGAACGTTTCAGGATTCAGTTCAGGTTTATAGCTTCTGGGAGCGGGAGACCAGTGTTTGTCTTTGTTGCTTAAACAGGTTTGTAAAAATGAACTTGTTTATATGTCATGATGTTTGAAGTGTACTGTCCTATGGTACGCTATTTATCAGGTCTGCTCTGTAAATTGGACTCAGTGAGTGATTCGTTCACTGAACAGTCCCTCACAAACTGCTGCAATGACAGGATGCTGCGGGTTTTATGCACTCCTTGTTACATGCTGTATCCTATTGTACGCAAGTTGTTGTGGTGGCAAATTAGCAGTAAAAAAACGGTAGTTTCATCCTACAAAAATGATTCCAGAGTGCATATGTCAGTGTGAGAATCGTTTACCAAGTGATTCAGGCGTCGGTGCATGCGGTCCCTCATTCGCCGGCTGCTCACCTGGCAATGCTGCGTGCTAAAGCAGCTACCCTGCTGACAGCTCAAATGATGTGAGAAATGAACAAATCACTTGAGGAAGTGATTCGGTTCTTTTGAACGAAACGTTCATGAACGACACAACACTACTCTGATGGTCCATCAGTCAGCAGGACACACCCCTCCTCAGTTGCAGAGGGGCTGAGTCCACAGGCCCCTCCCACCTGCACAGTGGTTTCGGCAGCACTTTCAGGATCCGTCAGCAGAACTTCTCCAGGTCCACCTCCTGATCCTCAGCCTCTGAACCAAACCTTCAGACGGACGTTTAGTTTGAAAAACAAGACAAGTCATTGTGAGTGAAACTCACCAATCAAACATGGAGAGTTCCGGAAAGTTCTGGAAACTCAGAAACGTTTGTTTGATCAGATGTAAGTTGAGGTTTGGACTTGAGGAACATCTGTGAGAGAGATCTGGTCTGACCTCCCCAGAAAGGACGTGTTCTGACCCGAAAGAAAGTTGGACCTCTCTGAAACTAGACTGGGATTTAGTGCAGTAGGATCGGTTCTGATTGGACCACAAAACAGAGCTTCATCAGCACCACTCAGAACCTCAACCACACTCAGGTTCACCAAAACAAGAACCTGATCCATCAGCCAAAAGGTTTGATTTGATTTGATTTATTTGCACATGCAAGAAAAAAAATACAACAAAATACATCTTTGTTACAGTAATGTACGGGAGAAGTTTATATTAATCTATACAGTATATAGATTATACATAGTAATACATCCATTAAAATGTTAAACAATAAGATACATACAGTAAGATGCATGCATAGTACAAACTCAAACTCCACAGACAATACCATACAAGTTGATACATTAAACAACTATTTTCTGGCAATCAACATTATTTTGTATTTGGCTTTGAAGTCTGGTAATGAGGATTTTTTAAGCTTTGGGTCAGTGACATTCCATAAACTAGATCCTCTGTATCTTATTGAAAACTGCCTAATGGAAGTATAACAATAAGGTACATGAAGGTCCTTTGATTGACGTGTCACATAAGAGTAAATGTCTGAATTAAAAGAGAAGAAACCTTTAAAACTTTTTGGTAGATTGTGATGATCATACATGCATTTGTACACAAATATACATATCTGTAAAGAATTAACCTCAGATACTGACAGAATGTTTAGCTTCTTAAAAAGAGGATCAGATGGTTCAAACCGGTCAGAGAATGTTGCCAGTCTAACAAATCGTTTTTGAAGTAAAATAATTTTATGAAGATGTGAAGAATGAGTACTAGCCCATATCATATTACAGTAAGATATATAAGGGAAAATGAGACTGTAATAAAGAGTTAAAAAACAACTTCTATTCAGCAATGTGCATACCTTTCTAATTATACCCAGTGATTTCATTGTTTTTTTACAGATATGATCAATTTGCATTTTCCAATTAAGTTTATCATCAACTATAATCCCTAAGAACTTTGTTGAGGTTACTTGATTGATTTCGATGTCATTGATAAACAGTTTAACCTTCTCACTTGAATGATACTTTCCTTTGTTACAAAATAAAATAAAATTTGATTTTGCTACATTTAACGACAGCTTATTAGTTTGGAACCAAATAGAGACACGACATAACTCACCATTTGCTTCCCTTAATAATGATGACAGATTCTCATGGGACATAGTGAGGTTGGTGTCGTCAGCAAACATAATTGAAAATAACTCAGGAGATACCCAAGCAAAATCATTTATATATATCAAAAATAAAAGGGGGCCAAGTGTAGAACCCTGAGGGACGCCACAGACTAGCTTTGCCCTGTCAGAGTCAATACCATTAATAGATACAAATTGCTTCCTTTTATAAAGATAGTCACTGAGCCACTTTATCAAAGCACCAGCAAAACCATACCTCTGTAACTTATAAGGCCATATCAGTAGAATGTTTTTGTCTGAAACCATATTGATGCTCATATAATATGTAATTGTCATTTAGATGTTTCAAAATTCTACTATAAATCAATTTCTCTGATATTTTAGAAATAGATGGTAATATAGAAATTGGTCTATAGTTACAAAATAAGGATGAATCACCAGATTTAAACAGAGGTACAACTTTTGCCACTTTCAAATCGCCTGGGACAACACCTGTCGCAAGAGAAAGTGAAAACACATGGTTCAATGGCTCAGTGATTGAAGGCAGTGCCTCTTTAAGCAGACTGCTTTTAATGTTATCATAACCAGCTGCTGAGTTTTTTAATTTTAAAATAATATTCTGTATTTCCTCAGATGTAGGTGGTTCAAATATAGACATGGGCGGGTACTGACCCTGAATCGTTTTAAGTGGACAGTTGCTTGTACTCTTAATGTTTCTAGCCAAGGAAATACCAATGTTCACAAAATAATTATTAAACCCATTTGCAATCTCTACGGGATTAGAGTATGTTCGATTTCCATCCACAGAAGTAGATGGAAATAAAACGGACTGTGTTTTTTATTGAGTAATTGATTTATTACATTCCAAGTACATTTTATGCTATTGGCAGCCTCTTTAAATTGATCCGAATAATATTTCTTTTTTGCCATTCGAAGCAACACTATAAATTTATTTTTGAATTTTATGTAGACATCTCAATTTAAAGGAGTAGGGTTCATCAGAAACTTTTTGTATAGTTTGTTTTTTTTCTTTGCGGATTTCAGCAAGCCAGATGTAATCCATGGTTTACATTCCTTTTTGGCCGAACTTGCTCTATTATAACTAATATAAGGAAAGCATTTTTCAAATGAGGAATTAAATATTTGTGAAAAAGTTTGATATGCCAGTTCTACATCATTTTGATCATACACAGCATCCCAAGGAACATCATTAATACAACTCTTAAAACGAGCAATATTACCTCTGCTAAAACTACGCCGGTGACTTCCTCTCACCTCTGTTTGTTCACTTGTATTAGAAAAGGTCAATTGGAAGATTGGGAAATGATCCCAAATATCAGTAAATAGCAACCCTGATGTGTTTTTATATTCAAAATTATTAGTGAGAATATTGTCAATCAGAGTGGCAGTTTGCTTCGTTACTCTTGTTGGTTTATGAATGAGAGGAAGGAAATACGTAGAGAACAAGATGTTTAGGAAGTCAGCTGTCAAAGCATGGCTATTGTTTTTTAGTAAATTCATATTAAAATCTCCTAACAGAGTACACAATTTGCCTTCTGAGTTAATTTTATCTGAAGTAGTAGCAGACACATCATTAAAAGCTTTGATCTCAGTATTCGGTGGCCTATATATGCACCCAACAACAATATTCTTTCCTCCAAACACAGTACAAGAGAGTATTTCAATAAACACTGACTCCACATCAACTGACGCCAAAGTTAAGCCAAGATCTTTCCTTTCAATAAACTTAAAGTTTTGTTGTATATGAAGTGATACTCCCCCTCCTGCTTTATTCTGTCTGTAGGAATGAATTGAGTTATAATGTGGCATATCATAGGACTCAGCAGTGTCCTGAGAGAGCCAGGATTCAGAAAGGGCAATTACAGAAAACTGATGCTCTAATGATGATAAATATTGGTTTAAGTTATCATAATTTCTCTGTAAACTACGTATATTTAGATGGAAACTAGAGAAGATACTCCGCACATTCTGAGATTGAAGTCTGTTGTACTCCTTAAACTCATCTACATTATAATAGTCACTAGTACCAAGGTCCTTCTTAGTCTTGTTAAAAAACATAGAATCAGGGTCATATGCAATATCATATTCCATGTATTTGTTATTTTCATTAAGATCAAATGGATTAAAAATCATATTGTTAAAATCATGCATAGGAACCAAGATAGTCTCAGAAATCATATTGCAAAAGTCTCTGTCATTTAAACTGTGATAAGGAAATATAATGGAACAGTTATCACAAATCCATGATGACCATTCAGCTGAATTGTACCTATCTAAAGGTGTGCACCTTGTATGAAATAACCTATTACAACATGTACAAGCAGTGCCATTTTTCACTTTACCATAACACTTTGAGCAAAGGAAGACAACTGACATTGTCAGACATAGGCCTAAAACATTAAAACAAGGGTGTCATCTATTGTGTATGATCATTGGTTGGTTTAGTGCCAGGTCGGTGCACTACAAGTCTGTCAAATTTCAAATAGGCTATGTTCCCTTTATCTCTTTCTTCTCTCATTTTTGGTAACAATTCTTTTCGTTTTGCACGGACACTCTCAGAGTAGTCCTCACTGATAAAGATTTTGGTGCCTTTAAGTAATTTTGCACATTTCATAATCTCCTCTTTGTCCTTAAAACGAAGGAGCTTAACAACAACAGGTCGGTCCCTACCCGAGGCGTCATACTTCCCAGTCCTATGTGCACGTTCGAATTCAATTTTATTGGCATTTATTTTGAGATGGTCAGTAAGTACTTTCCTGACCTTTTTTTCTGAGTCACTCCAGGTTTCAGAACGATCATCTGGTAGACCATCAAAGACAAGATTATTGCACGTAGACTGGTTTTCAAGGTAACCCGTTTCTGAGGAAAGACTTGCCATTTCAGATTGCATTGTGGCAATGTTACTTGAGATCTGTTGCAATTTAATCACATCACCTTGTTTAGCAGACTTCAAATCATCCATATCAGCCTGAGAGAACTGGAGACTAGATTTTAGGTCTTGAACATCTTTAGAAACATTAAGAACATCTTTCATCAAATTGTCCACTCGCACATTTGTGGAATCAACGATTAGTTGTGATAATGACTTGAAGTTGTTTTCTTGCTGCTGCAGGAGATCTTTATAGAACTGTTTTTGTTGCTCTAACAGATCCTGAACCATGGTAAGAGTAATAACATCATCGTTTTTATTTCCTCTTTGAGGCATGCTTACAGGTGGCCTGGTAGAACCTGGTGTTAGGCTGCTGGGCTGGAGTAGAACATGGGCCTGTGGTGGTGGAGACTGCGATGCTGCTGAGGGCCAGGCAGGTGGTAGCTGGTGCAGCTCCTGGTGACCTTTGTCTACTGCTGCTGTTGGGCCGAGGCCGGTTCCTGGTTCTAAGGCAGGAACCTCTTTGTGTGCAGGGTTCTCTCTGACCCGGTTCACCAGAACGGCCCTGGTGCTGGATCAGATATGAGCCCCTTTAGTAACAGAGTTTAGTTTTGGTTCTGAAGGAAACCACAGAACCAGACCGAGATGATCAGATCCTCAGTCCTGCAGAGATCTGATCCGGATCAGGGGTCTAAAAACAGCTGATCAGAACCACTTCTCTTGACATCATTATGTTGGGCTCAGCTGCTGCAAAAGACTCTAATTAGTCTGAGCCGGACCTTGGCGCTGACCTGACCCGACACACACACACACACACACACACACACACACACACACACACACACACACACACACAGTCAGACAGCTGATCAAGAGAACACTGAGGTCCAGTGTGAGCGTTTGCCACCCCCTGCTGTCTCCTCAGAATCACTGCAGACAGATCCTGGTCCCTTCGGTCTCTCTAGGACCCCTTTGCCTCTGATTGAACAGATTCATTTATTCACTCAGACCTTCATGAAGTTTTATGGAGATCCAGATTTCCTCCTCCAGCAGCAGGACCTGGGACCTGCCACAGAACCAAAACCGCCTGAAACTGGTTTTCTGACCCTGCTGGATTGAGCTGAACCGGGTCGTAGAGAATCTGGGGGACATTAGTCAAGACGGAGATCAGGTACAGCTGACCCAAGTCAAGTCAAAGTTTATTCATAAAGCACCTTTAAAAAGACAGCAGTCAAACAAAGTACTGTACATGGGATACATAAAGAAGGTAAATAAATAAATAGATAACAATAAAAAATAAAATTAAAAACAGTGGAATAAAATACTGACAGTAATAAATAATAAATAAACATCAGCGCTGGATCAGGGAGGCAATGGAAATCTGGAAGCGAGGCCAGAGGACCATCAGCATTCGGAAACATCAGCTGTTTTAAGACACGTCACACAATCATCACGTGACACTCTGAGGAAGACTGCTGCCAGCACGTCGAAACACGTCAGCAAGGTAAATAAAAAACCTGTGTCTGTATAAAAGAACATCTGATCGTAATTGATCAAAAAAGACACAATGAACCTAATCCAAGAATTACAGTGTCTATGATTCCTGTGTTCTCATTTATTAAATGAAAGGGAGATAAAGTGGGTCATCTCTAAGTTTGAGTCTGGTTTTGGGAATGCTCAATATTAACTGGTCAGAGGACCTTAAGGCTCTGACTGGGTAGTGGAAATACACAAGACCATTAAGAGCGTTAAAAACGATTAAAAGAATTTTAAAATCAATACCAAAGAAAGCAGACTGGAGTCAGTGAAGGGTTGGTAAAATTGGAGTTATGTGGTCGCGTTTTTTCTTGCCAGAGAGGAGTCGAGCAGCAGCATTTTGGATGAGCTGAAGGCGGTTGATGGATGACTTGTCCAAGCCGGCATACAAGGAGTTAGAGTAATTTATATATATAATCTATATATATAAAGGCATGAATAGTTTTCTCAAGATCAGCCTTTAAACAATAATTTTGAGCCTTTGCTAAAAGACAAAGCTGGAAGAAGCTCGTTTTAACAACAGACTGATCTGCTGATCAAGTTAAAGCCAAGATTTCCAGAAGTACTGACCAGCTGAAGGCCGGGTCCAGACCAGGGACTGAGGGGACAACCGAGCAGACTTCAACACGAAGTCCGTTCAGATCTGAGTAAGAACATTTGTGAGAGAAATCTTGTTGAGAAGTTTGAGTGCTGCACCTGTGAACTCTGATGAGTAAATGAAGACAAAGGTCAGATCTGTTCTTGTTCCATAGTCTTTTATTAGTATCGTACACAAGCATGTTTCTATTCAAAAACATGAAATTAAACAAGAACGGATCAACAGGTTCAAAGTCACCAGACCATCTTCATCCTGCCTGAACAAACTCCTGGAACAGCAGCAGATCCAGACTGGAGGCTGCAGAAGATCTCCCTGCCTACAGTCTGGGTTTGGGTTCAGATGGGAGTCCACCTAGTTAGGGGGGCCTGCCTTTCTACGCTGGCAGTCTTTCAGGATCTCTTTAAAAAATGACTCTCCGGTGGTTCATCCATCATGCTGCCAGAGTCTTTTTCTTGGATCTGTTCCCGTCTAACCACAGGGACCTGGTGCAGAAATAACCATAACGATACGTTTTCCTGCCGTACAGTTCCCGGTTTGTTCAGGCAGGATGACGGGAGGTTACAGGATGATTTAAAATAAAAAAATCATGTCAAACTTTACGTTTTGATGACCATACTCCAGTGTAATCGTCAATGAGAAAAGCACTGTGGTCATGTGACCCTCAGTACTTGTGTGTTATTGCACTGTTTGGTGTACTTAGGTACTTTTCTGCAGGTTAATTAATACTCAGGCTGATACTCTGGATTAAGGCCATTCAATGGTAAAGTGGCACAAAATGAACCTCATGAACAGGTCCTACAGATCCACAATCCCTGCCCTCTGCATGCAAACATAAAGACCAGAACCATCAGAACCGCCGAGAGGAAGATCTCAAGGAAACAGGAAATACCAACAGCTGTTTTCTGGGGGGGTTGCTCCGTTTATGGGACAGCTGACAGGCTGGTGGATCTCAGAGGTCCCTGAGAGACCACACAGTTCAGGTCATAGACATTATATAAGTAGACGCCTCATTATGTGCTGGAGCATAATCTAGCATCGCCGCCATATTGGATGGGTCATTCCACTCCAGGCTCGCTCTAGAGCCATACGGGGTCAATGGAGAACGAACAACTATGCCCATATTTTTGCACTCTATGGTTGAAAAAACCAATGCAGTATTGAAAACAGATCATGTAGGATTACTTTTCATAAATAAGATTGAAAAATAATTTTGGTTATTTTAAACGTGTGACATTGTCCTGTATTATGGGATTCAGAGAGTTACTATCAACATGGTTGGGCATTTCTACCTACCTTAATGCACTGGAGGCGCTCGGGGGACCCATCCAAGATGGCAGCCACGCTGACACGTGAGCTCCAATAGGCAGCATCAGGCTTTGAGGCATCTACGTATATTATGTCTATGGTTCAGGTATCATCTGTCCTTTACAGCAAAATACTGACTTTAAAGGGATATACCACCGTAAAATTAATTTAGATCAAACACACCGTAACACCGAGTTAGAAACCCCCTCCAGAGATGAATGTTGCCGACCGCTTGCTTCTCTAGTTATACCAACTTTAGTAACGACCGCAGGATAGCAATACACAGCGGTCTGAGGAGCCATAAACAAACCTCAACCAAAACCAGTCCATTACGGACTACAGCGGGGTGACACAGCTCAAGGAAGAACATTTATAATCATTTCTTTATCATTTCCTTGAAGTAATAATCACCATATTAATCATTTTGCAGACGCAGTAGTTCTTCTGCCTTAGCGTCTCGGTCTGATTGCATTTCAATGAAGAAATGATCATAAATGTTCTTCCTTGAGCTGTGTCACCCCACTGTAGTCCGTAATGGACTGGCCTGAGGTCTTGCTACAAACAAGCAGCTGCTGGAAGAGAGTAGGTGAGTTGTGTTTAGTGTCTTTGCTAAAGAAATTAGTCAAAGTTAAAAAGATGTTTGGTGGCTTGTACTATGGCTGGGACCCTATACAGTGCATCTGGAAAGTATTCATAGCACTTCACTTTTTCCACATTTTGTTATGTTACAGCCTTTTTCCAAAATTGATTAAATTCCTTTTTTCCCTCAAAAATTCTACACAAAATACCCCATAATGACAAAGTGAAAAACTCTTTTTAGAACATGTTTCAAATTTATTAAAAATAAGACACTCAAATGTTGCATATACATAAGTATTCACACCCTTTGCTATAAAACTCAAAATTGAGCTCAGGTGCATCCTGTTTCCACTAATCAGCCTTGAAATGTTCCCCCAACTTGATTGCAGTCCACCTGTGGCAAATTCAGCTGATTGGACATGATTTGGAAAGCCACACCTGTCTATATAAGATCCCACAGCTGACAGAGCACGTCAGCGCACAAACCAAGCCATGAAGTCGAAAGAATTGTCTGTAGACCTACGAAACAGGGTTGAATCAGCGCACAGATCTAGGGAAGGTTACAGAAAAATATCTCCAGCGTTGAAGATCCCAAAAAGCACAGTGGTCTCCATCATGAAGAAATGGAAGACGTTTGGAACCACCAGGACTCTTCCTAGAGCTGGCCGCCCAGCCAAAATGAGCAAGCGGGGGGAGAAGGGCCTTGGTCAGGGAGGTGACCAAGAACCCGATGGTCACTCTGACAAAGCTCCAGTGTTCCTCTGAGGAGATGGGAGAACGCTACAGAAGGACCACCATCTCTGCAGCATTCCACCAGTCAGGCATTTATGGTAGAGTGGCCAGACAGAAGCCACTCCTCAGTAAAAAGCACGACAGCCCGCTTAGACTTTGCTAGAAGGCACCTAAAGGACTCACAGACCAGGAGAAACAAAATTCTCTGGTCTGATGAAACGAAGATCGAACTCCTTGGCCTGAATGCCAAGCGTCATGTCTGGAGGAAACCAGGCACCGCTCACCACCTCGCCAATACATCCTACAGTGAAGCATGGTGGTGGCAGCATCATGCTGTGGGGATGTTTTTCAGCTGCAGGAACTGGGAGACTTGTCAGGATCGAGGGAAAAATGAATGCAGCTAAGTACATCGAAATCCTTGATGAAAACCTGCTCCAGAGCGCTCGAGACCTTCAGCTGAGGCGATGCTTCATCTTCCAGCATGACAATGACCCTAAGCACACGGCCAAGAAGACAAAAGAGTGGCTTCAGGACAAGTCTCTGAATGTCCTTGAGTGGCCCAGCCAGAGACCAGACTTGAACCCGATTGAACATCTTCGGAAAGACCTGAAAGTAGCTGTGCACCGACGCTGCCCATCCAACCTCACTGAGCTTGAAAGGATGTGCAAGGAAGAATGGGGAAAACGCCCCAAATCCAGGTGTGCCAAGCTTGTTGCCTCATACACAAGAAGACTGGAGGCTGTAATCACTGCCAAAGGTGCTTCGACCAAGTATTGAGTAAAGGGTGCGAATACTTATGTATGCAACATTTGAGTGTTCTTGTGTTTAATAAATTTGCAAAATGTTCTAAAAAAAGGTTTTCGCTTTGTCATTATGGGGTATTTTGTGTAGAATTTTTGAGGGAAAAAGGGAATTTAATCCATTTTAGAATAAGGCTGTAACATAACAAAATGTGGAAAAAGTGAAGTGGTATGAATACTTTCCGGATGCACTGTATGTGCTAACCTCAGTAGATCATGGTGTAGTTCCTTTTAGTAACAAACCTCGTTGGAAAATTAGCTTATTTAACTTTACTGTGCTCTTGTTCAAATATATTAACTCTACAGCACATATATCCATACCTGTTAACAAAATCATGATTTTATTGATATTTCGGCTTAATAAAAACACCTTTACCTTTTCATTTTACTACAGTAGAAGTTTCTTGGCCCAGCTTAAAGACTACAGAAGTGGAGACACACCTCCGCTTAAGTTTTTGTTTTCTTGGGAGTTAGAACAACTCTGAATATAGTACTACGGCTGGGACCCTATTTGTACCGTTGATGAAGTTATAGGTGCAGTTCTGAGCATTATTTGTGGCTATGGAGTGGCGTTTTGGTTGAGGTTTGTTTATGGCTCCTCGGACCGCTGTGTATTGCTATCCTGCGGTCGTTACTAAAGTTGGTATAACTAGAGAAGCAAGCGGTCGGCAACATTCATCTCTGGTAGGGGGGTTTCTAACTCTGTGTTACGGTGTGTTTGATCGTAAATTAATTTTACCCTTTTATATCCCTTTAAGGGTCCGTCCAAACCAAGAACCATGACTATGATTAATAACCGTCTTTAGAACTAGATCTCCATTAGTGAGTGTGGATTCGGTGGGATCCAGGTGATCACTGAGGACACCTCAAAGTTCAAACCAAAGACAAAGACCCCTGAATGTCATGACTCTAATCTGGATTATTCAGAAAAACCTGTAAACCCCGTCTTCTTGTTCCATTCTGGTTCAAAAGATTAAGACCTCTGGTGACAAACTCTACAGGATCTTGGACTGAGTTTTGGCACCTGAAGTGTTCCAGTTTCTGTTTGACCTCCCTTCAGTGTTGTCCACCATCCAACAACACCTTACCTTTAAATTCTGTCTCTACATGAGGGTGTGGGTCTAAACCTGACCCTGTTGCTAGTGGGATCATCCCTAACTCACAGAGAAGAACTTTGCCAAAGTCCTCCATCACCAGCTGCTACATACAGTTGGACAAGAAACCTGGCCTCTGATTGGGACTGTAGAGGGCAGCTGATTGGGTCACAGACCAAAACAAAGATGGCAGCATTTAATGAGCACCATCAGCTAAGGACAGAAACAGATCCATGAATCTTAAAGTTTCTGAGAGACTGGCTCATCCTGATCTTCTCTGAGGGACAGAGAAGCTCCAGGACGTCCCAGAAACACTCAGAGTTTATCCCCAGAGATCTACCAGTCTCACAGAACCAGAACCAGTGGATTTAAAGACGCTCCTTTAAACAGAGCTCATGATGTCAGACCAACAATCCTTAGCTGTGGACGGGGAAGTTTCGGACGCTTCTGTTCGCCATGATCACGTCCACAGTCGTCATTTGTGCTGACCGCCAGTTACCAACCATCAAGCCACTCAGAACTTCAGCGAAATGAAGACCATGGCTCAAGTTCTAACCCTCAGAACTAGGTCTCGTCTGAGTTCTGGGATCATCGACCCGTACACCGTCTTTTTGTCTTTTCTTAAATCATGGAGGGAATAATCTCTGTCCCTGTCTTTGCGGTTCAAAGTTCTGGAGAGGACTTTGTGACGATTGTTTTTGGCGTGGACAGCACCTTCATCAGTATCTTAGTGATTTTGATAAAAACCCATCTTTGTTGGGCGTCATGAACCAAAAGACAAACTTCAGTCTCGAACTAAAGTCATTTGGGGTTCAGACCGCGGTGTCTCCGATGGATTTTTTTCCGATCAAATCAGAGCTGTGACTTTGAAATCTTCGTGATCTAGGCTGTCTGATGGTGTACAGAGTGCTGACAGATCTCTCATTAGAGTTCAAACAGAACAGAACCGGGTCAGGTAGGAACACTTCACTGGTTCAAACCCCAGAACTTGAAAACAGCGCTGGGTTCTGAGTAACTTCACACTGTTGGGCCAAAGAGGGAGCTACCGTCAGAGCATCCAGGTCAGCCAATGGGAAGCTTCCATGTCAAGTTGTCTCATCAGGGAGGAGCTCTTAGAATCTACAGTCATGTCCATCATCTATACTGGAGCTGACACCCAGAGTCCGGTTCGTTAAACTCATGGAAACACTCGGGTCTGACCCACTACAGCTGGTTCTTTGGTGTGGGATGTGTTTGGAGGTCCTCAGCCAAGTTTAGGTCACTCTACAGGAACCAAAGTCTGAGATTTTTTCGACTAAACCGGTGCTGAACACCTGTGAGAGATTCTACATGTGAACCAGTCCAAAACTGACCTCTCAGACGCCAACATCTTTGGCGTCTGAGAGGTGAAGAGCTTCAGTGGTTTGGACTGAAGCTCTTTACCTTTGACCCCAGGAACTCATGATGGCCTGCTCTAAAACCTGCATTTAAAGGTTCTTTGATCACTTTTGGTTCCTTCACTCCTCATTTGAAAGCAGACCGACCCATTTGGCCCGACAGTGAAAGCGGGTCAGAGTGAAGTCCCCACATAATCCCAATCCTACATAATCTCCTGAGAGACATACCGCTGCTCTTCCACAAAATGACCTCAAAATAAACATACAGATCGGTAACGCTCCTTCCTTCTCTGGTTTGATCTGCGCTCTGATTGGCTGCTGACTGGACCGGGACCAGGAGGTGTCAGAACTTGATAGGAGGAAACTGAGTAAGATTGAACCCACATGAGGAGTCTGAAGTTTCGGTACTTATGTAAGAAGTCTGATGGCTGAGTGTTCATCCAGTTTTATTCTGACACTCAGTTTTTAAAGGATGATCCCAAACCTATTTCACTGTGTTAAATACAAACACAGTGACAGCCTCACTTATTATTACCTGCTCTAGCAAAACAAAGATGTTTTTGAGGTCGGACTTTTTCCTCTGAATTTATTCCACAAAAAAGTAAAAAAGAAGTCAGAAATCCAAAAAGAAGTTTTGTTTCTCAAAAATCTGAATTCTACGAAAGAGTATATGGGCCATATTAAGAAAAAAAAATTAAGACTTTGAGATTGAAGTCATTAATTTATGAGATTTAAGTCATTACTTACAAGAATAAAGTCATAATTAAATTATCACTTACAAGAATAAAGTCAGAATAAAGTCCTTATATTTTAACCTGCTGTTTAAGAGGACGGTTGTTAAAATGGAGCATTTCATGAAAATGTACTTAAATATATGTTTCTCGGGCGACACAGTGGTGTAGTGGTTAGCACTGTCGCTTCACAGCAAGAAGGTCCTGAATTTGAATCCGGTCTCAGGGCATTTCTGTGTGGAATTTGCATGTCCTCCCTGTGTCTGCATGGGTTTACTCCGGGTTCTACGGTTTCCTTCCACATCCCAAAAACATGCAGAAGTGGGTTTAGGTTAATTGGCCACTTTCAAATTGCCCGTAGGTGTGAATGTGAGCATGGATGGTTGTTTGTCTCTATATGTCAGCCCTGCGATGAACTGGTGACTTGTCCAGGGTGTGCCCTGCCTTCGCCCAAGATGCTGGGATAGGCTCCAGCCCCCCTGCAACCCTGGGAACGGGAATAAGCGATAGAAAATGGATGGATATATGTTTCTCAAACAAGGAGATACTTCATCTTTTGGCACATCAGCACCACATTATCATAAGTATAGTAGTAGTAGTAGTTTTTTACTACCTTATTCTTGTAAGTAATGACTTAATCTTGTAAATTAATGACTTTAATCTTGAAGTCTCAAATTTAAAAAAAATGTGGACGCTATACTCTGTCGTAGAATTCTGTCCTGTTTTAGCAAATATGTACATCAGATGCTCAATCACAGGCTGCTCTGAGAAAATCATGAGAATAAATGAGGACTGTCATTTTTATTCAGATCAGGAGTCAAAGATTTTTGTTTGAATTTGAAGAAACGTCAGAATTATAGAAGAACCTGGAAACAGATTTGTCTGCCCTTTTTCTTTTGAGGATCTGGTTTTCTAACGTCCTGTAGTCTGTATTTGTTAAAAGCGGTCGAGCTTTAAAAAACAACTAAAATGTGTTTCTCTAATTGTTTTGAGGATTTTATTCAACATTGGCACTCATAGACATCCAAGTTTACCCTTCAGTTCGAATGACAACATTTGCTCAGGTATGATGAGGAGGCGACAGCTGACGGAAACTCTAAAATCTGATCATGTGACACCCCCGGTCCAATCAGCAGACATCTGAGTCAGCAGAAAACACGCGGACTCCCATCCATCCAGAGTCGGCTTGTGAAGTCAAAAACAACCAAGAATAAAAAAAATATAAAACATCTGAGAAATCAAACGAACAGAAACGTCTCTCCAGTTAAAGTACCGCTTCCTTCAATCTGGACACACCAGGTTATGTCACAATAAGAAGATTATTAACATTATTCTCATTATTCATATCTTACAAAAACAAAATCAACAGTGCAATAAAAAGGTTTTAGTCCCTCGCTCGGCAGGGGAGAGAGGCGACGAGGGGCAGGGCTTGGCAGCAAGGAAAGGAAGTTACATCCAAAAATAAGAAAAGGGAGGAAGGACAGAAGGAATACAAAGAGGACAAGCAGTTCACTAGAGACGAGGGAGGAGGAGGAGGAGAAGGAGAATCGATATAAAGGTGAAACCATGGAAGGATGGATGAAGGATGTGGAGGTAGAGAGGAAGAACAGAAACCAACAGGAGAGAGAGAAAAAGGAAGGAAAGAGAAAATGATGAAGGCAAACCTGTGGTTACTGAGATGGGAGGAAGGGAGGATCATGGGAAAAAGTTCAGGGTTAGAGGGTCGATCCACAGAGCGGGCTCCTGATAACCATGAGAGTGGATTAAAGCCACCATGGGTGATGTTCTGACTCCATCCAAACCCAAACAGGTGACCCTGAGGAGTCTGCTGTGTGGACCTGTACAGGTGCACTGATACCACCGTTCAGTATCAAACTCTTATTTAGGACACGCAGCTAAACTCGTGCAAACACGCCGCGACCACGTGAGGTCACAGGAAGCTTCACTTCGACACACAAATGAGGAGTAGTGTTTCTGAATGCAGCTTTAGACCGGGACCACTGAGAGTCTGGGAACACGGCATGGACGAGTGGACTTACAGCAGAGTGAACCCAGAAGCTGTTAGGACCTGCATCTGGCACTCTAGAAGCCTGCTACACTGTTGCCAAATTTAAAGACATGTTTCTCCATTTCTAAGGAAATTATAAAATGTGAGCGTGTGAGTCTCGTCCCATGACTACTGTGATACACATTTACCTGACAGACAGGTGGACTCTTGGAGCGTGTTTAGTGTGAGAACTTTATGACACCTCGACACTCTCCATCGAAGTCATAAGTAATTGTTTTTGGGAGGTCTGGACCTTAAGTTAGAGCACCAAATGGTCTCCCCGTTACTGTGGAGTCTCCCAGCAGACCTCAGAGGTAAACGGTCAGGGTTGTGTTTGAACCCGGGTACAGAAATAAAGACGTGGTTCTATCCTCCAAGTCTGTCTGAGATGTTCCACAGAGGAGAAGAAGAGCTGCAGCTGACACTGAGAACATCTGTGTGTGTGTGCTTTAAGTTCTGGTCCACTTCAGACTCCTGCAGGAACTGAGACCAGTGTGCTACTGAGAAAAGGCCGGCATGGCTGCAGGTCTGACTCTGCCCTTAATGACGGGGGGTACAGGAAGTTGACCTTTGCAAATGTTGCTGTTTGATACTCTAAAATAATCAAACAGGTATCAGTGCGTCCCAGAGTGGGGGGGTGGGGGGTGGGGTCAGGAGGTGTTAATATAGGGTTAGGGGGGATGATGATGGTCAGAGTGAAGATTCGGGGACGAGGGGGGGTTGATCAGAGAGCAAGTGTGTGTAAGTACAGGTGGGCGTAGCCTGTTCTGTTTAGGGGTGTGTCAGTCTCTCAGGAACTCCTCTTAGTCCTGGAGTGTTGGATCAACCACTGAAGAGTGATGTCTGCAGAGAGAGAACAAGGTGAGGTCAGGACACACAGAGGGTGTGCGTGTGTGTGTGTGTGTGTGTGTGTGTGTGTGAGTGCGCATGCGTGCATGCATGTGTGTGTCGTACCAATGTTGTCTTTTTCCTTGCAGGAGATGGAGTAGCAGCAGATCTCTCTGTCCTGGATGGCCGAAAGGTTCCTGGTGAGAAACAAACATCATTATCGGTCAGCTGACAGTAAAAACACTGAAGTTACAGAAACTGATTGGACGGTTTGATTTTTGTTTCTTTTCTTAATAATGAGGACGTCCACTGTCTTTAAAGGCTGATATAAGGTTATGAAACTATGGGTTAGTTTTATGAACACACTCAGTCAGCTCCTGATTCCTCCTCTGGGGTTTAGTCCAGTTGGAAGAAGGGGGTTCAGTGCACCCCCCCGGAGATATATTTCTAATCAGTGTTTTTCTATACACCCATTCAGGTGAGCGGTTTGTGTACACCGCCATCTTGTGGCGGCACCATTGCTGCGGTGTGCAACATTATGAAGTTGTCATGCTATCAACAAATAATGGTATGCTAGTAAATAGTGTCTGAGAGCATCATTGACAGCATGAGTAAAGTCACCTGGTTTGACGATGTCAGACAGTGGCCTCCGGTTACTGATGAAGGTATCTTAAATTAATACCGATATTAATTTGGGAATTAATAAGATGAAAAGCATGAAGTATTTAATTGTGAAATACTGAAGAAGAAGGAAATGTGTGTGTAAACACTGGCTAGGCTACATTTATACTGACCCTCGCAAGCTAACAAGCAATTAATCATTATGTACAAGCCTACGTGATTAAAAAATAATGTAGGAATTAAATATTTGTTTCGTGGGCTATCAGTGTTATGCCGTGAAATGCATGCCTGCCAAAATCTAAATGCGGGGCGTGGGATCGCGCACAACTAAGAACTGAATGGATGTTACATTAGCTCAGCTCTTAGCAACATGGACAGTCTTCTTTCAGTAACGGCATGTGTGTCTCACATATCGACTTTTTCCACAACTGTAGTCTTTTACTGTTGTTGTAACAGCCGATGACGGCACACATCCTCCCAGACTGTCTTGACATAGTTGTGCAGGGTTGCTTGTGTCGCTGCTCGCTGCTTACAGCACTGCTTCTCGTCCGCCAGTAAGACAAAGGAGATGGTCGTGGATTTCCGCAGGAGGAGGACACCTCAGACTGTTTCAGTGAACATCCAGGGTCTGGACATCGAGATGGTGAAGTCCTACAGATTCCTGGGTGTCCACCTCAACAATAAACTGGACTGGTCAACCAACACAGACGTACTGTACAAGAAGGGCCGAAGTCGTCTTCACCTGCTGAGGAGACTGAGGTCTTTTGGAGTGTGCAGGACTCTGCTCAGGACTTTCTATGACTCTGTGGTAGCATCTGCACTTTTCTATGCAGTGGTCTGCTGGGGGGCAGGGAGCACCGAGAGGGACAGGAAGAGACTGAATAGACTGGTCAGGAGGGCCAGTTCTGTCCTGGACTGTTCTTTGGACTCCCTGGAGGAGGTGGGTGAGAGGAGGATGTTAGCAAAGCTTGTATCCATCATGGACAATCCCTCTCACCCACTGCACCAGACTGTGGGGGCTTTAAGCAGCTCCTTCAGCAGCAGACTGAGACTTCCACCTTGCAAGACGGAGCGCTACCGCAGATCATTCCTCCCTTCTGCAATAAGACTTTACAACGAACTGTAATAATAACTGGACACACACCACCACTTTTTGTGTATGTGTAAATTGTGTATATTGTAGATACTTTTATTTTTCTTCTCTCTTTTTCCTTTTTCTACATTTTTTCTTAATTATTACATTTATTTAAGTTCCTAATATTAGGATCTTTATTTTTATAACTGCTTTTTGCACTCTTTGTCTGTGATGCTGCTGTGAGAAAAAAATTTCCCCCATGGGGGATCAATAAAGGAATATTCTATTCTATTCTATTCTGTTGTATTTGCTTTGCGCACACCGCAGTAATGGCGGCCATACTACTTCCGGTCATTTCGCCGAATCAGTGTATAGGAAAAAATGTGCTGAAAATGATGAGCTATGATAAAAAGTTCTCAGAATGTCCCATCTGCCCCAAAACCCACTTTTTGGTATATGGCTCTAGCGAAATTGTGTTAAGGCAAATATTAATTCACTAAAATTACATAATTGGACATGAAAGTCTAAATTTTGCATGAGGTATCCTGAGACATAGGGTTAAGTAGCCCAATAGGATTTTAGGACCTGCTACAACTGTATTCATAATTATGACCAACATCATCCCCAGAAACACATAAAAATATACTGTCCGCTTGACAAATAATAACAAAGATGATTAATTTCCAGCACTTAATGGTGAATATCACTGCCTCATTTGTATATATATAAACTTCCCATGTCCCTAAGCTTCAATTTGAGCCCAAGATGACCTTTCTGGCTTAAAAATTACTCTTTCTATAGCCAAAGTTCTGCACTATACCTCAAATCGGAGAAAATAGGAGATTCTGCCAGTAGATGTCTATAACAGGTATCATGCACCCCCAGATATATATATTTATATTTCTAATCAGTATTTCCTTATTGGAAAAAATCTGCTGAAAATGATGAGCTATGTTAAATAGTTGTCAACATGACCCACCTACAGTTAATATGCAAATTGGTGCTGCCATTATGGAAACATTGTTTTTGCCTATATCTCAGCCAATGTTGCATTAAAATGAACAAATAAGGTATCTGGACCTGTTTTGAGGGCCAAGAACCTCATTGAAACTATTCTTTAAGTGGCCACACCATGGTGGTGTGAAAATGAGTTTCACTATTACAATATAATAACATTTTTATCAAGTAATAGATACCAATATTGTGTATAACCATACAAATAAGTTGTCTAGCCAGATGCTGAGTTTTTAAGCAAGCTTTATAAGATATACTGTAGCGTAGCATCACAAAACAAACACCCTCAGTAATAATTGACAATAGTATACAATAGTATCACATTGCAGGATCCCACCCTGTACACAAGCAAATATGTTAGCAAACAGTTTACAAACAGTGACCACATTGTAAACTGGCCTGCACCATGAAGAACAAAATTCTTAATCATTTTAATTACTCATCGTCCTCATAGAACTCGTCCTCTGATTCCTCCATCTCTTCCTCTTCGCCTCTGAACTGAGGTCTCTCTGTTTTCCTATGGCTACCTTTGATCACAACCTTTTCACAAAAAATGCACTCGGGTGGGAAGATGGGACCAGACGACAATCTACGAGGTGAGCGATGCCTCTCTGAGGTTGATGGTTCTGGTTCTATGTTATCTCTTAGGAGATGAAGGTTGGCATTAAAGCGCAGATAACAGTTGCGGTGGTACCCAACACCTTCCAAGTCATCAGGTAAAGTTGAGGGGATTTGGTCACAGACTGACTGCATACAATATGGGGATTCATGAGATTGTTGGAGACGTTGGTCCCAGATATCATGAAGATGTTGTAGTTTTTCTGCAGGGGTTCCTTTTACTTTTGAGAGGGGTGTGAAATTACCATGATCTGACATGGATGACACATGAAGTATGCATATAAGTGATGCACTTTTGTGTGCTTCAGGATTTAAACTCTTCTTAGCCTTAGGCATGTTGGCTTGATGTCTATAACCACCACTGTTAAGAGAAGTGAATAAGAAAAACCAATAGCTGATGTTATGGGTGCAACCATCTTATTTTACGGTCATGTTTGAAGCTAGTACTTGTTTTAGCAGACTTAAGATAAGATAAAATGATAAGGAAAAGTATTTAAACTGTATGTGATAACTATATTCAAGAAGGAAATATTACATAATGTGTACATTGTGTAGTCAAAGTCAGTCAATTTATTCCACATGTATACAGTGGCTGATTTATGCTTCTTACCTTGTTTGTTGGGAGGATGATGTAGAAGCAAAGTTGTGTTGGTGGCAGAGTTTATACTGTCTGTATTGATATGCTCAATGCACAACAAAATCAATGTTTCCATAATGGCAGCACCAATTTGCATATAAATAATAGATGGGTAATGTTGACTATTTAACATAGCTCATCATTTTCACCACATTTTTTCCAAAAAGGAAATAATGATTAGAAAAAAAAAATAAATATATATATATATATATATATATATATATATATATATATATATATATATATATATATATTTCTGGGAATGCATGATACCTGTTATAGACATCTACTGGCAGAATCTCCTATTTTCTCCGATTTGAGGTATAGTGCAGAACTTTGGCTATAGAAAGAGTAATTTTTAAGCCAGAAAGGTCATCTTGGGCTCAAATTGAAGCTTAGGGACACGGGAAGTTTATATATACAAATGAGGCAGTGATATTCACCATAAAGTGCAGGAAATTAATCATCTTTGTTATTATTTGTCAAGCGGACAGTATATTTTTATGTGTTTCTGGGGATGATGTTGGTCATAATTATGAATACAGTTGTAGCAGGCCCTATTGGGCTACTTAACCCTATGTCTCAGGATACCCCATGCCAAATTTTAGACTTTCATGTCCAATTATGTAATTTTAGTGAATTAATATTTGCCTTAACACAATTTCGCTTGAGCCATATACCAAAAAGTGGGTTTTGGGGGTTTGGGGGCAGATGGGACATTCTGAGAACTTTTTATCATAGCTCATTATTTTCAGCACATTTTTTCCTATAGAAAAACACTGATTAGAAATATAACTCCGGGGGGTGCACTGAACCCCCTCCGTCCAACTAGACTAGTTATTTATGATGGTTTCTGTCTTTTAATCCCTCATAGATATAATCCCTATAATCTACTTCCTGTCTTTCCCTGTTGATGTGCTTTTGAATGATTAAAACACTGTTAATGATGATGGTTGACCAGAAAAGATTAAACTCTGTGATCATGAATAAACCTATCACCTAGAGTCAGCAGACTGTGACCATATATCTATCTAACCTAATATTCTGATTTAATCTAATTTAATCCAATCTAACTTTATCCAATTATAATCTTATTCTATCTAATCTAACCTAATTTTACCCTACCTAATTTAATCTAATCTAACCTAGTATACTTTTACCTAATCTTATCCATTTTAATCCAATCTAACCCCAACCTAATTTTATCTAATCCAGCCTAATCTACTCTCATTTTATCAAATTATAATTTAATCTAATCTAATCAAACCTAATATGATCGAACCTAACCTAATTTAATCTTATCTAATCAAACCAAACCTAATATAATCTAACCTGATCTAATTCTATCTAATTTAACCAAATTTAAATTTAGTTTATCCAATTATGAACCCATCTAATTTAATATAATCTATTCTACTCTAACCTAATTTATTTGAACCTAATCTAAACTAAACTCATCTAATCTTATTTATTTTAACCTAATCTAATCTAACCTAACCTAATATAATCTAACCTAATCTAATCTTGTTTTAGCAAATTATAGTTTTATCTAATTTGATATAATCTATTCTAATCCAACCTAATCTAATCTAATCTGCCCTTATCTAATTTTATCCCATTTAACCTAATCTAATCTTATTTTATCTTTTTTATTTTATAATCTCATTCAATGAGATTTACTTTACCAAACCTAACCTGATCTAATCTAATCTTATCGCATCTATCTCATCTAATCTAATCCAACCCAACCTAACCCTGATCTAATCTAATCCAACCCAATCTAACTTCACCTAATCCAGTGGTTCTCAAGTCCAGTCCTCGAGCCCCCCCGTCCTGCATGTTTTGGATGTTTCCCTGCTCCAACACACCTGATTCAAATGATCAGCTCGTTATTAAGCCATTCCAGAGCTTGATAACGAGCTGATCATTTGAATCAGGTGTATTGGAGCAGGGAAACATCCAAAACATGCAGGACGGGGGGGCTTGAGGACTGGATTTGAGAACCACTGACCTAATCTAATTTTACCTAACCTTATCTAATGTAACCGAACATAATCTAATCAAACCTAACTTTATCTAATCTAATCTAACATAATATAACCTAACCTAATCTTACCTAACCTTATCTAATCTAACCCAACTTTATCTAATCCAGCGTTTCTCAAAGTGTGTGGCCCGCCCCCCTAGGGGGGTGCGGAGCCATCCCTGGGGGGGGCGCGAGTCACCCGGCTACAAATAGGTTGGTGTGCACCCGCGATAGCGCGGCACTTCCTGTGCAGGCACCGCGCTCGTCACGCATGCACCATACTGAACTCGCCACACCAGTAGGGGGAGTCCAGCGCCCTGAAAAAATAGCCCTCTGATTCTGAATATTTGCTGTCCCGAAATATAATGTTCGCTAGCTTGACAGCTTACTGTACAGTTTATATACCCAAGCAAACCTCTGTATGTGCATTTTTGAGACACATAAAAACAGAACGAAAGTTGTCACGATCAAATAGTCGTATTTTTTAAAATATGAGATCATTTTCTTCCACTTTAAGAAGCTAACAAGTGGAGGGGATGCAGGGGGTGCATTCTACGGCAGGGGTGCATTCTACGGCATAACACCTGTTAAGTATGCTGCTTTCCCCACCTGTACAATGTCCTCCTGAAAGCGTACAAACACGCTTTCTGCTGTGCTAATTCATGGTGGGAAATAGCTCAGAAACCAGGGCGGAGATAACCACAGATGCCGTGCTATGCCAGCAGCTGCTCCACTCCTTTCGCTGTGGAGAGCTCCGAGAGGAGCTGAAGCTGCTCCGTTTCGCGTTGTGCAGAGTCCGTGCCGCGGAACCAATGTTTGGACGTCGGAATTTTTTTAGCGGCGGACAACCCGCGCTTTCACCTGTCACCGTAACAACCAGCAACTGTGTTCAGATCAGAATAATAAATTGTATATAAAAGTACAGAATGGAGAGATATTTGACAGGGATGAAAAGAAAAGCTGAAGCCAGCAATACAGCATGCCTAGATGACGGTAGGCCAAACCAACAAAAAGCCAAGTCAAGGAAATATGATGAAGCTATCTTGCCATCTTGCTCTTGGATTCACAGGATTTTTTTGTACTTACTTAACTTGATATTGTTTGATTATTATTGTTCTTGCAACATGAATGCACGTTTTTCTAGTTTTGAGAAATACAGCAGAAGGAATGTTATGTCAATAAAGTTATACATGGCCTATTTTGTCACAATTTTGTTGGGGTAGGGGGGAATGACAAAAAAAGTTTGAGAACCACTGATCTAATCTAACCTAACATAATCTAACCTAACCTTATCTTATCTAACCTAACCTTGTCTTATCTAACCTAATCTAATCAATCTAGTCATCAGCCCATGTGACCTCAGTGAGCCATTTTTTTTGTATGTCGAGATTAAACCATGTTTTTAAAGTTTGGTCTTCTTAGAGTTATATCACACCTGCTGCTCTTTGTCGTCATAGAAACCTGATTTTCTTTGTCTTCCTCTGCAAGATGATTCCCTGTACGACCCTCTGACCTTTGAGCATCTTTGCAGCACTGAGTTTGAGCAGCGCCACCTAGCAGACTTTCCCTTTAATGCAAGGACTCATGGGAGTTTGAGTGCTGTGGTATTAACCCTTTAAATCCTCCAGATCTATTTTCTGATGTCAGTGAAACTCACTGCTTTGACTCATGAAGAAGAGTCTGAGAACTTACATCCTCTCTATGAGCTCCTTCTCATCCAGAGCCCCTGGGAGGTCCCTCTTGTTGCCCAGAACCAAAACCTGCAGACAGAGGGGGGGGGCGCACAAATGAGCTTCAGACGTTCCGACAGCTCTCAGTCAAAGAGCGGGTACTCTCTAGAGGTCAGTTTGGGATCTGGATGAGTGTGAATGGGGTCTTACAGGAATTCCCTGCAGTTGTGGTTTATCCAGTAGGTTGTGAAGTTCGTTCTTGGAGGCTTCGATCTTCTCTGGGTCTGCTGCGTCCACCATGTATCTGCAAAACACAGGAAACTATGAAGAGACCTGCACATACACAATCACTCAGAAATGCTTTAAAACAGTTGTTCTCAACTGGTGGGTCCCGACCCGAAATTGACACGTTCTGGATGGGTCACAAACAGCTGGTCAAAAAAGTCAATATATTTTTGTGCGTCTCATATTTGACTTTTATTTGAAAAATAGCTTATTTTGAAAGGCACACGTTATGTTGTGGTTCTTCTCAGTTTCTTATTAATGTGGCCTGAATGCAGTAAAAATAAATTTGTGCAATTTGATATTTGATTTTTTCTGTTTATGCAACTTCAGTAGTTGTCATCTTCAGTTCATGAGCTCTGAAATGAACTTTATTCAATAAAAACTGTGTATTTAAAGTTTTTTTTTTTATAAAAAAAAAATCAACAAACCTTTAAAAGACTCAAATTGTGTCTGGTCCTCAGTTTCTTATTTATGTGGCCTGAAAGCAGTAAAAATACACGTTTTTTATGGTATTTATTTTGTACAATTTGATATTAGATATTTTACTTATATGCAACTTCAGTAGTTGTCGTCCTCAGTTCATGTGATCTGAAATGCACTTTACTCAATAAAAACAGTATATTTATGTCAAAGATTGAGTCTTTAAAGTTTTTTTTTATGAGAAAAAAATTTGTTTGGTTTGAATTTTATAAAAGTGGGTTGGGACTTAAGGACCATGGAAAAATGTGGGTCCCAGAGTGAGACCAGTTAAGAACCACTGCCTTGAAACATGAACTCAGATTTTGTGACATCCCACCCTGTCCTGCTGCAGCGGCTCAAAGTCAGTCAAAGTGAAGGGGAAGCTGACGCAGCCAATCAGCATCATTTTTACTCCATTCAAACTGAGCGTGTAAACTGCGTTCATAACTGTGACCTATTTACATGACGCTCTGCAGGCCCGTCTCTCCAGGACTACTGGGGTAACTGGACTCAACAGGACTGCAGGACAACAATTTAGAGACTGTCCCTGACCGTTCTGTTGAACCAAACCAACTCTTCACACGGTTCCTGTCCTCCGTTTGCAGAGAAGGATGACCACTGGACAACACACTTCTCCCTCTCTGGGTCCAAACATGAAGGTAAAAGGAGCGTGATCCTGTGACCCACCTAGAGGACCTGAGTTTGGGAGACACAGACTTACACGATAGCACTGACTCCTCGACAGTAACGCTCCCACATGCTCCTGAAGCGAGGCTGACCGCCGATATCCCACAACTGCAAACAGAGAGGTTTGGAGTTTAGAAGCGTTTAAAAAAATATACTGTGTCTTTCACAAACTTATGAATCCAAAACCTTTCTGAAGACAATCAGACACAAACAAGCTGAGGAGGACAGTTACATTTAAAGACAGGTCTCGACAGTGCGACTGTTTCACTCACATTTGCAACTAAAAATAGATCTGTGTGAATTATAAAATGTATTTAGGGTCACATGTGCGCATAAAAAAAATCAACAAATGTTTTTTCCTGTAAATAGGGCGGTGAAGTTAGTTTTAGGTTGGATTTTCGACAGACATTCACTGAGGATCTACCGGTGTCTTCTCACTCTCCATAACCGGGAATAACAACAGCAGCACGGTTAAATCTACTCGACACCCTCACTGTCAACGTCGGTGTTGAATAAGGGGCCATCAATAAATTACCGGTTGATGTTCTCAGAAATGGCTGTTTTCCTTCAATAGCTTCCATGTCATGTGACCAAAAGACCTAAAATTGATTTCTAATAGTAGTACTAAGGTCGGACAATAAGACAAACATTATTTGATCAATTTTCATTGTTCCCCTAAAGTTCTTTGTTGCTCCTTACTTTTTCAACTTAGGAGAACATGTGAACAAAGTTAGTGTCAAGCCGTGAAAAAGCTGCATGGTTTCTGTGTTTCAGTCTGTGGAGTTCAAATATGGAACAACACGCTGAAGAGTGAGCTGAAGTGACGTTAAAACATGGACCCGTTTAAAAATAAGGTGGAGGAAGAGGAATGGTCATCACCATTAAATGTGGCTCTGTGTCAGAGTGAGGATCGCTCACATGAGCACATTCAACGTTTTCATAAATTACTGACTCTCGGAATCTCAGGAAGTTCAAGTACAAAATAAAAAATCTTTTCATGTTTATTTCTCCTCCTTTTTCAGTGTTGCTAACAGAACTCTCACAATCAATCAATCAATCAATCAATCAATCAATCAATCAATCAATCAATCAATCAATCAATCAATCAGTTAATCAATCGACTCTGTTTATGTCCCCCTAAAAGAGTGGGAATAATCCAGTCAAGTTCAGATACAGTCACTGCTTTAAATCACGTCTTAAAACTCATTTTTATCAACTTGTTTTTATGTGATTTTGTCTTCTTTAAAACTTTTTTACTCTTCTTATTCTTGTTTTATAATTGTCCCCTTGGTCTCAGGATTTTGTGATTGAGTGCCTGTGTTGGTTGGATATCATTGGCTCTTGAAATATCTTTGTTTTATTGTCTTTATTTTATTGTCCTCTCAGCTCATGTGACATTCATTAAAGCTTTTATGTCTTCCACTGATTTTTGTTTTATTTTATTTCTTTATTGACAGTAATGTGTCATTTCCCCCTGAGTGTTCTCTTGTTGTTGTTCTGTTGTTTTTCTCTTCTTTATCTCCCTGCATGTTAAAGCACTTTGCAAGCTCTTGTTTTTAAAAGTGCTAAATATATATATATATATATATATATATATATATATATATATATATATATAAATATAGTTATTATTATTATTATATTATTATCAGTCGTACTGACCACCCTCTTCCCCTTTACTGATTAATAATCACTGATCTGATCAGCTCCTCTTTTATTATATAAGAAATAAGAAAATATAACTCAGACAGACTGCAGTGGTCAGTTAATCGTACACACTCCAGGTCAACTGATGTTGGTCTTTTAGGGCCAATATGGGCACAGAGGATCGATATCTAATAAGATCAATAACTGATATTTGGAGCTGATATGTATAGACTTAACTTTCTTTAGTTGCAGACAATAATGAGTCCAAATTTAATTGGTCTGCATGTTTGGAGTCTTTTCAGGACGCCACCAGCAATATGGCTGCAGTGTTGATGTCTGAGGTCAGCTCGCCAGCGCTGACAGATGTCCACTTGTGAGCGGATCGACTGACCTTTATGGTGACGTTTCCTTTAGTGATCTTCCTCATGTTGAAGCCCACTGTAGGAATCATGTCTTCACTGAACTGTCCTGACTGAAACACACACACAAAAACAACACGCTTTAACACCCAGGTCACTGATACATAATAGTGACGATAATGATGATAATGACGAGGATGAGGACAATGAGGATGATGATGATTAGGATAAGGATGAGGATGATGACGATGATGAGGATGAGGACAATGAGGATGAGGATGATGAGGATAAGGATGAGGATGAGGACAATGAGCATAAGGATGAGGATGAGGACGATGAGGATACGGATGAGGATGGTTGTCACAACAGGAAGGCTTTTCAGGGGCTTTTTGTGACTTAATCAGCTGACAGGTAAGAAGTGTGTTAAAAAGGGGAGACATGATAAACCTCCTCACTGATAGTCTGTTTACTTTTAGAGATCACACTGAAACATCACTTTCAGGAGCTTTGACAAGACTGGAATGTTCTGTAAATTCAAGACTCAGGTCAATGGAGGAGCAGGAGGAGGAGAGAAGAGTCCTGAGCTTTTATTGGAATAAAAGCTCAGGACTCTTCTCTCTTTTTTCTTAAAAGCTCTTAAAGTCTGAATGATCTGCTGTTAAGTTTTAATGACTAAAATACTTTGACAGAGGTGAAATCTGACAGTTTGTTCAGTGAGTATTATCACAAACATTAAACCAAAAGTGAAGAAGTGATGACGGTCAACTTCAGCAAACGAACATTTGACGTAAAATAAAGTTAAACTTTCGACTCAGACAAACAGGATTTAGTCCACAAAAAGTTCCAACACAAACATTTCTTTGAGCATCCATGTTTAAGGATGAGGAGGTTTTAGGGAGGCTTTAAGTGTTAAGGAAGTTTGAAGTGTAAAGGAGGTTTTAAGTGTTAAGGAGGTTTAAAGGAGACTTTAAGTGTTGAGGAGGGTTTTAGGTATTAAGGAGGTTTTAAATATAAAGGAGGTTTTAAGTGTTAGGGAGGTATAAGGGAGGTTTTAAGTGTTAAGGAGGTTTTAAGGAGGGTTTAAGTGTTAAGGAGGTTTTAAGAGTAAAGGAGGTTTTAAGGAGGTTCTGAGGGGGTTTGAGGGAGGTTTAAGGTGTTAAGAAGGTTTTAAGTAGTTTTTAAGTGTTAAGGAGGTTTTAGGTGTAAAGGAGGTTTGAAGGAGGTTTTTAGTGTTAGGGTTTTAAGCGTAAAGGAGGTTTTATGGAGGTTTTGAGGGGGTTTGGAGGAGGTTTTAAGTGTAATGGAGGTTTTTTAGAAGGTTTTGAGGGGGTTTGGAGGAGGTTTTAAGTGTTAAGGAGGTTTAGGGTGTTAAGGAGGTTTTTAGAAGGTTTTGCGGGGGTTTGGAGGAGGTTTTCAGTGTTAAGGAGGTTTAGGGTGTTAAGGAGGTTTAGGGTGTTAAGGAGGTTTTAAGTTTTAAGGAGGTTTTAAGTTTAACGGAGGTTTTAGGTAGGTTTTAAGTGCTAAGGTGGTTTTAAGGGGGGTTGAAGGAGGTTAAGTGTTAAGGAGGTATGAAGGAGGTTTTAAGTGTTAAGGAGGTTTAGGTTGTTAAGGAGGTTTTAAGTTTTAAGGAGGTTTTAAGTTTAACGGAGGTTTTAGGTAGGTTTTAAGTGCTAAGGTGGTTTTAAGGGGGTTTGAAGGAGGTTAAGTGTTAAGGAGGTATGAAGGAGGTTTTAAGTGTTAAGGAGGTCTTGAGATGGTTTTAATTGTAAAGGAGGATTTAAGTGTAAAGGAGGTCTGAGTTTGATCAGTCGGCCTTTCTGTCGGCGTGAAGAGCAGTAGCCTACAGTATAACTACAGTATACAGTATAATGTAAATATCTACAGTATACAGTATACTGTAGATACCTTTGAACCCCCCCACCCCAATAATTGGTATCGGCCCCCAAAAATCCACCTCGGTGGAGGTTTAAGGAGGTTTAAAGTGCTAAGGAGGTTTTAAGGAGGGTGGAGGAGGTTTAAGTGTTAAGGAGGTTTGAAGGATGTTTTAAGTGTGATGGAGGTTTTAAGTGCTAAGGAGGTTTCACGTGTAAAGGAGATTTTAAGTGTTAAGGATAAGGCCTGAAGGAGAAGGATCCACCAGCCCTACAGGGACAGCTGGTCCCCTTAGGGTCCTAAATACTCATCATGTAGTCTATGATGTGGATCAGAGTCCGTGGGTCATCTACAGGACTAAAGGATGAAGGTCAACCTAACATCAATCCTCCATCAGAGATCTTCACAGACCCCCTCCCGGCCCTGCTGACAGCACTGGGGATCCGGGTCTCTGTCCCCCGGACCCGGTCTTAGGAGACCTGGATCCCGGTCCTTTATCTTACCGCTATGACGTTGACGAAGGTGGTCTTCCCGGAGTACTGCAGACCCACAAGGGTCAGCTCCATCTCCTCCTTCCAGAACAGAGCCTTGAACCAGTCCAGGAGTTTGTTGATCAGCGCGATCATTTTCTTCGACTAATAACAACGGTGCTAATGCTAATGCTATCGATGCTAATGCTAACGATGCTAACGCCGACGCTAACGCCCCGGTGCTCTCTGTAGTCCGGACGGTGACAGTTACTATGACAACCACAGACGGTAACGGGCAGACAGATTCACCGGTGAACGGTGAAATAACCGGGAACAGTGAGTGAGTCGGTGTTTATCCTCGCGCTCTCTCTCTCTCTCTTTCTCTCTCTCTGGTGTTTATTAGCTGCTACGCCTTTACAGCGCTGTCAAGACAAACAACGGGACACATCATCGTATCCGGTACAGCCTTTCAAAATAAAACACAAAGACGACTGTTTCCTCCTGTTATAAAGATTTTAAACAAACACTTTTTAAAAAGAAAGTTGATGAGGTTTCTGTAAACGTTTTGGGGTTTTCTATGTCAAGTTTTCAAGTCTCGAAGTTAAATTAAAAATGTAGGTAAACTAATCCGTGTGAGTGGGTTCTGTGGTTTTTCCTGTTTGGGTGGGGTTGTTAGAGGAAGTAGAGGAGAGCAGAAAAAAGAGCAGAAACAGACATAGATACTCTGCTGAGAATGAAACACTGCCACCTGTTGTCTAAATTTAGTACTATGATGATAATAATCTGGAATCAGCAAGTTAGAAACAGTCTGTAAGCTACGGTGGCCTGGAAGTGCAAAACACAACCGCAAACGAGAAAACACGACAGCAAATCAAAACACAAACGCAAAAGAGAAAATGCAAACACAAAAAAGAAAACACGACAGCAAATCACATATGCAAACACAAAAAAGAGAAAACATGACAGCAAATCACAAAAGCAAACACAAAAAAGAGAAAACATGACAGCAAAATCCCAAAACGCGACAGCATCGTCTGTCTTCTTCTTCTTCTTCGTTGTAGTTTAATGGCAGTTTTCTCCGCTGGGGGTGCAGTACTACTGCCACCTGCTGGAGTTCGGAACGGGAAAGTAAACATGAACATGGACGCCGAAAACGAAAGTGTACTCGAAATAATCCAGCAATATTTTGATGCAGGACACAAATATGACGTAATAGTTGACATGTTGTGTAGCAGAACACATTAATTGAACATCCCTTAACTTCCTTGATGGACTGTCACCGTCTGCTTCTTGCAGCCTTTTCCCACAACTGCTGCAAAAGTTGGGTTGTCTGGGGAGCTCTTTGCCACAGTATTGGCAATACATCATCACTGACTGTCGCGCAGCGGTTCGTGTCTTTCCAGGTCAAAGGACAGACGAGTCGATTCGAGTGCTTACTTTCCCATTCCGACATCGATCCAGCAGGTGGAGGTAGTACTCCACCCCCAGCGGAGTAAACTGCCATTAAACTACTAACTAAGAAGAAGAAGACAGACGATGCTATCGTGTTTTCTTTTTTGTGTTTGCATATGTGATTTGCTGTCGTGTTTTCTTTTTTGTGTTTGCGTTTTCTCTTTTGCGTTTGCGTTTTGATTTGCTGTCGTGTTTTCTCTTTTGCGGTTGTGTTTTGCACTTCCAGGCCACCGTAGTAAGCAGAACACAGAGGCGGCCCAATGCATAGGCGAACTTAGCACCTGCTTAGGGCCTTACGGCCAACAGGGGCCCCCCAAGAGCAATAATAATAATAAAAAACATTTTAAATATTTCCTATTTTTTGCACGTATGAGTGATGCTTTTTGTCTGATCAAATCTATATTATTGTCAAAATAAAATAAAGTAAAATCATTTTAGTGCTGCTGCTGATGTAGGCCTATGTTTCTTACTGCTGATATGTCAAAGCTCCTCTACCATTATCAATCAATCAATCAATCAATCAATCAAATTTTATTTATATAGTGCCAATTCACAACAGTCGTCATCTCAAGACGCTTTTCAAAGAACAAGAGCAGGTCTGGACCACAATCATTGTTTGATGATCAAGAAGGACCCGACTCATGCCAGACAGCCACCATGCCGCTGCTGGGTTGGAGAGGAATGTAGAGAGATGGAGGGAGAGAGGGAGAGAGAGAAAGAGAGAGAAGAGGGGAGAGGGCAGGGGGAGAGAGAGAGAGCGAGATATGGGGAAGGACAGAGAGAATGAGTAAGGAGAGGGAGGGGGAGGAAGAGAGAGTAGAAAACGAGGGGGAGAGAGAGACAGGGGACAGCAGAAACGACAGCAACAACAACAACAGCTCATGTAATGGTGAAACAGAATGAGTTCAGTTTACAGGGTTAGGATATGAGTAATTATAGACAATGTTAAATTAATTAAATGTGATTACAGTCAGCAGGCCTAATATTAGTCAGCTCTAGTTATATGTTATTAATGTCAGTGAGGCTGATGTTCACGTCTGCAGTAACAGTCCAGAGGAATCCAGGAGAAGAAGGAGCTCAGGGCCTGAGGCGGACAATCATAGACGATGCGGCTAGAGTCAGGCAGGTCTGCAGCAGCCATCAGTCCGGAGCAATCTATGTGCCTTCTGCTGTGAAATGTGCACTGAGCATCCAAAGAGCAGGTAGATGTGGGTCAAAAAATGATATATCCTTCAGGAGCAGAGAAAAGAAAGAGGAGGAAGAGAAAAAACGCCAAGATAAAAGTATGTTTGCATGTCAGGGAAGATTAATCAAAGAGATTCGTGAAGGTGTGTGAATGATCAACAATCAGTATTATTGGCAGAAATAGAGGGCCCCAGGATCACATTTTACTAAGGGCTCCAAGAGGCTCTGACAGGACAGTAAAAACAGGCAGCAGGATGGGTCCGCAGATGGGTCTGAAGGCTGCAGTTTCAGAACCACCATTCTGGACCCCCATCTCCAGGAACCATGTTTTACTGCTGCTGCTATGGTAAGGGTTAGGAACATAGACTGTATTTACTCTGGACAACTGGGTTCCTCCTTCCTCCAGTATACGGATTTGAAGCCGAAAAGTTCTCCGTAATTCTGCATTTTTCTCCATTTCCTGAAACCAACATTGCACAGTAGCATTGTATGCATTTGGCGGGAGAGTCGCCGAGCGTTGCTGTGATGTCTGACAGTAACTACATGTCAACATCACAACCAGGGGGAGAAACATTTATATCCTGTGTCATTAATTTAAAAAGTTTGTCCACAGCTCCATAAGGAGGCGGGATTTATGACCTATACTGCAGCCCGTCACCAGAGGGTTCTCAGAGTGGCTTCACCCAGAGAGGAGGCAGACGCTGTCCATTCTAGATACAGTCTATGGTTGGGAATCAAGCTGAGTAACTCATGTGTGACATTTGGAGGTAGTCAAACCTGATTGGTCCAAAAACAGGTGACATAAAGTGTCCCTGGAGCAGAAGTTCAAGGAGTCCCAAGACAAAGACCAGCATGTTTGATTCCCTTAAAACTAAAGGCTCCCGTATGCATGTATGGTGCAAGTGTGAGCGCCAACATAATTAAAGCTCCTGTAAGGAGATTTTAAACATTTAATAAAAGAGACTGAAACTCATGTTGGTGTTTTTGATGATCTGCAGAAATGAAGAAAGACAATGGACTAAGGCCCGAACTACACGAATGCGGATATATTTCAAACCGCACATATTTATGTCCGATTGGGCCTCCCTACCACACCAAAGCGGGAGTTTGGAGCACTCAAACCGGATAAATCTGAATCCGGAAAAACAAGTGGAGAAATAAAAAAATATCCGTATCCCGTATCCGTAGTGGATTCGTGTGGTTGGACTTTTACGGATCGATGACGTCAAACCGCAGCTCGCGCATGCGAATTAAAAAGAAAAACAACAACAACAACGACGGCGGACAGACAGGGTATTCTTTACGTTTGTTTTGCCCTTTTGGGGCTTATTTCAGCCTTGCAAGTGAACCTTGTTTTATGCAATTACATCCACCAGTCAGCCAGCTCACAGACGCGTCTGCTGCGGCCAATACTTTTATTAGTCACATGGTCCGTCACATGGACCCGACGCACTAGCGTAGCTTCCGCAAACAATGCATGACGCATCACGCTGTTACGATTCATCGGCCAATCAGTTAGATTTGTTCCTGAATTTTTTTTAAGCGGCACCAGATAGGATTGAGTTTGAAGGCTACGTGTGGATGCAGATATTTTTGAGAACTAACACGTGTGGACAGATACATTTATTTAGACGGGAGTACAAAAATATCCTGATAAATAAATATCCATATACGTGTAGTTCGGGCCGAAGAGAAAAATCTGTTTTTATTCAAATAAAATAATCAGAATAAAGGAAACATTCGACTTTAAACATCAGCAGGATGAGGTTTTTTTCTGAAGACTCGACTACAGCGTGCAGTGGACAAAATGAGTGAAGACTCCTTTGTCCACAGGGGGTGCCACAATGAACACAAACCAAAAGTTCCTTGAAATAATTAACCATGGTTTTATAGACCTGGGGCCTATTGAACCAGTTGTGAGGAGAAGTTGTGTCTTCATTTCTCTAACAGACTTCTGTCTGTTAGTTTGCTTTCACCATGAAGACGTGGAGTTCATCTCACCTTGTAGACCGTCAGCTGAACTGGTCTAAGTTTTTTGGACCCTTCCTGTCAGTGTACAGAAGGAGTCCAAACACAAGGTCCAGATACATCAGGACCCCTCCTCTGGTCCAAGATGAGGTCAGGCAATCAAACAAGCATCATTCACAGGCTCACAAAACCAAAATAAGAGTCTTTAAACAAGTAGGGGGTCTGCAGAGCCAGAGAGCCCAGCAGATCCACAACCCTCCTTGCGCCCCTGCTGGGCGGAGTAGGTCATTGCATGACAGATCCACAACCCTCTTTTTAACCGCTGTTTCACATCCATTTTTGTGCCCAGAAATTTAATTTAATAAACAAGTAATAAATAAATCAGTGACCGCAGTCACGTATTATTATTGCATCAAAATAAAAAGTCTTTGGAATTTGTGAAGAAAGTGTTCAGTTCTTGGGACTCGGCCCACTCACTTTCAAGGATTCGAAATTTATTTTAAAAATAAATAAGTGCCCACAGTCACATATTTAGATATTAATCTCGATCAAAATTCAAATGATGCGCTTGAACTGAGAGGTTGCTGCAAGTCTGGTCTCTCTGTATTATCTGTAATTTTTTTTAATTTATGCTAGATTTTTTTCATATTTTTGTTGTAATTTTGTTTGCTGATGATGGATACTTCTGCTGGGTGAAGAGTTTACTCAAGAGAAGAGCTCCTTTCATTGAGGAAAAGCAAATCTGGGCAACAACATACAATTCCAGAGGACATCAGGAGGTGTTGTCGTGGTTGCCGTGCTGGTGCAAAGGTGAAGGCAAAGCTGAATGCTAGGAGGTGGAGATATAAACCCTTTCTTCCATCAATCATCATGGGAAACATCAACCTTCTGCCCAACAAAAGCAATGAGCTGGAGATCTTGGTGAAGACTGAGAAAGCATACCGTGAGTGCAGTTTCCTGTGTTTTACTGAAACCTGGTTGAATCAAAACAACTCGGACTCCAGTGTGGATCTACCTGGCTTCACTCTTAGAAGATCAGACAGAGATGCTCAAGCTAGTGACAAGAAGAAAGGAGGAGGTCTGGCTTCATTTGTCAACCAGAGATGGTGTAACTCTTCACACATAACTGTCAAGGAGAAGTTGTGTTGTCCAGATATTTAACTGTTGGCAGTTGCTCTTCAGCCACATTATGTTCCAAAAGAATTCAGTCAAATCATAACAGTAGTTGTTTACATTCCATCCAAATCAACTGAAGAATGTTGCGATGTTTTGCAAAAGAGCGTTGCCAGGCCTGAGGCACTAATAATAATATCGGGTGACTTCAACCATGTCACCCTCTCCTCTCACCTGACTGGATTCACACAGTTTGTGAACTGTCCAACCAGAGAAAACAAAACCCTGGATCTGCTGTATGCCAACGTCAAAGAAGCCTACAGAGCCACTGCCTTACCACCACTGGGCAAGTCAGATCATAACTTGGTCTATCTGCAAACCTGTTACAGACCTTGTGTGCTGAGGCAGCCTGTGACCAAAGTCAAAATAAGAAGATGGACACCTCAAGCCAGTGAAGCTCTAAGGGACTGTTTTAAATCAACAGACTGGAATGTGCTGCTGGAAACAGATGTGGATAGTATGAACATTGAAAAAAAGGTTGACTGCTTTACTGATTATGTCAACTTCTGTAGAGACAGTTATACCCACAAAAACTGTTCGCTGTTTCCCCAACAACAAACCCTGGATCACAAGAGACATAAAAGCAATCCTTAACCAGAAAAAGAAAGCTTTTAAAGATGGTGACAAAGAAAAAGAATAATCTACAACACAGCAACATCTGTGGAGTGTAGAGAGGAATCAGTACCATCTCTGGACACAGCAGTCAAAAGAAAAGACAGCCAGTGGTGGGTGATGTGAAAAGAGCTGATGAACTCAACCTGTTCTTCAACAGATCTAACACTGCTGTCACTCCCACTTCTACTGCTACTCCACCTTCCTCTCCACAACAAATCTCCACTACAACTTCTCCCCTTCATCCTCCATCTCGTTCAAATGTCTCAACCACTTCCACTGCCTCCCTGCGAGAACACCAGTCCTTGTCTGTCACCGAAACAGGGGTGAGGATGGAGCTTGGAAGACTTTGTCCTGGGAAGGCAGCTGGTCCAGATGGTGTGTGTCCAAGGCTGCTTAGAGACTGTGCTGCAGAACTGTGTCAACCTCTCCACTAGATCTTCAACCTGAGTCTACTGCTGGGGCGGGTACCTACTCTGTGGAAAACATTCTGCATTGTGCAGGAAGGCCACAGTTTGTCAGGCTGGGGAACTGTGTTTCTGGGACATTAATGAGCAGTACAGGGGCTCCACAAGGGACAGTGCTGGCGCCATTCCTGTTCACACTGTATACATCAGACTTCAAATACAGTACTGAGTCCTGCCACATTCAAAAATACTCAGATGACACCGCTATTGTGGCATGCATCAAAAATGGACAAGAAGCTCAATACAGAGATCTAATAAGAGCCTTCAGTGACTGGAGTCACAAAAACCTCCTCCTCCTCAACACCTTAAAGACAAAAGGAGATGGTCATAGACTTCCATAGATCCAAACCCCCTCCTCAGCCAGTGAACACCTGTGGAGTGGACATGGAAGTGGTGACATCATATAAATAACTAGGTGTACATCTGGATAATAAGTTGGATTGGTCTAAGAATATAGACTTCATCTACAGAAAGGGGCAGAGCCGCCTCTTTTGCCTGAGAAGACTCCGATCAATAGACATCTGTAGTAAGATGCTGCAGATGTTTTATCAGTCTGTGGTGGCAAGTGTTCTGTTCTACGCTGCAGTCTGCTGGGGAGGAAGCATCAAACACAAGGATGCAAGGCGTCTTAACAAACTGGTGAAAAAGGCTGGCTCTGTGGTAGGACTCAAGCTGGACTCAGTGGAGTATGTGGTGGAGAGATCTACACTGAGGAGGGTGGAGTCTATTCTAAAGAACATGGATCACCCGCTTCACAACACCTTGATGGACCAAAGGGCAAAAGGTGGTGGACGGCTCCTCTCTCTTCACTGCAGGACAGAAAGAGTCAGAAGATCTTTTGTACCAACAGCCATCAGGCTTTATAACTCTTATGTAAATAATAGATAACTTTTATAGACATATTACATGAGACAACAGACAATTGAATTTCCCTTCGGGGATCAATAAAGTTCTTCTTATTCTTATTCTAGGATTTTATTAATTTTACATTTTTTTTACTTATCAACTTTTTATGTATTGTCTGCCTACCCATAGTATTTTGGGTTTATTCTACCAAAATATTAACTTATATTATCCCAACATTAGAGGGATTGACTTCGCTTTTAATCTCTTCATTCCTTGGCGATGATTTTGACCCCCTGAATGCAATAGTATGTGTCTGCAGAGCCGGATGAATCCGATATTTTGTGTCTTTCTCATATATTTTCATGTGAAATCTCATGCACATTATTAGTCATTGCACTTTTCTTTCATTCACTACAATGCTAGTAGCCTACGGGTCAAATCGTACATTTACAACTTTGGACAAGCTAATGTTAGCATTAACACATTAAGATTTATTTCAATTTCAAGACAACAGTTTTATTAATGACTAAAAATTATGTGATTCTCGTTTAATACTCGAACATGACGTTGCTCTGTTCAAGCCGATAACTTTTGAGAATGAAGCAGCAAGAAGGGGCGGTCATGTGTTTCAGGTTGTGGATCTGTCTGCAATGACCTACTCTGTCCAGCAGGGGGGCAGACATGTACTATTGCTTTAAACATACACAAGGATCTGCATGCACTCGGTCCAAGATCCCTTCAAGATTCAAGAAGCAATATTTTGGGTCTTTATTCTTGGTCAAGGTGCGGTCTCCGTCAGTCTCAAAGTTCTGGTTTTGGTCCAGTTGCGGTCTCCGTCAGTCTCAAAGTTCTGGTTTTGGTCCAGCTGTGGTCTCCATCAGTCTCAAAGTTCTGGTTTTGGTCCAGCTGAGGTCTTCGTCAGTCTCAAAGTTCTGGTTTTGGTCCAGTTGCGGTCTCCATCAGTCTCAAAGTTCTGGTTTTGGTCCAGCTGTGGTCTCCATCAGTCTCAAAGTTCTGGTTTTGGTCCAGCTGAGGTCTTCGTCAGTCTCAAAGTTCTGGTTTTGGTCCATCTTTACAACCCTCAGAGGTTTTTTTTTTTAAACCTTCAGGGTGAAAAAATCAGGAATTCTGGATCAAATGTTCCGGAAAGATCTGCTGGTTTCTGGATGTGCGTGTCCTGGTTCGGTTCTCCTGGACTCTGCTGTGCCGGTCCTCTCCTGGTCCCTGATGTCCACCTGTCAGTCTCTGTGTTGATACATTCAGCTGGTTCTGAGGTTCTCTACTGGGATCAGTTTTCCCCTCTCTGCGGATTGTCCAGCTGGAGGTTCTGTAGCTGTAGGCGCACCACTTCCTCTGGATTCTGTCGGTTCTGGTTTTGGTCCTGCTTCTGTTGCAGCTGGGAGCTGTACTGGGCCAGGATAGAGTAGAGGAACTGGTACTGCTCTGTGGTCTGGATCATACCACCCCTGAACAGGAGAAGGGGGAGGGTGGGGTCAAAGGTTAGAAACAAACTGGACCTTCAGAACCAACAGAGACGGACGGTTTGACTCTCACCGGTCCAATCGGAGCTGACACACCGTCTCCAAGATGTCCACCTGAGCGCCGTCTCTGAGCTGTTGACAACCAATACTGCTGACGATGAAACAACCCGTCCTACCGATACCGGCGCTGAGCGGGAGAAGGGCGGGAGGAGAGAGGGGGAAGGAGGAGAGAAAAGTAGGAGGAGGAGAGAGGAGGAGGAGGAGGAACAGGAGTAGGAAGAGAGGAGTAAGAAGAGGAGGAGAAAAGGAGGAGAGGAGGGGGAGGAGAGGAGGAGATAGAAAGGAAGAGGGAGAAGAAGGAGGAGAGACAGGAGAGACAGGAGGAGGAGGAGAGGAGAAGGAGGAGAGGAGGAGGAGAGGAAGAAATGGAGGAGAGAAAGAAGGAGGAGAGGAGGAGAAGGAAGAGGAGAGGAAGGGGAAAGGAAGGAGGGAGAGGAAAAAGAAAAGTAGACAGAGGAGGAAGTGAAGGAGGAGAGAGAGGAGAAGAGGGAAGAGAGAGGAGGAGGAGAGGGAGGAGGAGAAGGAGGAAAAGGAGAAGGAGACAGATGAGAAAGAGAAGGAGGAGAGAGGAAGAGTAAGAGAAAGAAAGGACAGGAGGACGAAAGGAGGAGGGGGAGAAGTAGGATAGTGAGAAGGAGGAGGAGAGGAGAAAGAGGAGGAGGTGGAGGAAGAGCAGGAGGAGGAGAGGGGGGAGGGGAAGAGGAGGAGTAAAAGAGAGGAGGACAAGAGGAGGAGGAGGAGGAGAAGGAGGGGAAGGACAGGAGGAAGAGGAGGAGAGGGTGGAGGAGGGGGAGAAGGAGGTGGAGGAGGAGAAAGGAGGAGGAGAGAGAGGGTGAGGTGGGGGACGGACAGGAGAAGGGGAAGGAGAGAGGATGGGGAGAGAGGGAGGAGTAAAGAGGAGACAGAGGAGGAGAGAGGAGGGGGGAAGAGGAGGAGAGAGAGGAGTGAGGAGAAGGAGAAGGAAGGAGGAGGGGGGAAGGAGGAGAGGAGAAGGAGAGAGGAGAAGGAAAGGACAGAGGAGGAGGAAAAGGAGAGACAAAAGGGAGTAGGAGAGAAAAGGAAAAGGAGGGAGAAGGGAGGAGAGAGAGAGGAGGAAGAGAGGGAGGAGGAGAAAGGGAGTAGGAGAGAGGAGGGGAAGGAGGGGGGAATGGAGGAGAGAGAGAGGAGGAGAGAGCAGAAGGGGAGAGGAGGAGGAGGCGAGGAGGAGGAGAGCAAGGAGGAGAGAGGGAGAGAGGAGAAGAGGAGGAGGAGGGGGAGAGGAAGGAGACAGGAGAACGAGAGGAGGAGGGGGAGGAGGAGGAGGAGGGAGAGGAGAAAAGGAGGAGGAAGAGTAGAGGAGGAGGAGAGAGCAGGAGGCAGAAGGAGGAGAGGAGTGGGAGAGAGAGGAGGAGAGAGGGAGTAGGAGAGAGGAGGAGAAGGATGGGGGAAGGGAGGAGAGAGAGAGAGAGGAGGAGAGGAGGTGGGGGTGGAGCAGGAGGAGGAGAAGAGGAGGGGAGGAGGAGGAGAGGGAGGAGGAGGAGGAAAGAGAGGAGAAAAGGAGGAGGAGGAGGAGGAAGAGGAGCAGGAGAGAGGAGAGGAGGAGGGGAGGAGGAGAGAGGAGAGCATGAGGAGTAGAGAAGGGGGATGAGGAGTGGAGAAGGAGGAAGAGGGGGAAGAGAGCTTTAAATAAGCTGGTGCATTTATAAAAATAAAAAAAAACCTTAAAAATATTCTAACAAAGTTTTCTCAGTTGTTTTTGTCCCTAATAACAAACTCAAAGTTGATCTAACTAACGAACTAAAAGTTAGACCACTAAATACGGTAAAAATTTTAACAAACAGATAGCACCATGAAACTTCCCAAGTTTATAACTTACGTAAGACAAATATTTTTCTTTATTACAAGTTTAGTCAAATGTTATGTTTAAATACATAAATGAGGTAATATCTATTTAAATATGCACTAATTTACATACATTTACAGACCCAAAAACTGAACAATGAATAAAGCCCCTTTCAAAATTGTTGTTTTATTTTGTTCTAGAGTCAGAAGGGGGGAGTAGGGGACTTTCAATTTCTCTTTTTATCACTCTGTAAATGAGAAAGTACTCTCCCCACCCCTAAAAATTCAAATAGCTCCATGTGTTTTTTTTTTTTTTCAGGTCTTTAAAACGACCATTAAGAATAAGAATAAGAATAACTATATTGATCCCTGAAGGGAAGTTCAGTTGTCTGTTGTCTCACAAAATATGTCTCTAACAGTTATCTACTATTTACATAAGAGTTATAAAGTCTGATGGCTGTTGGTCCAAAAGATATTCTGAATCTTTCTGTCCTGCAGAGAAGAGAGAGGAGCCATCCACCACCACTTGCCCTTTGGTCCATCAAGGTTTTGTGAAGCGGGTGATTCATGTTCTTTAGAATAGTCTCCACCTTCCTCAGTGTAGATCTCTCCACCACATCCTCCACTGAGTCCAGCTTGAGTCCTACCACAGAGCCAGCCTTTTTTACCAGTTTGTTAAGATGTCTTGCATCTTTGTGTTTGATGCTTCCTCCCCAGCAGACTGCAGCATAGAACAGAACACTGTCAATCTACACCACAGACTGATAAAACATCTGCAGCGTCTTACTACAGATGTCTATTGATCCACTCCACAGGTGTTCACTAGCTGAAGAGGGGGTTTGGATCTACGGAAGTCTGTGACCATCTCCTTTGTCTTTGAGGTGTTGAGGGGGAGGCAGTTTACTCCTTTGTATTCATTCTAGACCAGGAATACTTGCGCCTGATACATGTTTGGACCATGGAATATTCTAATTAGCATATTTGTATGATAGATAATTTAATATAAGAACAACTAGTGCCCCATGGGCAGTGTCACATGGAGATATTTGAATTTTTAGGGGTGGTGTGAGTATTTTCTCATTGTTATTAATACTAATACTATAAAAAACAGCTGAGAAACCTTCGGTTAGAATTTTTTAAAGTAAGGTCATATTTGCACCTGAGTATAAAGAAGTGTTTCTGGAGTTGAAGGTTTTTGTGGAGGAGGAGGTGCAGCTCCCGCTCCACCCTCTCCTCCAAAGAAAAAAAAAAACGGAGAGAAACCAACCTGCAGTGAACAACGATTGGTCCAGGGCTGGGGACGCTGGCTGTGATTGGTTGAGAGCTGGGCAAAGGGAGGAGAGACTTCCAGTACGTCTCCACCTCCTCCACCAATCCCAGCAGAGGAGCAGTGCATTGTGGGATGTGGTGATCAGGCCAGGAGGTGAACCAGTAATGTCTGACGTGATGGCGCTCTGCACACAGCTGCAAACACACACAGACATGGATTCTGATGATCCAGACTGACCCCTAATTTCCACCTCATCCTGAACGGCTACTAAAAGGTCATATCCTCCGATCGTAGCTGATTCTAACCATTCAAGTTACCGTGTCAATTTACACCGGCTTCTTGGAGGAGATAAACTGTTTCCGATAAACTGAAGCAAACTTTTCGGAGAGTTTCAAAAATGTCTGAAAGACTTCAAACTTTTGTTGGTGCCGGCTAATGCTAAGAGTCGGCTGAACTTGTTCCCACAGCGACTAGATTGCCGAAGGGTGACGTCCCCATCAGGAGAATTTTGGAGGATCATAAATTTACTCTCAGCAAGTTCACGCCAAATTCAGCGACAACTCAAACATTAGATGCAGGTGAAAAAAATCTGTCACACAGATCAGCTCCTCAAACTTCAGATTTTTTCCTTTGGTCCATTTCAGACCCTGAAGTTAGTTTTTCTTAGTTCGATTTGTCAGGTTTACCTGAAATTATTTTTTTAATACCTGAAAGGCTATTAAAAAATCGGCTACTAAAAGGTTGTATCTTCCGATCGTAGCTGATCGTAACCGTTAAAGTTAATGTGTCAATTACACCGGCTTCTTTCCGTTCCTCTGTGGATCGCCGGACTCCACAGCTGTACAAGTGCAAGAGTTCTATTTTTTCAGGATGCCAGAGCATGCCGGATAAAGTCAGCACAGATTAACCCGTGCTGGAAAGGAAGTCGGGCACAGATACAAAATAAAACATCCGGCTTCTTTTCAAAATAAAACACTTTGTGTTTCAGGCGGATTGTATTTCACACCATGCAAACGGGCGGAGACCAACAAGTGAAAGGTTTTTTAGATGTCATTTCACCCCGATGACACCATGGATGAGGAGATGCTGATTCTAGAAGTCTAGAAGTAGATTTCCTCCTCTGGAAGGATACAATCTACTGCTTATATGTCTATGTGTCTGTCTTTACAGAGACAACTGGTTATTGCGTGACTGAACGTGAATCCGCAGGTTCTTGTGAGTTTTTGTGATTACCGCTGTCCGTGATCCGCCACAAAATTTGCCTCACAAATGGATCCGGTAGGAATTGGCGGACGGCGAAAATTGCCACCATTCCGGATGTGGTGGAAATCCTGGGTATGTTGGTTCAAATGATCCAGGTCCAGGGAACCAGCATGGTCCTTGATGTTAAAGCAGCCGTACTGTACCTGGATCTCCATGTCGGTAACGGTGAACCCGTCCTTCTCCTGGCTGTCCAACACTCTGAGGAGAAACCTGCCAAAGCGTCCAGTCTCCTCCTCCTCTTCCTCCTCTCTTTGCTCCTCCTCCTCTTCCTCTTCCTCCTCCTTCAAACTCTTCCTCCTCCTCCTCCTCCTCTCTCTGGGCTGAGGCCAGTACAGCTCACATTTCTGAAATCAAACAATCAGACGCTCAGCGGACCGGTCTGCAGTCCAGAGAGACAAACAGGGAGGAGGAGTCCTCACCTCGTTGTTCTCCTTCAGTCTGGTTACCATGACGATGATGCTGCTCCTCTCCTGCCACACCATGTCCCAGAAGTCCCCAACAGTGTGCAGCATCGGCCCCTGGGTGGCGATGTAGGCCCTGGGAGCTCCTTTATAACCCTGCGGCACAAAGACCAGGTCAGACAAGAGAAGGAGAAACCTGCAGTACTCAGAGTGTCCACTAGAGGTCAGTAAGTCTGTCCCTGTAGACCCACCTGTGCCTCACAGAATCATTTTTATTAGTTTTTGTTCATCAGCAGGCTAAACTATCAGAGTCATCAAATTTTCAAACCGTTTCAGAGAAAATAAAAGGTAGAAAAAAACGGATCAGATCAGATCAGACCGGATCAGTCAGTTCTGCAGGTTGTTTGTCAAAAACTACAGCGGATGTGAACGTAGACCTGTCCCCCCTCTGCTAAAAAACCAAACCACATCCTGGACCTCCTCAGACAGGAAAAAGAAGAAGAGAAGTGAACAACAAGAGAAACAAGAGCACACTTATCACACACTGATCACACACTGATCAGACACACCCGACTGCAGCTCCTTCAGCCTGAGGACAGGCTGCAGAAAGTGTCAACCTGAGGCTGCAGAGCTGAGGCTGCAGAGCTGGAGCTGCAGAGCTGACGTCTGCAGAGCAGACGCCTGCAGAGCTGAGGCTGCAGAGCAGACACCAGCATAGCTGAAGCTGCAGAACCTACGTCTGCAGAGCTGAGGCTGAAGAGCTGAGGCTGCAGTGCTGGAGCCGCAGAGCTGAGGCTGCATAGCTGGAGCTGCAGAGCTCAGGCTGCAGTGCTGGAGCTGCAGAGCTGAGGCTGCAGAGCTGGAGCTGCAGAGCTGAGGCTGCAGAGCGAGAGCTGCAGAGCTAGAGCTGCAGAGCTGGAGCTGTAGAGCTAAGGCTGCAGATCTGCAGAGCTGAGGCTGCAGAACTGGAGCTGCAGAGCTGATAGGGCTGTGTGGGCTGTTGGGGGGTGCATGAGTCAGGGCCATGTCACTTCCTTCTTCACTTCCTGTGGTTTTCCTGGTTGTCAAACTCCTTACGCAGACAATCTGACAGCTCATATCTGTTTGTATCACCGTCTGAAATGTGCACTTGCACATTTACACACACACACAGATCTAGACATAGATCTTCACACACACACACACACACCTACACATCCACATTTTTAATACTTGTTCCTCTGCTGTCCGTGCCTGACTGTAACATTTATGACTTTACGTTAACATATTCTCTTAACTGTGTAAAAAAACAGTCCAGCAATCTTCACATCAGCTTAGTGTGGTCCCCACTAAGACAGCTGCACAAACCTCAACACACACACACACACACACACACACACACACACACACACAGCGCTGACACGTACTATCAACCTGCTGACTTCTCAGTGAGCGCCTTTTTGTTCAGGGTTAGTAAAGTTCGTATTAGTGACGGATCTGATCGTGAAAACAGGGTCTGATTAAGAGCCCTGGTAATCTGGATTTGGTAGTCTGAAACACAGCTCAGGTTGATCTAATCCAGTGGAAACCAGAACAGGGATTTCTGAACCTAAATCAATCTCGTCCAGATGAAACTTCTAGAACATCTGGATCCTGGTTCAGAGTCCAGTACTTCAGAGTACCATGGTGACGTTTACAGAACATGGCCCTTTTTAAAAACCCTTATTGAATGACTCAGTAACTTTAACCCCCAATTTCCACCGCATCCGAAACGTCTCCAATCCGGAATAGCGGCGATTTTCGCCCTACGCCAATTCCCACTGGATCCGTTAGTGAGGCGAATTTCATGGCAGATTACGGACAGCAGTAATTGCGAGAACTCGCAAAAACCCGCAGATTCACGTTCAGTTGCGCGATAATGAGTTGTCTCTATAAAGACAGCCACATAGACATATAAGCAGTAGATTGTGTCCTTCCAGAGGAGGAAATCTACTTCTAGACTTCTAGAATCAGCATCTCCTCATCCATGGTGTCATCGAGGTGAAATGATGTCTAAAAATCGTTCATTTGTTCGTTTCGCCCGTTTGCATGGTGTGAAATACGATCTGCCTGAAACATGGAGTGTTTTATTTTGAAAAGAAGCTGGATGTTTTATGTTGTTTCTGTGCCCGACTTCCTTTCCAGCACGGGTTCATCTGTGCTGAATTTATCCAGCATGCTCCGGCGTCTGGAAAAAATAGAACCCCTCGGATCAGCTGTGGAGTCAGGCAATCCGCAGAGGAACGGAAAGAAGCCGGTGGAAATTGACACATTACACTTGAATGGTTACAATCAGCTACGATCAGAGGATACGACCTTTTAGGAGACGTTCAGGATGTGGTGGAAATTGGGGGCTAGCGTGTGCATGAAAGTATTTCTTTGATCTCCTACATGTCAGTGCAAGTTCGGATCAGTATATGGAGACGATTTACAGAAACGACTGAATCCATAAAAAACAGTGTTCACTGAAAACCTGCTGTCTCTGCACAAACCATATCTCCTCTGCAGGACTAATGCTGCGTTCAAGTTACCCCGGAAGTCCCATGTCGGAGATGAAAATGATGTCACACTCGAGTTTCAGCTACCAAGTCGGAAAAAAGCAAAATCACATCTGGAACATCTACTTTTTCAAAATGTAAAGTGCGTTACAAATAAAATCTATTGTCATTATGATTATTATTTGTGCGCTTGCCTTGTATGAATATAAGGCAAGCACTAAAGTAACCTTCGTAGATGTAGCCATCTTGTTTCCGCCTCCGATTTAGCTTTTTTCCAACTTGGTAACTGAGGCACTGGGAACTCGGGTGTGACATCATTTTCAGCTCCGACATCGGACTTCTGAGGTAACTCGAACGCAGCATTAGACATTCATAAACCTACATGGCGGCTTGTTGCTGTAAAGATTTATTACCCTGATGTAGTTGGCGTTGATGTAGCGATCTGGCCCTGCCTCCTCTTCTGGGTTCTTCAGGATGACCCGGGTCTCAGGGTCTGGGTGGAAACAGAACAATAAGGTCATTAACAACAGCTTGGACCGTGTTTCTGTGGAGTTCAGACAGACGACGGCGGAGGTACTGACTGGGTAGGATGGTTTTGTATCTGTCTTTGATCATGTGACCGGGAACGTCGAGCTCTGCGGGGGTGACGAAGTTCGGGGGAATCTTCTGTGGAAAAAAAACAGGAACGAGCTGGACGTTAAAACAAACACACCTCATCAGTGGAAACATAGACCAGGAATAAGAAACACCGGGGAACTCTCACCTGGTACTCTGCGTTAAGGGTTTGCGTGTCTGTTGCTGCCTGCTGGAGCACAGCATGAGTGAGCGGCCGAGAGGAGGTGTGTAGCAGCTGAAGCCACACCTCTTTGGGGGTGGAGACGGAACAAATAGACTCCACCCCTAAAGTGCTTACGTCCAGTAGCAGAGAGAGGTTGGAGCCCCGCCTGGAAAGAACAGTTACTCTCAGTTCACCGTGTTTTGGGCTCTTGGACATTTTCTGAAGGGATTGTAGTTTCAGTGATGGCACCAATCAGATGCTGTGATAGTAAAATAAGCCACACCCCCAAATTTATGCAAATTTATGTTCAACTCCCGACAGAAATGTGACCAAAAAGGAGGAGTGATCTCAAATTTCACCTCCTATAAAGAAACCAAACAGAGTTTTTGTCCCAGGTTGTGAATATGTCTATTTCTTACTGAAATGGAGACTTTAAGATGAGCTCTTATAAGGCATTTATGACTGTTGGGGTCAGCCTGTAGTGGACACTGGGGGAACTGCAGTTTTTTGAGCTCCTGCATTAACTTCATTCCTCAACATTAGAAGAACTGCAGCTGAAGCAAATATTAACTCATACAGGATCATGTGGGTCTGCTCCCATTGGTTAAACAAAACCAGCAAATATTTGTCCTCTGATTATCAGTCGACTCTTTTACATTTGTCCAGACTGGAAAAGCTGGGTCCATGTCCCCTCTTTTTACTGTCCTTCTATCTTTACTGAGTCTCAGTTTGACTGTCCTTCTGTCTTTACTGAGTCTTAGTTTCACTGTCTTTCTGTCTTTACTGAGTCTCAGTTTGACTGTCCTTCTATCTTTACTGAGTCTCAGTTTGACTGTCCTTCTGTCTTAACCGAGTCTCAGTTTCTCTGTCCTTCTGTCTTAACCGAGTCTCAGTTTCTCTGTCCTTCTGTCTTAACCGAGTCTCAGTTTAACTGTCCTTCTGTCTTAACCGAGTCTCAGTTTAACTGTCCTTCTGTCTTAACCGAGTCTCAGTTTAACTGTCCTGCTGTCTTAACTGAGTCTCAGTTTCTCTGTCCCTCTGTCTTTATTGAGTCTTAGTTTCACTGTCCTTCTGTCTTAACCGAGTCTCAGTTTCTCTGTCCTTCTGTCTTTACTGAGTCTCAGTTTCTCTGTCCTTCTGTCTAACTGAGTCTTAGTTTCACTGTCTTTCTGTCTTTATTGAGTCTCAGTTTAACTGTCCTTCTGTCCCCTCTGGGTCTTAGTTTCACTGTCCTGTCTTTATTGAGTCTCAGTTGAACTGTCCTTTGGTCTTAACTGAGTCTCAGTTTCACTGTCCTTCTGTCTTAACTGAGTCTCAGTTTCACTGTCCCTCTGTCTTTATTGAGTCTTAGTTTCACTGTCCTTCTGTCTTAACCGAGTCTCAGTTTCTCTGTCCTTCTGTCTTAACTGAGTCTCAGTTTCTCTGTCCTTCTGTCTTTATTGAGTCTCAGTTTAACTGTCCTGCTGTCATAACTGAGTCTCAGTTTAACTGTCCTTCTGTCCCCTCTGGGTCTTAGTTTCACTGTCCTGTCTTTATTATGTCTCAGTAGAACTGTCCTTTGGTCTTAACTGAGTCTCAGTTTCACTGTCCCCTCTCTCCCATCTTGGTCTCAATCTGACTGTCCTTCTGTCCCCTCTGAATCTCAGTTTCACTGTCCTTCTGTCTTTACTGAGTCTTAGTTTCACTGTCCTTCTGTCTTTACTGAGTCTCAGTTTCTCTGTCTTTCTGTCTTTATTGAGTCTCAGTTTCTCTGTCCTTCTATCTTAACTGAGTCTCAGTTTCACTGTCCTTCTGTCTTAACCGAGTCTCAGTTTCTCTGTCCTTCTGTCTTTACTGAGTCTCAGTTTCTCTGTCCTTCTGTCTTTACTGAGTCTCAGTTTCTCTGTCCTTCTGTCTTTACTGAGTCTTAGTTTCACTGTCTTTCTGTCTTTATTGAGTCTCAGTTTAACTGTCCTTCTGTCCCCTCTGGGTCTTAGTTTCACTGTCCTGTCTTTATTGAGTCTCAGTTGAACTGTCCTTTGGTCTTAACTGAGTCTCAGTTTCACTGTCCCCTCTCTCCCATCTTGGTCTCAATCTGACTGTCCTTCTGTCCCCTCTGAATCTCAGTTTCACTGTCCTTCTGTCTTTCCTGAGTCTCAGTTTCACTGTTCATCTGTACCCTCTGTCCTTTTCATAAATGAAGTTTGTCATGAATTTTACTGTGCGGTGTGATGATGTTACAGATATGATCGACTTCTCGGGTTTTGGCGACAGACAGGAAATAGAAAAACTCTACGATTTGTCGGGTTTTCCTGGAGACCAAGAGGGCACAGCACTTTGAACCCACCTCTCCTGAAGGCGCACAGATGCTTTGCGAGGAGGCGTGGTCATTGGAGGGGGCGTGGCCGGGTCCTCAGTAGGTGGGGAGGCTGAGCGAACTGCTGACGTACTCATGGTGTTGTTTTGTCGGTGTCGATCAGGACAACATGCTGCAGGAGAGAAAGAGAAGAAAAGTTTAAAATATTCAACAGGTATGAGAATGAGAACAGAATCAGAACCAGGAGTGGGTTCTGGGTTCTGGTTCTGAAGGTTTTTGGACTTTTTCATGAGAGTGTCCATTAAACTAGTTTCTCCTCAGATTCAGGAAGGAATAATTTTCAGTGTTTTAGGTTAAAATAAAGGAAATTTATAAATAATCTAAGAATATAATATTTATGTACCTGTGAAAGATTTCTATGGTAGAGAAAGACTCAACATTATCATGGCGAGTTTAAAGCCAGTATTTCCTCTGAAACATGACAACTAGGGTGAATGAGGAGATGCTGATTCTATTAGTCTGGAAGTAGATTTCCTCCTCTGAAAGGACTCAATCTACTGCTTATATGTCTATGTGTCTGTCTTTATGGAGACAACTCGTTATCGCGCGATTAAACGTGAATCCTCGGGTTCTTGTGAGTTCTCGCAACTCCCACTGTCCGTAATCCGCCACATGCATCCGTCTCATGTTTGAAAACAGAGCCGCTGAAGTTTATCTAAAGTTCAGGTATTTTAATTCTCTGTTAAGAATGAGGCTAAACTGGAGGCGGCATGAAGACACGGCAGTCTGTGAGGTCGCCAAAGTCAGCAGTAAATTTTCCAGCAGTAAATTGTTTTACACAGTTGAGTTTGAACCGGAGGAAACAAACTCAGTTTAAATGATCGGCTCTGAGTCTGACTGAATATCAACAGCCTCTGGGCTCCATTGCCACCCTCTGGTCTGGTGTGTTTTTAAGCATGTTGTCATCCTCTCCTGATTCTTGGATTCTCCTGTAAGCTTATGAGAAAACTTTATGTAACACCAAGAACCGAAGCTTTGCTCACTCAGACAGAGTTCCTTCACTGCAGTAAGCTTGAACAGAGTCTTCTCACTCTGGTTCTTCACTCAAAGATCTGACTGTACTCACCTGTCCGACCTTCCTCAGGCTGTTCTTCAGACTCCGGTCTATCCTAAACTTCTCTTCGGTCGCTGATGATTCTGTGAATAATGATCTTCCTTACATAAAGAGCCACTCCACACTCAGACTCCACGTGTCACTCCTGACGACTCCCACAGACAGACGCTTCAGTTTGTTGTTGCCGGCGCCTCCTTTAAGGACTTTCCACAAATTTATTATTGATTTGATGATCTGTTAGACCAACATGTCGCCCTGAAAACACAACCTGTTTGAGCTCTGATCAAGGATTAAACACACACGCAACCTGTCAGAGTGTGTGTGTTTGTGTGCGTATGTGTGTGATTCAGAGTGTTTCCACATCAGCTCGATCTGAAACGTTCGAGTGTGTCCCCATCGGAAGAGAGTTTCCTCATATCAGGAAGTCAGCACGCCCACACTGACTCAACACACAGACAGAAAACCATGCATAAACACACACACACACACACACACACACACACACACACACACACACACACACACACACACACACACACACACGCACTCTGACATACAAACAGAGGAGCTGAGAAACTTTGATATGAAGAAGAACAAACAGCAGAAAGAGCTTCAACATCCACAGGAACCGAAGCCGTAAAGAAGATGCAAAACATCGAAAATCTGAAAATGTTCAAAATTTAAAAACCAGAACCAGAAGATCCAAAAACAAGTTCTCAACAAACCAGAACCAGAAGATCCAAAAACAAGTTCTCAACAAACCAGAACCAGAAGATCCAAAAACAAGTTCACAACAAACCAGAACCAGAAGATCCAAAAACAAGTTCTCAACAAACCAGAACCAGAAGATCCAAAAACAAGTTCACAACAAACCAGAACCAGATGATCCAAAAACAAGTTCTCAACAAACCAGAACCAGAAGATCCAAAAACAAGTTCTCAACAAACCAGAACCAGAAGATCCAAAAACAAGTTCACAACAAACCAGAGCCAAAAGACCGCATACTGGTGTAAGAAGACTGCGTACTGGAGTAAGAAGACCCTATACCAGGGTCAGAGGAACCCATCCTGGTATAAGAAGACCCCATACTTGTATAAGAAGACCCTTTCTGGTATAAGAAGACCCTGTACTGATGTAAGAAGACTGTGTACTGGTGTAAGAGCACCCCATACTGGTATATGAAGACCTTATACCAGTGTAAGAAGACTGTGTACTAGTGTAAGAAGACCATACTGGTGTAAGAAGACTGCATACCAGTGTAGGAAGACCATACTGGCGTAAGCAGACCGTGTGCTGGTGTAAGAAGACCCAATACTGGTGTTAGCGTAATAATCTATCATTAGAGATCATCTTACCGATCATTTCACAGCCATGATGTTCTGTTTCTGGCGTCCAGGTGGAGCAGAGTTCGACTAACTCCACCTATAAGAGCGACTGAAGCAGCTTCAACATCATTTTAACCAGCTTTAAGTCTACGCTTCAAATCTTTAACTCTCTCTCGAACCTCCTCACATGAAACCGTTGACTTTCTGACAAACCAGGGGCAAGAAGAAACAAGTGAGCGGGAGAGAGAAAGAGAGAGAGAGAAAGAGAGAGAGAGAGAGAGAGAGAGAGAGAGAAAGTGATAATGAAGGAGGGAAAGTGAGAATGTGAGGTTAGAGTCAGCAGGAATAGACATGTCCTGTTTTTCTGGCCGTTATTGCTCTGGTTGAAGGTGTTCAAGGAGAGAGAGAAAGGGAGACAGAGACAGAGAGGGAGAAAATGAGTCAGAGAGCGAATGAAAAGATAGAGAGATAAATGAAAGACAGAGAGGAAGAGAGATGCTCCAGGCGTTGATTATTAACACACCAACAACAGCTGCTCATGAATCATTCATGTTCAATCACACACACACACACACACGGGTCCGAAGAGCGTCAGAACCGAACACCCAGAACACCTTCATCTACCTGTGAGTCTGAACAACACAGGAAACACTGACTCAACCTAACACCTCCGCCATCTTCCTCTGTTCATTCATTCACAGCTTCACCCCCAAATTCACAGAAACTGAGAGAGGGACCAGAACTGCAGTTCCTCCAGTGTCCACCAGAGGCTGTGTCCTACAGTGACTCTGTCCCCATAGAGCTCCATGTTAACATAAATCTAAGTTTGAACATAGATGTCTCTCTCTCATCAGATCTTCTTCAGACCTCATGAAGGTTCAGCTCGAAGGTTTTTGTTCCTCTGAAACTCATAAACTTTGAAAAAATGTTAACCTGTGATCACTTACTTCTCAGGTGACCGTCCAGCTGATGTCTTCTTCTTCATCATCATCTTCTTTACCTCTTCGTCTCGTCTTCCTCTCCTCTCTTCCTTCTTTCCTCACCGTCTCATATCTGTTGCTTTCTATCGTTTTGTCTTCACTACTTCACTAACCTTCTTCCTCTTCTTCTTCGCCACTTCCTTTTCTGCACCCACCCACTCTCTTATTGCCTCACACACACTTTTCGCTGCATACACACACCTTCTATTCCCCTCATCCAAGGTTATGGGTCCCCTTTAGACTGCACGCCACAGGCTCGAGCGTCGTGTATCTGTGTGTTGGTGTGTGTTTCTGTGTGTGTGTGTGTGTGAAGACTTTCACAGCGGGGTCGTACAAACTGATTTGATTTTCTCTCCGGCTGTCAGATGAGCAGCAGCAGGATACAGTCCTACTGGGACACAGACAAGGCTAACCTGCTAGCGTTATTAGCCGTCACCATAGAAATGAAATTAATAGAATAGGCTGCGCTGATCACGACACCTCTCTGTGTGAATCAGAGGAGCAGATACCGACACTGTGGGGGAAGTTTTAGGGTTCAGTTCGACTCCTTTAGTGTTTCTCTGCTCTTACTATGTCGCTCTTCAGTCTCCTCCTCCTCCTCCTCCTCCTCTGTCCGTGTTTACTGTAAAAAAGGACATTTTACTGTTGAGGAGTTTAGTAGTCATTTGGCCGTCTGTCAATGTCAATGTCAGCTTTATTTATATAGCAAACCAAAACAGCAAATAAATAAAATATCTAATAAAAGTAAAGTGAACAGGTGTGTCTTCAGAGGAGTTCTAAAAGTGGAAAGGCTGTTAGCAGTACGCACTGTCAGGGGTAAAGTGTTTCACAAAGTGGGAGCCATGACAGAAAATGCTTGATCTCCCCTAGACTTTAAAAAGGATCAAGGAACGTCCAAAACCATCTGATTAGCTGACCTCAGGGCTCTGATGGGCTGGTGCAGTTTAACAAGGTCAGACAGATATTCCAGGCCAACCCATTCAGAGACTTCAAAACAAATAAGAGAATCTTAAAATCAATCCTGTACCTAACAGGGAGCCAGTGAAGAGAGGAAAGCACCGAAGTTATGTGCTCTAATTTCTTGGTCCCAGTTAGGAGACGAGCTGCAGCATTCTGAATGAGCTGCAAGTGGTTGAGCTCTGACTTGCCGATGCCGACATACAGGAAATTACAGTAATCCAAACGAGATGTGATAAAAGCATGGATAACTTTTTTCAAGGTCCTTCTGGCTTAAATAGGATTTAACTTGGGCGAGAAGCCTCAGCTGATAAAAGCTCAATTTGACCACTGCGCTGACCTGTTTGTTGAAAATTTTCCTGAAGATTCCTGACATGGGACCCTATGTAAGGTGCCAGTGAGCCAAGGGATCTGGCAAGGACCTGAACCAGGTCAGGTTGACCGAACAGGATGACCTCTGTTTTGTTTTCATTCAATTTTAAAAAATTAACATCCATCCATGAGGAAAGCGCTGGCAGATGGCAAGGAAGAAGAATTGGGCTTTATCATCACCCCCCGCAGATCTAGGAGGCACCCGAAGGAAGTCTTAGCTGACCTGGACTTCGCAGACGACATTGCCCTGCTATCTGACACCGTGGAACAAGCCCAGGAACTCCTCCTTAGAGTAGAGACTGAATGCAACAAAGTAGGTCTTGGACTCAATGGCCCAAAAACCAAATACCTGGCCTACAACATCGATGACCATCCTCCTCTTGCCCGGCACTCTCCTCTGGTCACTCGTAACGGCACCGTCCTGGAGGAGAAGAACGATTTTAAGTACCTTGGATCCTGGGTAGATGAATCACCGAAGGACATCAAAGTCAGAAAGGGGTTGGCCTGGAAAGCCCTCAATGATATGGACAGGATATGGAAGTCCAACATGAATCCAGGTCTGAAGAAGCGTTTCTTCGTCGCCACGGTCGAGTCAATCCTCATATACGGGTGCGAGTGTTGGGCATTGAATAATGTAATGGAGAAGTCCCTCAATGGTACCTACACACGCATGCTACGCAGGGTCCTAAATGTACACTGGAGCTCTCACACAACCAACGAAGTGCTTTACGGCGAATTGCCCGCAGTCGCTGACAAGATAGCAGCCAAGAGACTCCAGCTTGCAGGACACTGTCACCGCCACCCTGAGCTGAGCACCCAGAAAGTCTTGCTATGGGAGCCAAAACACGGCCACAGAAATAGAGGGAGGCCACGAACATCGTATGTGGATACCCTAAAGAAGGATACTGGAGCGAAGAGTGCCAGCGAGCTAGCTTCACTGATGAAGGATTGTGACGTTTGGCGCAACCATGTTCACCTAAGTCAAGTAAGTCAAACATCCATCCATGTCTTTACATCATTCATGCAGTTAAGCACGACCTGCAGAGAGTCTTTGGTTGGAAACACACCTGCACATCATCAGCAAAACAGTGAAAAGAAACACCATGCTTTCTAAAAATTGACCCCAAGCGTAGCATATAGAGGGAGAATAGTGGGGGACCCAGAACTGACCCTTGGGGGACCCCACACATCAGAGGGGCAACTGTGGAAGAAAACTGGCCCATGTGCTCAGAAAAGGCTCTTTCAGAGAGGTACGATCTGAACCAGCTCAAAGCAGTGCCTTTGGTGCCTACACAATGTTCAAGGCGTGATAGGAGGATTAAGTGATCCACCGTGTCAAACAGTCAGGTCAAGGAGGATTAAAAAGGCACAGTGACCAGAATCAAGGTTTGACAAAAGATCATTAAAAACTTTTAAAAGAGCAGTTTCAGTGCTGTGAAGAGACTTAAAACCAGACTGTCTGTGTACTAGAGCTGCACTTTGTTTCTAAGTGAAAAGACGTAAACGGTGGATTATTGAAGATTCAGAGTTTTTACACTTTTTGACTTTTAAAGTGACAGCTCTCTTATTCCAGCTGAAAAATAAAATGAAACACTTTGATCATTTTGCTGCTCAAAATAAGAAATCCTTTATTAATAAGAGTAAGAACTTTGTTCGGCCTGAAAAGAGTAAAACACTGTGACTGACCTTTTGTGCTTTTATATTGAAAGTGTCTGTTTTAACCATCGTTTTTTTCTTGGATCATTTAAATGTCAGCTTTGTTAGTTTTTATTCCTCTTTTGAAGTGATCTCTGCCTTCTGCTCCATAAATAAACCATCTTATGAATAAAGGTACTTACACACCGGGACCGATGCAAATATACAACACATCGCGCTTGATATGTATAGTCAGGCATGTCAAAATTCGCCTCTGAATATTTCGTAATTTCGTATTGTATATTTGCATCGGTTCTGGTGTGTAGGGACCTTTATTTCTACCCCGCTTTGGTACACTAGCTAAGAAAGGCGTGACAACATGCTTCAAATGTTCCTCCTCCTTCCTTCTAAAAGCAATCCTTAACCAGAAAAAGAAAGCTTTAAAGATGGTGACAAAGAACAACTCAAACAAGTTCAACAAGAGTTGAAGAGGAGACTGAAGATGGCAAAGCTGGAGTACAAAAAGAAGGTAGAGAAGAATCTACAACACAGCAACATCAGTGAAGTGTGGAGAGGAATCAGTACCATCTCTGGACACAGCAATAAAAAGAAAAGACAGCCAGTGGTGGGTGATGTGAAAAGAGCTGATGAACTCAACCTGTTCTTCAACAGATTTGACACTGCTGTCACATCCACCTCCAGTGTTACTCCACCTTCCTCTCTGCAACAAATCTCCACTACAACTTCTCCCCTTCCTCCTCCATCTCGTTCAAATGTCTCAACCACTTCCACTGCCTCCTTCCTAGAACACCAGTCCTTGTCTGTCACCGAAACAGGGGTGAGGATGGAGCTTGGAAGACTTTGTCCTGGGAAGGCAGCTGGTCCAGATGGTGTGTGTCCAAGGCTGCTTAGAGACTGTGCTGCAGAACTGTGTCAACCTCTCCACTAGATCTTCAACCTGAGTCTACAGCTGGGGCAGGTACCTGCTCTGTGGAAAACATTCTGCATTGTGCCAGTACCAAAAACAAAATGTCCTGCTGAGCTCAATGACTACAGACCAGGGGCCCTCACTTCACACATCATGAAAACCCTGGAGCGGCTGATTCTACGCCTTCTGAGGTCTGAGGTCAAAGACAAACTGGATTCCCTGCAGTTTGCATACAAAGAACACTGGAGTGGATGATGCTGTCCTCTACATGCTTCACTGTGCCCTGTCTCATCTGGAGGAACCAGGGGTTTATGTGAAGATCATGTTCTTCGACTTTTCAAGTGCATTCAACACCATCCAACCTACCATACTCAAAGACAAGCTCACAGAGATGGGAGTGGATCCTTCCTGTGTTTCCTGGATTACAGATTACCTGACAGGAAGGCCACAGTTTGTCAGGCTGGGGAACTGTGTTTCTGGGACATTAATGAGCAGTACAGGGGCTCCACAAGGGACAGTGCTGGCGGCATTCCTGTTCACACTGTATACATCAGACTTCAAATACAGCACTGAGTCCTGCCACATCCAGAAATACTCAGATGACACTGCTATCATGGCATGTATCAGAAATGGACAAGAAGCTGAATACAGAGATCTGATAAGAGCCTTCAGTGACTGGAGTCACAAAAACTGCCTCCTCCTCAACACCTTAAAGACAAAGGAGATGGTCATAGACTTCCGTAGATCCAAACCCCCTTTTCAGCCAGTGAACACCTGTGGAGTGGACATCGAAGTGGTGACATCATATAAATACCTAGGTGTATATCTGGATAATAAGTTGAACTAGTCTAAGAATATAGACTTCATCTACAGAAAGGGGCAGAACCACCTTTTTTGCCTGAGAAGACTCCGATCAATAGACATCTGTAGTAAGACGCTGCAGATGTTTTATCAGTCTGTGGTGGCAAGTGTTCTGTTCTACGCTGCAGTCTGCTGGGGAGGAAGCATCAAACACAAAGATGCAAGACATCTTAACAAACTGGTGTAAAAGGCTGGCTCTGTGGTAGGACTCAAGCTGGACTCAGTGGAGGATGTGGTGGAGAGATCTACACTGAGGAGGGTGGAGACTATTCTAAAGAACATGAATCACCCACTTCACAACACCTTGATGGACCAGAAGGGTGGTGGACGGCTCCTCTCTCTTCTCTGCAGGACAGAAAGATTTAGAAGATCTTTTGTACCAACAGCCATCAGGCTTTATAACTCTTATGTAAATAATAGATAACTTTTATAGACATATTACGTGGGACAACAGACAATTGAATTTCCCTCTGGGGATCAATAAAGTTCTTCTTATTCACTTTATTAAGTGGAAATGCTGACACAGCATTTCCACTTATTGTTATTCTACTATTTCTTTATTATTATTATTATTAAGTGGAAATGCTGACACAGCATTTCCACTTATTGTTATTCTACTATTTCTTTATTAAGTGGAAATGCTGACACAGCATTTCCACTTATTGTTATTCTACTATTTCTTTATTATTATTATTATTATTATTCTTCCGTACCTTTTTTGGCCCTTTTCAACTCCTTACCACTTTGTGCTATTTTCACCATTCAAACTTTATACTAATGCACTCCTTCAGGACATTACGGCTATTACTTTTCACCTTTCTACCATTTATACTTTTTGCAATATTTCACTTTTTCTGCAAAAATTTGTTCCATTACAAATGAATGGAGATACAGCTATAACACCTTCTCACCCTTATAACTTCTGCATACTTTCACCTACAGACCTCATTTTTGCTTTAAAATGTTCAGCAACGTGTCTGCTACAAATGTTGTATTCACTCCTTTTTGCTATTTCCTACCGTTTTTGCACAATTTCGCTTGGAGCAACATGAAGTTGTCTGCCTTTTTCAGCCTGACTCACGCTACAGCGTCTGACGTCATCACTCGATGCGGGCGGGGCCTTTTGGATTCACTAGACCAAGCATGATTATTTTGCTGCTGCGGCCGCAATTTTCACTCCACAGCCATAAAAAACACATCAAAATGGAGGTACACTCGTCCTGCTTCTCACAAAATCGGTCTGAAGTCATGAAATTGTACAGCTTGCCCAGGAGGTGAGTACATTCCTTCAGAGCCAGAGATTCTGCACTTGTCATGGGCTGTGTGCTTCGATCGCACACGCACATGCACACGCACGGACTTGGCCGCTCGTGCGCGCGCGGGCACACACACATACACACACACTGTTTCCATGAGTGCATTACTGTCTGTCTTTCTCTCTTACTGTCTCTCTGTCAGATTCTGCACTTGTCATGGGCTGTGTGCTTCGATCACACACGCACATGCACACGCACGGGCTCGGCCGCGCGCGCGCGCGGGCACACACACACACACACACACACACACACACACACACACTGTTTCCATGTGTGCATTACTGTCTGTCTGTCAGTAGAAAATACAGCCCCAATATGAACTTTGTTGTTACAGTTCTTGTCTTTAACTCTTTTAACATACTAACTTCTTCTTTTTCTTCTACTTCTGCTTTTCTTTTCTATACTTTCTACATTTATACAATTAATTTAACTTCAGCTGTTTCATACTTTCTACATTCAGATGTAGGGCAGTAACTGAAGCAGGGCAATAGATGGTGCTGTTCTGCATTCTCAAGTTACTATGGTTGGATGCTGCAGACTGCAAAAATCTGTTTTACTATTTGTACATTTAATAGGAACATTGTTACACATTGTTTAAAGGCATTTGTTTTTCAAATTCAATTATCCTTATTATCAGTTCTGTTTATTCACATCAATCATATACATTTTTCACTTAGGCTATCAGACAATTTGTACATTAATCCAACTAATTTACCTAAAGCTATACTACAATTCTTCCATTCATACAATTTCTTCTTCTTCTACTCCACCTTTTCAACAGTTTTTCCATTCATACCTTCCTCCATTTTTTAATGGCAGTTTTGCATTGCTTTTTCAGCTTTCAGCACTCAGCATTTCCACGCATTTTCTGCAAGGAAATGCAATTTTTCTAGTTATTATTATTATTATTCTTCCGTACCTTTTTTGGCCCTTTTCAACTCCTCACCACTTTGTGCTATTTTCACCATTCAAACTTTATACTAATGCACTCCTTCAGGACATTACGGCTATTACTTTTCACCTTTCTACCATTTATACTTTTTGCAATATTTCACTTTTTCTGCAAAATTTGTTCCATTACAAATGAATGGAGATACAGCTATAACACGTTCTCACCCTTATAACTTCTGCATACTTTCACCTACAGACCTCATTTTTGCTTTAAAATGTTCAGCAACGTGTCTGCTACAAATGTTGTATTCACTCCTTTTTGCTATTTCCTACCGTTTTTGCACAATTTCGCTTGGAGCAACATGAAGTTGTCTGCCTTTTTCAGCCTGACTCACGCTACAGCGTCTGACGTCATCACTCGATGCGGGCGGGGCCTTTTGGATTCACTAGACCAAGCATGATTATTTTGCTGCTGCGGCCGCAATTTTCACTCCACAGCCATAAAAAACACATCAAAATGGAGGTACACTCGTCCTGCTTCTCACAAAATCGGTCTGAAGTCATGAAATTGTACACCTTGCCCAGGAGGTGAGTACATTCCTTCAGAGCCAGAGATTCTGCACTTGTCATGGGCTGTGTGCTTCGATCGCACACGCACATGCACACGCACGGACTCGGCCGCTCGTGCGCGCGCGGGCACACACACACACACACACACACACACACACTGTTTCCATGAGTGCATTACTGTCTCTCTTACTATCTCTGTCAGATTCTGCACTTGTCATGGGCTGTGTGCTTCGATCGCAAACGCACGGACTTGGCCGCTCGTGCGCGCGCGGGCACACACACATACACACACACTGTTTCCATGAGTGCATTACTGTGTCTCTTTCTCTCTTACTGTCTCTGTCAGATTCTGCACTTGTCATGGGCTGTGTGCTTCGATCACACACGCATATGCACACGCACGGGCTCGCGCGCGCGCGCGCGGGCACACACACATACACACACACTGTTTCCATGAGTGCATTACTGTGTCTCTTTCTCTCTTACTGTCTCTGTCAGATTCTGCACTTGTCATGGGCTGTGTGCTTCGATCACACACGCATATGCACACGCACGGGCTCGGCCGCGCGCGCGCGCGGGCACACACACACACACACACACACACACACACACACACACACACACACACACACACACACACACACACACACTGTTTCCATGTGTGCATAACTGTCTCTCTGTCAGTAGAAAATACAGCCCCAATATGAACTTTGTTGTTACAGTTCTTGTCTTTAACTCTTTTAACATACTAACTTCTTCTTTTTCTTCTACTTCTGCTTTTCTTTTCTATACTTTCTACATTTATACAATTAATTTCACTTCAGCTGTTTCATACTTTCTGCATTCAGATGTAGGGCAGTAACTGAAGCAGGGCAATAGATGGTGCTGTTCTGCATTCTCAAGTTACTATGGTTGGATGCTGCAGACTGCAAAAATCTGTTTTACTATTTGTACATTTAATAGGAACATTGTTACACATTGTTTAAAGGCATTTGTTTTTCAAATTCAATTATCCATATCAGTTCTGTTTATTCACATCAATCATAAACATTTTTCACTTAGGCTATCAGACAATTTGTACATTAATCCAACTAATTTACCTCCAGCTATACTACAATTCTTCCATTGATACAATTTCTTCTTCTTCTACTCCACCTTTTCTACAGTTTTTCCGTTTATACCTTCCTCCATTTTTTATTGGCAGTTTTGCATTGCTTTTTCAGCTTTCAGCACTCAGCATTTCCACGCATTTTCTGCAAGGAAATGCAATTTTTCTAGTTAAGTGGAAATGCTGATTAAGCATTTCCACTTATTGTTATTCTCCCGTTTCTTTATTATTATTTTTCTTCCGCCGTTTTTTGGACCGCTTCTCCTCCTTCAAACTTTGTCCGATTTCAACCGTTCAAACTTTAAACTGTTCCACTCCTTCAGGACATGATGGCTATTACTTTTCTCTTTTCTACCCCTTATACTTTTTGATATTTTTGACTTTTTGTGCAAAAAATTTTCCCATTGAAATGAATGGGGAAATCTTCAAATTCTACCTTTTACTCCTCCACCTTCTCAGCCTTATAACTTCAGCATACTTTCACCTAGAGACCTCATTTTTGCTTTAAAATGTTCATTGTCTTGTCGACTATAGATGTTGTATTAACCTTTTTGTGCTATCTTTTACAGTTTTTCCACAATTTAGCTTTAAGCAACTTGTGGTTTTCAGCAAATTTCAAGCTTTATAATGGGTGTGTATTGGAGAGTTTAGAGTGATGATGTCATCAGCTAGAGTGCAGACCTCGTCTCTGATCGACAGAACCTCGCTCGAATATATCGCTCCCACGCCCACAAATCTCACTCCACTGACACAAATAATACATCAAAATGGAGGTATATGTGTCCTGCTTCTCACAAAAGAGGTTTCAAATCATTAAATCGTACCCCTTGGCCAGCAGGTGACCAAATGTCCAGATAGGCGCAAATATCTCCCCATTGGCCCTAATGTATTTCTTCTCCAAGAAAATCCTTATCGTCACTCAGGCTCAGACTTTTTTAACTCGCTGTTGTGGCCACATTTTTCGGAGTACAGACATGAAAAACACATCATTGTGTTCATGAAGGACGGAGGATTCGTACGATGTTCTTATTTTCATTCTGGGACTTAAGGAAATCACGCTATGTGAAGAAGTTCACAGGCTTCAAATCCTCTGCTGTTCAGCTGCTTGTCATTCAAACAGTAGGTCAGTGATTTGCCTTTGATCTCACAGCTGTTAGGGATGCAGTCATTAATGAGACACACACACACACACACATTCTTGTACTTGTTGCTTTTTGAGGTCCACCTTGCAGTTCACCTGCTTGTACACACAGATAATATGTGTCTGCTTCACCACCTATCTCCACCCACAAACTTTGAGCTACAGAAACCATTCTGGGCTTGAAAAATTCAGCTCATTGAAGATATTATGGGGTGTTTTGAGGATTGTGATAATAAATTGTATTAATGTGTTCAGCAGAGTCTTGTGTTCTCACAAGCTCCTTATGAATATATACAGAGGGTGAGCGTCAGGGCCTACTTGGAGTCCTGTTTCCTTAGCTTCAAGCCTTCTTTCTCCTGCTATAGTTATGCATCCAAGGTCCCCATGGCAACCAATTAGTGCACCTGGAGACACACAGCTGACTGGAAAGCTGCTTCTAATGGCCATATGAGACACATGAAGCCAGGCTCAGCACACATAGCACTGGGGATGACACTTAAAACCTTTTACTAGAGCGCTTGAAAAAACTTCAGCCCCTATCTCCTCACATGACCTTTGACCTACAGAAACCATTCAGGGCTTTCAAATTTAAGCTCATTGAGGACATTATGGGGTGTATTTAGGATTTATATTCATTTAAATGTTTCACATTTTAAAGTCACTCAGTGATGATTTATCATTTAATTTTTCAAACTAATTTAAACTCATTCAAAATGATTCAAGCCTTTCTAATACTTAAAAACTGTCTGATACTTGAGGATTTTTAATTAATAAAATTTTCCCTGTTTTATATTAGTTTTAATATTTATGCATTAATCCGTCCTTCAAACAAAATCCTACCTCTAGTACTACAACTACTTATGTCAATTAAACTAGAACTTTCCCCTCTACTTCAACTGCTATTGCTCCTATTTCTACTTTCTCTACTGCTGCTATTGCTACTATTTCTACTTTCTTTACTACTTTGACTTATACTTCTTTTATTCTCAATCTACTTCTACTGCTGACATGACTACTAGTATCACGACTTGACTTCTTATCATACTTCTTCTAGTACTACAACTTAAACTTATGCCACTTCTCACCTTCCTGCCTTTAAAGGCAATTTCCTTCTTCATTCAAACTTTGTGCAATTTTAGACATTTTTCTAGCCTCTTTCAGCATGAATAAAATTTCCTTTTATAGAGCATATTCATGCTATTTGTCCTTCAACCAATTAAACTATTATCCAACTTATATTTCTTTTTCACCCCTTCAACAGCTTTAACATTTATACCTTTCTCCATGTTTTATTAGCAGTTTAGCATTGCTTTTTCAGCTTTCAGCACTCAGCATTTCCACGCATTTTCTGCAAGGAAATGCAATTTTTCTAGTTAAGTGGAAATGCTGACACAGCATTTCCACTTATTGTTATTCTACTATTTCTTTATTATTATTATTATTATTATTCTTCCGTACCTTTTTTGGCCCTTTTCAACTCCTCACCACTTTGTGCTATTTTCACCATTCAAACTTTATACTAATGCACTCCTTCAGGACATTACGGCTATTACTTTTCACCTTTCTACCATTTATACTTTTTGCAATATTTCACTTTTTCTGCAAAATTTGTTCCATTACAAATGAATGGAGATACAGCTATAACACCTTCTCACCCTTATAACTTCTGCATACTTTCACCTACAGACCTCATTTTTGCTTTAAAATGTTCAGCAACGTGTCTGCTACAAATGTTGTATTCACTCCTTTTTGCTATTTCCTACCGTTTTTGCACAATTTCGCTTGGAGCAACATGAAGTTCTCTGCCTTTTTCAGCCTGACTCACGCTACAGCGTGTGACGTCAGATGTTACGTCATCACTAGATGCGGGCGGGGCCTTTTGGATTCACTAGACCAAGCATGATTATTTTGCTGCTGCGGCCGCAATTTTCACTCCACAGCCATAAAAAACACATCAAAATGGAGGTACACTCGTCCTGCTTCTCACAAAATCGGTCTGAAGTCATGAAATTGTACAGCTTGCCCAGGAGGTGAGTACATTCCTTCAGAGCCAGAGATTCTGCACTTGTCATGGGCTGTGTGCTTCGATCGCACACGCACATGCACACGCACGGACTCGGCCGCTCGTGCGCGCGCGGGCACACACACACGCACACACACACACACACACACACTGTTTCCATGAGTGTATTACTGTCTCTCTTACTATCTCTCTGTCAGATTCTGCACTTGTCATGGGCTGTGTGCTTCGATCGCACACGCACGGACTTGGCCGCTCGTGCGCGCGCGGGCACACACACATACACACACACTGTTTCCATGAGTGCATTAATGTCTCTCTTTCTCTCTTACTGTCTCTCTGTCAGATTCTGCACTTGTCATGGGCTGTGTGCTTCGATCACACACGCATATGCACACGCACGGGCTCGGCCGCGCGCGCGCGCGGCCACACACACACACACACACACACACACACACACACACACACACACACACTGTTTCCATGTGTGCATTACTGTCACTCTGTCAGTAGAAAATACAGCCCCAATATGAACTTTGTTGTTACAGTTCTTGTCTTTAACTCTTTTAACATACTAACTTCTTCTTTTTCTTCTACTTCTGCTTTTCTTTTCTATACTTTCTACATTTATACAATTAATTTAACTTCAGCTGTTTCATACTTTCTGCATTCAGATGTAGGGCAGTAACTGAAGCAGGGCAATAAATGGTGCTGTTCTGCATTCTCAAGTTACTATGGTTGGATGCTGCAGACTGCAAAAATCTGTTTTACTATTTGTACATTTAATAGGAACATTGTTACACATTGTTTAAAGGCATTTGTTTTTCAAATTCAATTATCCATATCAGTTCTGTTTATTCACATCAATCATATACATTTTTCACTTAGGCTATCAGACAATTTGTACATTAATCCAACTAATTTACCTCCAGCTATACTACAATTCTTCCATTGATACAATTTCTTCTTCTTCTACTCCACCTTTTCTACAGTTTTTCCGTTTATACCTTCCTCCATTTTTTATTGGCAGTTTTGCATTGCTTTTTCAGCTTTCAGCACTCAGCATTTCCACGCATTTTCTGCAAGGAAATGCAATTTTTCTAGTTAAGTGGAAATGCTGATAGGCATTTCCACTTATTGTTATTCTCCCGTTTCTTTATTAAACTTATTATTATTATTATTATTCTTCCGTCCCTTTTTTGCAACGCTTCTCCTCCTTCAAACTTTGTCCGATTTCAACCGTTCAAACTTTAAACTATTCCACTCCTTCAGGACATGATGGCTATTACTTTTCACTCTTCTACCTTTTATACTTTTTGATTTTTTTAACTTTTTGTGCAAAAATTTTAACATTGAAGTCAATGGGGAAATCTTCAACTTCTTCCTTTCATTCTTCCACCTTCTAGACCTTATAACTTCAGCATACTTTCACCTAGAGACCTCATTTTTGCTTTAAAATGTTCACTCACTTGTTGACTATCAAAGTTGTACTCGGTTTTTTGATATCTTCTACAGTTCTTCCACAATTTAGCTTTAAGCAACTTGTGGTTTTCAGCAAATTTCAAGCTTTATAATGGGTGTGTATTGGAGAGTTTAGAGTGATGATGTCATCAGCTAGAGTGCAGACCTCGTCTCTGATCGACAGAACCTCGCTCGAATATATCGCTCCCACGCCCACAAATCTCACTCCACTGACACAAATAATACATCAAAATGGAGGTATATGTGTCCTGCTTCTCACAAAAGAGGTTTCAAATCATTAAATCGTACCCCTTGGCCAGCAGGTGACCAACTGTCCAGATAGGCGCAAATATCTCCCCATTGGCCCTAATGTATTTCTTCTCCAAGAAAATCCTTATCGTCACTCAGGCTCAGACTTTTTTAACTCGCTGTTGTGGCCACATTTTTCGGAGTACAGACATGAAAAACACATCATTGTGTTCATGAAGGACGGAGGATTCGTACGATGTTCTTATTTTCATTCTGGGACTTAAGGAAATCACGCTATGTGAAGAAGTTCAGAGGCTGAAATTCACTGCAGTTCAGCACCTCTCAGTCAAACAGTAGGTTAGTGATTTGCCTTTGATCTCACAGCTGTTTAGGATGCAGTCATTAACGAGACACACACACACACACGCACACACATTCTTGTACTTGTTGCTTTTTGAGGTCCACCTTGCAGTTCAGCTGCTTGTACACACAGTTAATATGTGTCTGCTTCACCACCTATCTCCACCCACAAACTTTGAGCTACAGAAACCATTCTGGGCTTCAAAAATTCAGCTCATTGAAGACATTATGGGGTGTTTTGAGGATTGTGATAATAAATTGTATTAATGTGTTCAGCAGAGTCTTGTGTTCTCACAAGCTCCTTATGAATATATACAGAGGGTGAGCGTCAGGGCCTACTTGGAGTCCTGTTTCTTTAGCTTCAAGCCTTCTTTCTCCGGCTATAGTTATGCATCCAAGGTCCCCATGGCAACCAATTAGTGCACCTGGAGACACACAGCTGACTGGAAAGCTGCTTCTAATGGCCATATGAGACACATGAAGCCAGGCTTAGTACGCATAGCACTGGGGATGACACTTAAAACCCTTTCCTAGAGTGCTTGAAAAAACTTCAGCCCCTATCTCCTCACATGACCTTTGACCTACAGAAACCATTCAGGGCTTTAAAATTTAAGCTCATTGAGGACATTATGGGGTGTATTTAGGATTTATATTCATTTAAATTTTTCACATTTTAAAGTCACTCAGTGATGATTTATCATTTATTTTTCAAACTAGTTGAAACTCATTCAAACTGATTCAAACCTTTCTAATACTTAAAAACTTTCTGATTCTTGAGGATTTTTAATTATTTCAATTTTCCCTGTTTGAAATAAGTTTTAATATTTATGCATTACTCCATCCTTCAAACAAAATCCTACCTCAAGTACGACAACTACCGCTAATGTCAATTAAACTAGTACTATCCCCTCTACTTCAACTACTATTGCTCCTATTTCTACTTTCTCTACTATTGTGACTTATACTTCTTTTATTCTCAAACTACTTCTACTGCTGACATGACTACTAGTATCACGACTTGACCTATTATACTACTTCTAGTACTACAACTTAAACTTATGCCACTTCTCACCTTCCTGCCTTTTAAGGCAGTTTCCTTCTTCATTCAAACTTTGTGCAATTGTAGACATTTTTCTAGCCTCTTTCAGCATGAATAAAACTTCCATTTATAGAGCATATTCATACTATTTGTCCTTCAACCAATTAGACCATTATCCAACTTATATTTCTTTTTCACCCCTTCAACACCTTTAACATTTATACCTTTCTCCATGTTTTATTAGCAGTTTAGCATTGCTTTTTCAGCTTTCAGCACTCAGCATTTCCACGCATTTTCTGAAAGGAAATGCAATTTTTCTAGTATTATACTTAACACTCTCCCCATACGTTTCTTTGGACCGCTTCTCCTCCTTCAAACTTTGTCCGATTTCAACCGTTCAAACTTTAAACTATTCCACTCCATCAGGACATGTGTGCTTGTATTTTTTTCCTTTCTATCCTTTGTACTTTTTATTATTTTTAACTTTTTGTGCCAAACTTTTTTTCCCATAGAAATGAATGGGGAAATCTTCCAATTCCTCCTGTTATTCGTCCACCTTCTAAGCCTTATAACTTAAGCATACTTTCACCTAGAGACCTCATTTTTGCTTTAAAATGTTCATTGTCTTGTCGACTATTGATGTTGTATTAACCTCTTTGTTCTAACTTTTACAGTTTTTCCACAATTTAGCTTTAAGCACCTCGTGGTTTTCAGCAAATTTCAGGCTTTATAATGGGGTGTATTGGAGAGGCTAGAGTGATGATTTGAAAAGCTAGAGTGCAGACCTCGTCTCTGATCGACAGAACCTCGCTCGAATATATCGCTCCAACGCCCACAAATTTCACTCCTCAGCCATAAAAAATACATCAAAATGGAGGTATATGTGTCCTGCTTCTCACAAAAGAGGTTTCAAATCATTAAATCGTACCCCTTGGCCAGCAGGTGACCAACTGTCCAAATAGGCGCAAATCTCTCCCCATTGGCCCTAATGTATTTTTTCTCCAAGAAAATCCTTATCGCCACTCAGGCTCAGACTTTTTTAACTCGCTGTTGTGGCCACATTTTTCGGAGTACAGACATGAAAAACACATCATTGTGTTCATGAAGGGCGGAGGATTCGTACGATGTTCTTATTTTCATTCTGGGATTTAAGGAAATCACGCTATGTGAAGAAGTTCAGAGCCTCTTAATCCTCTGCAGTTCAGCTGCTTCTCATTCAAACAGTAGGTCAGTGATTTGCCTTTGATCTCACAGCTGTTCAGGATGCAGTCATTAACGAGACACACACACACACACACACACACACACACACATTCTTGTACTTGTTGCTTTGTCAGGTCTACCTTGCAGTTCAGCTGATTGTACACACAGTTAATATGTGTCTGCTTCGCCACCTATCTCCACCCACAAACTTTGAGCCACAGAAACCATTCTGGGCTTCAAAAATTCAGCTCATTGAAGATATTATGGGGTGTTTTGAGGATTGTGATTATAAATTGTATTAATGTGTTAAGCAGTTTTTGTGGTTCTCACAAGCTCCTTATCATAAATATATATAGAGGATGAGCGTCAGGGCCTACTTGGAGTCCTGTTTCCTTAGCATTCAAGCCTTCTTTCTCGTGCTATAGTTATGCATCCAAGGTCCCCATGGCAACCAATTTTTGCACCTGGAGACACACAGCTGACTGGAAAGCTGCTTCTAATGGCCATATGAGACACATGAAGCCAGGCTCAGTACACATAGCACTTGGGATGACACTTAAAACCCTTTCCTAGAGCGTTGGAAAAAACTTCAGCCCCTATCTCCTCACATGACCTTTGACCTACAGAAACCATTCAGGGCTTTAAAATTTAAGCTCATTGAGGACAATATGGGGTGTATTTAGGATTTAAATTCATTTAAATTTTTCACATTTTAAAGTCACTCAGTGATGATTTATCATTTCATTTTTCAAACTAATTTAAACTCATTCAAAATGATTCAAACCTTTCTAATACTTAAAAACTTTCTGATACTTGAGGATTTTAAATTAATAAAATTTTCCCTGTTTATATTAGTTTTAATATTTATGCATTATTCCGTCCTTCAAACAAAATCCTACCTCAAGTACGACAACTACTGTTAATGTCAAATTTCCTTTTATAGAGCATATTCATAATATTTGTACTTCAACCAATTAAACAGTTATCCAACTTATATTTCATTTTCACCCCTTCAACAGCTTTAACATTTATACCTTTCTCCATGTTTTATTAGCAGTTCAGCATTGCTTTTTCAGCTTTCAGCACTCAGCATTTCCACGCATTTTCTGCAAGGAAATGCAATTTTTCTAGTATTATACTTAACACTCTCCCCATACGTTTCTTTGGACCGCTTCTCCTCCTTCAAACTTTGTCCGATTTCAACCGTTCAAACTTTAAACGATTCCACTTCTTCAGGACATGATGGCTATTACTTTTCTTTTTTCTACCCTTTATACTTTTTATTATTTTTCACTTTTTGTGCCAAACTTTTTTTCCCATAGAAATGAATGGGGAAATCTTTCAATTCTTCCTGTTATTCGTCCACCTTCTAAGCCTTATAACTTCAGCATACTTTCACCTAGAGACCTCATTTTTGCTTTAAAATGTTCATTGTCTTGTCGACTATTGATATTGTATTAACCTTTTTGTGCTATCTTTTACAGTTTTTCCACAATTTAGCTTCAAGCAACTTGTGGTTTTCAGCAAATTTCAGGCTTTATAATAGGGGTGTATTGGAGAGGCTAGAGTGATGATTTGAAAAGCTAGAGTGCAGACCTCGTCTCTGATCGACAGAACCTCGCTCGAATATATCGCTCCCACGCTCACAAATCTCAATCCACACCCATAAAAAATACATCAAAATGGAGGTATATGTGTCCTGCTTCTCACAAAAGAGGTTTCAAATCATTAAATCTTGCCTCTTGGCCAGCAGGTGACCAACTGTCCAAATAGGCGGAAATCTCTCCCCATTAGACCTAATGTATTTCTTCTCCAAGAAAATCCTTATCCCCACTCAGGCTCAGACTTTTTTAACTCGCTGTTGTGGCCACATTTTTCGCAGTACAGACATGAAAAAGACATCATTGTGTTCATGAAGGACGGAGGATTCGTACGATGTTCTTATTTTCATTCTGGGACTTAAGGAAATCACGCTATGTGAAGAAGTTTAGAGCCTCTAAATCCTCTGCAGTTCAGCTGCTTCTCATTCAAACAGTAGGTCAGTGATTTGCCTTTGATCTCACAGCTGTTTAGGATGCAGTCATTAACGAGACACACACACACACACACACACACACATTCTTGTACTTGTTGCTTTATGAGGTCTACCTTGCAGTTCAGCTGCTTGTACACACAGTTAATATGTGTCTGCTTCGCCACCTATCTCCACCCACAAACTTTGAGCTACAGAAACCATTCTGGGCTTCTAAAATTCAGCTCATTGAAAATATTATGGGGTGTTTTGAGGATTGTGATAATAAATTGTATTAATGTGTTTAGCAGAGTCTTGTGTTCTCACAAGCTCCTTATCAGGAATAGATACAGAGGATGAGCGTCAGGGCCTACTTGGAGTCCTGTTTCCTTAGCTTCAAGCCTTCTTTCTCCTGCTATAGTTATGCATCCAAGGTCCGCATGGCAACCAATTAGTGCACCTGGAGACACACAGCTGACTGGAAAGCTGCTTCTAATGGCCATATGAGACACATGAAGCCAGGCTCAGCACCCATAGCACTGGGGATGACACTTAAAACCCTTTACTAGAGCGCTTGAAAAAACTTCAGCCCCTATCTCCTCACATGACCTTTGACCTACAGAAACCATTCAGGGCTTTAAAACTTAAGCTCATTGAGGACATTATAGGGTGTATTCAGAATTTATATTCATTTAAATTTTTCACATTTTTAAGTCACTCAGTGATGACTTATCATTTAATTTTTCAAACTAATTTAAACTCATTCAAACTGATTCAAACCTTTCTAATACTTAAAAAATTAAACTTATGCCACTTCCCACCTTCCTGCCTTTTAAGGCAATTTCCTTCTTCATTCAAACTTTGTGCAATTTTAGACATTTTTCTAGCCTCTTTTAGCATGAATAAAATTTCTTTTTATAGAGCATATTCATACTATTTGTCCTTCAACCAATTAATCAATTATCCAACTTACATTTCTTTCACACCCCTTCAACAGCTTTAACATTTATACCTTTCTCCATGTTTTATTAGCAGTTTAGCATTGCTTTTTCAGCTTTCAGCACTCAGCATTTCCACGCATTTTCTGCAAGGAAATGCAATTTTTCTAGTATTATACTTAACACTCTCCCCATACGTTTCTTTGGACCGCTTCTCCTCCTTCAAACTTTGCTCGATTTCAACCGTTCAAACTTTAAACTATTCCACTCCTTCAGGACATGATGGCTATTACTTTTCTCTTTTCTACCCTTTATACTTTTTATTATTTTTCACTTTTTGTGCCAAACTTTTTTTCCCATAGAAATGAATGGGGAAATCTTTCAATGCTTCCTGCTATTCGTCCACCTTCTAAGCCTTATAACTTCAGCATACTTTCACCTAGAGACCTCATTTTTGCTTTAAAATATTCATTGTCTTGTCGACTGTTGATATTGTATTAACCTTTTTGTGCTATCTTTTACAGTTTTTCCACAATTTAGCTTTATGCAACTCGTGGTTTTCAGCAAATTTCAGGCTTTATAATGGGTGTGTATTGGAGAGCTTAGAGTGATGATGTCATCAGCTAGAGTGCAGACCTCGTCTCTGATCGACAGAACCTCGCTCGAATATATCGCTCCCACGCCCACAAATCTCACTCCAGAGCCATAAATAATACATCAAAATGGAGGTATATGTGTCCTGCTTCTCACAAAAGAGGTTTCAAATCATTAAATCCTACCCCTTGGCCAGCAGGTGACCAACTGTCCAAATAGGCGGAAATCTCTCCCCATTAGACCTAATGTATTTCTTCTCCAAGAAAATCCTTATCCCCACTCAGGCTCAGACTTTTTTAACTCGCTGTTGTGGCCACATTTTTCGGAGTACATACATGAAAACCACATCATTGTGTTCATGAAGGACGGAGGATTCGTACAATGTTCTTATTTTCATTCTGGGACTTAAGGAAATCACGCTATGTGAAGAAGTTCACAGGCTTCAAATCCTCTGCTGTTCAGCTGCTTCTCATTCAAACAGTAGGTCAGTGATTTGCCTTTGATCTCACAGCTGTTAGGGATGCAGTCATTAATGAGACACACACACACACACATATTGTACTTGTTGCTTTATGAGGTCTACCTTGCAGTTCAGCTGCTAGTACACACAGTTAATATGTGTCTGCTTCGCCACCTATCTCCACCCACAAACTTTGAGCTACAGAAACCATTCTGGGCTTCTAAAATTCAGCTCATTGAAGATATTATGGGGTGTTTTGAGGATTGTGATAATAAATTGTATTAATGTGTTTAGCAGAGTCTTGTGTTCTCACAAGCTCCTTATCAGGAATAGATACAGAGGATGAGCGTCAGGGCCTACTTGGAGTCCTGTTTCCTTAGCTTCAAGCCTTCTTTCTCCTGCTATAGTTATGCATCCAAGGTCCCCATGGCAACCAATTAGTGCACCTGGAGACACACAGCTGACTGGAAAGCTGCTTCTAATGGCCATATGAGACACATGAAGCCAGGCTCAGCACACATAGCACTGGGGATGACACTTAAAACCCTTTACTAGAGCGCTTGAAAAAACTTCAGCCCCTATCTCCTCACATGACCTTTGACCTACAGAAACCATTCAGGGCTTTAAAATTTGAGCTCATTGAGGACATTATGGGGTGTATTTAGGATTTATATACATTTAGATTTTTCACATTTTAAAGTCACTCAGTGATGATTTATCATTTAATTTTTCAAACTAATTTGAACTGATTCAAACTGATTCAAACCTTTCTAATACTTAAAAAATTAAACTTATGCCACTTCCCACCTTCCTGCCTTTTAAGGCAATTTCCTTCTTCATTCAAACTTTGTGCAATTTTAGACATTTTTCTAGCCTCTTTTAGCATGAACAAAATTTCTTTTTATAGAGCATATTCATACTATTTGTCCTTCAACCAATTAATCAATTATCCAACTTACATTTCTTTCACACCCCTTCAACAGCTTTAACATTTATACATTTCTCCATGTTTTATTAGCAGTTCAGCATTGCTTTTTCAGCTTTCAGCACTCAGCATTTCCACGCATTTTCTGCAAGGAAATGCAATTTTTCTAGTATTATACTTAACACTCTCCCCATACGTTTCTTTGGACCGCTTCTCCTCCTTCAAACTTTGTCCGATTTCAACCGTTCAAACTTTAAACGATTCCACTCCTTCAGGACATGATGGCTATTACTTTTCTCTTTTCTACCCTTTATACTTTTTATTATTTTTCACTTTTTGTGCCAAACTTTTTTTCCCATAGAAATGAATGGGGAAATCTTCCACTTCTTCCTGTTATTCGTCCACCTTCTAAGCCTTATAACTTCAGCATACTTTCACCTAGATGTCTCATTTTTGCTTTGAAATGTTCATTGTCTTGTCGACTATTGATATTGTATTAACCTTTTTGTGCTATCTTTTACAGTTTTTCCACAATTTAGCTTTATGCAACTCGTGGTTTTCAGCAAATTTCAGGCTTTATAATGGGTGTGTATTGGAGAGCTTAGAGTGATGATGTCATCAGCTAGAGTGCAGACCTCGTCTCTGATCGACAGAACCTCGCTCGAATATATCGCTCCCACGCCCACAAATCTCACTCCAGAGCCATAAATAATACATCAAAATGGAGGTATATGTGTCCTGCTTCTCACAAAAGAGGTTTCAAATCATTAAATCCTACCCCTTGGCCAGCAGGTGACCAACTGTCCAAATAGGCGGAAATCTCTCCCCATTAGACCTAATGTATTTCTTCTCCAAGAAAATCCTTATCCCCACTCAGGCTCAGACTTTTTTAACTCGCTGTTGTGGCCACATTTTTCGGAGTACATACATGAAAACCACATCATTGTGTTCATGAAGGACGGAGGATTCGTACGATGTTCTTATTTTCATTCTGGGACTTAAGGAAATCACGCTATGTGAAGAAGTTCACAGGCTTCAAATCCTCTGCTGTTCAGCTGCTTCTCATTCAAACAGTAGGTCAGTGATTTGCCTTTGATCTCACAGCTGTTAGGGATGCAGTCATTAACGAGACACACACACACACACATTCTTGTACTTGTTGCATTGTCAGGTCTACCTTGCAGTTCACCTGCTTGTACACACAGATAATATGTGTCTGCTTCACCACCTATCTCCACCCACAAACTTTGAGCTACAGAAACCATTCTGGGCTTGAAAAATTCAGCTCATTGAAGATATTATGGGGTGTTTTGAGGATTGTGATAATAAATTGTATTAATGTGTTCAGCAAAATCTTGTGTTCTCACAAGCTCCTTATGAATATATACAGAGGGTGAGCGTCAGGGCCTACTTGGAGTCCTGTTTCTTTAGCTTCAAGCCTTCTTTCTCCTGCTATAGTTATGCATCCAAGGTCCCCATGGCAACCAATTTGTGCACCTGGAGACACACAGATGACTGGAAAGCTGCTTCTAGTGGCCATATGAGACACATGAAGCCAGGCTCAGTACACATAGCAATTGGGATGACACTTAAAACCCTTTCCTAGAGCGTTGGAAAAAACTTCAGCCCCTATCTCCTCACATGACCTTTGACCTACAGAAACCATTCAGGGCTTTAAAATTTAAGCTCATTGAGGACATTATTGGGTGTATTTAGGATTGTTATTCATTTAAATTTTTCACATTTTAAAACTCAGTCAGTGATGATTTATCATTTAATTTTTCAAAGTAATTTAAACTCATTCAAACTGATTCAAACCTTTCTAATACTTCAAAACTTTCTGATACTTGAGGACTTTTGATAATTTAAATTTTCCCTGTTTTAAATTAGTTTTAATATTTATGCATTACTCCATCATTCAAACAAAATCCTACCTCAAGTACGACAACTACTGCTAATGTCAATTAAACTAGAACTTTCCCCTCTACTTCAACTGCTATTGCTCCTATTTCTACTTTCTTTACTACTTTGACTTATACTTCTTTTATTCTCAATCTACTTCTACTGCTGACATGACTACTAGTATCACGACTTGACTTCTTATACTACAATTTAAACTTATGCCACTTCTCACCTTCCTGCCTTTTAAGGCAATTTCCTTCTTCATTCAAACTTTGTGCAATTTTAGACATTTTTCTAGCCTCTTTCAGCATGAATAAAATTTCCTTTTATAGAGCATATTCATACTATTTGTCCTTCAACCAATTAAGTAGTTATCCAACTTATTTTTCTTTTTCATTCCTTCAACAGCTTTAACATTTATACCTTTCTCCATGTTTTATTAGCAGTTTAGCATTGCTTTTTCAGCTTTCAGCACTCAGCATTTCCACGCATTTTCTGCAAGGAAATGCAATTTTTCTAGTTAAGTGGAAATGCTGATAGGCATTTCCACTTATTGTTATTCTCCTGTTTCTTTATTATTATTATTATTATTATTCTTCCGCCGTTTTTTGTCGCTTTTCAACTCCTTCAAACTTTGTGCGATTTCAACCGTTCAAACTTTAAACTATTCCACTCCTTCAGGACATGTGTGCTTGTATTTTTTACCTTTCTACCTTTTATACTTTTTGTTTTTTTTAACTTTTTGTGCAAAAATTTTAACATTGAAGTCAATGGGGAAATCTTCCACTCCTTCCTTTTATTCTTCCACCTTCTAGACCTTATAACTTCAGCATACTTTCACCTAGAGACCTCATTTTTGCTTTAAAATGTTCATTCACTTGTCGACTATTATAGTTGTACTCAGATTTTTGATATCTCTTACAGTTTTTTCACAATTTAGCTTTAAGCAACTTGTGGTTTTCAGCAAATTTCAAGCTTTATAATGGGTGTGTATTGGAGAGTTTAGAGTGATGATGTCATCAGCTAGAGTGCAGACCTCGTCTCTGATCGACAGAACCTCGCTCGAATATATCGCTCCCACGCCCACAAATCTCACTCCACTGACACAAATAATACATCAAAATGGAGGTATACGTGTCCTGCTTCTCACAAAAGAGGTTTCAAATCATTAAATCGTACCCCTTGGCCAGCAGGTGACCAACTGTCCAAAAAAGGCGGAAATCTCTCCCATTGACCATAATGTTATTTTTCTCCAAGAAAATCCGGATCATCGCTCAGGCTCAGACTTTTTTAACTCGCTGTTGTGGCCTCATTTTTCGAAGTACAGACATGAAAAACACATCATTGTGTTCATGAAGGACGGAGGATTCGTACGATGTTCTTATTTTCATTCTGTGACTTAAGGAAATCACGCTATGTGAAGAAGTTTAGAGCCTCTAAATCCTCTGCAGTTCAGCTGCTTCTCATTCAAACAGTAGGTCAGTGATTTGCCTTTGATTTAACAGCTGTTTAGGATGCAGTCATTAACGAGACACACACACACACACACACACACACACATTCTTGTAGTTGTTGCTTTATGAGGTCTACCTTGCAGTTCAGCTGCTTGTACACACAGTTAATATGTGTCTGCTTCGCCACCTATCTCCACCCACAAACTTTGAGCTACAGAAACCATTCTGGGCTTCAAAAATTCAGCTCATTGAAGATATTATGGGGTGTTTTGAGGATTGTGATAATAAATTGTATTAATGTGTTTAGCAGAGTCTTGTGTTCTCACAAGCTCCTTATCAGGAATAGATACAGAGGATGAGCGTCAGGGCCTACTTGGAGTCCTGTTTCCTTAGCTTCAAGCCTTCTTTCTCCTGCTATAGTTATGCATCCAAGGTCCCCATGGCAACCAATTTGTGCACCTGGAGACACACAGCTGACTGGAAAGCTGCTTCTAATGGCCATATGAGACACATGAAGCCAGGCTCAGCACACATAGCACTGGGGATGACACTTAAAACCCTTTACTAGAGCGCTTGAAAAAACTTCAGCCCCTATCTCCTCACATGACCTTTGACCTACAGAAACCATTCAGGGCTTTAAAATTTGAGCTCATTGAGGACATTATGGGGTGTATTTAGGATTTATATACATTTAGATTTTTCACATTTTAAAGTCACTCAGTGATGATTTATCATTTAATTTTTCAAACTAATTTGAACTGATTCAAACTGATTCAAACCTTTCTAATACTTAAAAAATTAAACTTATGCCACTTCCCACCTTCCTGCCTTTTAAGGCAATTTCCTTCTTCATTCAAACTTTGTGCAATTTTAGACATTTTTCTAGCCTCTTTTAGCATGAATAAAATTTCTTTTTATAGAGCATATTCATACTATTTGTCCTTCAACCAATTAATCAATTATCCAACTTACATTTCTTTCACACCCCTTCAACAGCTTTAACATTTATACATTTCTCCATGTTTTATTAGCAGTTCAGCATTGCTTTTTCAGCTTTCAGCACTCAGCATTTCCACGCATTTTCTGCAAGGAAATGCAATTTTTCTAGTATTATACTTAACACTCTCCCCATACGTTTCTTTGGACCGCTTCTCCTCCTTCAAACTTTGTCCCATTTCAACCGTTCAAACTTTAAACGATTCCACTCCTTCAGGACATGATGGCTATTACTTTTCTTTTTTCTACCCTTTATACTTTTTATTATTTTTCACTTTTTGTGCCAAACTTTTTTTCCCATAGAAATGAATGGGGAAATCTTTCAATTCTTCCTGTTATTCGTCCACCTTCTAAGCCTTATAACTTCAGCATACTTTCACCTAGAGACCTCATTTTTGCTTTAAAATGTTCATTGTCTTGTCGACTATTGATATTGTATTAACCTTTTTGTGCTATCTTTTACAGTTTTTCCACAATTTAGCTTCAAGCAACTTGTGGTTTTCAGCAAATTTCAGGCTTTATAATAGGGGTGTATTGGAGAGGCTAGAGTGATGATTTGAAAAGCTAGAGTGCAGACCTCGTCTCTGATCGACAGAACCTCGCTCGAATATATCGCTCCCACGCTCACAAATCTCAATCCACACCCATAAAAAATACATCAAAATGGAGGTATATGTGTCCTTTTTCTCACAAAAGAGGTTTCAAATCATTAAATCTTACCCCTTGGCCAGCAGGTGACCAACTGTCCAAATAGGCGGAAATCTCTCCCCATTAGACCTAATGTATTTCTTCTCCAAGAAAATCCTTATCCCCACTCAGGCTCAGACTTTTTTAACTTGCTGTTGTGGCCACATTTTTCGGAGTACAGACATGAAAAAGACATCATTGTGTTCATGAAGGACGGAGGATTCGTACGATGTTCTTATTTTCATTCTGGGACTTAAGGAAATCACGCTATGTGAAGAAGTTTAGAGCCTCTAAATCCTCTGCAGTTCAGCTGCTTCTCATTCAAACAGTAGGTCAGTGATTTGCCTTTGATCTCACAGCTGTTTAGGATGCAGTCATTAACGAGACACACACACACACACACACACACACATTCTTGTACTTGTTGCTTTATGAGGTCTACCTTGCAGTTCAGCTGCTTGTACACACAGTTAATATGTGTCTGCTTCGCCACCTATCTCCACCCACAAACTTTGAGCTACAGAAACCATTCTGGGCTTCAAAAATTCAGCTCATTGAAGATATTATGGGGTGTTTTGAGGATTGTGATAATAAATTGTATTAATGTGTTCAGCAGAGTCTTGTGTTCTCACAAGCTCCTTATGAATATATACAGAGGGTGAGCGTCAGGGCCTACTTGGAGTCCTGTTTCTTTAGCTTCAAGCCTTCTTTCTCCTGCTATAGTTATGCATCCAAGGTCCCCATGGCAACCAATTTGTGCACCTGGAGACACACAGCTGACTGGAAAGCTGCTTCTAGTGGCCATATGAGACACATGAAGCCAGGCTCAGTACACATAGCAATTGGGATGACACTTAAAACCTTTTCCTAGAGCGTTGGAAAAAACTTCAGCCCCTATCTCCTCACATGACCTTTGACCTACAGAAACCATTCAGGGCTTTGAAATTTAAGCTCATTGAGGACATTATTGGGTGTATTTAGGATTGTTATTCATTTAAATTTTTCACATTTTAAAAGTCAGTCAGTGATGATTTATCATTTAATTTTTCAAACTAATTTAAACTCATTCAAACTGATTCAAACCTTTCTAATACTTCAAAACTTTCTGATACTTGAGGACTTTTGATAATTTAAAATTTCCCTGTTTTAAATTAGTTTTAATATTTATGCATTACTCCATTCAAACAAAATCCTACCTCAAGTACGACAACTACTGCTAATGTCAATTAAACTAGAACTTTCCCCTCTACTTCAACAGCTATTGCTCCTATTTCTACTTTCTTTACTACTTTGACTTATACTTCTTTTATTCTCAATCTACTTCTACTGCTGATATGACTACTAGTATCACGACTTGACTTCTTATCATACTACTTCTAGTACTACAATTTAAACTTATGCCACTTCTCACCTTCCTGCCTTTTAAGGCAATTTCCTTCTTCATTCAAACTTTGTGCAATTTTAGACATTTTTCTAGCCTCTTTCAGCATGAATAAAATTTTCTTTTATAGAGCATATTCATACTATTTGTCCTTCAACCAATTAATCAATTATCCAACTTACATTTCTTTCTCACCCCTTCAACAGCTTTAACATTTATACCTTTCTCCATGTTTTATTAGCAGTTTAGCATTGCTTTTTCAGCTTTCAGCACTCAGCATTTCCACGCATTTTCTGCAAGGAAATGCAATTTTTCTAGTATTATACTTAACACTCTCCCCATACGTTTCTTTGGACCGCTTCTCCTCCTTCAAACTTTGTCCGATTTCAACCGTTCAAACTTTAAACTATTCCACTCCATCAGGACATGTGTGCTTGTATTTTTTTCCTTTCTGTCCTTTGTACTTTTTATTATTTTTCACTTTTTGTGCCAAACTTTTTTTCCCATAGAAATGAATGGGGAAATGTTCCAATTCTTCCTGTTATTCGTCCACTTTCTATGCCTTATAACTTCAGCATACTTTCACCTAGAGACCTAATTTTTGCTTTAAAATGTTCATTGTCTTGTCGACTATTGATGTTGTATTAACCTTTTTTTGCTATCTTTTACAGTTTTTCCACAATTTAGCTTTATGCAACTCGTGGTTTTCAGCAAATTTCAGGCTTTATAATGGGGGTGTATTGGAGAGGCTAGAGTGATGATTTGAAAAGCTAGAGTGCAGACCTCGTCTCTGATCGACAGAACCTCGCTCGAATATATCGCTCCCACGCCCACAAATCTCACTCCACAGCCATAAAAAATACATCAAAATGGAGGTATATGTGTCCTGCTTCTCACAAAAGAGGTTTCAAATCATTAAATCCTACCCCTTGGCCAGCAGGTGACCAACTGTCCAAATAGGCGCAAATCTCTCCCCATTGGCCCTAATGTATTTTTTCTCCAAGAAAATCCTTATCGTCACTCAGGCTCAGACTTTTTTAACTCGCTGTTGTGGCCACATTTTTCGGAGTACAGACATGAAAAACAGATCATTGTGTTCATGAAGGATGGAGGATTCGTACGATGTTCTTATTTTCATTCTGGGATTTAAGGAAATCGTGCTATGTGAAGAAGTTCAGAACCCTAAATTCACTGCAGTTCGGCAGCTTCTCCATTCAAACAATAGGTTAGTTAATGCTTTGATCTCACAGCTGTTTAGGATGCAATCATTAACGAGACACACACACACACACACACACACACACACACACACACACAGATTCTTGTACTTTTTGCTGTCAGGTCTACCTTGCAGTTCAGCTGCTTGTATACACAGTTAATATGTGTCTGCTTCACCACCTATCTCCACCCACAAACTTTGAGCTACAGAAACCATTCTGGGCTTCAAAAATTCAGCTCATTGAAGATATTATGGGGTGTTTTGAGGATTGTGATAATAAATTGTATTAATGTGTTCAGCAGAGTCTTGTGTTCTCACAAGCTCCTTATGAATATATACAGAGGGTGAGCGTCAGGGCCTACTTGGAGTCCTGTTTCTTTAGCTTCAAGCCTTCTTTCTCCTGCTATAGTTATGCATCCAAGGTCCCCATAGCAACCAATTTGTGCACCTGGAGACACACAGCTGACTGGAAAGCTGCTTCTAATGGCCAAATGAGACACATGAAGCCAGGCTCAGTACACATAGCACTGAGGATGACACTTAAAACCCTCTACTACAGCGCTTGAAAAAATCTAAGCCCCTATCTCCTCACATGACCTTTGACCTACAGAAACCATTCAGGGCTTTAAAATTTATGCTCATTGAGGACATTATGGGATGTATTTAGGATTTATGTTCATTTAAATTTTTCACATTTTAAAGTCACTCAGTGATGATTTATCATTTAATTTTTCAAACTAATTTAAACTCATTCAAACTGATTCAAACCTTTCTAATCCTTAAAAACTTTCTGATACTTGAGGATTTTTAATTATTTAAATTTTCCATGTTTAAATTAGTTTTAATATTTATGCATTACTCCATCCTTCAAACAAAATCCTACATCAAGTACTACAACTACTGCTTATGTCAATTAAACTAGAACTTTCCCCTCTACTTCAACTGCTATTGCTCCTATTTCTACTTTCTTTACTACTTTGACTTATACTTCTTTTATTCTTAAACTACTTCTACTGCTGACATGACTACTAGTATCACGACTTGACTTCTTATCATACTACTTCTAGTACTACAACTTAAACTTATGCCACTTCTCACCTTCCTGCCTTTTAAGGCAATTTCCTTCTTCATTCAAACTTTGTGCAATTGTAGACATTTTTCTAGCCTCTTTCAGCATGAATAAGATTTCCTCTTATAGAGCATATTCATACTATTTGTCCTTTAACCAATTAAACCATTATCCAACTTATATTTCTTTTTCACTCCTTCAACAGCTTTAACATTTATACCTTTCTCCATGTTTTATTACCAGTTTAGCATTGCTTTTTCAGCTTTCAGCACTCAGCATTTCCACGCATTTTCTGCAAGGAAATGCAATTTTTCTAGTTAAGTGGAAATGCTGATAGGCATTTCCACTTATTGTTATTCTCCCGTTTCTTTATTAAACTTATTGAGTGGGATTGCGAAGCATTCCCACTATATGTTATTCATATCTTTATTATTATTATTCTTCCACCGTTTTTTGGACCGCTTCTCCTTCCACATACTTCAACGTATTCAAACCATTCAAACTTCAAAAGATTCGTCTCATTCAGGAGATTCCGGCTTGTATTCAAAAATTTCCTAACATTCATACTTTCCGAGATATTCCAGGTTTTCCGACCGATTTCTCCCATTGGAAATGCATTACGGAATGTTCAAATTGGCCCTTTTCTCACATTTTCTTCACACAACTTCAAAAGCCTTCAACTCCTCTATACTTCCACGTAGAAACTTCATTCAAAAACCAAAATATTCACAACTTCGTCAGCATTATTCCACATCTTCAACATTTTTAATCCCATTTGTACTTTTCAAAATATTAAGATTTGTTTAAAACTTCGTTATAATGGGATTCAATGGGAAAAGGGCTTCAGACGTAGTCAACTTCAACCTCTTCTCATTCATTCATACTTTCACCTAGAAACTTCATTCAAACTTTAAAATATTCACACATCTTCAGACATTCACTCATTCATTCACCATCTTCATGGCATTCATACTTTTCTCACAGTGACAGTTCAAAAAGTCCAAAGATTTTCAGACCTGTTCAGGTTTTAACATTAGTGTGTATTGCACGGAATGTTGGCAGCTAGAGTGGGTGACCTCACAGCTAGAGTGAGACAGGCTGAAAATTGATCCTCAAAACTTTGTCTTTACAAAAGGATTGTGGCAACTCACTTGGCTCTACACAGATAAAAATTGGTACAGTGATGGCAAAACTTGCTGTCACTCTTCATGTCAAAAATCAAAGCCATAGGACACACACAGTGGCCTGGGCAGACACCAACTGCCGCAGACATCCCCCAGATTTCTCCAGCTTTCTCCATTGACTCCAATATAAACCTGAGAGGAGGATTTTCAGAGGAAACACAAACTGGACATGTTTTTAACTCGTCGTAGTGAAGGCATTTTTGGCTCCACAGACACAGAAGTTGTATCAACGTGTTCAGCCGGGTCTTGTGGTTCTCACAAGCTCATTATCATGAAGATAGCAGTTACAGAGGATGAGAAATATGACGTTGTTTGGGCATTACATTCTCAGCCTCAAGCCTCCTTTCTCCTGCTGTTGTTAAGCATCTATCGTCACCATGGCAACCAATAAGAGCACCTGGAGACACACAGCTGGCTGGAAAGCTGCTTCTAACAGCCATATGAGACACATGAAGCCAGGCTCAGTACACAGAGTACTGGGGGTTAAATTTAAAACCCTTCAATAGAGTTATTTGACGAAATTTGTCATCTATCTCTTGGCACAAACCTTGAGCTACAGAAACCAACCAGGGCTCAATAAATTCAGCTCATTGAGGACATTATGGGGTCTAATAAGGATTTTTATTCATTTATATTTCCCCCTTTTTCAATCATTCATTGAAAATGCATTATTTAACTCTTCCAACTAATTTACACTCCTTCAAACTGATTTAAACCGTTTTGATTCTTCAAACCTCTTTTTCTTCCAGATTTGTAACCTTTTAATTTTCCAGTTTTAAATCATTTTTTACTCTTAATGCATTATTCAGTTCTTTCAAACAAATTCCAACTCATTTGAACTGATTCAACCCTTATTGACTCTTCAAGCCTTTCCCATGCTTCAGGGTTTTTAATCATTTTAACTTTCACACATTGAATTTTCAAAATTTATTAATGATTTAGTCAATTCATTCAATTGAGTTTATTCCAATTGATTCAAATCTTCCTGATACTTCATACTTTTTGACCTTTCACATATTTTAAAATTCAGCCATTCGCAATAGCAGCGTAGCGCTAGCAATTTCAACTGAAGCAATCCCACTCGCAATTTCTTCAGAAATTGCATTTTCTAGTTATTATTATTATTATTCTTCCGTCCCTTTTTTGCAACGCTTCTCCTCCTTCAAACTTTGTCCGATTTCAACCGTTCAAACTTTAAACTATTCCACTCCTTCAGGACATGATGGCTATTACTTTTCACTCTTCTACCTTTTATACTTTTTGATTTTTTAAACTTTTTGTGCAAAAATTTTAACATTGAAGTCAATGGGGAAATCTTCAACTTCTTCCTTTCATTCTTCCACCTTCTAGACCTTATAACTTCAGCATACTTTCACCTAGAGACCTCATTTTTGCTTTCAAATGTTCACTCACTTGTCGACTATTACAGTTGTACTCGGTTTTTTGATATCTTCTACAGTTCTTCCACAATTTAGCTTTAAGCAACTTGTGGTTTTCAGCAAATTTCAAGCTTTATAATGGGTGTGTATTGGAGAGTTTAGAGTGATGATGTCATCAGCTAGAGTGCAGACCTCGTCTCTGATCGACAGAACCTCGCTCGAATATATCGCTCCCACGCCCACAAATCTCACTCCACTGACACAAATAATACATCAAAATGGAGGTATATGTGTCCTGCTTCTCACAAAAGAGGTTTCAAATCATTAAATCGTACCCCTTGGCCAGCAGGTGACCAACTGTCCAAAAAAGGCGGAAATCTCTCCCATTGACCATAATGTTATTTTTCTCCAAGAAAATCCGGATCATCGCTCAGGCTCAGACTTTTTTAACTCGCTGTTGTGGCCTCATTTTTCGAAGTACAGACATGAAAAAGACATCATTGTGTTCATGAAGGGCGGAGGATTCGTACGATGTTCTTATTTTCATTCTGTGACTTAAGGAAATCACGCTATGTGAAGAAGTTTAGAGCCTCTAAATCCTCTGCAGTTCAGCTGCTTCTCATTCAAACAGTAGGTCAGTGATTTGCCTTTGATCTCACAGCTGTTTAGGATGCAGTCATTAACGAGACACACACACACACACACACACACACACACACACATTCTTGTACTTGTTGCTTTGTCAGGTCTACCTTGCAGTTCAGCTGATTGTACACACAGTTAATATGTGTCTGCTTCGCCACCTATCTCCACCCACAAACTTTGAGCCACAGAAACCATTCTGGGCTTCAAAAATTCAGCTCATTGAAGATATTATGGGGTGTTTTGAGGATTGTGATTATAAATTGTATTAATGTGTTCAGCAGTTTTTGTGGTTCTCACAAGCTCCTTATCATAAATATATATAGAGGATGAGCGTCAGGGCCTACTTGGAGTCCTGTTTCCTTAGCATTCAAGCCTTCTTTCTCGTGCTATAGTTATGCATCCAAGGTCCCCATGGCAACCAATTTTTGCACCTGGAGACACACAGCTGACTGGAAAGCTGCTTCTAATGGCCATATGAGACACATGAAGCCAGGCTCAGTACACATAGCACTTGGGATGACACTTAAAACCCTTTCCTAGAGCGTTGGAAAAAACTTCAGCCCCTATCTCCTCACATGACCTTTGACCTACAGAAACCATTCAGGGCTTTAAAATTTAAGCTCATTGAGGACAATATGGGGTGTATTTAGGATTTAAATTCATTTAAATTTTTCACATTTTAAAGTCACTCAGTGATGATTTATCATTTCATTTTTCAAACTAATTTAAACTCATTCAAAATGATTCAAACCTTTCTAATACTTAAAAACCTTCTGATACTTGAGGATTTTAAATTAATAAAATTTTCCCTGTTTATATTAGTTTTAATATTTATGCATTATTCCGTCCTTCAAACAAAATCCTACCTCAAGTACGACAACTACTGTTAATGTCAAATTTCCTTTTATAGAGCATATTCATAATATTTGTACTTCAACCAATTAAACAGTTATCCAACTTATATTTCATTTTCACCCCTTCAACAGCTTTAACATTTATACCTTTCTCCATGTTTTATTAGCAGTTCAGCATTGCTTTTTCAGCTTTCAGCACTCAGCATTTCCACGCATTTTCTGCAAGGAAATGCAATTTTTCTAGTATTATACTTAACACTCTCCCCATACGTTTCTTTGGACCGCTTCTCCTCCTTCAAACTTTGTCCGATTTCAACCGTTCAAACTTTAAACTATTCCGCTCCATCAGGACATGATGGCTATTACTTTTCTCTTTTCTACCCTTTATACTTTTTATTATTTTTCACTTTTTGTGCCAAACTTTTTTCCCCATAGAAATGAATGGGGAAATCTTTCAATTCTTCCTGTTATTCGTCCACCTTCTAGACCTTATAACTTCAGCATACTTTAACCTAGAGACCTCATTTTTGCTTTAAAATGTTCATTGTCTTGTCGACTATTGATGTTGTATTAACCTCTTTGTGCTATCTTTTACAGTTTTTCCACAATTTAGCTTTATGCAACTTGTGGTTTTCAGCAAATTTCAGGCTTTATAATAGGGGTGTATTGGAGAGGCTAGAGTGATGATTTGAAAAGCTAGAGTGCAGACCTCGTCTCTGATCGACAGAACCTCGCTCAAATATATCGCTCCCACGCCCACAAATCTCACTCCACAGCCATAAAAAATACATCAAAATGGAGGTATATGTGTCCTGCTTCTCACAAAAGAGGTTTCAAATCATTAAATCCTACCCCTTGGCCAGCAGGTGACCAACTGTCCAAATAGGCGGAAATCTCTCCCCATTAGACCTAATGTATTTCTTCTCCAAGAAAATCCTTATCCCCACTCAGGCTCAGACTTTTTTAACTCGCTGTTGTGGCCACATTTTTCGAAGTACAGACATGAAAAAGACATCATTGTGTTCATGAAGGACGGAGGATTCGTACGATGTTCTTATTTTCATTCTGGGACTTAAGGAAATCACGCTATGTGAAGAAGTTCACAGGCTGAAATTCACTGCAGTTCAGCACCTCTCAGTCAAACAGTAGGTTAGTGATTTGCCTTTGATCTCACAGCTGTTTAGGATGCAGTCATTAACGAGACACACACACACACGCACACACATTCTTGTACTTGTTGCTTTTTGAGGTCCACCTTGCAGTTCAGCTGCTTGTACACACAGTTAATATGTGTCTGCTTCACCACCTATCTCCACCCACAAACTTTGAGCTACAGAAACCATTCTGGGCTTCAAAAATTCAGCTCATTGAAGATATTATGGGGTGTTTTGAGGATTGTGATAATAAATTGTATTAATGTGTTTAGCAGAGTCTTGTGTTCTCACAAGCTCCTTATCAGGAATAGATACAGAGGATGAGCGTCAGGGCCTACTTGGAGTCCTGTTTCCTTAGCTTCAAGCCTTCTTTCTCCTGCTATAGGTATGCATCCAAGGTCCCCATGGCAACCAATTAGTGCACCTGGAGACACACAGCTGACTGGAAAGCTGCCTCTAATGGCCATATGAGACACATGAAGCCAGGCTCAGCACACATAGCACTGGGGATGACACTTAAAACCTTTTACTAGAGCGCTTGAAAAAACTTCAGCCCCTATCTCCTCACATGACCTTTGACCTACAGAAACCATTCAGGGCTTTAAAATTTGAGCTCATTGAGGACATTGTGGGGTGTATTTAGGATTTATATACATTTAGATTTCTCACATTTTAAAGTCACTCAGTGATGAGTTATCATTTAATTTTTCAAACTAATTTGAACTGATTCAAACTGATTCAAACCTTTCTAATACTTAAAAAATTAAACTTATGCCACTTCTCACCTTCCTGCCTTTTAAGGCAATTTCCTTCTTCATTCAAACTTTGTGCAATTTTAGACATTTTTCTAGCCTCTTTCAGCATGAATAAAATTTCTTTTTATAGAGCATATTCATACTATTTGTCCTTCAACCAATTAATCAATTATCCAACTTACATTTCTTTCACACCCCTTCAACAGCTTTAACATTTATACATTTCTCCATGTTTTATTAGCAGTTTAGCATTGCTTTTTCAGCTTTCAGCACTCAGCATTTCCACGCATTTTCTGCAAGGAAATGCAATTTTTCTAGTTAAGTGGAAATGCTGACACAGCATTTCCACTTATTGTTATTCTACTATTTCTTTATTAAGTGGAAATGCTGACACAGCATTTCCACTTATTGTTATTCTACTATTTCTTTATTATTATTATTATTATTTTTATTATTTTTATTATTATTCTTCCGTACCTTTTTTGGCCCTTTTCAACTCCTTACCACTTTGTGCTATTTTCACCATTCAAACTTTATACTAATGCACTCCTTCAGGACATTATTGCTATTACTTTTCACCTTTGTACCATTTATACTTTTTGCAATATTTCACTTTTTCTGCAAAATTTGTTCCATTACAAATGAATGGAGATACAGCTATAACACCTTCTCACCCTTATAACTTCTGCATACTTTCACCTACAGACCTCATTTTTGCTTTAAAATGTTCAGCAACGTGTCTGCTACAAATGTTGTATTCACTCCTTTTTGCTATTTCCTACCGTTTTTGCACAATTTCGCTTGGAGCAACATGAAGTCTTCTGCCTTTTTCAGCCTGACTCACGCTACAGCGTCTGACGTCATCACTAGATGCGGGCGGGGCCTTTTGGATTCACTAGACCAAGCATGATTATTTTGCTGCTGCGGCCGCAATTTTCACTCCACAGCCATAAAAAACACATCAAAATGGAGGTACACTCGTCCTGCTTCTCACAAAATCGGTCTGAAGTCATGAAATTGTACAGCTTGCCCAGGAGGTGAGTACATTCCTTCAGAGCCAGAGATTCTGCACTTGTCATGGGCTGTGTGCTTCGATCGCACACGCACATGCACACGCACGGACTCGGCCGCTCGTGCGCGCGCGGGCACACACACACACACACACACACACACACACACACACACACACACTGTTTCCATGAGTGCATTACTGTGTCTCTTACTATCTCTCTGTCAGATTCTGCACTTGTCATGGGCTGTGTGCTTCGATTGCACACGCACGGACTTGGCCGCTCGTGCGCGCGCGGGCACACACACATACACACACACTGTTTCCATGAGTGCATTAATGTCTCTCTTTCTCTCTTACTGTCTCTGTCAGATTCTGCACTTGTCATGGGCTGTGTGCTTCGATCACACACGCATATGCACACGCACGGGCTCGGCCGCGCGCGCGCGCGGGCACACACACACACACACACACACACACACACACACTGTTTCCATGTGTGCATTACTGTCTCTCTGTCAGTAGAAAATACAGCCCCAATATGAACTTTGTTGTTACAGTTCTTGTCTTTAACTCTTTTAACATACTAACTTCTTCTTTTTCTTCTACTTCTGCTTTTCTTTTCTATACTTTCTACATTTATACAATTAATTTCACTTCAGCTGTTTCATACTTTCTGCATTCAGATGTAGGGCAGTAACTGAAGCAGGGCAATAGATGGTGCTGTTCTGCATTCTCAAGTTACTATGGTTGGATGCTGCAGACTGCAAAAATCTGTTTTACTATCTGTACATTTCATAGGAACATTGTTACACATTGTTTAAAGGCATTTGTTTTTCAAATTCAATTATCCATATCAGTTCTGTTTATTCACATCAATCATATACATTTTTCACTTAGGCTATCAGACAATTTGTACATTAATCCAACTAATTTACCTCCAGCTATACTACAATTCTTCCATTCATACAATTTCTTCTTCTTCTACTCCACCTTTTCTACAGTTTTTCCGTTTATACCTTCCTCCATTTTTTATTGGCAGTTTTGCATTGCTTTTTCAGCTTTCAGCACTCAGCATTTCCACGCATTTTCTGCAAGGAAATGCAATTTTTCTAGTTATTTTTATTATTATTATTTTTATTATTATTCTTCCGTACCTTTTTTGGCCCTTTTCAACTCCTTACCACTTTGTGCTATTTCAACCATTCAAACTTTATACTAATGCACTCCTTCAGGACATTATTGCTAGTACTTTTCACCTTTCTACCATTTATACTTTTTGCAATATTTCACTTTTTCTGCAAAATTTGTTCCATTAGAAATGAATGGAGATACAGCTATAACACCTTCTCACCCTTATAACTTCTGCATACTTTCACCTACAGACCTCATTTTTGCTTTAAAATGTTCAGCAACGTGTCTGCTACAAATGTTGTATTCACTCCCTTTTGCTATTTCCTACCGTTTTTGCACAATTTCGCTTGGAGCAACATGAAGTTTTCTGCCTTTTTCAGCCTGACTCACGCTACAGCGTGTGACGTCATCACTAGATGCGTGCGGAGCCTTTTGGATTCACTAGACCAAGCGTGTTTATTTTGCTGCCGCGGCCGCAATTCTCACTCCACAGCCATAAAAAACACATCAAAATGGAGGTACACTCGTCCTGCTTCTCACAAAATAGGTCTGAAGTCATGAAATTGTACAGTTTGCCCAGAAGGTGAGTAAATTCCTTAGGAGCCAGAGATTCTGCACTTGTCATGGGCTGTGTGCTTCGATCACACACGCACGCGCGCGGCCGACCCCGCGCGGGCACACACACACACACACACACACACACACACACACACACACACACACACACACACACACACACACTGTTTCCATGTGTGCATTACTGTCTCTCTGTCAGTAGAAAATACACCCCCAATATTAACTTTGTTGTTACAGCCTTTGTCTTTACATCTTTTAACATACTAACTTCTTCTTTTTCTTCTACTTCTGCTTTTCTTCTCAGTACTTTCTACATTTATACAGATAATTTAACTTCAGCTGTTTCATACTTTCTACATTCAGATGTAGGGCAGTAACTGAAGCAAGGCAATAGATGGCGCTGTTCTGCATTCTCAAGTTACTATGGTTTGATGCTGCAGACTGCAAAAATCTGTTTTACTATTTGTACATTTAATAGGAACATTGTTACACATTATTTTAAGACATTTGTTTTTCAAATTCAATTATCCTTATTATCAGTTCTGTTTATTCACATCAATCATATACGTTTTTCACTTAGGCTATCAGACAATTTGTACATTAATCCAACTAATTAACCTTCAGCTATACTACAATGCTTCCATTCATACAATTTCTTCTTCTACTCCACCTTTTCAACAGTTTTTCCGTTCATACCTCCCTCCATTTCTTAATGGCAGTTTTGCATTGCTTTTTCAGCTTTCAGCATTCAGCATTTCCACGCATTTTCTGCAAGGAAATGCAATTTTCTAGTTATTATTATTATTATTTTTATTATTTTTATTATTATTCTTCCGTACCTTTTTTGGCCCTTTTCAACTCCTTACCACTTTGTGCTATTTTAACCATTCAAACTTTATACTAATGCACTCCTTCAGGACATTATTGCTATTACTTTTCACCTTTCTACCATTTATACTTTTTGCAATATTTCACTTTTTCTGCAAAATTTGTTCCATTACAAATGAATGGAGATACAGCTATAACACCTTCTCACCCTTATAACTTCTGCATACTTTCACCTACAGACCTCATTTTTGCTTTAAAATGTTCAGCAACATGTCTGCTACAAATGTTGTATTCACTCCTTTTTGCTATTTCCTACCGTTTTTGCACAATTTCGCTTGGAGCAACATGAAGTCTTCTGCCTTTTTCAGCCTGACTCACGCTACAGCGTGTGACGTCAGATGTTACGTCACCGCTAGATGCGGCCGGAGCCTTTTGGATTCAGTAGACCAAGCGTGTTTATTTTGCTGCCGCGGCCGCAAGTTTCACTCCACAGCCATAAAAAACACATCAAAATGGAGGTACACTGGTCCTGCTTCTCACAAAATACTCATAAAAAAGTCATCAAATTGTACAGCTTGCCCAGGAGCTGAGTATATACCACCGGAGTGCAGCGATGCTGCCCTTCGACTCCCATGTTAAATTCCGGCCAAGAAACCCTGACAATTACTACATACAAGCCGTGTTTTAACTCGCTGTTGTTGCCACATTTTTTACACTATTGGCATGAAAAATACAGTATTGTCAGTATAACAGTGTCAGGATTCCCAAGATGTTCTTATTTTTTGGGATACCACTTAAGGAAATTGTGCTAGGTGAAGAAGTTTACACGGTTTCTACTTCATTCTCGATAGTAGCACTTGTCATTGGCAGTGTGCTTTGCTCACAAGAGTCAGGCACGGCCGCGCGCACACACTGGATCCGTGTGTGGACTGCTGTCTTTCTGTTTATAGGAGGTACACCCGTAATACTTACTATGTTCCTATAGTTTTGGTGTTTAATTGTTGTAACATACAAACTACTTCTTATTCCTCTACTTCTGCTTCTCTTTACAGTCTACATTTATATAATTACTTTAACTTTAGCTCTTTAATATTTTGTACAATCGTATGTAGTGCAGTAACTGAAGCATGCTACTAGATGATGCTGTTATGCCTTAACAACTTACTATGTTGAGATGCAGACTGCACACGTCTTTTCATTATACTTCTGCTAATAATAATGTCAGTATGAGTGTCACTTTATTACTACTTATATGATAACTACTATATATATCCCTTCTTTATTTCCTGTACTTAAAGTTTATTGTCAGCTTTATACAACTTTTGTACAATTAAAGGTAATTTTTCAGCTTCTTTGTACGTTTCCTACAAATGTCTTTTATTTGTATATGTGCAGGACAAATATCCGACTCTAACGCTAAGCCAGCAGGTGACCAGTTTTCAAAGTTCTGCTGAAATTGGGCTTATTGACA